ATTTTGAGCCTTTTAAACCCATTTTGTAAGTAAATTTCAAGACCGTAACAATGATAATAAAGGTAAAAAAGAGACAAGTTATATATAGCACAAAGCTGGTATAAAGAAATAACTATAATAATTAAAGTAGTAAATACTTATATTATAAGTATTATAAAAAGAAAGGTTATCATAAGCGAAATTGCTTTAAGCTTTTACAAAGTGGTAGTGTAAATAAAACCGATTTAAAAAAAGAATAATAAAGTAAGGTATAAGTTATACCGTTATAAGTTATAGGATATAGTTTCTTATAAGATTAGAAGATCTCATTATTGGGTTTTATTTGAACGGTGATTCTAAACGTTATAAAAGCGACGGTAAAAGAGTAAATAAATTATTAAATCGATAAAGTTACTATTCGAGAAATAAACGTATATATTAACGTATTATATACGATCTTAATGTAGCGCGTTAATAATAATAGTACGGAGGTATTAGCTTAATATAATAATATACAACGGCATACCGTAAGACGGTAATAAAGGTACGGCGAAGTAATACACAACGGCTATAATAACAAAGCAAAAGGTCTTTTAATCGATTAAAAGATTATTCAAAATAGGAAAAAAAGAAAATATTTAAGCATACGATAACTTAACTACTAAAAGTAATAATGAGTGGTTAAATAAGCTTTATTGATAAGGATTTTATTATTTTATGTACGTATACTGCTTAGTTAACTAAGTAATAGTATTGTCGTTCGAATTAGATTTTATTACGTTTTTAAACGATTTGAGGCTGTATTAGTCTTTTAACGTTATTATATAAATTAGCTGTTTTAAAGGTAAGCGGTATAACAACTGTTCATACCTAATAGTTATAAAGGCGTGTAAAAATATTATCGCTTATTAGAGGTGTTATAACTAGTAGTAAGCTACAAGAAGGTAAAAAAGATAAATAACGACTTTAAAATGATAAAAAAGAAAGTATTCGGGCGTTGTTTAACAGGTTTATTATTTAATATTAAGTAAACGGATATTAAAAAGCTTTTATAGCTGTATTCAAGTAAGAATTTCCTTTATAAATTTATGATTAAAATACTGACTATTCTTTATCATATCTTAGCCTTATTTAACTGAAGCGTGTGTATATGGATACGTATTGGTATGTGTGTGGGTGTTGGAGATCTTAAACTAGAAGGGCTGCGGCAGCACACACTCAAGGTGTGTGCAACGCTTATCTAATTGTGTCAGCCCTTATCTACGCTATCTGCCTAGATACAGTAGGACTCCATCCACACCCCTTAGTGACCTGTGTCATTAACCCTTAATATATATACTTTATTATTATTGCATATTATAAAAGCCTTTAATAACGTTTTAATTTGCTAGTTAATTTATAATTAAGAAAATAAATATTGAAAGAAACAAAATTAAATAAATAAAAAACCTTTCAAAAATAAACGAATAAACTTTCAATCACTTAATTATGTATATATATATATATATATATATATATATATAAAGCTTATGAACGTTAAAATTATTTTTAATATATATATATTAACTTGATAAAAGCTTTAAATAAATAAATCATTATTATTGCTTAAATGGATAATATTATAATTATTATAATAAAACCTATTTTGGTTGAAGTTTGTTTTATTGCTTAAAATTTTATTATTAACTATTAAAAAAAAGCTATGACTTATTTAACTATCTTTAACGTTAAAAAATAATGGTGTATATTTTTATAAGCTTTAAAGCAACTTATTTTAATACTCATTATTTTAATATACGTTAATAAAAGTATGTACGATACTAAATCAAGTATTATACTTGAATTCAAATTTTAAATTAAATTACTGTTTAAATTTAAAACATTATGTTAAAGTTTATATAATAAATATCTAAAACGTTAGAAAAACGCACGAAATAATATCTAAAAATGCCTTTCTTTACGGTAGCTTAATTTAATACTGATGAAATAAAGAGTTTAACAAGAAAATATAAGGTTAGTGTTGGATCCATGTGATTCCACAGTCAAACCATCCATACAAAACCCACATTTATGATTAGATAAGAGATTAGATACCGGATTGTGAGGTCACTTAGCCAGACTTGCAGGTCTAGCTAGACTTCCTAATCCAACCATCAGCAACATCATGACCTTAACCCCTTACTCGAGTATTATGATTGATCGTTCAAGCCTGTTCCAACAGTTAGAAAATAATCTAACGTAAAGTTTTAATTAAAACGCAAAGGGATTTTCAACGTATTAATAATATTGTAATAAATATGAAAATTAAAATCTTTTTAATAGAAAAGACTTTTAAATTACAAGTTATAAATATAGTTATTAAAATAACTCTTAAAAAGCTAAGTAAACCCTTCTTATATAATATAAGCATTACGGCCTATTTATAATACTTATTAATAGCTTTAAAGTTATATATTATAAATAAAAAAATTATAATTTTTATATTAAAATTATTGTAACTTTCATAACATTTTTCAATGTTATTTTATAAAAATTTATAATACATATATAAACATTGAAACCATCGAAAATATTGAAGATACAATGTGTTAAAAAATGCTATTTATATTTATGTTAACGGTTTAAGTATATTTTTAAAAAATATGTATAGCAGTTATTTGTATCTATATTATTTTGTATATTAAAACATGATTATATATTAATTTCCTCAACCGTTTTATAGTTTATCATAATAAAATTCAAGCCTTAATTATTTCTATAAAAGGAATTAAAAAAATTAATACGATTAAGTTAATTCATACCATTTTAAATAATAAAGGATATATTTAAGCTGTTATTGACTTTTTAACTTAAAAAAGCTAATAATCTTTAAAGCTTTTATGGGGAACATTGAATACATAAACTTGTTTAATCTTACCATCATCGTATAGATTTCAATATCTATGAATGTTAGAAAAAACGAGCTTATAAATTACTTGATTAAAAAGTTATAAGATAAAGCCTTAAAAGGTAATATATATTTAATTTATCTAAAGAGCTACTTTTTAAAACTATAATAATAATTGACGCTAATAATATACGCTTTAAATGAAATAAAGCTAATAAACACAAGATTATTTTAATAAAGAAAAGGTTCTCATATATAACAAGGCTTTTTGCCGTATTTAGCCTATATATTAGTAAAAGAAACATAATAATTTCATACCGATATATTTAAAGTCATTAAATTAATAATTCTAAATTTTTATCTAGGGGAAAAACTTAAACGAATATATATATATATATATATAAACGACTTATGTTATATTTGAAAATATGATACTTTAAATTAAAAATTAATTAAACGACTTTTAACATTTTATTAATTTATAAAGCTTTAAACTTTAAAAAGAAAACATATAGAAAATGATAGTAAATTACTTCTTTATATAAGCTTTTAAACATTTTAGTACTAATTATGTAAATTATTTCAATAATTAAAAAGTAAGACTTTATTTCTTTTTAAAATACGTTAATATTGAATACTTACGAATTAAGATTTAAAAAGTTATTATATAAATAACTTCAGATAATTAATAATAAAACAATTGTTTAACAAATAAAAGTAAAAGTAATAAAACTTTTTAGTACAATTAAAATATAGCCATACAGCTAATAAAACGTATAACTTATTATTTATTATTTAAAAAGTAGCATTTATAATTTTATAATAAGTATTATTTTATAAGAAATACTATATAATATGCATTAATATCAATATTAAAAAACTACTCTTAATTTTTTTAACTAAAAAAAATTTAATATTGTATATATTACTACCTTTAAACTTAATAACTTGTAATTGGCTTAATATAAAAAGAAAAACTTAACGCTTAGAAACAATGATACATATTAATAAACGTAAATATAAGTACCGAAAAAAAGAATTCAAATTAAGTTTTAAATATAATAAAAGCATACGTTGAAAGCTTATAATCGTTTAAATTTTTAACTCTTTACGAATTACGACATATATATTAAAAATCGTAACTGTAAAATAAATATAAAAAAATTAAAATAAATATATAAAATACGAATACATTTAAATATTAATTATTAAAGTAAAAAATCACATACGAGAAATACATATTAAGATACCGACGCGTAAAGGTTAGATTTTGAACTAATAGTAATAGCCAGGGCATTATCTACTATATTTTAACAAGCCGCTTAGTCCCTTCGGGACTTTCTAGGCGTAATAATTCATCAATCAATCAATCAATCGATACTTCCGACCGTTACCAGACAGCGGGTGCCCTGGCATGCCGACGCTGGGCTGGGCAATCAAGCATGGCCCTTTACGGCGAGCAGCCCGACAGCTAGCGACTCTAGCCTCCCTACCCATGCTCGCCACGAGGGCCCATGAACCACGTCGTCGGATCGAGCATCGTCAACCGAGCTTTCCTACCACACCAACGCGGCGAGGGGGCCAGATTCGCACGTTGCCGCATTGTATACCAAGATATACAGCCACAGCACATGGAGTACTCGTCAGCCCTCATTAATTTTGACGACTGGCTCACACGCTATTGGCGTGTATGCCGCCTCCGCTACTCAGTATAGTCTGTCGGCACTTGAAGGGGATATGCGTTGATGCGAGTTGCCCACGCTACACGGAGCAAAGACCTCGCTGAGTTGCGAGAGAAATAGTAGCAGCTCGACCCAGGAGTATGACGAATGCGGGACAACCATCAAGCCGCTGGCGCCCGCATCTATGGAGTAGACGAAGTGGCTATGAAGCTTCTGCGGGTTCGTGGTGAGGCGGGCCTCGAAAGGATCGGCATGCTGTGATGATTGCCTCGTTATATAACCTATCCACCTAGCCCACCCGTTCTCCCTCATCACTAGCACAGCACACGTCCGCTCTTTCATATTCTTGCCGCGTCTCCCACGCAAGGCTCGTCTTCTGTGCCTCACTGTCGCTCTTTCGCTCTTTCACTCTTTCACTCTTTCACCGTCGTCTCTCATTCCTCTCGTTCAAGATGAAGTCATTAAGTTGCGCTCTCATCTCAGGCTTCGCGCTGTCTGCTGTCGCAAGCCCAGTCATCGACCCGCGTGTCTACAGCATCAACGAACGTGGTATGATTCAAAAAAGCCCGAGACATGAAACAGGGCGCGAGATTAACGTCGAATCAGATACCGTGACAGCAGCCGAAGTTACGTCCCTTCAGTTCTATGCCGAATATGCTGCGGCCTCCTACTGCAACAGCAATGTGTCAGTTGGCACAGCTATAAGTTGCGATGGTGACGCCTGCGCGGAGGTCGCATCGGCCGGCGCAACTGTTGCCGCTACATTCTCGTATGGTTGTCATCTGCCGGCTGAGCTACGGTCACTCGGCTAACAGTGAAAAGGGGTGTGATTACCGACGTCGAGGGCTTCCTCTCGACAGACGACACAAATGAGCTGATTGTCGTATCAATTCGGGGCTCCTCGTCCGTTCGCAACTGGATTACTGAGTCAGTCCAAGCTTGCTCCGATTATCATAAGTGGACGGAATAATAACATCTGTGCAGTTTCGTATTTCTCCAAGTGGGCTGCGACCTCGTATTTGGCTGTCTGATTCACGCTGGTTTCATGACGGCCTGGCTGGAAATCGAAGAGAAGCTCCTGGCTACCCTCGCAACTGAGACTGCCGCACACCCGTCATACCAGATCGTATTCACCGGGCACTCGCTCGGCGCCGCTGTGGCCACTGTCGCGGCCGCGTTTGCGCGGAACGAGGGCTACGCCATCGACCTCTACACCTACGGCAGCCCGCGTGTGGGCAACGATGTTTTTGTGAAGTCCGTGACGGACCAGGCCGGCAGCGAGAACCGTGTGACGCACCTTGACGACCCGGTGCCGCGACTGCCGCCCATCCTGCTCAACTACCGCCACACGAGCCCAGAGTACTGGCTGTCGGACGGCACGTCAAACACGACCGACTACACGGCGGCCGACATCAAGGTGTGCGACGGCTTCGCCAACATCAACTGCAACGCCGGTACGACGGGCCTCGACACCGACGCCCACGGCTACTACTTCCAGGTCATCGATGGGTGCGGCCCCGGGGGCTTCGAGTTCAGGCGGCGGATGATGGCGCGTGACGTTGATTCCAACGTCACGCGCGATATGGCCACCTCGCCGCCCCAGGACGTCACCGACGCGGTGCTCCTCGCCAAGCTCGACGACTGGGTCGCGCAGGATATCGAGTTCGTGGCAAACTTGTCATAGTGGACGCGATGCTGCTGGTGACGGTAGACAGGGAGGTATGCCGCGTGTGACGATTTGCCTCGGTACTGTGATTACTATATACCCCCTACTTATTGAAGAAAGAGTCTTGCTATTTGCACCTTGTCTCCACACCCCAACTGCCAGCCAGCGGCAATACAGCCCCCTATCTCAGCATAACCGTACTAACAATTGTGACGACAACTGCACCGACAGCTGCACCGACAACCTCGATCTACCTAATAGTAAGCTGTAAGCTTAGTGGTTAGCCCGCTGCCAACTGCCTAGGGAAATAGGGGTAGAATCAAGGTGCAAAAGAGGAATTCTAACAAGGTGCAAATAGCAGGACTCAAAGAAAACTTTAGTGGTGTGGGCAGGATCTGAATTCAAAGTTACGGCGAACTTCCAAATTTCCAACCACATTCTGCTCTTTTCCATCCAGGGCGCTTTTGGCCTTATACTCACAGCACTCTGGGCGATTCTCACCAGGCTAGGTGAGGCATAGCACTTCCACTGGTTCAGACATATCGAATTGGATACCTTTGATTTCTTATAAACAATGCTTGGAACATGCAACTTACCAAGAAGCCTTTCCCACCACTTTCCCTTCCAAACCCCGCGAATAATGGAATGAGCCTGAGTTGTTACTTCACCACTGCGGACGCTCGCCTACTCATGATCAAAGACCGAATCCGCGTTGTTAGACGAAGCATCGTCCGAAGACGAAGCCCCTGACGAAACATCCTCGAACAAGTCCTCATCCGGCGTCAGAACGGTAAAGGGGGCGAACATAGCGCCGTTGACTGGGCGGTAGCTCTCCAACGGATCGAAGGACCCTGCCAAGAGCCAACCTACATAGAATGCCACCGGAGTCAAGACTACCTTGACGAGCAGCTCGACAACGTCGTAGTGCATGGCGAGACCTACCAGGATCATTACAATAACCATGGCAGCATTGTCCCGCCCGCCATAGACGACAAGCATGCCGTAGAAGCGGATGAACCCGTGGCATATCAAGGAGAGGGGGAACAGGAGGAACAGGAAGGTTTTGCTCGTCATAATTGCCAGCCGCTGGTCCATGATAACAGGGAAGAGAGCTACGGCGGTGAGCAGGCTGAAGGCGACGGCGTTGATGAATGGGCGGTAGCCCTTGGCTAGCAGCTGACACAGGTGCAGCAGGACGGACAGAGAGAGCGTGGTCGTCGCTACCAAGGTGAGGAGGGTGAGCTCGGGCGGAGTGTCGGGCGGGAGGGACGTATCTACCAGCTGCCGGATGGCGCTGTCGCTCACCATGGAGAACATGTTGAGTATACTTGCAATGTATCTATGTGCTCAGGGAATTTAGTGTGTTTGACGTGTTCTAACACTTACCTTAATTTGTAGAAAGTACTGATGTTTCTTGGTCGAGGTGATTGATGATGAAGAGTGAAGAAGCTGTCCTGGAGGGAAGAAGTCGCCAGATATTATACCCGCGCAGAGGATTGGGTAACCATTCAGAGGACCGCGGACCAGACGCTGATTCTTTGAGGTGCCCTTGTTCCCAAATAAAATCTTCGTAGAAAGACATTCAAAGCGGGGGGGGAAAGGCTCTTTCAGAACGTGGCGGTAGCAACAAGGCCTTTGTATTGTACACGGATTCGCTGTTAGGAACTCCTCCGCATCCTCGAACAAATCTGCTCTAACAAAGAGATTATTACCTGTCCTTTGTCTATCCCATTGTAAGTCTCTCGTTTACAATTGCTCTTGCGAACGGAACGATGTCAAACGGACTTAAACTTTCACGACTCGGACTGGAAGGGCAGCGCTTATAGTTCATATTCAAGGACCGATGGTATTGAGTATTAAGGACTGATAGTATTGAACATTAAGATTAACCGTTACAGGAGGACGTTAGACCAACGACCCTCAAAGTTCATATGTACAACACTTTTATAGCAGCTTAACAGAAAGCGCCGAAGGCTGCTCCAAGATGATACCAGGCCCAGCCACAATGGTCTCCTTGGTCGGGGCGCCCTTGGTGTCAGCGACGGTGGCGATAACAACGCCCTTGGTATCGAACTGGGCTGGGATGGTGACGCGGATCTCCTGCTTAGGCCAGCAGGTCGTGTCGATGGGGATGCTGACGTTGTTGACGCCGTGGAAGAAGACAGCGTAGTACTGGGTGCCGTTCGCAAACGTCGGCTGGTTCGTCGGGTCAGGGAAGGCAAGACCAATGTTGGACCCGGGAAGCAGGGACGTGGTGTTCTTGGCGGCGCTCAGGGAGGGCAGGTTCTGGCGCGGCGACGGGTACTCGGGGTTCAGCTTGGGGCAGCTGCCTGGCACGATGAATGCGTTGGTGGTGTCGAGGATCTGGTTGGCGTAGGGGAAGACGGTGTCTGAGGGGCCGCCGAAGGGGTTGGTCTTCCAGATCTCGATCAGGCTCCACGTCTCGTGGCGGGACTCGACCTCGGCGATGGCAGTCATGGCCGCCTGGGAAGAGGAGAGCTGGGCTTGTTGAACCAGACCCGTCAAGAAGGCCATGGACGAGATCTCAATCACAGTGACGAGGGCCAGGAAGGAGATAGGGTCGTAGTAGGGGAACTGGGTCTCGCATGCCCCGGGCTTGATCGAGGTCTCCGAGATCTGGTTCTGGAAGATGCGCAGATGGCCAGCCTCGTTGTTGCGAATTTCTTGGATTCGCTGATATGTGTTGTTGGGCATGCCAACCTTAATGAAGTCTGAGGCGTTGAAAGACTCAACGGCCTTTTGGTAGAAGTCGAAGATGATCCACTCGGCCTCGAGGAGGTTCTGCCAGACTATATCATCTGTAGCAGGGGGGCCTTCTTTCGTCGGCAGAACGGGATCACGTAGGTTTCCAGGGAAAGGTGCCTCGACACCCAAGTAGCTGTTGTAGATTGGGCTTTCGCCTGGGATGGGACCGTAGGCCGGGTCGGCGAGCTTCTGCGCTTCGGCGAAGGAAGAAGCGTTCCTTGCGTGAATAGGCTTCGCAACTGCAGCCGAAACCACAGGGCTCAGCAGACAGGCCTTGATGATGGATTTGATCGCCATGTTCGGAAGTGTGATTTGCGGATATTAGGGAGTTGTAGGAGGGTAGATGCTGATTTCTGATGGACAACGTCAACATAGCAAGGCCAAAGGACTGTTTTATAAATATCGATCCTAGCTGTGCCCACCAGTATCCCCCTTTGACGCACGTCACTGCCATGGCCATGTCGACCATCAACGAGCATGTCGTGATGATCTCATGGCGTTGGCTACTGCAACGCGATCTGGCGCTGGGCTTGATAGATCCACTGTGGTTCATGGATATACCGTAGTCCAACTGTCCCAGAGAGGGACAGCCAGCCCGCCAGCGCAGCCCGAGTGTCTTCTTTGGTAGCTAGGCTCTCGCGGCAACTGGCGAAGCTTGATGATCATCATCAAGCTTGATGGCGGCCCGAGCTAGTGCGACCTAATAGGCGGTAAGCGGGCGAGCCGAAGAGTAGCCTCACAGCCGGCTTGGATCTATCGGCGGCCGCCTCTCCACCTGAAAGCTTGCAGCCACGTCCGCGATCAACGTCGACGTCGAAGCCTGTCCTGCCGCCTGCCCGGTCAACCCAATTGCCATCAGGGCAACGGCTTGAATACGACGGGCTCCCAGCCACACACGAATGTGACGATGCAGCTTCGCGTGTACGGGCTGAAGAAGCTGATATTAGTACTTGGCGGGAGAAGCCACAGATTTCTGAGGAGTTCAGATCGAGATCCGGATGGCCATGCTACCGGGGCTGTATTTTCTCAAACGCCCGGACCGGTGCATTCTTTTCCTAGCGGATGACCGATGCACTCTACCAAGCCGCTGGTAAACCGGCCATCGATGAACCAGCCCCCTTTCGGGATAACGACCTCTCGATATAGAGGATCACAATCTGGCCATCCTCTTTTACCCCAAAGAAGATGCAGTACGTGTGCCAAGAAAGCTTTTCCGCGCCCCTGGCTAGTACAAGACCCGAGCCCGCGGCAAGCTTGCTCGCGGCTGTCTAACAACAAGCGCTACCAAGACGCACCAACTCCTAGCTCGCTCTCGATAGATTTGGTTAGATTTGGAGGCGATCACATACTTCTATCGGCTAGGTCCGTGAGGTGTTTCACTCTGCGATGTCTTTCACCGAGTTTCCCGCCCACGCCACGTATGTGATAAGGCTCGACCGACGACGGTACGATCCCAAGGAACCGCATTCTGCCCCCTGACGCGTGAACTTCCGCGATGGGGCATGTAATCCCCCCGAAGCGAAAGGAGGGGAGCAACAACAGCCAAGGAGGCTGGTGCTGGTAAGGAAGGTATCGCGGAGTTTGCACATTAGTTATGCGAGCGAAATGTGCGTGAGCTGATTCGGGCAGCTGAGGATTAGTAAGTAATCCGTTGTCCCGAACGATTCGGCCTCGGACAATAAGACCAAGCAAGCAAGCAGATGGGCGTACCGAGCTTACTGGTATTCCTCAATGTCCGCGGCGCCGGGCGTGGCTCGGAAGTCCGACACGGCGCCGAATCTACGGTCCCGGAGGCGTGCCTTCGTCTTTATGCGAGTTTCGAGGAAGTGATCCAACAGCATTATAAGAAGCATTTGAGTCCTGCAACGGGATGGGTGTGGACGATGTAGTCTTAGTTTAAATACAAAAGTACTCCCAGGCAGGCTTCTTGTTCATTTTGTCGTCCATCGCAAAGACTGAAACCACACACTTCGCATCGTGTCTTCTACGCTCTGATGGTCTCGCACCATGCCCTTCTTCGAGTCCACCAATTCCTCCATCTTCTACGTCGACGAAGGGGCCGGCCCCCCAGTGATCTTCATCCACGGATGGACGTGCGATATCCACGACTGGGTCTTCCAAATACCATACTTCCAGAAGAGCGGGTACAGGACAATCGCATTCGATACTCGCGGCCACGGTCGCTCTCCCGTCCCCTCGAAAGACAACCCGTCCGAGCTCGGCCCCGAGGCCACAGTCGCCGACGCCGAGGCCCTGCTGCGACACCTCGACATCAACGCCGACAACCCGGTTGTCGTCTTCGGCCACTCTTCTGGGTGCCTCATTGCGTCCCTATTGGCCATCAGCTCACCGCGGTTGGTCAGAGCTCTGGTCCTGGTCAGCCCTATGTACTACCGGCTTCAAGAAGAAGGCCTGGCACAGGGCAGGAAGCTCGACGGCGATGCCTACGGTCTCGTGAACCGCATCTTCGAGGCGCAGGGCACGACGAGCGAAACGCCGGGGTGGCTTACGGCGCGGCATAGGATCAGACTGTTAGGCGTGCCGGAATGGGTTGTGCGCGAGGCGGCGTACCAGAGGGAGCCGGTGGGGAGTTGGGAATCTGCTCGGAAGCTGATGCCCCGGAGACAATGCCCTCGCTTGGTGGTCATGCCGAACGACGCAAATGTCGAGAAGGAGAAGGGGCTTGGTATGGGGGAGAAAGACCGAGTTGAGGTACTAAGGGCTGGTCATTGGATGCATGTCCAGGAGAGCGGACAGTTCAATACCCTGGTTCAACTCTGGCTCGCGCAAATCAGCTAGAAGGTCCTGAGTTAGGTATGAAGAGATCATCTTGGTAGTGTCATTCTAATAAGGTCATCATATTCTCCTTTTAACACTGTTACTCAGCGGCCAGTCACGAGCTGTTGTGGGAATCCCTTGTCATACTGCTTCTTCCTCTGCGCCTCGGCCGCATCGACCCTTAAAACAATCCACACATGCAAGTAGGCCCAACCCGATATGAAAAGCACTAGAAGAAATCCATCAGCTCGCTTTTCGACTTCACACGGAAACTTACTCACCTGGCAAGCGCCTGAACGATCCAGCACAGATCTAGCAGCACCTTGAGCCCCTCCCCAGCGTCTGGCTGTCCCGAGTCGATCAAGGCATATTCACCTTCGGATGTCTCGCCGTAGTGTCTTGATATATTCCCAGAGCCACTATGCGTAATCGCAGTCGCTCCTCCAATCAGCAATGCCATCGATACTGCATGCAGCGCGACCAAGGTTCCAGTATAGGGACGACCGATTCGGCTGCGTCGATCTCTCCGGTCAGACAAGGCGATGGCCTCGAACAGGCTGAATGGCAAGCTCCAGATAGCCTATGATGGTGTGAAGTGGGAATCGTCAGTGTCACCCGGGGTTCTATCATGGGATCTGGGGAAAGTTACCGCGACGTAAGCGGTGGTCAGATCTGAGCCGCCCTTGCGCTTGGCTTCGACGTAGCTGAGCGTGGCGAGGGCGATCAGGCAGAGGTTGGCTATGACTGCGTGCGTTGCAATCTGCACTGTGGCCAATGGAGAGGGGTATCGTGGTCGCATCTGTGCGACTTCGTTGGATGATGGTTCCGGACGCGCGTGTTGTCGAATCTCGTGGGTGCTTTCCTGTGAACAGAAACCCAAGTGCAACATCTTGTGAAAGTCTGATGGACAAGATTTGAGTCACACGACTCATAGAACAATGCTTGATCATTGTGGGATGATACTGAGTCACGGGGCAAGCAAGCAAACACCACACGGCGGGGCGCAAAGATGAGACGACACGGCGTTGTACAAGCACCTAAGATTCATTCTCGAGTAGCACAAGCTCCTGGATGGTCTGGGCTTCATTCAGTGCAGTTTGCCGTCCTGCATTGAGGCTATACATGACGTACAATGGAAGGGACAGTGTCGGCACGGGTATAGACAGAGTCGCTGCTTTCTATCCGAATCCAGGGGAGTGAGCAGGTACGTGGAATATCAAGGCCAGTAAGTATCGATCCTACTTCTTTTGCTCGTGGGTGCTCGGATGATTCTGAAGTTATAGATTGTACATTTGGAAATATCAAGATATGGACCACAGCCGTACGAACACGGCTATTGCTCAACTACCTTGCTGGGAGTCGGCAGAGTCAGGGGGACGTATCGAATCAAGTTCATGAAGCTTCCAAGGCGTTGAAGCCATGGCTCTTTGTGGACCTACATTTTTAGGAAACATCGAAGGAATACTACACGTATAGGCTGAGGTATGTAACAGAAATCCTTCCCGTTGATTTACATAACGTTGCTCTAAAGAATAGACAACAATGCATGTTGGCACTATTTCGGTAGTTGTCAAATTACAGCCTTACATGATGCAGCAACAGATGCCGTGAACAGGGGAATGGCCGGAGGAATGGAACCTCTCCGCCAACCGTCACCATGAAGCCCGCCTTCGCCGCCACCCTATCGACCTTGTTCACCTCCCTCGCCAGCGCCGGCGTCGTCATCACGACCATCACCCCAGACCAGGTCGTGGCCAAGTCTGGCGGAGACTGCTTCTTCGGCGTAGCGACGCCGAGCGGGATGCGGGTGAGTGAATGATGACCTGGTAGCTCCCTTTCACCGTCCAAGCTCTAATAGCATGTTGCAGGCCTCTACGCGGTTGACCTCACCTGGAAGAACAGTGCCTACCTAGTCCGAGACGAGGCGGAAGTAATATGGGGGCTGGATGAGTATTAGGGACCTCTGAATTCCACGAATGAAACATACACGACTTGCGACAGCGTGAGTCTTTCCGTTCTCCTTGCTCTGGGCGCGCTGCCCCTGGACTCGAGCCTCGCGCATCACAAGCTACGTCCTTGAGGAAAATCGCCGACAGTACTCTTCAGACCCAGCGCAGATGATGATTTGTCCTTGTTCTGACCTCATTGCTCGTGATCGACAGTCTGCTAGGATAGGGGTATCTTGGACGACCTTGACTTACGTTCGAGGCACTGTCACCTACCTTATCAAAGCAGGTGAACCGTTAGGGGTTCAGGGGTTGTATGCCATAAAGTCGGTTTTCTCCGCCATAAAGTCGGTCCGCACCGTTTGGCCATCTATCTGCAACATTCTCTTGGCGACGCGCAATCCCGCGGCAGCTTGGCATGATATAAAAGAGCGCCAAGAATCCCAAACGGCTCCCTCCTCCACCTTTGGCCAACCTTGGAAGGTCTTCAGGGTTCGGAGACATCATGCCGTCTGCGGGGAGATGCTTCTGATGGAAGGTCGCTTGCATGACCGCGCGTTGCGTTGCGTAACTTGCGTTGCGATGGTAACTTGCGTTGTGTCGCGGTGCTTTGGTATGAGCAAAAGATAAACATTGAAGGCAGGCTGGTAACAAGGCAGTCAGTCAGTGTGGTGGCAGCAAGATGGATTATAAAAGGCGAGCCAGCTACTGACGAGAATTTGTCCAAGCAAAGAGAAGCACTACAAGAGCTTACAAGAGCATCTAGTAGCAGCCCATCCTGTCTTTTAGGAATATTCACCATCTCCCTGTCGCCATGCAGCTCTCCGCTCTTCTCGTTGCAGGCCTCTGTGCCGTGCCCTCTGTCCTTGGTCACGGCGAGCCAAACACGGCCGCAGCTATCGCTCACCGCGATGCCCACATCAAGCGTTCAGTCCAGTCACTGGGCTCATGCGCCAACAAGCTCGTTGGCCGTGGCGTCTCTATTGAGCGTCAGGCCAAGACTAGTGCTTTCGTCAACAGGTACCTCGCTCGCCGTGGCTTGGAGGGGGGCTTTGAGGCCGCGCCGTCCTTGGCCAAGAAGCAGTCTACCTGCGTCCTCTCTCCCGAGCAGGAGGAAGGTCCATTCTGTAAGTCCCCGTCCTACAGTTCCGATGTTTGAGTGTTTGAACGACGCTAAACTCTTGCTTGCCAGATCTCGATGGCGAACTGATCAGGGAGGACATCACTGAGGATGAAGCCGGCGTCGACCTGCTTCTTGACGTGACGGTCATCGATGTCAACACTTGCGAGCCGCTCTCGGGCGTCATGCTCGACTTCTGGAGCTGCAACAGCACGGGCACGTACTCTGGCTATGCGCAGGAGCAGACCACGGGTCTGACATGGCTTCGGGGTCTGCAAGTGTCGGACGACGATGGCGTGGTGCAGGTGTAAGTCTCTTCTTTCTTCCACTTTCCGACTGGGGGCGACTGTTGACCGAAGTTCATGCATACAGTACGACCAAGTTCCCGGGCTGGTACGGTGGAAGAGCGCAGCACATCCACATCAAGGCGCACGTTGACTACACGATTGACGACGAGACTGAAACCATCACTGGCGGTACAGTCCCGCATGTAAGCATCCTTCCCTTCATTTTATTGTTCGAGCGGAGCTCACCATTCTGACTCCCGGCCGAAATAGACTGGCCAGATCTTTTTCGACCAAGATCTCCTAACGACCGTCAACGCTGTCGCGCCCTACACCTCGGACACTAACCCCTTCACCCTCAACGCCGATGACCGCGTCGTCACCCAGCAGGCTAACTCGACCGACGGCTACGACGCCTTTGTCGACATCACCCTGACCGGCACCGACGTCACGGACGGGCTGCTCGGGAGACTTACCATTGCCATCGATTCGTCGGCCACACCGGGACCGGCTTAGGTCGTCGCCTGAAAGCGTAAGAAGTGATGCATCACTTTGAGAAGGGGGCAGTCGTGAAGCTGGTCACTACCTATTCTTCATTAGCCCGAGGTCATTTCCCAAGAAATCAGGTTGTATTTTACGAGCAAGCTTGTTGTCTGACATAGGATGAGGTACGATGGCTGCACTGGCAGAGGCAAGGAAAGAGGCAAGAGCGGCGGCGGTCCTCATCTCTATACTGCTGTCTTTTAGTTTTGAAAAGAGTATTGAGGGGTGAAAAAATGTGTCGTTCAGATGTCAATGCCCTTCTTGATGGTACATGAGCGTGCAGGTCCAATTCAATACTTCTCCTGTCCAACTTCTCTAGTCCTGATGAAGATTTGGACCGAGCTCCGAGCTCAGGACAAGGTTGGAAGGGAGAAAACGAATAAATCACTGATGGCGGTCTATAAACTCATCGAAATTTGATGCAAAATGACCGCCCCTTTATCCCGTGAAGTGACGGACTCGCGGGCAAGTATTGGAACTTATCATGCTCACGAATCACTTGGAGTAGGGACATATGTAGTCAGCCATCGGCTCCGCCAAGATAATCAGCCGCATCCGTATTCGAGTGATCGTTTGGAAAGGATGGGGATACAAATGGGTTCTCGGAGCTTTTCTTGTAGCAAATCGGAGCACAAGGTCGAGAATCGAAGCTGGCCAAACCGCGGCGGCACTTTCGGGTCGATCTGACGTCAATGACCTATGCAGGCCACTAGCAGGCCCTACGTAACAGTGAGGTGATGTTCCACGACCACGGCAAAGAGCAGAATGGAAACCTGATGATATGACGAACTATCAATATAGACAGGTATTTATATTTGCTGCTTGTCTGGTTGCGCCTCCTGAGCCCTTGGCAACACTTACCTAGAACCCTGTTTTGCCACCAACCACCTACTAGATCCCAACGAATCGGGACTTCATATCTATCACCTACTGCACTCTTGACCATATCTGCTCTTGGCGAACGAGCATTATTAACACAATCCACTAAATATACCCCCTGGACATAACTCACGATGACTGGCGTCGAGGTGAAGAAGGCGAGTACCTCACTGATATCACCCCATGCCCCTCGAGCTACGTGCTGACGCTCTCTCTCAGGTCGGCATGCTGGGCGTCGGCAGCATGGGCGCCATGATGACGCTCCTGATGGCCGAGCGCGGGTACGAGATCTTCTTCTACGACCCGAGTAAGTACAAAACCCAGTCCTCTCCAGCGCACACTAACCCCGACCCCCAGGCGAGAAGAACATGGACCAGCTGGAGCAGCAGTACAAGGACATCCACCTCGAGTCGCAGGTGCATAGGGTGGGCAGCTACGAGGAGGTGTGCAAGAACCTGGGCGAGCCCAAGGTGTTCATGTTCAGCACGCCGCACGGCGGGCCCGCCGACAAGTGCGTCGAGTCGCTGACGCCGTACCTGAAGAAGGACGACGTCATCGTCGACTGCGGCAACGAGCACTGGGAGAACACGGAGCGCCGCCAGCGCGACCTCGACCCCCAGGGCATCCACTACGTCGGGTGCGGCGTCTCGGGCGGCTACCAGAGCGCGCGCGCGGGCCCTTCCATGTCGCCCGGTGGCAGCCCCGAGGCCCTCGAGATGGTCATGCCGTTCCTGCGGACGCTCGCCGCCAAGGACAGCAAGGGCCGGCCGTGCACCAGCCCGGTCGGCCCTGCGGGCAGCGGCCACTACGTCAAGATGGTCCACAATGGAATCGAGCAAGGAATGATGTCTGTGGTGGCCGAGGTGTGGCTCCTGCTCACGAAGGGCTTGGGCTTGGGCTACGAGGAGGTGGGCGATATCTTCAAGTCGTGGAACGAGAGCGGGCCGTTGAGGGACTGCTTCCTGATCGCGATCGGCGTGGATATCGAGCGGGCGAAGGGCAAGGACGGCGAGCATGTCGTCTCCCAGGTCAGAGACAAGGTGGTCCAGGACGTCGACGAGGAGGAGGGCACAGGTACTTGGACGTGCGGAGAAGCGGTCGCGAGACACGTCCCGTGTGCCACGATCCTCAGCGCTCACCTGTTCCGCTGCGCATCCGCTGACCTGCGGCGGCGCACCAAGAACAAGGAGTCTGCCGGCACCGGCATTGACGCGCAGCCCCTGGCCGTGGAGTCGAAGAAGGACTTCGTCGAGATGCTGCACATGACGACGTACTTCTGCTTCCTGGCCTGCTTCGCGCAGGGCCTCGACCTCATCCGCCAGAAGGACAAGGACAGCGACTGGAACCTGGATTACCTCAAGGTGCTGCAGCTGTGGCGGGGAGGTTGCATCATCAAGGCCGAGCACATCGCGGACGTGCTTGAGAAGCTGTACTCGCGGAAGGACCACGACAAGGAAGATATCCTGGGCAACCCCGAAGTCGGTCACGAGCTGGCGAAGCACTTCCCTGCCATCAAGAAGGTCGTGCTGAAGGCCATCGAGGCTGATCTGTTCGTCCCCTCGATCAGCCAGACCCTGGAGTACTACAAATACGAGACATCGACTGGACTGCCCACGCAGTTCATGGAGGCGCAGCTGGATTACTTTGGCCAGCACATGTTCGACAAGAAGGACGATCCGGACCACGGGCCTGAGAAGGGCAAGCACCACTACGAGTGGAAGCGGGCCACGGGCTCCTCGGATAAATGAGTAGCGAGAGAGCTCTAGGAAGCAGGGGCTGGGTTGATAGGGTTGAGGTCGTCGCGACTTTCTGTAGACTAACACTCTAGATATAACAACGTGATATCTTAGCTTAGAGAGCCATCTCGAATTCCGTTCGGTGGCAATCTCACGGCTGAACTTCATTCATATTTCTTCCTCAACTTAAGTACCACTGTGGCCGAAGCGAAACCTACACTGCGCCACCTATCTCAGATGAGTCAATTGCAATGCCTATTGCAAGAAACGCTTCGCCCTCAGAGATCCAAAAATCAACAGTCACCAGCCAGCAGCTACTGCTCGTTCCTCCACAGAATGTTGATGTCTATCACGCGGACGTTGCTCAGGTTCCTCGGGTTCCTCAGGCACCGCCTCGACCGGACCATCCCAGGGGCCCCCGAATGCGATCAGCGCGATGCGCTTTTGCTCGAGAAGCTTACCCTGGACGTGATCCTGATGATATTGGACCTCCTCGAGCCAGAGCACCACATGGTCCTCGCGGTGGCGTGCAAGACCTTCCATGGAATCCTGTACGAATCAGCCAAGGCTGCCCTAGTCCAAGACCGCTCCGTCAGGACCGCAGCCTTTCTCCAACTGCTCGAGAAAGACGTCAGCTGGATACGGTACTACTGTCACGACTGCGTGACGCTCCACCCCCTTTCCAGACTGTGGACCAGACGCCCGGGCCGCTTCGCGGAGCCCTGTAGGCCACATGCGGCAACCACTTCCAAGTCCATCGTCCCGTTCAACTTCAGCGACGCCCAGTGCGTTATGAACCAGCACTTCTGGGGAGAGCGACGCGGTCTGCCTGTCTCGTTCCTGTGCTTTCGACAGGAACGCGTCGATGAGGATGTCTGGCGGCTATGGCTGCCGCCAACGCTCGCTTCTTATTCTAAGACCGCGTCGTGGGACGTATACTGGATGCCGAGAATTGTCCGCGACGATTTGCTCTTTGCCGTGGGGCACAAGCTCAGGTACAGGGTCAGACGTGCCTCCGAGCTCGTGGGTTCCAGAGCGGTGCCTACCTTCGACGAGAAATACCACGATATATGCCCACACGTCTCGGCCAAGCGGGCTTGGGGTTCGCTGGAATGGCGAGCTCTCAGTGCCATAGACATCGGCAAGGTTAACGAAGTAACCTCGTACCCTGGCCTTGTGCCCTGAGAGAACCCCGTCGTCGCCCTGTCTCGAGCCCCAGGCCATTGTCCTCTGTGTCTGACGGACTTCGAGACGACCGTCATGTACGAGGGCACCCCGGACTCGGCAACGTCCTCGCGCCAGGTATGGTGCACAGTCTCGATCACGTCGTACCGTCGTTTTGGGAAATGCCGGTCGCCGTTAGATCAGGACTGGAAGCAGCAGACAAAAACTTCATACCGTGACCCCCATCGGTATCGATACGACCCGGGCGGCATGATGGGTCTATATAAGGCGGATGTGGAGGCAACCCCGACGTCCTCGACAAGTCCAAGGGAAAGAGATGGTGTGAAAGCCAATGAAGCAGGCACAGGTCCGAAAATAAATGCGCACGCACCGTCAAGGCTTCACACTATAGCAATGCCGTTGAGAAGAGCAATCGAGAGCTACGGGGAGGAAGCGGGATGTCAGACCTTTCTAACAGCGGCAACTGTCGTTGCCGAGACCATACATCTCGTTGGTGACTCGTATATTTGGCAAAGCACCCGTGAGGCACCCCTTTCTGCAGCACGAGGAGGTCATTGCCGCTAGATATGAGGTACGCCGGGCCGTATTCCTCAACCCAAACTTCCGTGGCGTCGGGCTGCGAGTTGCGGCATGGCGCGATGCTACGCCAGCAGAAATTGGGGGCCGAGGGTGTCAAGTACGGACCTGCAATGCGTGATCAAGGTTATCATAGAGACTGAGTTTCTGACCAGGAGTTCGTCGGCTGGTTTGGTACGGAGGTGCCGGAGCCGGCGCTGGCGGAGAGGGGAGGTAATCTGGTTTGGAGGGTTTGCGGAGTGGGATGAGGATGGAGAAGAGGATGAGCTGTAGTTCCCAATGCTTCTGTCAAAAAGACTCTATCCAGGCGGAATCACAAGCTCAACATCTTCGAAAGGGTAAAGTCAGAGGTAGGTCTTTGCTTATAACCAAATGGTGGCCAACCCGGTTGTGGCCCAACAGCGTCTCTCGGTTTTCACTTGTGGTCATGAACGCCAAACAACTGCACTGCGGATATGATACGACGTATTCCTGAGCTAATATATTATCATATCTTTCTTTGTATTATAAGTCATGGGGTCTCCTCGTTGGCCCGACGCCGCGGCCAAGCTCCCATTGCTTTCTATGTGACAAGACCAGAGTATATGGAGGCCCCAAAGTCTCAAATGCTTTAGTCGTCACCCAGCCGTCCAAAACTCCTGTAAGTGCTCTTCCTGTCATACACATATTTACACAACGCCAGTAATTCCGACTCATACGCATCATAGCTTCTCAACCAGGCGTGAATACCTCAGCATCACCATCTAGAGGTACTATCACAACGGTCTGACGATCGTAGCAGGGTCCGATTTTCGGTGTTTAGTTCGATAAGTTGTCTGCCAACACGGCGAGGCGGACACCGAAGCCGTAGCCGTAGCCATAGGCAGGACATGTGACCCTGTGCATATCGCCAAGTCCATCCAGTTTCGAGCATTTACGCTTTCCGGGACCGGGTTGTCACACCACTGCTCTTCCTGACACCAGTAGCTTTGGCCTGTGCGTTCAAAGTTGCGCCTGCAACCGCATGGGAGTCGGGAAGAGGAGCCTGGGACATGCGACGAAGGGTCTTGCGCGTGCTAGGCGCCTTGTGGTCCTTGCTATATGTGGCAAAGTAGAACGAGATGAATAGGACCAGGTAAGAGGTAAGAGTCCCGATACCAGCAAAGGCGGCGAACTCCTCTCCGGCGCATTGACCGGCGCTTGGCATCGACGGGAAGTAGGTGTTCGAGAAGTAGGTGTAGGACGCAAAGTAGACAAAGCCTATGTAAACCTGTTAGCCACTGTTTTTTCGGTTTGATTTTAATCGCAACGTGGTGCGAGTTGGACGTACCGAGATCGATGACAAACTGGGTAATCTGAAGTCGTGTGATCCATTCCTTCCACCAAATCTTGACTCCCCGGGCGCTTTGGAAGTAGTACCAGTACATGACGACGTGGACAGTCAGGTTCAGTGTGATGACAACCCACGAGACCGAGGTCGATCCGATAAGTTGGGTGTAGCAGAGGAACGCAGTCGCGCCGTGGTGGTAGCAGTGGAGGAAGGCTGGTGTGAAGAAGTCAGTATTCCCAGTCCACGCGTAACAGGCGATGCGCACTTACTCAGCGGCTTCTTCTTCAAGAACAAGAAACAAGTATCCAAGAGCTCAAGGTATTTGGTAAGGTAGTTCAACTGATACCAGTTAGTCCTCCGACGCGACCGTCAAGCATTACGGGCCAGCCCGATACGTACATAGTACAGCACAACCAATGGCTGAGTCCAGCCTCCGTCGCGGTGGCAGATGGCGTAGAAGATGCCGTGGCGAACGACCGTGGGCAACAGCTGTTCGATGAACAGGGCGAGGAGAAGAGCGCTGATGGCGGTAAGGTAGAAGTTGTGGATCAAGAACAGCGTCTTCAGCTTGAAGGGTTCTCGGTTGCGCATCCACGCCCTACCACCCAAGATGATCATATAGTATATGACGATAAAGATGGAGGTCTCCTTCAATGTCGACATGGGTGTCTCGCCGGCGACGAATTTGAAGTCGTCAGCCGGGTAGCCGACGACCAGCTCGAATGCCTTGCTGAAGTACGGCCATAGATGCACGCCAAAGGGTCGGTCGAGGGTCGGGACGGGGAGAGAGTCCCATAGAGCAGCCGGAGCGGACGACGCCATCTTGGTCGAGGCAATTGATGGTCAATTCGATTCAATCCGATTGAGGTTCGCAAGCGGTGCGTAGAGAATCGCGCTGTCGGCTCCGACGAAGTATAGGTGACACAATTGGAAGCAAAAGAAGCTTGTGAAGGAGTGACACGAAGAGAAAGCAGGTTACAAGTCGGGACCCCTACGACTGACTCATGCGCCAACAAGACAGGGCAAAGAGAGAGAGTCACCGAACGGTAAAAGAGAAGAAGGAGAAGAAGAAGAGGCTGATCAATCACCACGATTCGGATCTCGCGATGAAGACGAAGCTGGAGAAAGGAGAGAGAAAGGATAGTCCCGTGCCACGACTCACTAGTAAAAGGGGACAAGGCAGTTTTTCTGTCATCAAATGTCAACGTGCCAAGCATGGGGATCCCTGGCCCGGATCCGATTTCAATCTTGTCGGGCTCCTCGGCACCCGTCGGACGCGCAGCAGGCTCACCCACCGTTTCAGCGTATTCAGCGCACATTCTAGCGCGGATGGGCGCCACGCTGGCAGCTTCGCTACCAAGGCCTGTACCTGTGCCACGAAACGCGTTGCACGTGCCCACGGCGTATTTCCTCCGCTTTCTGGACAGCCAATCAACGGCGGCGCAATGCGTTTCCTTTCGTCGTCTGCAATTTCCAAATTCCAAATTCCCCCATTCACAACGGCTTTCTCTTATCTAGACATGGTGTTGTTTGACAAGTAGGACGCCGGTCTTCTCAACATCTAAAGGTACATACAACCGAGTTCGCGTTTACCCTCAATGCGGTATGCATTCTTGAGCTCAACCTCGGCCAATTTCCTGGTATGGAGTCTTTCCTGCACGTCTCGCTTTCTGGGAAGGTGGAAAAAGGCCGACGGACCCGCGCCCGAGGAGATTGCAGGTGGGATGCCGCCGACCCCACGTTGGATAGGGGAGGTGAGTCCACAGCCAGCTTAACGGTTTGTGTGGCTCAGCTGTGGCTGACCCCATGCCCCTATTTACCAGCCCTCCCTAACCCCTTTTTACACACAGGACGAGCCCGCCCACCCCTCACATACACCATTAGCCCCTTATTCCTTGCCCATCTCACGCCAGAACATATAGTCAAGATTTATAAGGACTACCCATGTTCTTTTCCCATGTGACTGACTCTACACAATTGACGTCACGGTACGGGTGGACGGGCTCATCACCTTACACAGTATACATCAACACCAAGGCTGGGACAGCTGAGGAGGGTTATGTTCAATCCGGATACCATGCGGTAGATGAGGGACGGATCATGAGTATAATACATGTATCTTCTGGTGTCAGGCAGCCTTGTGGGCGTGGTAGCCTTGCAGTCAAGATGTTACCGTCCATATCCCGCTATTGGAAGCACATGACGACGATTGGCCGCAGAAACAGTCGTCATTGATTGGCGACAGCTGTTCCTCTAGTTGCGAGGGCGTCGACCTGGGCTCTCCAGATACAGCTTCCACTCAGCCGTCTAGTCGAGCTGTATACGTCTTACCCATAACCTGGAGACACGAAAACACGTGGAGATACTACCATTGGGTTACAATGTTGGGCTTCCATGAGGCCCATTCACCATAAAAATTCTGCAATTGCTGTCCATTATATGAAACGCCTGAACAAAAGAAAGCAAGTATCAAAACCCCCCCAGACTACCTACTCGCTTCCGTCATCCATACATCCAACAAGCGGGCCCATACAGCGACAACACCATTCCATGCACATATCTCCTAGAAATGCTCGACGCATCTCTCCCATGGACGAGACCATTGAGATAATAGCTCAGCTGGCGTGATACCGTAGCGAGCGGGCTGTCTGTCTGTACCAGTAGAGTCCACTTCTCACGCAACGGGAATGCCCATGGGCTGCCTTTGGGAGTGGGAGGCTAGCATGGGAAGATACAATGTATATCTCTCTCCTGCCACGGCAATCAGCACGGGTCAGTATTCCAGATATCTCGGAGCGACTTACCGCGACAGCCTTGGGATCTGGAATCTTCGTCTCGCCTGTTTTTGTTTCTGTTGCGTTGCAATCCTGCGTTTCATCGCAGTGCATGAACTCGGTGTTCAGCGGGCAATGCGCTTTGAGAGTCCCTGTTTGTTGGGTGTTGAAGAACTCGATGGGATTGTCACTGTCGCCGCCGTACGTGAATACGACGGAAGATGAATTCCTAATTCCAATCTCCATGCTGACATCGTCGTCGAGGTTACCCGAGGAGGAGAATCCGCCACCAATTTGGTCATGAATCGAGTCACCAAACGGCTGGAGTGACTGTTCTGTAGCTATGTCGATCTGCGTGCCGTTCGGGAAACTCGTCGCAACCGTTAAGGCATATTTGTCGAATTTTTCAATAGGGTCGTTTTCGTCGACGAGGTTGTGCAGGTATTGGTGTACTTTGATTTGACAATTTCTGTTGGGATCGAGTCCCGGGACGATGTCCACGGGCTTTGAGGCAACGCCCAGGAACACGAAGGCTCCCAGGGATGCCCAGGAGATGATGGGAAAGTACATGTCTGAGAGTATAATCGGGCTTGAGGGTGCGTCGAGAAAAGATAATTTATGTGTAGGCAGGCCTAGAAGAGTGCGATGCTCTCTGGTCTGGCTGAGAGTTGAGAGACACCTGCACAGTCTTTTATATTATTTACTAACGCAAAGGTCATCTGCGCTTCGTCGAGGACGACCTTTTCCAATGCTATCTTTGGACGACGATTGGGAAGACTTCACACGTCCGACCACAGGGCTGTGCTGAGCTCGTGGCTATTTTTCGATAGTCGGCCAAGTGTTCAGCGAAGTGTTCTTGTCCTCGTGGGCAGGGAGACCAGCATGCTGTACGGAGGCACGATCGCTTGCGGAAGGACCCAAGTCTCTAAGTCAGTACATGCAGATTGGTTGTATCTTCTTATTGTAAACAGCCACACAACGAGGCAGTGAGTTCAATAGATCTGCTTTGGGGACATGTGATAAATGGGAAGCAAGGGGAAGCAAGGTAGGGTCGTTGTCAGAAGCGACACAGCCGGGATGTTGCAAAGGCTAAGCTAAGTTCTTACAGTAAATGTGACGGCCTGCACGGACCTTCCCACATGACAAGCCGATACCTCCCAATAAGGGTAGGATCTGACCAGAAGATCCCCTTAAAGGGACAATCTCCTGCTGTACCTATCTTTCTCTCTCTTCCTTTCCTCTCTAGTCTTGATATTCTCATCAATAGAGTAATAGCTGCTTGCTGCAGGCCATGTCCCAGCTCCCCAGTACGCTCGCCGTGACAGTAAACGATTTGTTTTTATTTTTTAAGCTCTTCGACCGAAGGGAGGAGCTAAGTTTAAATACATTAAAAAAAGTAGAGCTTTCGTATTATACGTTAAGTTTATTAAAATAAAACGTTATAAGTTATTTTGATTTATAAAAACCTTATATACGGATAACGTTTATAAGCTTAAGCCGATACGTTATACGCCAAACGGCATGCACGTAAAGCCTCGCTAATAAAGCTAAACCCTACTTAGAATACCTTATTCTTTCCTCTATTTTTTCTTATATATTTAACTTAACGAGATATCGTTAAAGCGTACCGAACGTCGTATTACGTTATACGTTATAGCTTGAAAAAAATCTCTAGCTTTTAAAAGGGGTTTAAAAGTCTATTCTTTAAAGATAAAAAAAATCAAAGCCTTAATTAAAATTGAATTTATAAAAAGTTCGTGTTTACATTATTTAATAACAGCTATAAAACTAATTAAAAAGGCTATTTTTACAGCGACTATTATGTGATGAGCCGTCTAACCTATAAGGCTAAAGGATCTATAGGGTTTATGTTCTGAGGTAAGTCAACACAAAAGGCGATAGAGGCTTCTGTCAACTAGAAGACACTCAAATGCTGGGGCTTGATCTGAACTGGGTTCACTGTGTAGTCGAGTCATCAAGAGATTTCTCCCACCTTAGGGTTAGCTAAGATGCTTAGATTGATCACTGAGGTAGAGACTGTCTATCTGTCTAGCTAGGAATGTCCATCCTTATATATCCAATCTCTCCCTCACTGATGGGGTAGGATCACCTTGTCCCAGAGTGAGGCTCACTGGCTCACTTCGTGATCCAGTGATCCGTCACGTGACCTTGTTATGTAATCCGTAGTACCCATTGTTTCGTTCCTGGCTTCTGCTTCCATTGATTGTTGGTGTACTTCCCTTGGCCCCCCAACAGGCTGTGGCATTTGTTGGTTTGTAACATATTATAACGATAAATGAATAAAAAACGATAGCTTTGTTTTTTATTAAAGTAAAGATTTTGAACTCTGTTAAACTTCTTTAACGACTTGAAGTTATAATAATTAAAATTAAAATAAACAATAGTTATAAAAACGTTAAAATATAATTAAAATACCTTAAAGCTAATAAAAAACTACGCTTTATAACGAAATATATCGAAAATATTTAGCTATAACTCCAAAATAAATAAATAAGCTGATTTAAAAAGCGTAACTAAAGTCAGACAAAAAGCAACGCAAAGCAACTAGGTCGGAAAAACATAAAGCGGACAAGGTTAATAGTTGGTTATTAATCTATTAAATAAAGAATCCATCCCGTAAATATAAAGTCTCAAATACAGTTTAAGGTCGTGCCGGGCCGGTTCTTATAATAGACATCTCATCTAGGTTCCTAACTTGATTAATTAGGTGTGTCATATTACAATGCGTTAAGCACACACTCTTGCCAAAAACAACTATTTTTCTTGGCGCCCCGCTGTTAGGGCGCAACCTCTATATCTGCACTAAAGCAGGCATTTGTCTTAGTACCTGACTATCCTTGCCAAGGCGCAAAAATTTTTTCTCACAAGCTGGATGGCACCCTTTCACGACAGGCCCCCAAACACGCCAGTGGCCGTCCCAAAGACGACTACTGGCGGCGTATTCAAATCCCCAGTCCCTAAAAGAACACATGACCCGGCAACCCCAAGCAGGCTCCGCCAGGCACTGCTCGACAACATCAACAGCAGCCCGTCACAGGTCTCTGAGGCTGACTTCACCACTGTTTCCCCTCTGAAAGGAAAATCCCAAAATATCATTAATAACAGCACTATTAATATGGAATTACCTCAGTCAAACGAAATCCCTACAGACCAACCCATTAGAGGTGATGCAGGGAACAAAGTCTCCTCTTCAGAGTGCCAGGACCAAGTTGCCAAAATACTGGCTAAAGACAAGCATCTCTATGAAGCCAGGATGACAATGTTTCAAAAGTGTGCTACAATAGTCGATAAGATACTTAAGAAAGCTGGAACCGAATTATACTCTCATGCCAAGGAGTTCAGCACTTTCTTCTCCAAATGTCTGAATGAGTGGCTGGAAACCCGAGATCTGACCACAAGAAAGGCCACTTCTGGGGGGATAGAAATAGGGAAGCCCACTATGACCTTTGCCCAAGCTGTCTCCTCTGGCCAACGACAGCATCCATGGATAGTCAACACTACCATAAAGAAAACACAGCCTAGTGCCCTCATCACTATCAACCAATTGAAGAGGAAGCAGGATGATCTCCGGGTCTTTGTCCGCATGGATAATAGCCACCTTGAGCCTTATGGAATCAAGTCTACACTAAACAGAAGACTTAAGCTCCACTCTCAGGAGCTTAGAGAAGTGACACGTTGTCCTTCTGGTTTTACCTTACACCCAAGGGACAAGCCAACTCAGGCTAAGCTTCTGGCTTCCCAAAAAGAAATTGCCGACATTCTCAAGGCACAAAAGATTGAGACCCACACAGTCTGGCATCATTACAAGGTCGATGGATGCCCAAGAAAGGTCATCAGTGCAGAAGGGTTCACAATCGATATTACCGACACTGCTGTTGTTGATGAAGTTGAAGCTCAAACAGGCAACAGACCTTTGAGGTGCATATTCTCAAAGAACACGATTAATTCTGATCCAGAAACCACGTGGATAATCTCTCTGCCCAGTGCAGTAAAGAAACCATTCACGCCTTTTGCCCACTCAATGACCTCAAGGCATATTCAATACACCCCCAAGGTTCATCAGTATACAAGCTGCTTCAGATACCATGGTAGAAATTACCGATGCGAAAAGCGAGTATGTGCACACTGCGCCAACACAGTACACCAGGGAGAGTGTAAAAAACCAATCCCAAAATGTGTCAACTGCAAAGGACCTCGTGCTGCCGACTTCAATAAATGCCCTGCTCGCCCCAAGGTTGTGAAAGGTACCATCTATAAGCACACATGGGAGCAAATCCAAGAAATAAGGCTAGCCGGAGAAAGAGCCAAATCCAAGGCCCTCAATGAAGTAGTCAAAAACCAAGCTAGGCCAATACCCAGCAATAATAATAAGGACATTACAATACAAATCGACACAACAGATACAACTCATCCCAGAGATGCCGATACCATTATTGTCAGTCAATGTTAGGTACACTAAACGAAACACATCGACACGGGCATCTAGTCATCCATTCTGTGAACACAGCAGGAGGACAAAAGAGTGCAGGCCCTACAGAGTTAGCCATTAACCTGGCTGACTACAAAGGAAAACAAGCAGACATCATCCTGATGCAAGAGCCCTGGGTTGGCATCCCACTAGGCAGGAGAATGGGAGTAAAGACACATCCCAATTATAATATATACTCCCCAGTGGATTCCTGGGACAGCGATAGTACACGGCCCAGATCTCTCATCTATGTGAGAAAACACCTTCAAGCGGATCAACTTCGGCCCTATGCTACACGAGACATCACCTGGGTCAAGGTACAAGGCATTATATTTGCCAGTGTCTACCGGCCTTGTGTTTTATTTGTTTGTTTTGTATTTAACGTGGGGGGTAGCTCCTCAGTAGTGCAGACCACGCCTCCCAGAGCCTCTGCATCGCAGGGTTGTGGAGGTCTCAAGAAAATAAGTACAGTCAGTCCCGCTCACGGGCCCATCCCCGTTGTTGCAGCGGTATGACCTTGGGGTCATCCATCTGGTCCTTCAAGAATAGCTATCTATCGGAGACAGATTGTTAAAAAGAACTTGCTCTTCTCCACGAATTTTGCCCATTCTGTGCTCCTCTCCCCTAAGTATTGTAAACAGGCTGTCCTAGGCGAGTACCTAGGTAACAACCGATTTTTTCCTAGCCTCTTACAAAAGAAAATATATTGTGGTGTTTTCTTTTCACCACAACTGCAGTGGTTGTTCGAGTCTGTATGCCCAAAGCGTTTGTGGTATCTGGCAAAGTCGCCATGTCCAGATCTGGCCGCTAAAAGTCTGTGTAGAGTGCTCCTCTTAAAGGATATAAGGCCTCTTTCAGTTACTGTATGTGAGTATACTTCTTGATATCTAGGTTCTGATTGGTCTTTCCACCATTGGTTGAACTCTTTCTTGCCCTTTTTTTTGAGATCTCTCTTGACCTAAGAGATTATAGGAAGGTTTGTCGTGTCTGTTTCTAGCATAGCACCCTCTTTTGCTAATATATCGGCAGCTTCGTTACCATCAATATCTCTGTGTCCAGGAATCCACTTGACGGTCACTCCAGGAGTATGTGCTGTGGCAAGTTCTTGAAATCGTAGAAAAATATTCTGTGATGTCTCGGGTGGAGTCCCATTGAGCCCATTTATTACTGACGTGTTGTCCAGGCAGACATATAGCTGTTTTCTGTGTCCAATTGCCCTGGCTGCTGCAAGACCTTGGAGAGCACCATGGACTTCAGCATCCACTACTTCTGCTTGTAGAAGTCTGCCCCTTCCCCGGTATACCGGCCTTGTGACAACCCACAAGAAGTGGATGACATTCTGGAAGTATGGACTCCACCTTTTGGCTGCGTTATAGCTGGAGATTTCAATGCTGGCGATATATCCTGGGACTCAAGCAATCCAGGATATCATGGTGGTGTCATACTTGCACAGACTATGGCAGATCATGGACTGGATCTGATTTCTGAACCAGATGTTCCAACACATGATGACGGAGATGGTACTAGATCTGGTGTTCTCAGATGTCCCCATGGCTGAAGCCTCAGTCAATGATGCACTTCAGTGCACCTCAGATCATAAGATATTACGAATAGTCATTCCAATTCAGGGAGATCTGGACCGAGTCTCTAAGGCCAATTACTGGATAGTACCAGATAACAAACTACAAGAGCTGGCAGATAATGTCCAAACCAGGATCCATGAACTCCCCCGGCTGGGTGTATCCCCTGGCCAGGTGGATGCATTTACACAAAGCTTGATCAACATGATCCAAGGCTGTATCAGGACAGTGGGCAAGAAGCCCCGACAATCTAGGCCCACTACTTAGTGGAATGATGACTACAAATCAGCTATTCAGACATACAGAGTCCTTTCCAAACAGACTACAAGTCAAGAAGGGCGGAATTCAGCCCGACAGGAATTTTATTGCGTGGTTCGCAAAGCTAAGAGAGAGTACTGGCAGACTCTAATTAATTCAGCAACTGAGCCAAAGGACCTATACAGAATCGTCTCTTGGCACAAGTTATCAGCAGGACTGCGTTCCCCTCTAATCATAATAAGAGACCAAATATTCGAATTACAAGAGAGCAAGGCAAATGCACTACGCTCAGCCATGCTTGAACGAAGTACCTCAGATAACGATATCATTGACCCCTGGTCTACGCAGATCATACAACCTAAGCCATACATCCCCCTTGAATACCATGTCGGACTAGAAGAGGCTGAAGGGTGCACTCTAGGAACCAAGAGCAACTCCCCGGGAATAGACACCCTCACAGTACGGATTCTGAAAGCTTGCTGGCTAGTCATTGGTGAACATATCAGAGCCCTTTTCCAGACCTGCCTACAGATTGGACACCACCCTAAATCATTCAAAGCAGCTGAAGTGGTGATGATCCCAAAACCAGGAAAGAAAGACTACTCCAATCCCAGGGCCTACAGACCAATATCGCTACTGTCATGTCTTGGCAAAGGCCTAGAACGACTCATTGCGAAAAGAATTACCTGATTTGTTGTCAAACTTGGAATTCTAGCTCCATAACATTTTGGAGCTCTACCAAAGCGCTCTGCCACTGACCTGGTAGCTGCACTCATACATGATATTGAGCAGGCCCTTGACCAAGGCCTCGTTGCAACAGTAGTCACGTCAGATGTGAAAGGGGCCTTTGATGCTGCCCTAAAGGGACGACTGGTGGTTCGCATAAGAGAACAGGGCTGGCCAGGCTTTCTTATAAGATGGGTCCAGTCATTCATGTCCGAGCGGTCCGCAAGAGTTTGGTTTGAAGGTATTATGACCGATATAAAAGCTCTCACTTATGGGCTACCACAAGGCTCACCAGCCTCTCCAATCCTTTATATGCTGTATACCGAGCCAATCTGTGCCCAATTTGGCATGAAAAAAAGATGCTTTAGATATGCAGACAACCTAGCAACTCTCTATATTAGAAAGAACCTTAAAGAAATAGCTACAGAGACTTCTAAAAATCTTCATTTGTTCAACCAATAGGGACATAATAATGCTATTGAGTTTGACACCGACAAAACCGAGATCATGCATTTCTCGCGGAAAAAGAACTCAGACAACCCTCCAGTCCGCCACAGGACAATAATCAAAATAGCTAAGCATTCTATGCGATGGCTAGGTGTCCTTCTGGATAGAAAACTAAACTTCAAAGTTCATGTTTCTCACTGGGCCAAGAAAGCTAGTAGGGTAGCAAATCACCTTCGAGGACTATGCAACATAGTCAAGGGACTCCCAGTAAAATCAACCAAGAGGGCTGTGAAAGCTTGTGTTATTCCTATTCTTACACACGGCCTAGAGACCTGGTACCCAGGAATCGAAAAAATCAGGAGCTCAGGTGAGACATCAGCATGTCACATTAAGGGGCTTCTTGGGACAATAGATGCTGTATTACGAACGGCGATCAGGGCTATCTTGCCAGTCTGGAAAACACACCCTGGGCATATCCTACATTTTGAATCGCAGATTCTCCCAGCTGGCGTTCTTGCAGAGTCAATACGACGACGTCACGGCCTCCGACTAGGACGAATAGACCAGAGACACCCTCTTGTTGGCAGGCTCCAAATACAAGCCCGCAAGGATCCAACAAGGCTACAAAAGAGCTTCCAGCTAGTCCCTGACTTCCAGAGACCAACACTTACCAGGCTATCATGGAAGAAGCCCCCAGTCCGCAAAGACAAAGACAAAGAAATAAAGCTCTTCAAGCAATGATTACAGGAGAGAAATTTGAACACTGACCTTGTCATCTACTCAGATGGATCACAATTGGTTGACCAAGGTACAACCCGCACTGGATGGGGTTACACCATCAGGAAAGGCAACACTACTCAAGAAGTATACCGGGGAAAGGGTAGACTTCTACAAGCAGAAGTAGTAGATACTGAAGTCCATGGTGCTCTTCAAGGTCTTGCAGCAACCAGGGCAATTGGACACAGAAAACAGCTATATGTCTGCCTGGACAACACGTCAGTGGTAGATGGGCTCAATGGGACTCCACCCGAGACATCACAGAATATTTTTTTACGATTTTAAGAACTTGCCACAGCACACACTCCTAGAGTGACTGTCAAGTGGATTCCTGGACACAGAGATATTGATGGCAATGAAGCTGCCGACACATTAATAAAAGAGGGTGCCATGCTAAAAACAGACATAACAAGCCTTCCCATAATCTCTTAGGTTAAGAGAGATCTCAAAAAAAAGAGCAAAAAAGAGTTCAACCAATGGTAGAAAGACCAATCAGAATCTAAGTATCAAGAAGTATACTCACACACAGTAATTGAAAGAGACCTTATATCCTTTAAGAGGAGCACTCTACACAGACTTTTAGCGGCCAGATCTGGACATGGCGACTTTGCCAGATACCACAAACGCTTTGGGCATACAGACTCGAACAACCACTACAGTTGTGGTGAAAAGAAAACACCACAATATATTTTCTTTTGTAAGAGGCTAGGAAAAAATCGGTTGTTACCTAGGTACTCGCCTAGGACAGCCTGTTTACAATACTTAGGGGAGAGGAACACAGAATGGGCAAAATTTGTGGAAAAGAGCAAGTTCTTTTTAACAATCTGTCCCCGATAGATAGTTTTTCTTGAAGGACCAGATGGATGACCCCAAGGTCATACCGCTGCAACAACGGGGATGGGCCCGTGAGCGGGACTGACTGTACTTATTATCTTAAGACCTCCACAACCCTGCGATGCAGAGGCTCTGGGAGGCGTGGTTTGCACTACTGAGGAGCTACCCCCCACGTCAAATACAAAACAAACAAACAAACAAACAAACATACAATGCGTTAAGGCTAAGCTCTTATGCAACGACATAGGAAGCGGATATGCGGTTGCACGTCGATCGTATGGATTACCGACTGAATGGTTCCGCATAGCCATCCTAGCTGTTGGTAGTTAGGCACACTGTTACTAAATATAGGCTACGAGCTTAGAGTGGCTCTTACAGGGACGGTTTATTTTGGTCATTAAGCTCTTCGACCGCAAGGGAAGACCCAAAGCCAAATACTAAATGCCACAAATTATCTCAATCTACTAAAACCTCAACCATGGCATCCACAGGCTTAGACCGTCAATATCTGCTACTTACTGAAAGCCTATGACTGTGGATGGCCGAGGCTTATCATGACTTTATGATATTTGCTCTTATACATTGTTCATTTCAATGGAGAAAGGAAGATGTCTTGTAGTCTCACCCCATGAGCGCTGAATTTAGCTGTGACACGACGTGAATAGTATTGGCAGTAGATGGTTTGTCCTTAGTACTCATGTAAAATGTCTACATGTTCCCAGAACCCGAAGAAGTGGAAGCATGCATTAACATATGATTACTAGTATTCCATCTTCCACAAACTGTACCCCCTAGACTAACTACAACCATCAATCAGTCCAACGCCAACTCAGAGCCCCTAGACATGCCAGCCCGAGGACTTCTACCCATTGAATCCCCATAGAATAGCAAAGAGAAAAAGATAGCAGCCATAGACAATGTCAATGCACATCCTGTATCGCGAGATGTCCAGTCAAAGAGCCAAAGCATACGCCTGCGAATGGGCGAGTACCACATGGACCTCAAGAACACCTTCCCCACGCAGTAGAATGCACAAGGTAGCTGTCTGCTCGTGTATGTTAACACGGGAAAATGCATTGCACATCCCTCTCCTAACAACAACGTCAGTATAGCATATACTAGCTGATAAACGGAGGCACTTACAGCGAGAGCCACAGGATCGAGAGTTTTAAAGACACCTGGTTCTGTAGCGTTGCAATCATGCCCGATACCGCAGTAAGCAAACTCGGTATTTAGGGGACAATGGGCGTTGAGGTCTCCGGTGTTCTGATCGCTGAAAAATCGAAGGCCACTGAACTCCAAAAAGACAGTCGATCTGTTCTCATTGGAAATGGTCATGATGTCACGATTGGCGCCGAATTCCCCAGTTTCGAAGATGCGGTTAGTGTCATCGAGAATAGCGTCAAAGAACTGGAGTTCACGAAAAGTAGCTTGAACGATCTGCGTGCCATTTAAGAACTTCGGATTTGTCGTGATGGCGAAGAAATCTTGTCCCTCGGTGATATTATGCAAGTATATGTGTATGTCGACTTGACAATTTCTATTCGGGTCGACTTTCGGATCCGTATTGACGTTTGATAAGGCAGCGTCTGAGACCACGGAAGCCCCAAGAAGGAAGTAGAAAGGCCCGAGAAGTAACATCGCGATGCCGCTGACACGATTACTGCTTGACAGATGGAGGAAAATAGGATGGAGCGGTATAGGGGTTGGTTCAGACTCAATGAGAGGCTGTCTAGTCTGAAAGAGACTCAGCGGCAGCGTTCCTTTTATATTAGGAATTAGAAAAGTTGGGATTCTCTACGTTGCCTCACTCGAGGGAGGGGAGGACATTGCTGGATGCTAAATTCAGAACCCTCGATGAATGCATGGGGGTTCCAGTAAGTAGCACAGCCATGTGATACCATCATGCATCAAGGAAACAAGGTCATGTCGAGCAGATTTGCCTAGCAATGAGGGTAAAGTTAGCCAAGGGTTTGGTCACATGGGTGGACCTAGACTGTGGTCCTAAGCCAACACATGCCGTCTGTCTGGTGGCTTGGACTCGATGAGCCTAGCCTATAAAAGCGAGAAGGTGAGTCGAGCCGATGTGATTTGAAGACCGCGTTGGAGTATCAGAGCCGGAAGCAACACATCCGGGCTCTGGTAATGCTTGTCATGTCTGCAAAACGCATTTGAGCGCGCAGCCGATTGATGGACTTGCAAGGTATTGGGGCTCAGATGGCCATACCATGGAAATAGCATCCAGTATGCGGTGGGACGTCGAGCGTGGCTGGATTACCGACTGAACGGTTCGGCATAGCCATCCTAGCTGTTGGAGGCCAGACACAACCACTAAATATAGGCTACGGGCTCAGACTGGTTCTGGATGAGAAGTGTATGCCACCAGATACTCCGAGAGTACGTATGTGTATGACTTTGACTCGAAATGGACTTGTTCCATATCGTCGCTGACCCCTTACATGCCAAATCGCTAGCGGGCTCCGCCTGTTGTTATTATTACATGCTCTTTCCGTCGACACCAACTCGTGGCTCAGCCTGACGCACACAATAGAGTGGTGGCAGCGCTTGGGTGGTGTTCGTTCAATGTAGGAGTGTGGTGAGAAGCAGAACCGACGACAAGGGTGAGCCATACGTACCCGCGCACCCTCAAGCTGCGGTGTCAGGCAAGATGATGGTCGGATGGAGTGATTTTAAAATACTGAAATATCGAACGTCTTGCACCAGCACTACCCCATGTACAGAAGAGAATACTTAGGAGACTCTCACGTGGAGTGTGTCGAATGACGTTGGCTAGCTTCAGGAGCTTGGAGCTCGGACCAGGATGAAGCTGAGCGTTCCTTCCTCACCCGACTCTTGGTATTCAGCCCCACACATGTGGCCCAGGGACCAATCACGGCCCCGTGCTTTGTGAGCGACTTCCCTCCTCCTGCCACGATCATTCGATTCAGAAATTTGTTAGGATTTGCTAACAAAACGAACAAAACCTCGAGCTACACCCACCACTCGCCTCGACCCGACTCACGACAAGACCCTCTCCCCTCTCCCTTCACATACCACTCAATTCGCTATGTCTTCGACCTCTCTTCTGCGAATTGCCGCCCGCGGTCCCTCCAGGACCTTCTTCCGCGCAAACCGACCCGTCGCTCCCACCCGGTCCAGTGCGTCTTTCGTTCCGGGCCTGGTCGCCGGCTCCAGCCTCAACTTCAGCACCACCGTCGCCCGACAAAGCAACGAGCCCGAAGAGACCTTCGAGGAGTTCTCTGCCAGGTAAGCGCGACACCTCTGCAGCGAGCACACGTCGAGACGGATTGAGCTGTGTCCATGTGGGAGCTCAGGAGAAGCTGTGGATCAGATCGGCGCGAGTCGTACGGTGTTGGCCGTCGGGACTCATCCACGAAGCTTCGACACGACTCAATTGCTTTCGGGGATGTGCATGCAGGTCAATTGGATGCTAACGGGGGCTTTTCAACAGATACGAGAAGGAGTTCGATGGTGTGCAAGATGTCTTCGAGCTGCAGGTTCGTGTTTAGCCCGTCCGCCCGGACCCTCTTCCACCACAGCTACACTACGGGCTACGTGACATCTCCGACCGCGCCCGGGATATTAGACAGCTCCGTGCAAATTGACCGACTAACATGGCACCACAACAACAGCGCAACTTGAACAACGCCTTCGCCTACGATCTTGTCCCTTCGCCTACCGTCCTCCAGGCCGCTCTCAAGGCCGCGAGAAGAGTCAACGACTACCCGACGGCAGTGCGCATCTTCGAGGGCGTCAAGGCCAAGGTTGAGAACAAGGGCCAGTACCAGCAGTACCTCGACGAGCTGAAGCCCCTGCGGGAGGAGTTCGGCGTCGTGCTGAAGGAGGACATGTACCCGGAAGAAGCCACCAAATAGATGTTCCTCCACCACCACCAACAACCACAGCTCTCCGGTAATTTGGGTATCTCAGCAAAGCAGGCAAGAGTGGGTAATCCCCGAACTGTGGTTATAATGGACGGAATTGGGAGGAGCAGTCTTTCTGGGACTACGGTGATGGCGGGAGAACGGGTGTGTCCCTTCGATGCCACCACAACTTGTATATGTCTACTACCTTATTACCATTAGAAACAAGTTCTCGATGGGCAGGAATACAGGCGCGGCGGCGGCAGCAGCATGGATTGAAGATAGAGCCGAGGCAACCAGTTTCCTTTGTCGTGTAAAGCATTCAATCGACGCATAACTCGAGCCTTGCCAGTTTCGCCATACTGCGACGCGATAGCCCTTGTGCAAGGTGAATTTCATGCACAAACGTCGAGACAGTATATTCCGAGGAGCCCTTCGGAAGGGGCGCCAAGAACAAGTCAACATTCCTCTATACGAACCATTGGAACGAAATATACTGCAAGGAGTAATGGCGAGCCACCGCCGACCAAGGCCTGTGTACGGAGAAGCTGGTACTTTTCATCCAGAACGATGAGAACCCAAAGGCCTCTCACGAGCCACTCCGGGTCCGGAGCCGGACCGCGGCTATAGTGAGGGTCGAAGAGACAGCATGCTCCAGACTCGGCTTGCGTCTCACGCGAAAGACCTGTCATACTAAGCGTCAAGCTCGCCATCCGTCATTGGATACTACCAGGTGACCATTTTCAGACAGCGCAATCATGGACTCGCAGGTATCTGACATCCCAGCTCGAACACCATGAATTTTATTTATCCGGGACGATTGTTGATTTCGCAGACTATAACGGTGTCCGGATACTGCCATGTAGGGATAAGATAGCGTGGATGAGGTAAAGCAATTGATCTCCAGCTGTCTGAGATGAGACTCTCGTTAAAGGCGCATCTGCCATTACCACAACCCATCATCACAGGCCGACAATGGTGTCGGACTGTGCCATCACAGAAGCTACAGACGACCATTCACACCCGGTCAAGCAACACTCACGCGTACTTCACCTCAACCCACCAACGACCGACCCATCCATTCCATCTTCACTCTATCACCATCTCCCTCCGCCCTCCGCCCCTATTTATCCGCCGGATCCAGCGGCTTCTGCCCCTGCTCCTCAACCGCGCGCCGCTTCTCGCCCCCGCTCTTGTCCGGGTCCTGCTTGAACGCCGCCTGCGCATCCGTGTCCTCCTCGCTATGCTGCCCACCGGTCGCCTCGCTGGGCTTGCTGACCGGCGTCGCCACGCTGGCCGAGTCGGGCGACGAGGCGGCGCCGCTCGCCCGGCCCTTCCTGACCTGCTGCTGCTCGGCTGATGCGCTGCCCGGGTTCGATCCGACGTTGGACGCGGTGCCGGGGGAGGCTTGACCTTGGGTTGCTTGGGCGGTTTTGGAGGCGAAGGGGCGGTGGGGGACTGGGGCGGGTTTGGGTTAGTTGTTTGGTCTGGTGGTTGGGCTGGGTGTGTTGGGAAGAGGGAGTGCGGGAGTCCGGGTGTGTATGGTGAGCGGATTGCTGGGCTGTTGCTTACATGCTATTGTTGTGCTGCTGCGGAGGACGGCGGTTGCTCGCGGGACTGCCGCTGCGCGAGTGTATCTAGACTTGAAGAATACCATGGTTGCGTCGATTGGTCAATTGCTTAGGTAGGTAGGTGGTGTCTTGGATGAGGTCGAAAGTCAAGGTACGTTGAAAACCCACAGTAAGGTACGAATGTCCCTCGTAGCCGGGTAGAGGCTGGCAGGGTGAATGTACCTACTTTACCATGTATGACGTGTTTATGATGCTGGCCATATCGGACCTTGGGATGTAACGAACGGGCGTAACAGCCCGCTGGGTATGACGACTTGTTTACCTGGAATAGCAGTCTTCTACTTGCAGGATGCGTTAAATAAAAATTACTGGAATGGTTACCAACGTGTTGTTGAGACTTGATCCCGCAATGTGTACAGCTATCACCAACCCGTCTACAGCCTCTTGGCCCTCACTCATACTTGGATTTCGCGCTCTGGCAAACCATGCTACAAGATAGCAGGCCTATTCAATCAAACCAGAGAGCTAGCTACATTGCTTCCACATACACCGTATCTCGATATTTGACATGTCTCAATGGCAGGAGGTTCTATCTGAGAGACCTCGTCTCGCTTTGAGTCTCCCATGAGTGTAGCAACGTAGGCAGCTATGCAAAGCTCAACAAGGGGGTTACCAATTCCATGAGCAATTATCGGCCACCCTCCCGTATTCGTTGGGTATTTACAGCTAGTATTTCGATGAATACCTGTCTTCCACCGACGGTCTTCACCTTGAGCTATTTACAACGACATCAGCAATACGGCAAAGGACAATCACAAGTAACCCTTCTTACTGGTACGACCCGCTGGGGAATTGGACACGTACGTCTCCCGAAAGCTCGAGCTAAAGGATGTTACGACCATCGGGGGATCCATTAGGCATGTGTCATCGGGTGTTTCTCATCGATCGCTTCATGGCTTGTTCATATTGCTGGGCTACCAGTGTGAGCACGTCACCCTTCCTAGTCGAGGCCAGCCCCAACGAGCCGCTCCAAGACGGATCAGACGATCTCCACGGCGCCACCAAAGGTGATGGTCTGAATGTTGGGAAAGTACCTCGGGAGTCAGGACGATCGTCAGGGGCTACGAAAGCCGTCAAATCCTGCGCCACCTATCTGAAAAACCGTAACAGCCTCACAAGGATCGGGTTCCCTTGAACCCCTGACAGGAGGATGGTAAGGAGGGAACCGATGACGTGCATTCTAGGCAGCGAAAGGTGTGGGACGTCCCGGGCTCGCAAGATCTGGATATCTGTTTAGAGCCGCCGGCGCATGCTGCAGTGCCACACGAATGAGGCGATTGTCCGCACGGTTATGAGCCTCCTGGCACTGATGGCCTGCGACAGCTAGCTTGTTGGAGGTGACCGACGAGGCGGAAAAGGCAATGGTGGACGAGCTTAGAGTTCCATCTCGGTTCTCCCAAGGGTTCTGCGAGGGCTTGGTCCGGGCCCACGAGAGTCTGGACATCATCTGCTTCTCGAAAGGGTCCGTCGAAGGTACACCAGACATGGATGACATGACAGCGAGGGGTACGGCAGAGAACCATGGGGAGAACATACCAACCGACAACTGCCTCACTTCCTGGTGGAATCTCGACACGAAGCTAAGCATCCAAGACTCGATCGATATGCAGGGTGCTGGCGGCGGCACTGCGCAGGGCTCATGGTGGATGCGTATCAATCATTCCACTGATCCCGCTTACGATCACTGTGGGAGGACTTTCCTGTGAGATGCAGCGTTTCGGGAGCTCCTTATACTCGATAACTTAGTGGACGCCGAGACTTGGTTCTCGAATAACAATGCGTTTGTATCATGCTGATATTGCTCAGGGTCGGCGTTCAAGCTTCATCACAGAGTATCACGAACGGTTTTGCACCGTGTGTCTCAGATGCTTCGTGTTTTCTCTTGAGCCCCGCGACAAGCTGTATGAAGCAGTCTGTGCCCCTCCGACAGACGGCAAAGCTAAGCGCGAACGCGTGAAACCTCGGAGGATTAGACACGCCTAGTCCATCTCGCATAATGCCTATCATAGCTAGGTATACATGTCACGGCACATTCCGGGATGCCCAGAGACTCATCAGGGGTAACCACATTGTCAGTGTTCAATCGCTTGCTCGCAAGGCACCTCCGTTATCACTGTACAACGAGAAAGAGCCAAACATAAAGTATCGTAACCAGCAATGGCCTGTCGTTGATGGGGTAATGATAGCGAACACAAGTCTACAAACTCCACCGTGGTCCACGAATCCTGGCTGGCCCATATGCCTAACCGTGGCCCTTGTCCGCGAGATTGGGGTATTGCCAATAGAGAGGTCTATGAAGATACATACCGGAATCATACTATAGCAGAAGTAACTAATCCAGATGTAAAGTTGATAAACCACCCGGGGCTTGCTCAAATCACGGCAAATCAAATTCTTTTTTTTTTGGGCGGCCTGACACTGAAGCGCTTTTCGATGTCTGTCGACGCCTTGCGGCCACCACGCAGCCACTCAGGGGTGATAGGTACACACCTAAAACCTCGAGTCTCTCAAGTGCGCAAATCGGTTAATCCCGGCAGACTGGTTGAATACCGGTGTGCTAGGGGTCGAGCTTCCTCCAGAGCCATCAAACCCTCCCATAGCCGGTGCAGGACTAGTGCCTCGACTGCTGGCTCCTCGCGTGCCACCTGCATTCCGCGGGCTCATGACACCATAAAGGGCATTTAGTCTTGGGCTGCCCGGTACACTAGACTGGCGCGTCCCCCTTCGTCCGTTCCTGGCTGATTTGAGATCTTCCTTGACTCGGCTCAGTTCCGCTTCCCGCTCACGGACGATCATCTTCTGCTCCCCGAGCATGCGCGTAAGTTCCTTGACGTCATTTGCGGCTTGGGCCTTGTTGATGGTGACGATATTTTCATCAGCCTTGCGCTGGAGCTCTTCGATTTGCCGTTCACAGTCTCGGTTCTCCATGGATAGTTCCGTAGCTCGCTGAGATGATTGCTGGTATAAGTGCCTGGCGTACTCGGCATCCTTCTGCGTGGTAGCTACCTTCTTCTCCAGTTGTTCAACCTTGGTCGTGGCCTCGTCGAGGTCCTTCTGGAGTTGCATCATTCTGACATGTTCGGGATTGGAAGAGTTGAGAAGTAACTCGGTGGCTTCCGACAGTTTTCTCTGAACCTCCGCATGCTTCTCTTCCAGCTTACCGTTTTCCGTCCGGCTAGACTGGAGACTGGCTGTCAGGGCCTTTGCTTCTTCTTTAGCGCTCGTACACTCGGCTTCAAAGATCCCGCGGTCTTTCAAGGCCGCCATGAACTTGGTCTGTATCATGTTGATTGAGGACGCATAGCTGTCAACTTCCGTTTTCGACCGGTCGCTGAGCTGGCGGAACTGCCTTTCGCGTAGCTTACTTTCTGCCATCTCCGCCTGGAGGTTGGCAATCTATGTGAGGTTAGCGCGAAGCCCTGCAGATGCCACGTGTCATAAATAGACTGACTTTCGTCGACAAAGCCTCCATCTTGTCAACTGACACAGTGATAGACGCTATCTCGGAATCTTGAGTGAAGTCGTCCCCTAACAGGCTCTTCAACGAGTCACTAATATAGCTCACATCCGTAACCACTTGCGGCTGGACCATTTTGGGACGCTTGGATAGAATCTCCTCATCATCGTCAACCTAGCCCTTGTGTTAGGTCGTGCATATACTGTAGAAGGACCAAGTTGACTCACGTGAGATCGCTTCCGACTCCCAGGAAGTTTCTCGATTCCAGATCCCGGCATACTAAGCTGAGACAGTTGCGTCTGAGAGCTCGCAGCATGAAAATCTTGGAAGATGTCCTCGTGCAACGGTGGTGGTTCCCAGTAGAACTCATCATCATCGGGTATCTGAATGTGCCTTGCGAAATTGTCCGCGATCGACCAGAGCTTGACGGCATGATCTGGGTCCTCGACATATCGCATAGCATTGACCAAAGCCATCACAAGCACGTTCTTGCGCTCTAATGGTTGCAAGTTTTCTGATATCCGCATGTTGAGATGCTGTATGGAAGCTTCTATGGCGAGCGCCATTATGATAGGAGGACTTGCCTCGTTTCGTGACGATACTAGTTCTTGTCGGAATGTGTGGTCAAAGGCAACCACTGCGTCGACGTCTGTTGGTATCAAATTCGGTTCATCCGCCGTGGAAGAAATGGCGACCGTCAGCGCGTGTCGAGGGGGTGAAACACCAACGACTTCTTGGCCTGCGCGGACGTAGTGATAGCCTCTCGTTTGCACCACGTTGCCGAGGAGATCCATCAACCGTCCGGGGCGGACGAGGATGAGAATCTTCTTTTCGGACCCCATCGAACTCAAAGTGTCCAGCAGTTCCGCGACGAAAGAGAATTTAGGATTGGTGTCGATAACATGTTTTCTTATGTGGTCGGGAGCCATGGCCGAAACGGTATCGAGAAAGGGAGGGAAATCACACATGTCGAAAAGGCGAGAGAACATCTCGTCAAGTTTTGCGATAGTCGTAGCATGTGGTGTCTTATAGGGGGAAACTTGGAACGAAGTACTGTACTCACGAATCAAGTCCTCATCCTTCCGAAGGACGTCGTTGTACTGAGGTCTGCTACTGTTGTGGAACGGGAGAGTGATGAGGTATTCGTTGAGCCCGGTGGGAGCATAAGGCAGCAAACTCTTTGGGTAAGCTGGTGATAGCTCACCGCCGTCGTCCATAGCCAGCGCCTCTGGTATGGGGATGCTAGTTGCGAGGCCATCATTGGTGGGTATTGATGGGCTGACATCCATAGCACCCTCAATTGACAGGGTTAGGGCAGATGGATCCAATGTCGATGGTTGTTCCTCGTGAGTGGCGGTATAGGTGACTTGTGAAGTACCGGTCACTCCCAGTGATAGCTCGTCAGGCGGCAGTGAGCCAGTTGGGGCTGGTGGCACATCACCTGCCAAAGGTTGCAAGCTCATGCGCGGTTCATGTTGTCCCGTTTCGAGGGAGGGCACCACGAATGTTGGTGAGACCAGAGCTGGCACTGGTGCTGGCGATGGCTCGGCTGCTTGCGCTACTTCAGTGTGCACTCGGGCTTGCAGAATGGTAATATTTCCTTGCTTGTTGCCTGACGGTGCATCCTGTTGAGTTGTGGGACTTGCAGAAGCCGGAGTCTCATCGAAAATTGACTTGCTGAACGCGTTCTCCCGTATACGCTTTAATCTCTCCCGCGCCGACAATGGCGCACTCGGCGCCGGCGAGCCGTCCATTCTAGTCGGCGTAACGGGTGGTTCAGTTATTACTGACAGCCGCTTGGTCTTCCGCTGCTGTGGGCTGCTCGGGGAATGCGCGTGATAACCCGATGGCGCGCGTGAGCCCTCGTCCGATAGAATCTCAGAACCTGTGGTATTCGAGTATCTATTGGACGATACTAGCGATTGGCTTGCCAGAAGTGCAGCCTGAGATTCAATCTCGTGAGCGTTCAGAGCGGACAATGAGACCCTCGTGTTCCCATCCAACTCACTCAGGGCTTGACTAGAGTCCTGCGAGTCGGTTTGGGTTGGCGCCTGTCGCGATGCAGTGTTAGGTACGACGTCGTCTTCGTCATAAACTGCAAAGTCGGACTGGCTCTGGGATGCAAGCTCGTGGTGCTCGTGAGACTGGCTGCTCAGGTGTTGGACGATCTGTGCTGCTTGTGAGTTGGAACTGTCCCGTGTTGACCCACTATTCACGAGCAGCGAACTCTGGCTCGCGTAGCTTCTCTGTGAATGCTGCACGTCCGAGCGCGGCTGGAGGGATGCAGGAACCGTATCCTGGGTAGAGACTGAGGGTGATGCCGCTTGGGATGTGGGCGCGACGACGTCCAAGTCAAAGGGCACTTGTGTTAAGAATTGGAGGTTCTCGTTCTGCCCACCACTGCCACTTGACTCTTCAAATTGCGAAGGGTCTGTGGCTGAGGCGCGGCGTCGACCTGCAAACCAAGGCCGCACGTCTAGCTGGTGCGAGGGTATTTCAGAACTCGCATGCGCAGAGGAACCCAACTCTCGAGGTAATCGTGCGCGATGTGCAGCTGAGAAGGTATCTTCTACCGCGTCAGGATTGCTGTGGTGTGCCTCGGACGCCGAGGTGCCAGAAATCTCCTGAGAATCTGGTACAATGCGACGGTCTTTCGGTTTGCGTGGCTGTGGAGATTGCGAAGACTGTTGGCTGAATCGCAGCGGCGATATTACGTGGAATTCTGACGGGTCAAACTGTGTCAATAGTGGTAGCTCAACTATGAACCGCGCTCCCGTCGCTTGTCCAGAAATCCTATCTCTTGGTTCCGACAGCTGCTGCCCGGTCTGCCCAGTCACGGCGTAAGGGCCCGACCCGTCGACTGTGCGTCTTCTCTTCCCCGCGCCTTCTTCGCCGTGTCCAGACGACTTGAGGTAACTGGCCAGAGGCCTATGCTTGGCGCTTCTCTTTCTTCGTCTCCAATTCGGCGCAAGCACCGGATCCGTATCTTGCGTCGATGTTTGCGTCGGAGACCCAGTATCTTGCGCAACGGCGTCCGTACCGCCTGCGGCCTCTTTACTCTTCTTCTCCCTCCAGTCGTTGATTGCAGCGTCGGTCACGTTCTCGGCTGGTTCCCAGGATGGCTCATGTGGGTTGCCGTTCTTATCGGTGCCCTCCCAGTCTATAAGATAATGAATCTTGCCGTCTTGCAGCTTCTCCTCCGGGATATCTCGAAGCAAATAATACTCGTCGGCTGCAGCGGCGGGCTTTCTCGTCTTGCGCTTCTGGGGCTTGGAGGCCGGTTCTCGTTTTCGAGGCTTGCGCTTCCGTTTGTTCGAGGCGTTTGTGCTTGCAGAGTTCATTGACAGCGATGTCCGTCGACGACCTGGGGCGAAACAAAATCCATAATTAGTTTTCCTAGACCCGTCGATGCTCGTCACAGAACGCTGGAAAGAGAGGTTGCGCGACAGAGCTTTCTCTCACCAAGGCGATCGTCCTTCACCATGGGAGGTTCTCTGGGGACAAGAGTGAGCAAATGGTCAAAGCCAATGCGTAACAGCTATTCGCGAGGAAGCTACGTACGGAGACTTGATTCGTAGCTTCCCGGCAATCGCGTGACAGGGATCGGCAGAGCTGTGGCTTGTGTAAGTAGCCCGGTAGCGTGGCTGGTGACGGCACCACTTACAGCGCGTGACCTGTCACTTACACGGTGGCCAAGACGACGCCAAAGAATGTAAGAAGTAACGACACAACTCACGATAAAGTATCAGAAAGAAAAGAGATTGTCCGTGAGTGTAGGAGAGGTAGTATGTCGCTCGATCTTGTGAGATCTATACCGTGAAGTCAGTACAGCCATCAAAGTCAGGTTGGGCGGCTGTGGTGGAAACTTGGTCCGTGATGGGGGAATATGAGGGTAGTCTGGTGAAAAGGTAGCGTGGTCTCAAACCCGAAAGATTTATTTCACTCAAGGCAACATTGAAGTAATAGGTGGTCAATGTCTTTGGCCGAGGAGTCACACGGAAGGGGCGCTTCTGAGGGTGCAAGAAGGTACCTACCTCCTGAGGTACTGATGTGTAAGTCGGCCTTGGTAGAAAGCCCAGGCAGTGATCAAAGTCAATAATGCTGGAAGTTGATGGTATGAGCCATCAAGTATGATAACAAGGAACTCTTTGCAGTGAATCACAGAAGCTGTCCAAACACGTTGAGATGGCCGAGATCAGGTAGAATGAAACTGGGTGGAAAGTCAGATTGAAGAGGTATGCAAACTGCCGCTCGGCAGCAATTGCTCGGCGACTATACAGATATATAGGCCTAAGCGTCAGCTCAAGTCTTGTTGTATTCCTTGAACAGCCTCTTAAAAGGGGCATCAGCATACAAGTCGCCGAAGCGATGAGACTGCGAGGTCTGGTTGAGTTGCAGCTCCCATGCACATTAATCAACCACAATATCTTAACCAATGTGTATCAATACATATCCAGTAAGAGCTCTTTGATGCTCAGGTTCCTACCTCCGGCTGGCAAAAGCCACAACCGGCCTACGTATCTGCTTTGAGTACTCGACAATGGTTAGGCCAGCGGTTCTTAGGTATCCCCCATCGTAACGGTCGAAAGCTCACCACGCTTCGAACTATGGGCAGCTTGCTCAAGCCGGTAGCTATACCTTGTTGAACATGGTGGTAACGGCACAAGAGAGCTTTATCCAGAGCTTTGCTTTCCGCACGTTTCCTTGGTGGCTGCTGACAAAGGAAGACTGGGCGAGTATGTCTTGAGTCGTCGACGAGTTCCGTTGGTCTTGGCCTTTGAGCGGCAACGGATCCTCGTCCTCCGGGAATTGACATCGTCGTGAAATATCAGTGAAATATCACAAGGATGAACTCCGTTATATCTGCAGTGTCATGCTAACTCCGTCATGTCACAGGGGCAGACGATATCTTGGTATCTTCCGCGAAGAATCCTTGCTAGGCTTTAGTGCTTATATGGAATCGGAAGCGAGGGATGACCACCATGTCAGATGGGCCTTCTTGCTGCATCCAGTACATACAGGTGTCCAGGATGGTAATGGTTCAAGTCCCTGTTAAAAACACGCAAGGTTCTGGTTTGTAATTATCTGCAATGTTGTATAGAACTTTACGCCATGGGGACTTCTCGTTGTGTATTATTAGTATATACGGGCCCATAGCCCCAGCATAGGACTGGTCTGGTTCTAATGTCGACACGGTGACGGACCTTGACACATAACTTATCAAGATCGAAGTCACGGCAGGTTTCGCTGCAAATGCCAGCTACACCGCCCATGATCTTCATTATATGGCCATGTCTGGGACCCTCCTCCCTCAAAAGCTATTGTCTGCTGTATTGGACCTGGTCTCTAAGGGTACACTTGTTACCCACCCTGCCACCCTGCCACCCTGAGCTGTTCAACTTCAACCCGGTCTATGGGACCGAGTAAACTTTCAGGTTTATGCAAGCAACAAAAGAGTGGGCGTATTATTGATACTATGACAATCTTGCTTGAAATGGCAGGGCTGTCTTACATCAGTGGCCGAATAGCGGGACTGTACTTTGGATGTCAAGCCCACGTATGGTGTCACTGGAGGCTTGGGTGAGCGGCGCAGTCAGGCCGATCAATCATCCCATGGGTGCCTTGGAAGGAAGCCGGAGATCTGACTTTGTGGTTATGTTTTATCATCCTAATGACATATGGAACATTCGTATATGGATCCACCGTAAGCCATTCACTTCCTACGGCGCCGCAAATCCGGCCCGTGGAATGGGCCATGGCAGAAGCCTGCTGCCTAGGCTGGGCCGAGTGCCAAGAATGTCCCCCCCCTAAACTGCCGCCTAAACTTCCTCCTGAACACCAGAGGAACTTTTTTTTTTGTCCAGGAGGAACTTTTCCTGCCGCTGGGTCTAGGCGTCAGCATTATGTACTCGCAGCCTAGAATTAATTTTCTCGTCTCTTCCTTCAGTACTCTGCGCATAGATTGTCCCACGCACTCTACGATTGCGTTTATGCCTTCATTCACGCAAACCACCAGAATAGTAAATAGTTATGGCAGTGATGGGTACTGGCTACGTAACCTACATCCCATGAATCCATGGCATCGTAGCTTTATCGTTCCATATGACGCCCTACAGCCCTACAAGCTACCAGCTTAGCTAAGGTAGTCTTCTTAATAGAAACACTTAAGAACCTAAGGTAGGTATATATACACGTCTTGCTTGGCACGTAGTGTGACCCTTCTTCATCAAGTTTCCTTCATCACACCTTGACACTTGTTGTAAACGAAGCACCCAACATGATTATACCGACGTGCAAGATCCTGGTTCTGGCTAGCCTGCTGGCCAGCGGCACAGAGTCTCACATCATACCGTTCGGCATTCTCCATTCTCGAGATATCGACTACTCTTCATCTTCAAGCTTGGCCCAACAGCGTTTTGGCTCATTTCGTCTAGCCGGGCTAGAGGAGTATTTCAAGAAGCATAATGAACCGTTCACCAACTTTGAGGACCTCAATAAGAAACTCTTTAAAGCCCGGGGCAAGACGATGGGTGAGGATTACAACCACGATAGGTTCGAGAAGATACCCTACCAGGAAATACGAGACAACTACTACGCCTCGGACGGAAAAGACCTGGGGAATTAATTACAGCAGGTCCCCAAGGGCAACTACGCCCACCTTCACTTTAATGCATACCTACCATCTATCGACGGCGGAAAGCAGGCCAAGGATTGGGAGTCCGACCTTGACGAGCTGGAAAAGGCAGATGACGCGGACTCCGAATCATATAAGCCGTTTGCGCTTGATACGATTTACACCAAGTTAAAGGAGTCGGGAAAGAAACCCTTCGAGGCAACCAAAGCCTTTGAAGACAGCATGGAGGCTGCCGGGAAAGACTACGGAGATCTCGTTGACTTTACGAGTTTCTCGAAAGACCAGATTCCTCTAAAGGATCGCGCCGACAAGTAAATTCAAGTCACCCACATGTCCACCGACCGACCGTCGCTCACCATCTCATCGCAGAACCTGGCCCCAATTCCAGGCGCTCACCTCGAAGTTCAAGGGGCCCTTTGAGTACGAGTGGATGTGGCGGTACTACCTGAAAGCCTTATTCAGGGATTGGAACCACCACAAGATCCTCCACGGCGAACTGCGCCACGTCTTCCTCAACGACATCCTCTGGAACGAGCAGGGAAAGAAGCTTAGCGGGCTCGACGGCTCCAAGCAGATGCTGCAGGTTGTCCACGACGAAGTCGAGATAGCCAAGAAGCTGTACCCGGACTTTGTCGGTGCGAAGGTCATCTACTGCATCCCGCGCATGTTCAAGCTCACAGAGGATGAAGCCAAGAAGCAGAAGGAAACGAAGCCCTTCTACCAGCCTGCTTGGAATATACAAGAACATGATCGCTATATTGAACTGGCCAAATGGCAAGCGCAGCAGAACATGTTTGTTCTTGCCGGTGAGTGAGATCTTCTAAGCGCTTCCGAAGCCCCCGAAGCCGGAAGGAAACTAACAACCAACTACAGCATTCGACATCGTCGGACGGGAAGACAAAGACACGGACGCCAGCGGCCTGACTTTCTACAACAACCGGCATTTCAAAGCCGAGCTGGTCCGCCTGCTGAAGAACGCGCCCGAAGGGACGCGGAACCTGTCCCTCCACGCCGGCGAGGCCATCGACATGAGTCCCGACGCGGCGGCCCGGGTGAACATGGAGATGCTCGCCGAGCTCGCCGAGGAATTTCGCGACTCCCTCATGCGCGGCGGCGACCTGGTCGGCCTGGAGCACGACAGCGACACGAGCGGCGACCAGAGCACGGCAGACGTCATGAAGTCGTTCGAGAGCACCAATGTGGCCGCGGAGCTCTGCCCCGTGTCGAACGAGGGCCTGGGCACCGCGCTCACTGCCGTCGACGGCGCGGACCGCTTCCAGACCAAAATCATGCTGCATCTCTACACCAGTGTTTCGGGCGACGACCCCACGTTTTTCGGGTGAGTGAATATACCTATCCATGGGTGAGAGTTGGCGAGGGTTCGCTGCTAACAAAACCTGCAGCCTAGAGCCTGCGTTAGAGCTAGCGTACATGATGGTCGGCAGCGAGGCCATGACATTGTACCGTCTCGTTGCGCTGGCATTCATGAGCATCAACAGCTCGTACATGACCCAAAAGGAGATAGAACGTGCTTATGACATAACCATCGAGCAGGTGAAGGCGATCGACTTTTGACCTTAGGGTCCAGTTACGGGCGGCGGAACGTTGGTAGTGGGAATGTTGAAGTATTGCGGTATTCATGTACTTAACTATGGACTTGCTTCGAAATAAATGTTCCTCAAACTTTTGGTTATCTTGCCCATCGCCTAAACTGGCATCGGATTGACCGAGTCGCTACTGCAATGATTCAATGCGGACGAGGCGGGTAAAATGTAGTCGTGTTCCGGAGCATGGGACTTCTGGTTAGTCCTCAATGCCCCTCCCGAGCCCACACGATCCGAACGTATGATAACGATCATATCCGCGGCATCCTGACAAACTGAGAGTCTGGTATAGAGGCCCCTCAACCACACTCAGCCAGGGAAAGATCCAGGTCCAGGCCTGTGAGGCACTACCACGTCCGAGTCCTGTTCTAAGGCTGACGACAGAGAAACTCCTGCCAGGGAGCACTACCGGCTCACTCGGCTGCCCACAGGCTTCCTGTCAACTACTATGTTTATGAAAGCATCAATATAAGTCACAGATCCACCCCAGTCCCCATGATGCTTAGCCCTTACAAGCCGAGGCCTCACGAAGGACAATGAGGTACTTACCATCGAGATCAGGTATCGCTCACGACAGCGCTTAGTCTTTCACGAGCCTTCAGCGACGAGATTTTATTCCAGTGCTTACATTGTACACCTAGGCTCTCTTATCTACCACGATTTTCCACCATACAGTAGGTAGTACTAGGTAAGGCAGAATCCGGTGTCATGTTGGGACCGTGGACGTATAGATGAACGGAGTGTGAGCAGTCGCAGTCACGCTCATTGACTTTGGACCTAGCACTCCTTATTGTAGAATTTCGTGTGCATACAGGTCCAAGCCATCTAAAAGCTCCTGGTCCCAGAAGAATAGTGCACCCTTCCAAGATGAGTGCGGATTCGAAATAGTGAAGCGAATCGGGTGCCAGAGCAGCTGGCTGTGCTCTACAAGGTAAGAAGGTGATCCCATATCACTTGGTGTTACTTGAGAGAAATGATGGAGAGTGTAATAGGTTCGTCCAGCCGGGCCCGCGTCTGCCAGATAGAGAAGTAGGCGAATCCCTCGAGACGTAAGCCTGTAGATGTATTCATCTTCCAGCTCTTGTGTTCTATCCCGAAAATGGTTGATCCGCTGGTCGTGTTCTAGACCCAGAAGAAACGGCCACAATGTTGAAACTCGAGCTGGGTCTTCAATGCGGTTGTCGTTGTTGTGGACATCGGAGTGGTGTGTTGCTCTGCCTGGTTCGAATGGAACAGGTGAAGACTCATGGACATCAAAGCCACTTGCTACCCGTTGCAGTATGGCCCGGTGCTGATGGGTAACGTGCATTAAGATGCAACGTACGTTTGTGATGCCCCGTAAGTGTGTGATAGGCCATTGTTGAAGTAATCTCCACGCTGGATGAGCGGCGTCGCAAGGAAGGGGAGATTCCTCGTTAGCGTAGGTGTGACAGAAAATCTCAACCCAGAACAAGGCGGCTCGAAACCTGCACCTCTCGTCCCTGGAGAGTTCCAGAGGGGTATTGGGTCCCCTGAAGATTTTTTCGAAATCTTGGTATCAAAGGGAAGGGTGGCAGCATGCCGGGGGTTTCCTGGGTAGCGAAGGGCTGAACGTTCTCCAAGCCTCCGGCGCGAAACGGAAGATGAAGTCGTCGGCGTCAGCGACTAGGCTTGAGAGTGCGTAGAGCGTCGGCAAATCGTCCGGCCACTGCGTCGTTTGTGCCGTCCCTGTCGAGAGTGATTCTACTGCAGATGCACTTCGCTGTTGAGTTTCCTCCACACTGTAACCGAAACGATTCTCTCGGATTAACCGGAGACGCGCTGCGGTGACCGCTAGGGAGAGAATGTCATCATGCCTATCTGCCTGCAATACATTGGCTAGGATGACTTTCAGGATGACTCTTCGGTGAGCTCTGAAGACGTCCATCGTGTAGGTACAGGCCGTGGCGAGAGAATGGAGGTCTCGTAGGTGTTGCATCCCTTCAATATCTCCACGTGGATCTCAGGAGGGAGTGCTTGAAGACAAGCCATGTTGTGGTGTCTTATGCGAAGCATGGGCAGGACTGGGCCTTCCTGTGAAGTTGTTTGTAGGAGGTGTCGAGGTCTTAACGTCTTGGAGGCCTGAGAGTAAAGAAAGTCAGCCTCGAATGGCGAGTTGAACTCGTACACGCAGTTCCGACAACCTACTGCAGATGAGACATCCAACCCAACTTGCACAGCGAACAGTCGGGACAAGAATCGTCAACGTGGCGTGAAATTGTACGAAGTTGATGTTTGGCTTGGGTTGGAAATGGCAGGTTCTCCAAGGTGCAGCGACGTGAAATAGAGTTAGGTACCTAGGTTCCCAGAAATGGAGTGCCCAGCGCCTTCCCAACACGTTTGAAAAGGTTGTGACTTCCGAGCCAGAGCCAGAGCCAACGAGCAGGTACATAGGTACTTACTCATGGTCTAAAAAACATAAACCCGATACATTCACAGACATTACCAGTTCCAGAGTAATGAAGTATTAGTAGTAGTATACAATTCTATGGCAGAAAAAAACGCGTGAACGATAGCGACAGTGCTACTTCTATATATGTAGCCACAAAGGGTATAGATCGCTCCAACCAATTCCATCCATCCAACGAGACAAGATCGAACCCATTACGAAATGCTTTTGATGTAGCCATGCCATAGACCTCCCTCATGCGTCATCGTACACACCATACCCCCAACCCCTAACCCCTATCCAAAGATCCCACACACACCCACACCACGCCCTTACCCCGACACATCTGACCATCTGACCATCTACCTGGCGAGCAGCTTGCCCGAGTCAACCATCTCCTTAAACTTGTCATTAGGCTCAACAAACCGGTACTCAGGCCCGCGCACCACGCGGTCGACCTCCTCCCTGACAAAGGGGTAGACGTCCTTCCAGGCATTGCGGCCCATCCAGCAGTCGAGGTGGCCGTAGTCGGGCACGACGCGGCGGCGGTACTGGATGCCGTCGTCGAGGCGTGTATCAAAAGCGTCGGTGAGGGCCTCGTACGTGCGCTCGGTGCTCTCGGGGCTGAGCACAGCATTATCACGCCCGACAAACAGCAGGAACGGGATCCCGCGCAGCCGCAGCACGTTCTCGGGTGTGTCGAGGCGCTCGAACAGCGGGCCGTTGGACATGACGTGGCCCTCGAACCCCTGCTTCATCAGCAGGTGCAGCAGCGTCATGTTGACGCCACCGAAGAAGCGGTCGATCTGCCGGTGCGTCGCCTCGTTCAGGTTGCGGTGGTTCCAGCACCGCGCGAACACGAGCGAGATCCGGTGGCAGCTCGCGTTGTTGCAGATCTCCTTGCGCTCGTCCGGCCACAGCCGCAGCAGCTCGTTCAGGCCCTTCTGCAGCAGGCTGTCGTTCTTGCTCGTGCTGCAGCTGAACCAGTCGCCGGCGAGCAACTTGTAGATCTTGTCCGCCGGGATCGGCGACGCCATGATCTTGACCATGTTCACCGAGTTCCAGATCGGGTTCATGAACACCTGGCTGCACGTCACGCCCTTGATCCAGCTGCCGGGGATGGTGCCGTCGAGCATACCCGATGAGAGCGCCACGCTGCCCATACAATGTGCGATCGTGTAGATGGGCTCCATCTCTGCTGCCGCTTTCTCTGCTTTCTCTTTCCCTCCTTCCTCTTGGAGCTCCTTTGGATCGAGTGTGGGGTGAGTGGGATAGTTCTTGCGGATAAACTCATAACACGCTTTGATATCCAGGCGAGCGTCGAAAGTCGTCCAGTCATTCTGCGCCACCATGAGCGCGCCGATGCGGTGCACTGTGATGAACACTCGGTACCCGGCTCGCTGGAAGTAGTTGACAGCGTGGTAGCGGATCGTTGGCAGCGCATAGATCTGGTGGTCTACCGAGGCGCCTGGTATCATGAACAGATTCTTTTCCGGAGCATCAGCCGTTACGCAAGTAGGCTCCCACATGTGCAGGCCAGTGATGACACCATCACGGGCCTTGACCTTGAATGACTTTGTGGGAGGCGTGTCGTTGACGAAACCGGCGTACGATTGGCTTGGGTATTGCAGAGGCGTGAACGGTGCCAGGAAGAGGGAGATCGACTTGCGCGTAAAGAAGGTCATGAAGTTGGCGGCGCTCATGACCTTCCTGAGGATGTCGCTGCCGGTGGGGGTAAGGGTCATGATCTCGGATATGAAGTCTTGAGGCTGGATCCGCATGATTCCTCTGGCAACAATGGGACCCAGCAGGCCGTCCTCGTCCGCGTCTGCAGCATTCCTCTCATGTTCGGGGATATGCTTGGTGATTGTGACATAGAGAGTGCTCGTCGACTTCCAGAAGTGCACCGGCGAGAGCGCCACGGACGAATCCACAACTTTGTAGCCATGAAAATGAAGCTGTTCGCCGTTGATGCCACGCATGTCAAAGTCATAAGTGAGGTTCCGAGTCCCAGGGGCCTTGTGGTCCACCAAGAACAGGTTGAAGTCGCCCCGCTGAACCATGAATGGGGAACCCTCGAGAGTCGGGCAGACGAAGGTGCCCGTGAGCATTGCCTTGTGGTTGGGGTCGTGCACAATAGAACGCGTGTTGAATGACTGCACGCTCAGGAAGAATCGTGCTGTCTCGCAGAGGGACTTGGCCATTCTGGCCGACAATATGTAAGCGTCTGGGTTGTCTCGCTTGAAGCCGTGATCGCGGTGGACGTATCCAGACATGACCTCGGTAAAGCCGAACCCTCCGTCCTTCATTTTGACGGCGGCTGCCATTGAACTGTGTGCTTTGGATATCCTGGTGTTCTCCACCTTTTCTTCCATGTGCTCGGCCCATTTGCACTTCCTGCGGGCATGCGGGTGCTGAGGAGCGCCAAAGAGATCGAGGACGGAGTTTTTCTCGAGGTTGATTTTGAGCCCCTCGCGAGTTGTATATAGGTCCAGAGAACGTTCCGCCAGAGCGGTAATGGTTGCGAATGGGTTCGCACCAAGGGCGGCCGGAATGACGGCACCGTCTGTGACGATGAGCCCCTTGTGGATATCTGTTCCCTCGCCGGTGAAGACTTCGCCAGCATGGTTTGTGACACCCTTTGAGCCATCGTCGGCCATGCAAGCACCACTGAGCATAATTAGCTCGCTGCCACCGAACGCAGGTATAGTGCTGGTTGAACTTACCCGATAGGATGAACTGTGACCTGCCCCTGGTTTAGAAGGGCGTAGAAAGGGTTCTGCACATAAGTGCCTCCAACGGCCTTTGTAGCTCTTTCTAGTACACTGTTCAGACGCTTGACGTGGTCGCTACGACCGACGCCGACAAACTCGAGTACTGGCTTGTCATCTTTCAAAGTCAAGAAGGCTTGGTTGCCTGCAGCAAGTTAGAAGACCACAAACACAACGGGGTTTTCATTTGACTTACTGTCATGAGACATGATCAGGTATACCTGTGTCTTCTCGATGGCGCCTTTCCGGAAATAAGGGCCAAGGAAAAAGCTTCCGGCACTGGCGAGCTTCGCCTTGAACCGTCCGAAAAGAGACTCGCCCTGTGGCTCAACGCTGCCTGGTAGAAACTCAAGCAAAGCGTGCATGAAAGGTGCAAGGGCTGAAGGAATACTACCCTCCTCGATCACGAAGCCGTCCAAGGGGTTGTCATGGCCTTTTCTGTTGTCAATGATGCCGGTAATACAAGGGCCGACAGGGTGATAAGGGGAGGGGAACGAGCTTCCCACTGCGTTCACCTCGTAATCTGTGTTGTAGCTGGGGAAGGTTAGAAGAGGTGTTTACGGGTAAGGTCAGATCGATCACCTACCCAAAAGCAAGTATATCGCCGTTGCCGCTCATGTTCTGGCCAACTTTGGAACTCATGTGGAGACCCATCTCCCTGCTTCTGAGAAGAATCTCTGTAGTGCCAATGGCACCAGCGCCGAGGAAGACGGCCTTTCTTGCATGAACCCACATAAGGTCGCCATGCAGGTTAGCTTTGAAGTGGCCGCGGTTTCGCCCATGCCAGGCGAAGTAGATAATGTACCCATCGCGGCCCTTGGCCTTGGTAATGTATCGGACCTCTGCCTGGCAGAACATCTCGGCGCCCCAGTTCCAGGCGTCGGCCAGATAAGTGACAAGCGTAGTTGTCTTGGACCCATCGTTCAACCCAGTCCCATCTTGGCCCGTAGAGGCAGAGGCCGACATCTCAACGCCGCAGCTGTTCGGTCCATTGCGGAACCGTGTCGTCTGCTTCACTCTCCTGAAGTTCTCGGTCATGTTCAGATAGTCTGCTTGTCTCTTGAGAAGCTCCAGCTTTGGCAGAGTCGGCCAATCCTCTGGGTACTCTGCTGGTTCTAGGACGTCCTCGGCTTTCTTGTAGTCTTGGAGCGAGACCATTAGTACGATGTACAGAACCAAGAACCACATATGGTGATTGTGAGGAAAAGGCAGAAACTTACAAGGTCTCAAGCAACCGGGGTCCGTCCTTATCTCCTTCGGCCACTGTTCTTGTTGCAATGCTTCGTCATCTGCCTCCAAGAAAACATTGGCATTCATCAAGCTCGTCCCACCAAGGCCTGGGTATTGCGCTGTTAGCTCAAGTGTTCACCCAGTCGCGCAATTCATGGCCAACTCACCGTTACCCACAACGGCGTTCTGGCCGTTGCCGAAGACCAGATGGAACATGGCAGTCGGATCTCCGCCTTGGACGACTTTCTTGGGCAACCAGCCAGGGGCAAATTCACCGGAATAGTGAACCTGGTTGACAGCGTCGCCCGTACTGTTGGGGTACTCGCCAGGCCAGCGCTCTTTGCCGCGCTCAAGCAGGCAGACTGATTCGCCGGCACGAGCCATCCGGGACGCGGCGACACCGCCGCCATAGCCGGATCCGATGACCACACAGTCGTAAGAGTGGCGCATGAGCTCTACCGGCTTCGATATGCGGGGATAGGTAGCCGTCTTGGGATCATCGGCCCATGACCGTATGTGCGCGTAAGCACGTGATCGCGGACCAGGCGGCTCGTTCTCGTGGGTTCCAAGTGGAGGTTCTGAATGAAGATTGTCTTGTATATGGAGACCGTTCCTCAAGCTCTCGGGTGCCAGGAACGGACTGCGGTCGAAACTGCCGACTGATGCATTTGAAGAGCTCCCGCTTGACGCGCGGCCTCGCCCGTTGACGGAATTGACGGGCCATGTAGCACTGGCATTGGGCCTCTTGAGGCCATTCGTCTTGGGGATATCGGCTCCCGTGGCGTGTACCGTCTCGGGAGTGCTGCCCGTGTTTGCTACTTCGGCAGATGGCATGGCTGCTGCAGTTGGCCTCGGCGCGGGCCGCGGAAGAGGATCCTGATCCAATCCACCGGTACACAACAACGTCGATGCAATAGACAATGATGAGATAGTCCCGAACCTTGGGTACCTGATGTATCAAAGGAAGGTTGGGTTCCCTGAAAGTTGAAGAAAGACAAGGATTTCAAAGATTGATAATAAGGAATGAATAGTCGGAGTAGGATCTTAAAGTGGCGATACAATCATCTCACGCCTCGCAGGGCTGTGGCTTCATATATACCAGTTGGTTGACATGGAGGGGTCTTGTCTTGCCGCAGGCCGCCTGGCCCTTGCTGAAGAATCAAAACCGAGTATATGGGTTGCTTGCGGTCACGTCGTTCGTAGGACTACGGAACGAAAGGCCAACGGTCGCAGACCAAACCGAGACACCCCACGCTTTCGCAATCTCAAGCTAGAGGCGATCGATAGCAGCAGCAGCCGTCCGTCGACGGTCCTGGCCCTGCAGAAGCGGTCTTCACTGTTCAGGCGCAGCGCGGCGGCGGAGCTGCTGAGGCTTGGGCTGAGAGATTGCAGCAATGATCGACGGTGCAATTGGCCCATCACAGTCTGCTAATAAACTCCCAGCTCGAATTGGTCGTCCTACGGTACGAGATGGAGGGCCCTTGGGGATCTTCCTGGCCGTCCCTGTCCGTCTGTCAGCACTACCCATGGGCCATGGGCGGTTGGGCGGTTGACGCTCGTCACCTCGGAATAGGGCAAATCACAGAAATAAAATAGAATCGGGCGCGCAACGCGCAGACGGAGGAAGCTAACCAGAACGGCTACCAGTCCGGGCTATCGATGCTCTTCCATTGGGGGGCCACGAGGGAGACAGGGATCAAACCTGTCTGTCCATCACTATACCCCAGTCACGGACCATATGGCCATGGACCGCGGTGATCTTGGGTGATGGTCTGGCGGGGCGGGGCACCTGAGCGGGAATACCACCTCGGTCTATTTATTGACAATGGGAAAGAGAAATACTACCGTCGATCGATGTTCCGTCTGCCATCTGGTGCTTGTGCTACGGGTACTGTAACCCCAATCCCAAGATAGGACGGGAGGAAGGATTGCAGAAGCTGTTGCTGTGCCATCCATCGGGTCATCAGCCGCTTCGGACATAATAAGTCCCTAGAACGTTGACCCCAGGATAAGAGAGACTTTCGGCCGTTGCCGTCTGACGCGACCCGTGAGACGTCTAGCTGGAACTCCGTTCTCCAGGTCCAGATCCATGTCCAGGTCCAGGGCAGCGGGAACAGAGGAGCAATTGTGTCCAATGTCTCGAGGGAAGTATCACTGTCTCAGTCGGTTCCGTTGCATTGGATCGAGGCGACAAACCGAACAAGGGGTTTGTGGCTTTTTGTGTTTCTGAATTGTAATCCCAATGGGCAAGCCGACATGCCGGCATGCCGACGGAGAGCTTTCCTTCCTTTCCTTTTGCATATGATTTGTTCCTGGAATTACAACAGCTGATTGGTCAATGAACGAGCAAAAGGCCCTGCACAATTCTGCCGGGGGATCGGCTAAATTATTATGGATGGGCCCCGCTCTTCCAACGCCTTATTTTGGTGAACAGGGCGATCGTCCGATTTGCACCCGACTCGTCCAGCTCACCGAAAAACACAGCAGAAATTGAAAGATTCTTGTTGCCTCATTATTGCCCTGTCGACTTTCACTGGATGTCATCGCCAAGGTAAGATGTGGCCTGACAGATCTCAGCCCTCTGAGTTACCGGCCTCGGCTAGTCTCGCAAACACGAGCTATCCGGCTCTTGCAGGAGTTCTTACGGTGTTGCCAAACAAGAGGTAGGTAGTCAAGTGTCTGGGACCTTCCAAAGAGCGTGCCTGCCGGGGCACTATGGGAAGTTTTCAACGGTAGGAGATATGCACGGAATAATCACAAGGCTGAGAACATCCTATCCACTAATGACCCGGTCCCTCTCATTATCTCATGACGATCTACTCCGAGGTCGACCAGTAAAATCGCAAAGACGATTCCCCAAGACCTGGAAGGATCAAGCCACTCGAAACGAAACTTATCAAGAAAGACCACGCAGAAGCGAAACATGTGTCCAGTGACAGTCCAGAGCCATGTGTTTCTCAACCCCTGCCTGTCTGCCTTATCACCACCCGGGATGCCGAGGAAAAAGGCCGAGGAGGAGCACAACGTCGAGCTTAAAAAAGAAACGGCTGAAGATAGTGATTAAAATCTTACAGCGTACCTCTTCATATGAGATGGGATGGATGGACTGACCCCTGGCAGCTCTCCAAATGGGCGATCGCCAAAACGTCACCACGACTCCATTGACCAGTTACGACCCCCCTCGGAGCATGCACAATGGACTGCGCTGATGGTGTGTCCAGCCTCGATCCTATTATAAACCAATCGACAATATCAATTGGTCGCAACGACAGCTGGAGAGGGCTGGAGAGGCCTGCGGTGTGACCTTGTCCTGCGTCGATGTGACTGACGCCTGGAGACGACCATAACACCGCCTCTGCCCCCCCTCCCCCCGCCATCCGGCTGGCAAGCGACAGTGACGGTGTGGTGGTGGTGGTGTGATGTACCGATCGCTATCTTCGGATCTGCTTGAGGTTGTGCTTCCCGCTCTTAGTTATTTCCGTCTCATTCAGCTAGTTCCGGGAATGGGATCAGGGGTGGTGGTACGACAGAGGGGTCTCTGATTGCACCAGACGAACGCCGCATCACCGAGGCGATGCAGAATCCTCTACTCGGGGCTTTCCCGCCGCTTGACTGCCCGTGTACAACACAGCCTCGAGTCGGTTGGCCTTCCGATCTGATTCCTGATGACGTTGTAGTGACGGCTGCCATGTGGTGTTTTCCCGTTTCGAGCACCACGTCGAGTCAATTGATGAACCAGTACGGTATCATTGCGCGAGGCGAGTGGGTGGTGTCGGTATGTCGGGCTGTTTATGAGTGAAGAGTGCCTTGCGAGCATCCAAGACATTGGCTCAGATCCATCACCCCCTGCCTCTCGTCGGCTGCGTTCGCTACTTCGAGGCTGCAGGTATGCGGCAGGAATGGGTGCAGACTAGTATACCCACGAGCCTCATGGCATCGCCCGTCAACCTCAAGCCCCAATGGCTTGCCTTGCTTTGAATAGGAGACCAGCACGCATTACCATTCAGGGCTTACATACGGCCCCTAAAGAAGCCTCGGTGAGAGGCGGAACCCCCAAAGCGCTCAAGTCGCCCCGGCCATGGCATCAGCTGAGCGAGCAACTGGAGGCGAGCGATAGTCCTAACGGTTTCTCGTCCTACTCGAAGTCCACTAGCAGTCGTTTCGTTTATCTGGTGGCCGGCCGGATTGGTGCCATATGGCAAAGTGCAACTGTTTCAGGCCCCGCGAAGGACCCCAAATGCCGCCGCTCCTATTCGACAGATTATACGACCTCAGCCGTACGAGTTTCTCACAGCGCCGAGGCGGGCCGCCAGGCTCTCGAATACGCAAATGAGAGCACTTCAATAGGTCGTCATATTGGGAACTCCTGAACCTCGAATTCGAGCGATATTGTTTCGGAATTCGAAACATGTTGATTAGGTTGTAGTGACGGTATCACGGATCACACCCGTCCTCGACTACCACCTAGTATCGCTAATTTCAAGCGATTGGTATCCTGTGTGAGGTCGAGATCGTCGTCCCCAGGAAATTGCCACGCGGCCTCGCTTGTTAAGCGCCGTGGCGTAATGCCACCCTTTATCTTCATGAACCTCAGACGTAGGACATTGGAAAGAGAGCAGCGATATGACCTCGATGGGGCTCCGAGGGCGTTTCGTGTCTCGATACCCACGGCTTCCACATGGCTACCTTCTGAACTCTCATCACAATCCAAGACATTCATATCCGAAGCGTTACCATCGCTGCGTACCCATTCCTACTACCATGCGGTAGCTACCCGGTGGCTTGAAAGAATCGTACGACCAACCCCAATTCTTGGTGTTGTTCCACAGATGGCCTTGTTTCGCTGTCATGCCGCACGCACTCCCCGTAAAGGTTACGGTGCCGAAGCGAAAGCCGTAAAGTCCCGAGAGCGTCTGTACTTTCGTATCACGAGTATCTCGGCAACGGCGAACGCTTCGTGATAATCCCACTGGAACATGCGCAATAGGTGTGGTACGAGAGTATTTCGTAATAAGGGCTCCATTTAGCAGCAGCCCCTAAAAGTGATGAGGAGGACCTCCATGACGCTCTAAACGTACTTTCCCCCCCGGGATATAGAGAGGGTAAAGGGAAAAGGGCTGAAGATCCGCTGGACTCGAACCTGACGCTGAGGGTCAGTCTTCAGAGGCTTGAAATTTCTGGCGCTTCCACAACATGGGCGACGGTTCGCTATATTTCAATGCGCTCAAACAAGCGGTAGAAGGGAAGCCGTAAGCACGCACCAGGATATCTTGATCATCTAGGCAAGCTTGCCGACTGGTGTCGCATGGCAGCACGCCTGGTATAGAAACCACCAAGGGCCAAGGACATTCTCCAACATTGTCACCAGCCCAACTTCACCTATTCTCGAAAGATCAGCAGAAAGCGAAATCTGAGCTGAGCTGACCTATGGGACCTACATAGCTCCTGGTCCAAAACACCTCATGCCACTGTGAACTGTGCGCATTCCTTCCCATTCAGACCTGAGGGACACTCAGGGGCCCGGATGGCGATGAGCAGCATGTCAGACCCATACCCCGAGGCCAGCCTCAATATCGACTATGCCATTCCAGATAACCACCTATAGAAGCAAAGGTGACCAGAGAAAAAGAATCCTGCAGCGAGGATACCTCAGTCACCATTGTATCACTTACACAGTCGGCCGTTTGGAGGTGCGCCCAGTCATGAATATTTTCATCAGAACATGTTGGGCACATCATTCAGATTCGTACGGGAGCTAGCATCGTCTTATTGTGTACATCTTTCTATCCCTCTCCCGCTCAAATAACACACATGTACCTCGTGACCTCGTCATACTACACATGATCGACCCTCTAAAAGCCAAACTCACCGCTTGTCTATCTCTGGCAGCAAAAGCGCTCACGGCTATTCACCGGCCGAACCTTTCGCCCCTGGACCCCTATCCGGATGCCCAAGAGCAAGAGCATAGCTACTCGGCAGCCGAGCACCTCGAGCACCTCCTCACCATGTCCGTGCCGAGTTGCATGCGAACATGAGATCTGGCTGGCAGGCTGTATATTTAGGTAAAGATATTGTTTAATCAATAAAAAAGAACGGTATTTTTAGGCTTACAAAAGCTCGAAAGTGTGCCGCACACTCACCACCAGTCGCCCTGGTCGTGCATGGCCCTTATGACCTTGACGAAGCCGGCGATGTTGCTGCCCGCCACCAGACTGGGGAGCTCGCCCTCCTTCGCCTCGACGTACTCCTTGGCGGTGTTCAGCCCGTTCTCGAACGCGTTCTTCATGATCCCCTTGAGCTTCTCGTCGACCTCCTCGCTCGTCCAGCTGAGGCGCTGGCTGTTCTGGGCCATCTCCAAGCCGGAGACGGCGACACCGCCACAGTTCGACGCCTTGCCGGGCGCGTACCAGACGGCCTCCTTGCCCTTCTCGCGACGCACACCCTCGAACACGTCGATTGCCTCTTGGGTGCAGCCCATGTTGGAGCCCTCGGCGACAAAGAGGGCACCGCTCGAGACGAGGGCCTCGGCCTCTTCGCGGGACACCTCGTTTTGCGTCGCGCAGGGAAGTGCTATATCAACCTTGCTTACGTGTGTCCAAGGGCGCGCGCCCTCGACGTACTTGTACGACGACTTGCTCTTGAACTCAGTGAGCGGCTTGCGCGCCAGCTTGACAGCGGCAATCTCCTCAACATGTTCGGGCGTAAAAGCCGCATCACCCTCGGCGATTAGGCAGCCATTGGAGTCTGAGAGCGAGACGACCGTGGCTCCAAGCTCCATGCACTTCAGTGCGGCGTATTGGGCAACGTTGCCGGATCCAGAGATGGCGACACGTTTGCCCTGGAAGCTTCCCTTGCCAACGTACTTTATCATGTGCTCGACATAGTAGACGACTCCGTAACCAGTTGCCTCTGTCCAGGGCGTTAGCGCTCTGCGTCTCGAAGTCCCAGGGCCACCCTGGCCTTGAGTTCTCGTGGCAAAACTCACCAGGTCTAATCAGACTGCCACCCCAAGTCAAGCCCTTGCCCGTCATAATACCTTCCCACTTGTTCTTCTCCCGGCGGTACGTGCCAAACATGAAGCCGACCTCACGCCCTCCGACACCAATGTCACCAGCAGGGACATCCGTCTCTGCACCGATATGGTGGCACAGCTTGCGCATGAAAGCGTCGCAGAACTTGCGGATCTCGTTTTCGCTTTTGCCCTTGGGGTCGAAATCAGCTCCTCCCTTGCCACCGCCCATGTTCACTGCGATACATTCAAGTTAGTCAGGCAGCTCCAGCACATGTTCCCATCCCGTGGGCCTAGTCCACACGCCTTGCTATTCATAACTCATAGTTCATGTGTCCATCCAATAAAGAAGGGCTAAGAACTTACATCCTGTCAAGGCATTTTTGAAGGTCTGCTCAAAACCCAGAAACTTCAGGATGGACAGGTTGACGGTAGGGTGAAGCCGCAGGCCGCCCTTGTACGGGCCCAGCGCCGAGTTGTACTGGACACGGTAGCCGCGGTTGACCTGCAGGTTGCCCTTGTCGTCCTCCCAGGTGACGCGGAACTGGATGATCCGCTCCGGGATTGAGACCACGCTCAGGGCCCTGCGGTAATCTGGGTTCTTCTCGAAGAGAGAGCTGTTCTCGAGGGTGCTCACCAGCTCTGTATGTTTGTACTTGTCAGTGAACGCCCAAGCTATGTTGTGGCAGGTCTTGGGGTATAGATGAGAGCGACGGGCATTAGACCTGGGCCGATATCTTTCCTTGCTTCGTGTGATAGAAAGGGGGCACGAGTGCTGTGAAGTGAGGGAATGAGTGGAATATGAGACAGTACCTTTGTGAGCCTGCTCGAACTCGGGCTCGGAGGGAATGTTAGACATGGTGGCGGATGAAGTTGCAAACGGGTATATAGCAATAGGTGTAGGCGAAAATATCAGTCGAGGTTGGGTATCTCAAGGCAGAAAGGTCAAGACTCGGGCTTGGTGAGAGATGGAAATATGTAGGACTTCCACGAGGGAATCAAAAGCGAGTGCCTGTCGAAGACGAGATGAGGATGGTATGACGTAGGCGAGATGAATGCTGGAAGGAGGTGTGCTTCGAACCAGTTTCAAGGGCAGAGATAAGCAGACGCGGCCACCTATCAAGCAGTAGATATCCAGGAGAGGACGAGCAGTTGCAGAGACAAATCGAAGCAAGTGCCAGTTAGAGACAGACCAGGAGGCGGCTTGATTATATACGGGCATCATTGCCATTCACTGCCCGCCCAGCAGCCACCGTTTTCGGTGACCCAGCTTTCGATCCCAACTTTTGTCTGTCAACCCAGCCAGCGGGAAGCCAAGGTAAGCTCTCGACGCCAAAAGCACACCGGTATGGGACAACGCGGGTCACGTCGTGGGTGATAGCGACCTCGAGTGGGGGTTTGGAAGCGGCAGCTAGCGGAGAGGTGCATTGTACATGAGTCGCAAGTCACAGGGCAGAATGTTTATGCCTCACTTCGTTACCTCGCAGGTAACCAGCCAGCCTTACGTCAACCGGTCTGCCGGTGACCCAATCACCCCTACTGTGGTAGGAGCGCAGTCGGCGGTCTGGGGGGCGCGTGAAGAGATGCCCCGTTGGGATGTCTGCAAAACGCGTCAAGGACCACCCCGATCCTCGGTTCTCAGCGTTGGTCTGCGAGAGCATCAATCCAACCTCGACCGGTGACGGAGAGAGAGGCGCGCGGGACTTTTCATCCACGCGGCAGATCCATCCTCCGCCCATGCAGGTGGACGACAGATGCTGTGGGAATGCCGAGCCGATGACTCGAGATCTAGATGGCAAGATGCCAAGTGCAACAGAAATTCGAAAGCGCGGAAAAGCTCAGAAACCTTAGCCCCGCGCTAGAGCCGCAGGCTTATCCCGAGCCGCTGATTCGCCAGCAGGCCGTTTGCGACGACACCAAGTTTCGTGTCACTTTTGAACATCTCCGTCTTCTTCTTTTCGACCACGTCCATGGGTGCATAGATCGATCCACTTGAGCCGCTGGCGGAGGGCACCCATCCCCACGGGCACGCCGGTAGCCAACCGAGGCTGTGAGGGTTAGTCAAGGTTATTGACTCGATGGGTCGGGGCTGGACTCAATAATTTCGGTACTTCTGATCATCGCCAACCCCCTTGAATGTACACAGGCAGACGTGATTACCATGTACAGATATCAGGGATGGTACTGTAACTCTGGATAGGTATCAACTCACCTGAATTAAGGTACCGTGGGATATACGTGTCTTTGAAAATCTGTGTGGTCGACAACGCTGCGGTCGCTACCTTCCCAAGGAGTATATCTCACTGTGATTTGGCCGTGCTGCTACCCCATGTCTGGATGATTGGGACGCTACTGGTTACCATCTCGAATATATGTATATCGATCTGCAATCGGAAGCCGAGTCGCGCTGGTCTCGGGGCGTGAAGCCGTCACTTAACGGCCCGCTGGCAGGAGTCAGATGCAATCCAATAAAACAAAGCATACGATCCCTCTGTTGAGTCTGGTGTAACTAAGTAATGTAAATGCGAAATGCCTATACCGTCGCCATTCCTCCAACAACATTCTAGGGTAATTCTGCACATTTCCCAAGAGACGCCTATGCTCCGTCGCACCATGCAGCCATTTGTCCATCCCAATACCGAATTTACAACAGCCTTCCAACCTGCCATTACCATATGGCTGACTGATCAAAGTCAAACCTCTTCAACTCCTTGCCTGCATCTTCCACATCCTTCTTGGCCTTCATGCGCATGTAGAAGATGGGGCAGTCCTTGCTGCTACAGATGACCTCGCAGTGCACGCTGCCCTGGCACCGTTGACACTGCGTCCATAGGCGCCCGAACCGCACCTCAAGATCCGATACCTTGTCCAGTGTCTTCTTGTACAGCTCGCCCACCCGGGGAGAGCAGTTCGAGCAGACGGCACCCTCACTCTCCGCCTTGCCCACCAGCGGCTTCTTGCAGCCCATGCACGTCATTGTCTTCTTGGCAAACTTCATGAGACCGCCCACACTGGGCGCCGCCACCGAAATTGAACGTGTGTGAGCTCCCGTGAGAAGCGACTTTGCTTTCGTCTCGCCAAGGATAGGGTCAAAGATACGACCCAGAGGCTTGGCCAGCTGGTTGTCCAGGTAGTATTTAGTGTCGATGGGGACGTTGTTCTCCAGGACGAAGATGGGATCTTCCGAGCGCTCAAAGTTCTTCGATCCGCTCGCCCCTTTCACCATGACATACGCTACACGATCACCCAACGCGGGTGCGGAACCAGCATCGCGTTTCTTCATGCGGTGCGCTAGCTCCACATGAGCTTGTTTGGCATCATAGCTTTCCTTGGTGAGAGCTTTCGTGATCACAAGCTTCGACATGTCCACCTTGTTCTGCAGTAGATCCGCGATGGTGTTCTTGACGTAACTGAGGATCTTGGGTTAGTATATCATGAGCTGGAAGAGGGATACGACGAATTGAGGCTTACTCCTGAGCTCCTTGAACATCCTGGTCGATCAAGATCATTCTCAGAACTTTCTCGATGACCGTTTGCACAAGTAGACAGTTGTCTCGTCTGACCGTCTCAATACCCTTGGTGTCCATCTTGTCGTACTTGTCGGGCCTAGTCCAGAAGAGACCAGCATAACGCTTCTTGTTGATCAGGAGATACGGGAAGTAGACTTTCTCGAACTCCAACTTGATGGGCTTCGTGAACTTGGACGATACGAAATTTGCTGCCTCCTCGCCCAATTTCATCGCCTCAGCGAGATCCTTCGTTCCAAACTTCACCATGACGGAATCCGTATCACCGTAGATGACCTGCGCATCATGGGAGTAGCCGTTGGCGATGTTATACTTCTTCTCAACTTCGTCCTTGGTTTTCTCAATCATCTGGCGACCATAACTCGTCGTGCTACTGGCAATTTCGAGACAAGGGAGCTTGCCTGTCGTTGCACCAGTAAGACCGTACACACTGTTGGCGCTGACTTTCAGCGCGAGTTGGCGACCATTCAAGACAGCCTTCTTGAAAGGGTCTGTTTCTGTCGCGAGTTCCCTCTTGGCTTGCTTTCTCGCCGTGAGCAATTCCTCTAGAATCTGCGCCAGAAGGCCTTTCCGTTTCTTGGCTGTGACAAACATGTCGCCGTTCGGCGTCACAACATAGTCTTCGTCCTTCTCGAGATTAAATTTGTCAATGGCCGCTTTTTTGATGAGCGTTGTATAGCAGAGATTGTGCGCTTGTATGATACTGGGATATAGTGAGGCGAAATCGAGTGTGGCGATGGGAACGTCGTAGTAACCGCGCGTGGGCTCGATGACTGTAGCTCCTTCGTATTGATCATCCGAGCCTTCTGATCTCATATTCGGGATGACCAATTTCTGCTCCAGAGCTTTCCGGAACAGTTGGCTCATGAATTTGACTTGTTGTCCACGGGACAGAAGGAAGTTGAAGGGGACACCTGTAACTCTTGCCATCTCGGTATAATTTTCCAGGCAAGAGAGCTTGTCCATAAGCCGCTGAGGCAGGAAAGCATCCTTCAAGCAGTACAGTGCAAGACGACGTCTCGACTCTGGCGTGCCGTTGAACAGCTCCGTGATCATTGTGTAGTGGACGTCTTCCTTTTGCTCCCCCAGGAAGTGAGAGCACACTGAGTTCAACGTGTAACTTCTGAGTTGGTGGTCACGTTGGATCAACTGAAGAAGATCCAATTGTAATCGACCGTTCGTGTTCGTAGCCTTTGTGTCTCGGTTGCCCATTTGCTTGCTGGAAAAGTTCGTCTCCTTTGCGACCGACTTCACACTTGGCAATCGAGTCCAGTACTCGAATCCGTTGACCTTCAGGTGCTTTGCGCGGTCGAGAAGATAAGGGAAATCGAAGTTGGAGATGTTGTAACCAGTGATCAGATCGGGGTCAACCTTGTCAAGAAATCGCTTCCAAGCCAAAAGCATGTCCTGCTCCTTGTCAAAGTCCAGAATCTGTGTTGCCACGATCGGACTGGTAGTATCGAGACAGAAAACATTTCGAATGAATGGTTTCTTTTCTCCATAGCGTGTCACAACATTGGCGATCTGTATGACTGGATCTTGGTTGGCTTCTGGAAAGATACCCTTCCGCCCGGCGCATTCGATGTCGAACGAGAGGATTCGCAGAGGGGCCATCTTGGACCATTCGCCTTTGGGTTCGTGGGAAATCAATTGGTGGTAGCCGACCTCGGCTTCGATCTGACAGCTCGACTGACGCTGATTTTCGGCAATGAGACGATATGACTTGGCTGGCGCTTCCACCCAAGACATACCAGGGATCTGTGCTGGTCAGTATAGCTCCCTTCATACATCGAACGATCGACGGCGTACCTTGCAGTCCACCATGAATCGCAGAACGTATTGCAGGTTGTCGAATGTCATGATGCCGCCCTCGGCCACCTTCCACATCCCCTTCCAGTTTGCATCGCCTTTCTCGATCAGTGTCCGTACTTTCGGAATCCACTTTGGGTCGGTAACGGTAATCTTGATGTAGGGGCTTTGGGTGTTGCCCTGAAAGCCATATATGTTCTCTCTCAGTACAACCTGGCACGAGTGAATGACAGGTTGGTATTGGGCGACCTGTGTCTCGAGGAAGGCTTTGTAGGCGTCGCAGTCCTTGGGGGTGAAGGATACGGGGGCGGCGACGTAGATGTAGTGCTTGAAGTCGGTGACGTGAAGCATGACAGAATGGCCATCTTCAGTAACTCCGAAGAGCTTGACGGTCGCCTTTCCGCTGTGGAGCACACCTTCCTCGGCTTCGATCTGCTGAAAGGTGAGGCTGTCCCGCTGGGGATCGAAGTCGACGACTGGCGGGCGCTCCCATGCCTGGTCCTTCTCCGCATTGGTCTGCTTGAGCTCTGAGATGTCCTGGCTTAGCTTCTCGAGTACCTCTGACTCGAATGCGCTCTTCGGTTGGCTTGATCCGAGCTTCGAGCCAGGCCCATGTTGTGAGCTGTTCAGGCGTGATGCTGGCGACGAGGACAGAGGCTCGAGTCGACGCCTCTTGGTGGAGGATGGAGTTGAAGGGATATTGCGACGGTTGGGTGCATCGCTGTGGAAGCGCTTCTGAGGGAGGATCGCGGTAGCCATGGCTGCGTCCTAAATCCAGAGAGTTGGAATTGGGGATGGTGGTGCACAGTTCAAAGCATCGGGTTCAGTACCTCAATAGGTAGGACGGTTGGGTTGATAGAGAACGGAGGGTAGCCCAGCTACTAGGTCAATAAAGTGCTTTGGGAAGAGTCGCGTCTACGCGTGTTGAAGCGGCCGGGATTCACGCTCTCGAAGTGGGGCTCAATTAAGACCCGGCAGACCGCGTCCGACTGGCACCTCAAAATTGGCATAGATGAATGCACTCGATTAATGCATATTGCTTAACTAGCTAAGCTTGTGTTTGTATCAGCGTTTAATGCTTCTTGCTGCGTCGTAGCAAAAACACCTCGGCTTGAACCTGGCAGCTGGGCATCGGACCTGATGAGGGAGGACGAACAGCCTACCCAAAACTCAACCTACTGGCTACTGGCTACTGCTGCGCATTTCGGCCTAATACGCCTGGCAAAGCTGCTACTAGACGAAGATGGCGACACGACACGCGACCACTCCCTCTTCCCACCCTCGGTACAGGTGGCTAGGTATGTGGTTAGGAAGCCCTGCCATGCTCGAGTTGCTGCTGCAGTCAACGCCCTAGTCCAGTGTGGCCCAGGTCGCATCGTGTGCAATCCATGGGGTCGCCGACGCGAGGGGATGTGGAGTTCTTTGAGCTGGCTTTGGCATCGTCAGTCGACTACGCCGGCACAGCAGTCAGCTCGGCACTCGACCGGGCCAGATGGAAGACCAACAAACCAGAAAGCTGCAAGCATATCGAGGACCTCACCCCGCCGGCCAGCGACCTCGTGTTGCTAGCGCAGTGCCACGCCTCGTGGGACAACTGTTCAATGATACTGTATCTCGTTGAGAAAGTGGTAGATATCCACGAGGCTGCGGCCCATTGTGTACGTCCCTAAGCGCTGCGTGTTGGGGAGGCCACGAAGATGTGGTCGACCTGCTTCTCGCTCAGACGTCGTCGTTTCGGCGGCGAAGAGATGACCCGCTTATCTCGGCGGCGCAAGCAGGGACTGGCCATCGTTCGCAAGCTGCTCGGTCATGGTGTCAAGGTGGACAGCAGAGCCCAGGAAGCCATCGAGCATACTAGCATACTCGAACTTTTGCTCTCTATAGTTCGCGCTCTGGACCAACACGCCGGACAACGTGCTCTAGATGGAGCCGTGGCCAACCGACCCAGTCAATACTTGCCTTTGCGTCAGGATATCTGCCCGCTCAATAGAACTCGTGTTCCCAACCTAGCAGGTTGAGAGATGGTATCGATGTCGTGGAATCAATTCAGGCTCTGCCCAACCTTGAGTAATTTAACCGCTCAATAGACATTATCTTGCAGAAGAAGGGGGTGGTAGGACAAGGTAGGAAGGCCACAGCTCTATGCAGGCCGGTACTATCCTGGGAACAATGAGAACTATAGGTATGTAGTGATACGACATAATAGTCTATTGCGTATATAGAACTCCTAGTTACCCTATGCAGGACGCTAATCGTCTGGCTCCCCCTTGCTTCTACTTATTAGAAATAGAACTCAATGTCATAAAGTTCTTTTCCCCTATATCCTGTTTTTCCATAACTCGTGACCACGACTTTAGTTATCTCCCTATTTGTATCGTCAAGATATTCATCGATCATCTTCTCTATGCCCTGTCCGAAGGGATTATCCTTTACCATCTCGCCAAGCGCGTCCTTTTCACCATCTTCACCGCCGTGTTTCCTCATTACTAGAGTTCCTTTTGCGCTGGCGTCCTGCTTCATCTTGTCGTACGCGTTCTTTATCTGAGCAGTGACATCCGGGTTGATCGGATGACGGTAATATATGCTTTTCAGCTCGGATGGATTCTTCTTAGCAACAAAAACCCAAGTGCCGATGATCAGCTCTCGCAGCTTAAGCTTGGGGTCTGATTCATCCATGTCGTTTCATGCCCTCGCTACAAAGAACCGGCCTCGGCTTAAGTCCGCCCCAAATGAGTCATAGGCACCTCCAGGAGATTCGATGGTGTATAGCGTAACGTCAAGACCTGCATCATATTTCCCTGGTTTATGTTTGTAAGGGTAAGGCTTCTTGAACGGGTTCACGGGTTTCTTGTTGCTTCTAGAGTCGATAATGAAAACTTATACCAAGCATAACGGCGGGGCCATATAAATGGGACACCCCCATATGTTGTTGGATTCTGGGCTATGTTAGCCCATCCATAGTCATCCTTCAGGATCACCATCCCCATTTGTGACTCTGTCATATACGTGGCCAATATAAGGCTACGTATTCTTTCCTTTAGTATCTTGGATATATATAGGGCCACTCTGGCCGCTCCAGAGTAGCTGGAATTTCTCTTCTTAATAGAACACTTTGAAATCTCACATATGTGGGACAGCTTTCACACCAAAAGGCTACACTTCCACCCACCGATAACTCAATCAGAATTGAAGCTCTAGATAATCTATATAACGCATTTGGATTGAAATTTTTTAGAGTTTTCAGCAATATTATATATTCTAGCGGTAGCGCGCAGGCTGGCGGATTGCGCGGCGTGAAGATCACACCACAATGGGCTCATTGGGATCCTCATCCGTGCCATCACCCCCTTCGTCAATAGCCACCACTTCATCCTTAGAGGGCCCCAATTCTTCTGACTATTCTGAACCTGATTTCAGAGAGGGTTCAGATATTGATTTCTCTGATTCGTCAGTGTTCAGGTTCTGTAATTCACGCACAACTCGTTGTCGCTCTTCCTGCTGCTTAATAGTAGCCTGTGTGGCTTCTGTATGCTCAATTTGCTCCTAAATAACGTCCCCAATTCTCTAAAGCCATTAATTAGGCTCTTCTTGGGGTGCCTTACGGCACTTCTTTTGCTATAGATGCTTAATTTTGTCGTTTTTTGCCTCCAGTAGCTCTCTTGCGAGCGCTAGCTCAATCACCATCTCATCGTAGGACTTTGCAAACGAGTGGACTGCTGCTCGCTGCTTAGGGGTCTCAGCAACTTGTGATAGCATTAGGGCTATATATATATATCTTGCCCTGATTTAAGGGCTTCTAGTGCTTCCGGGTTGCTCTTGGGGTTCATTATAGCTGCTGCTACTGCTTGAATCTCCCCTGTCTTTACCACATGCTCATTTGCCAGCATTTTTCGCCTATTTACTGGCCAAAGCCCAGTAGTACGCCATCCCAAACGCACAATAGCCGGCGTAGCTTCATTGCGAGCTTTCGCTAGGCAAGAAAGAAACTTAATCTTCTCAATAAGGGCCGAATCATTGAGCTGGCCAAGCTGGGCGATCAGACGGCGGTAGACGGCTTTGATAACCAAGAAAACGGTCAAATCTAGCGGCTAGAAGATGTGAGACTGCCCCTATTAGCGGAATAATTACTAGTTGATCATGTAACCTACTATATGGGCAGGAAAAAAGCTCATATACATGTTATTTATGTAACAGAGATACAAAAACTCGTCTGAGTAGTGGCTGCCATGGCCGTCAAGCACTAATAGGCAAAAATCATCGGGATCTTTGAGAGCAGTATCAGGTAAATATACCTTGAGGCTAATTAGCATGTAGTTATACCATGCCCCACCCCCTAACGGGACACACCCCCCACCGGGACAGCCAAACCCCACCATCACCACCAAAATACCCCCTTACTCACTTACACGCAATTGAGGCTGTAGATGCCCAAAGAAATCAACAAAATTATCATTCTGTGGTGTTAAGGCTCCTCAATCCACGTATCTAGCTGGCGCCCTAATTGACCGACCGCTTCTCGTCACCTGGGGCTCTGCAACAGGGGCTTCTTTACCCTCCTCAGCCTCCTCAACCTCTTCCTCCTCCTCACCCTTATCTTCAACAACCTCTGGCTCTGCTTCTGACTCTGAAGACTCTATAACCACAGCCCTTAACAGGTCACCCCCCTGGGCCAATATCTCGGTCATATTCATGAACTTCCGGTTCGGATTTGGGACCTTCTTCCTCTTCTTGGGCCGTAGCCGCCCCAGTTCAGCCTCCAGGGCCTTGATCTTATGATCTTTTAGGGCCAGCTCCGTCTCCTGGTTCTCGAAGGCGTGGGAGATCTTCTTGAATTTCAGCCGAGTGGATGGGGAGCGGTTCTTTATGAAATCTATGATTTGTCGGCTTGTGGTAGGGGTCCGCTGGTCTTCTGGCTCCGAGTCTTCAATTTTCTCTGGCTCCAAGGTCTTTCTTTTATCCTCCTGAATTTCCGGGTGTTTCAAACACTTCCTGTGGCTAACTGGGTAGCACCCCGTCACTCGGAAGCCCAAGAGGATGTTTGGCTTAGAAAAAGCCTTGTCCCTAGCCTGAGAATAACAACGGATAAAGTTGATCTTATCCACGAGCGAGGCATCTATGAGAGAATTTAACTGCGAAAGAAATCTCTGGTAGTAGGCTTTGAGCGCGTTATATGGTCCGTTATCAAGTGGTTGCATGCCGTGGCTGGTATGGGCTGGGAAAAAACAAAGCAAGATGTTGGCAAAATAACACCGCAACATGAACTCGTCCTGTTAGTTATACAGTTAGTTAACTGATTAAACAACCCCTGAAAAATAAATAACGTACGGAAGTATGGCTACCATGGCCATCTAGTATCAAAAGGATCGGCTCTGCCTGGTCTTCCCCTCGTACAGCATCTACCTGGGGTAGGAAAACGTGGTCTAACCATAGGCACGCAATCTCGTTACTGGTCCAGCCGTTATCTGACGTTATGTAGTACTAACCCGCGATTTTGCGGAATTCTTCGATGAATCATTGGGCCTGGAGATCTTTTCCTTTGAAAATTATGCCTGGTTTGAGAACTTTTCCCGTGGCTGAGATGGCTTTGATAAAGGAGGTCCAGCCACACCTCTTGGGACTCTTTAGGAAGGCTTTCGTAGTCTCAGAACTTCTTAAGACTAGGGAATCGATGACTATAGGGGTTAACTAGTTAACTGGCAGGATAAGGGTGAATAGGGGGTTAAAAGACTAACCAAAACCCGACATGATGCCGCCCTTATCGACATTGTACGTATTTTCTGGCTTCACCCATTGATAATCCCCCAATATGTCAAAGAACCAGTTGACAGACTTAGGGATGAACCCCTTAAACCAAGCGGATTTCATCCGCTTACCGATTTTAGTCTGGATGGTAGGGTTACGGCGTTTATAGCCCTCCATATAATTCGGGCCCAATGGTGCAAAATCCCCCCCTTTTTCAGCAGTTGTACAATAATCTCCCGCACGGCTGTGTAAGAAGGGGCAAGCCCTAGGGACTCCTGGCGCAATATCCATTGAGCCACCTTACTCTCTTATTGAGGGGAGAGTCTCTGCTTGCTAACCTGGGCCTCGGCTTGGGTGACTCTGCCGTTGATGCGTGCTGACAGCGTTTGTTTAGGGATGCCGTGTTTTTGGGCGGCTTTTCTCACAGACATGCCGTTATCTGTCACATCTAGCCAGGCATCCGCCACATTATCTTCAGTGTACGTGGGCGGAGGCATCGTGGCTGGCTTCATGATGCTGTGGTGGCATAAGGGTCAGGGGCTCAGAGAGAGAATTCTACAGCAAATTTGCATTTAGGGGCGGGGCACGGAGGCTCCTAATCACCGATGCCGATGGCTGAAACTTCACTAATCTACATCCGGCTAAACACCAAGAAAAGGGCTATCTAACCATCTAAAGAGCGTATAGATAGCCTCAAAGGGGGCTGTAATCCGTGTAAGTGAGGTAGGGGACTTTTGGTGGTGGTTGTGGGGTTTGGCTGTCCCGGTGGGGGGTGTGTCCCGTTAGGAGGTGGGGGATGGTAGCTAGTAACTCAGAAAAAACTTGCCTTCTCCAGTCAATGCAGCGCAATCTCGTTCAAGGTCAAGCCGTTGATGGAGTACATTACTATCCAGTCTGCCATGGCGAGATGCTCCTTGATGAGCTGCTCTTTGAACCATTGCATTTGGATTGACTTTGCCTTGAAAATAACCAATAGCCGGAGCTTTTTCCCAGTGGCGGTGATCGATTCTACCACAATAGTCCACGTGCGGTCGTCATTAGACTTGACGTTGGCCCCTTTTGAGCCAGAACTGCCTATTACAAGGCTATCAGACCTGATCTCCCAGTCAGCTGTCTAAAAACCACTTGGATTAGACAATTCATGTACTGACAACCCTGCATAATGCCATACTTATCGACATTTGCCCAGTTTTCGGGTTTGATGAAGCCAAAATCCTTGTAATGGTCATGGAAGCCATTAACGTTCTCGGGCGTAGCGGCATTGATATGCTTGTAGTCAAGCTTTCGTCCCATCTTGGTCTTGATCTCTAGGTGCCTGCAGATGAAGTTTTGCGTGTATTTGTTCCCAAGATGATCCGGTTTTCCCTCGGATTGTAGGATCCTCTTGATGATATACCTTAAATTGCCGTGAGTTGGTGCGTGGCCGGCCTTCTCTTGATATAGGATCCATGAAATAACCTTTTTTTCTTGCTCAGGGCTGATCTTCTGTCTATTGTGAGCGCCCTTGCGATTGGTCTGTGTCTGGGTTATCGCGGTGTTTTTAACCTTGCGAGATAGGGTTGATTTCGGTACTCCATAACGTTGGGCGGCCTTACGGAGGGATAGATCATCGTTGTTCACAGCGGCCATCGCCTTTACAAGGTCTTCTGGAGTGTATGAAGGCGGCATTTTGACGTACTGAAGCCTCAGACGCTTACAGAAAAAAAGGAAAAAAAGAAACGCAGAATTTCTGCTAAGTTAGAGGGGATAGGGGGCACGGGTCCCATTACCCCTCAAATAGGCCCGGAAGTGCTAACTTCCGACCCCTACCCGGCCCATCCCGTCGCGATGGGCCTAATCAAACCTGGATCATAGAAAACTCCAAGAAAAGATGATTCAGACGCTGTACTTACGGTATCTAGGGCTTCATTGGCTGTGGAGATATGTATAAGTGAACATAGTGATGTTGGCTGTGAAAACTGTCCCACATATGGGGGTGTCCCATTTATATGGCCCCGCCGTTACCGGTTAGTAACAGCCTGGAGATAATCATTGAAAACATTTAACTCTACTTACCAGCAGGCTTTGCGATCTCCAATGGTCCTCTCTCGAAGGTGTCATTCGTGGCCAAGGCCGTTCCTTCCCACCGGGTGGGAGCTCCGTGGGCCCCAAGGAGACTGCCCCCTAGCCCAAGGAAGGCGATAGCCACGGCTTTCAGTGAAGAGTAACGCATCTTTGCAGCGGACAATGACGAGAATTGCGTGTTGGATCAAAGGAGAGCGTCGAAAGAAACCGAAGGGCGGTATAGAGATGGGCAAAGTAGTAGGGAGATTGGAGATGCTAGATATGATCGAGGAGAGCCACAAAGTAGATTGGCAGTCATTAAATACCACAACAGTGTGGTTAATCTAAGTATACGATGCATGTCAAGGGAACCGCCCCCTGGTTCATCTACCCTCAGAACTCGGTCAAAGGCAAAAAACTAGAACATCCCTCGGTCACACCGTGGTGGTGACTGTCGATGACATAAGTACCCAGGCGAGTCACCGTGAGTGGCACCCGGGCAGGAGGCAAGCACCAGCAGAGCGGTCATACTGCGCCAGCTGCTTCCTCTTAATATTTGATTGGCTGTAGGCCCTTGCAAGCGGCTTCTCTTCTGTCATCTACATGCTAAGGGATATAGGTTCGTATGTAATGGTAACTGCGGAGGTAACCGTAGACCCCGTAAAGTTCTACATATATACCATCGCAGATAATTATAGATCAGAACTTTGCGTGCTTGTGACAGGCAACCGGTACGGACCTAAAAGTTCCTGTTATGTGGAACCGTTAACCATTACCATCCTGGACACCTGTAGGTACCCAGGCACCAAGTATCCTTGGAGATTCCTGCTTCCTTCGAGATCTGAAAATAGCAACTATGGAATACTTGTCTGCAAGCTATCAGTTCCGACTCCCGAGTTCTAGTCTGGTCAGGGATTATCTTATATTTTTAGCACTATCCCTACGGCAGTGGGCTTCGTAGGTAATGGGTATCCCTTAAAAAACAATGGAAGTATTTACAACCTGTAAGTTCACATTGAGAAATTCACCGAGTCGAGCAGGTATGTATAAGCATTCTGATATTGTTTCAGGCATGCTCTGATGACGCAGGCGCTGTTGTTACACTGAAGCTGATGAGCTGCCCTGCACGTTTTTACGCAAGAATCCATACTCCAGAGAGATCAGCAGAACTGCATCTTCACATCTACTCATTTCTGGAGCGCGCGAAGCCAGCCGGCCGAATAGCTACCTTAATTAAGGTACTCTAAAGTTCACGTCCACTGGCCTTCTCGACGCCAGCCTCCTCAGTCTTCTCTTCCGTCACCTTCCCAGTAGGGGTCCATTCCAGGGCCTTCAGTCTCTCCGACAGGATTGGGTGAGAGAAATGATAGCTTGCATACATCCAGTCAGCATCCATGGTGCTAAGGTTCTGGATCTGCAACTTTATAAGCGAGGATGCAAGTTCGGCCTTGTAACCGAGACCCTGTGCAAACTCGTCGGCCTGGAATTCGAAGCGTCGGCTCATGATATTCATCAGGAGCTTGATGATGGTATCCATTGGCGCCAGCGCATCCGAGAACAGGATAAAGCCGATGATGATCGGGTGTTCCTTGACAAAGCCAAAGTCCGAGTACAGGGACTTGTTGTTGACGAAGACCGAGAAGAGCGTGAAGATGTAGAAGACATGGAGCTATCAAGGGTCAGTATGCATCCTGCTGGGTTGGCTGTCCCGTAGAATACTGCACATACCTGGGAGATGCCGAAGAGACGGGTGGTGTGGCCTAGCTTCCAGTGACCAAGTTCGTGGGCAAGAACAGCAACCACCTCTTCTTCCTTGCTCTTTTCAATCAGCGTGTCGTAGATGACGATATGCTTCTTCCACGGAAGACCGAAGAAATAGGCATTGCTGTGAGCACTGCGCTTGCTTCCATCGATGACGAAGAGTTCATGAAGGGGGAAGTCGAGCTTCTTAGCCAGTGCCTCGGTGTCCGTCTTCAGCTTGCCTTCCTGAAGTGGAGAAAGTTTGTTGAATAGGGGCAGGATGGCGATGGGGTAAACGGTGATCATGAACACTTGGAGGGCAGCAGTGAAGAGCCAGAGGTATGAAACGAACTGGTTGCCGGTCTTCTTGACAATGCTGAGGAAACCGGCGAGGATCGGGGGCGCCATGACGAAAGCGAGCATGTTTGACTTGATCATATCCATGACAAACAGCTTGGGCGTCTGCTTGTTGAACCCAAACTTCTCTTCCAGAACGAATGTGTGGTAGATGTTGGTAGGCAGTGACAGGGCTTGTTGGATCAGAATGAAGGTGAGGACGAAGACGATCGAGTGGGAAATCTCGCCAGTGAAGCGAGCGGGGGCGAATCGGAGTACGAGGCTGCCAGTCCATGACCACAGTTTGGGCAAGACATCGTAGTGGATGAATGCGATGTTCTGGATCTGACCCCAGAGACCCTTCACGAAGCCAAACTTGGCTTTGGCGCGGCCGTATTCCTGACTCTTGTCGTAGACATCTCTGGACACCTCTTGCTCGAGAACCTTGGGCGGCTTCGTGTTCTTCAGGACCTGATACTGGCGGAGCGATAGGAACTCTTCGAAACAGTATTGGGCAACGGAGAAGCCGATGATCAGCCTCTTCCACGGGAAGAGCGGGCGGTCGAGGAACCGGGCTAGGCGCTGTTGGTCTGGTGTTAGAGGGATAGAATGTGATGCCGAGGTCGGAAGTACTCACCTGAAGGATATCCATCGTGCTGAGATACGAAGTTCTTAATGATGGATGGGCAAGAAGCTGGCTGTCTCAGACTAGCTCCGGCGCATTTTAAAGATGACGAGGTGGGAGGATGGCAGCTCTGAAGAAACCGTGTCAACGTGCGACAGCTCCCGCAAATCGTGGCTGAGTATTTCTATATCAAGATCAATTAATGCACATGCACGTACTAGTACGTACCTTATGGATAATTATGCACGTAGGAATGTGGCCAAGTGGGACCAGGATGACCCACATTGAACTTCTCCTCGAGGAAACGTCTCATGATCTCATCAACTTCGAAGTTGTTGGCTGGCATGTTCATTGTGGCTACAGGCTTCCCATGACCGCCGCAGTGCTATCGACGAACAATCGAGGAAGCATTGGAAGGATAAAGAGCTACCTATGTGGCTACCTTGAGTTGCGGACCAAAGACAGGGCCACCAGCCGGGAGCCCGTTCAATCGCCGCTGATGATTGCAGATGCTCAACTATGATTTGAGAGCTTCCTATATGCTGATCCCTTCACTGGGAAAGTGAAACCCGACATGTAAGCTAACTCCCCCGGATGTATGATTATTACACCATCATGTTGGCCCCCAATGATGACCCTTGCCCACCTCGTTACCAAGGCCTTAGCACAGTGAGCGCAGGCTTTTATGGGATAAACGTCCGGGTGAACTAGATTTTACCTTATGAATCACTGCGTTTAACCCCAAGCTGTCTACTAATTCAATGCCTCGTTCAATGATATCAATCGTTACAGTCCAGTCTACCTCATATAGGAAACACAGCCTCGAAGCTACCAGGTCTCAGGCCCTTCGCTGATCGATAACCCAGAGTCTGAAACCACAGCACCGTCTTGAGGCACACGAGGGAATCGTTCTCTGCCATGCGACCGCAATAACATACCTGCATGAAAGAGTGAAAGCACTCAGCGCACCGAATGGGGATTCGCTCAGGATCCTGCTCCTTAGAGGTTGTATAGGTGGGATTGACCATTCTCTAGTCATCTTCGGAACCAGTACTCCAGGGACGGTAATATCTGCACGCATTATAACATGCATGCTTGCTAGTTTCTCATGTTGGCCTTGACTCTCTCCAAAAGTTGCTCTCTTGAATCGCCCTGCTGAGGGTGTAGGTTTCGCTGTAATGACCGAATCAGCAAACGGAACATGCTTCGAGGCAGTTCGCAACTTTGATGCTTACGGCAGCCAGGAATCGTCTCAACTCTTCTCGTGTCCAGCTCTCAGGATCTCCACTCGGTTCGGTCTGTGATGTGAACACTTCTCCACCCCAGAGCGACCACTGCAAGCCGATGTCAGCGACTATCAACTGTCTGGAAGGTCCGAATATCCCGTGGAAGGAGCTTGCTGTGTTTCATGCGCAAAGCTTGAAACGACTCCAAGATCGTGAAATGTTCTGCTCTCACTTCTGAGGGAGCGCAAGAGTGCAGTTACGTACCACCACGGCGGCTGTGACAAGCCCGGAAAAGGCTTTGAAGTAGACATCCATCAGTACGAAGTGAAATTGGGTGATCGCTGGTATGTGTTCATGTACCTAACACGGCGTTCTAAATCGAGTCAGTGGATACTCAGAGCTGACAGAAAGCTCGGGAAACGAAGATACCTTTGACCTCATTGCGCTATCTAGAGGAGTCGGCATGGTGGGCGGCTTTTGAAGGGGACAGCTCAAGTCAGGGAAAGGACAGCTTGCGTGGAATGGGATTACTGGAGTGGTTGTCAACTCAAGTGAGTCAGAGGTGACATTGTTTGATTGCCAGGAATCAGGCAACTCTCGTCAAATAAGTATGTCCAGAAGGATGTCCACGTTGAATGGTCAGAGGTGTAGAGAGTTGAGATGGCAGGGGGTTCAAGCTCGCGCCACATCGTGTCCATCTTGGAAAGCCACGTCAGCCACATAGGTATCACAGCAAGTGCCCCATTTGGCCCCACCTCCTCAGCCTGCCGCCAGGCCTGCCCGCTTCTGCCGTGGCTCGCTAACCAACCCTGCCGCTACTCACACAAATTCGCGCCGACTCTAGAATATTGATCCCGCATCTCGACGAAATTTCCCATTACACACCAACCCTCGATATCCAAACCGACAACCGCCAAGATGCCTCAAGAAATCGGAGATATCAAGAACGTACGATATCGCACTTTCCAATGGTCCTAGTGTTCGTCGCGAAACTGACAATTGGGTCTACAGTTCATCGAGATCTGCCGGCGAGAGGACGCCAAGTGTACGTGTGACGAGACGACGAGAAAAAATACCTTCCTGCTTTAGTACTTCGTTCTGACAAGGTCTGCAACAGCCGCTCGGATCAAGAAGAGCAAGAAGTCGTCGCAGACCAAGTTCAAGGTCCGATGCTCACGACACCTCTACACCCTCGTCCTGAAGGACTCCGATAAGGCCGAGAAGCTCAAGCAGAGCTTGCCGCCGAGTACGCACCCTATACACTCCCTACCATACACATGACAAGGTCTCGTGGAAGAAAGAGCAGCAGGACTGACATCGTACTCGCTCGCAGACTTGCAAATCAAGGAGGTCCCCAAGAAGAACAAGAAGGGCAAGCACACTGCTTAGGAGGCGCCACCGAACCAAGGAACCAAGATCTGACCTAGCCGATGGAGTGGACCGAGGTATTGACGCTGTGATGAAGCCCTCGAGACAAAGAAGAGTGGCTACTTTTCGATTTGGTCACGGGGATAGCGACAATGATGCATATGGCCAGGACTGGGCTGGTATAGCTCATGAGGCGGCGTCTATGGATACCATGGAATTGAGACTTGCAAGCGACCAAGGCTTGAGGTAGTGGAACAGTTCCCATCAATTGCACCAAAAACTTGACCAACGAAACTTGTTGTCTCAGATCTGCTTTACTGTGCCTTTGTTTCTAACCTCTAGCCCCCTTACAACACTCTATGGTAGTGCTTCGCATCGCGTGTTTGGGTCAAGGATAGCAGCGGGCTGCCGTATTTTGGGAAATCCTCTGTGGAACCAAACGCCAAATGCTTCTCCACCGTCGGCCAGCCGCAAAAGATGACGAACTCGTCCGTGTCCTGATCTGCCTGTTGTGCGCGCCACCCGCCCTGGACCACATGGGGCTTCGCAAATGTTTCCAAGGAGCCCTTGAAGCCGGCCCACGCCTCAATGAAAGCCTCCTTCTCGGCGCTGGCGACGGTCATCCTGCTCACGCTGATGACGGGGCTCTTCAGAAGTGGAGTTTCTTGGGCTTCGTTGCCAGCCGCGGCGAAGACAGACCCGTCCAGGTAGAAGTACTCGAGTTTGCTGAAGTCGAAGTGCGGAACCACTGTGACCGAGCTGTTCTTGTATTCCTCGCTCGCGAGCCAGGTGTTGTGCTGGTCCAGGGACTCCCACTGCGACGTCTCGAGTGCGACTCGCGGGTCCTCGACCTGTTGAAAGAGAACGGCACCGCGGCTCTCTCTGTCCTTCGGGGCGGTGGGGATGTTCGTGCGAACCCAGTCTGCTTGCGTGCCGAGAGCGCCCTCCATCGCCTGTTTGCTCTCCTCCGTGAGCTTGTCCGCGGCGCTCGTCAGCCAGACGAGGAGTGTGACCGCCATGTTGTCTCGAGTGGGACTTAGATGCGAAGTTGGATATGATGTGACGGGATTGGTGTCTGCAAGAGTTTGCATATCTGCACGCCTGGTCTGTATCAAAGTCACAGCTCTCTTCCCACACCTAAAGCGGCCTCCACGTTGGATTTATAGCAATGCAAACCGCTGGCGACATTGACGCCTCAGAGCTCATCTACCCCGCAGCAGGGCCGCAGAAAGGATCGTCCCGCAGTTCCAAATACTTTCAAATGCAAGTTGCGCTCATAAGCTGAGACCCCGGCGGCGGCTCGCCCACCTAAGAGAATTACTCGAATCTGAAAATTTCCAAGTTGGATATTTGAGAACCTTGCCTTTGCGTTCGTCTCCCTGCAATGGGCTAAACCAACCTGCTACTTTCACGACTACCGGCCGCCATAGAGGTGCCAAGCTGCAACATCGTCTTCTCTGGCCAGTCGTCGCTTGGTATGCCATGCGGGCTGGGGTAGTCCTTTCGGGGCACAAACCCTCACACGAAACTCCGGTGCAGATGGTTCGAGGGGTCACATTGGTAGACTACCTAATATATCTTTGATCGCTGCGGCACGTTTGATTCGAATTATGGTTCTTTTAGCGTATCCTCTCCTTCACTCGCTCTGTGGCAGGAGATAGGCAGGATCCTAAATCCATACCGCATATGTCATCCTAATTCTCCAGTCAGCAGTGGGTTGCAGCAGCCTTGTTGGGGGTGTTTTCCCACCTTGCCGTCTTCATTCGGGGTGAATGGCATATGTAAGCACCCACACTTGTGGGAGTGTTCTTAGTTCTCGCACTTGCTACCTTATGTTTCTCAACGAATATCGCTTTGACGCAGATATCAAGAGCAATCTGAAGGCCGCGACACTCATAGCCAGCTCGTACGTAACGGAGTTGCTTACCAGCATCGTCGTATACGCAAATCTTCCATCGACTGTCCCACTTCCCCGGTCCCTGGTGCGCCGGAGCCACCAAGTTCTGCCACGTGTGGAAGTGCCGTGCAGGGAAGAACTACTTGGTTCTCGAAGAGCTACGACAGCAATACGGCGCCTTCATCCGGACTGGGCCTGAGGAGCTTACCATTGCCGATCCTGCTGTTTTAGCAACCACCGAGGGACCTCGGAACACGTGCATCAAGGCCGTCTGGTACGATATATTACTTCCCGAGGTGGCAGTGAACACGACCAGGAATATCTGTCGGCGAGCCCCAGGTCGTTGCAGACCCCGTTCAGCGCGAAGAGCAGGAGCGTCTCGGAAGTGCCGCCCAGGAACCTCGATGCTGCGAGCGTGAAGGCGATGCTGACCACCAGCAGTCGTCTTGCGCCCTCTGCGGTGACGCGCTGGGCCGGGATGGGCCGCCAGGGCTTGTTGATGATATCCTCGGCTACCGAGTCTGGCAGTCGCTGGTTTGCCAGACCGAGTACCGGGAGTTGTAGCCAGATCCAGCAGGCGATGTTTGGCAGACGAGAGAGGAGTGCAGTTACGGACGGGGCATCGCCGTGGACGTAAAGGACCCGGAAAGGCTCGAGAAGCCGGTAAAAAGTGTCTATGGTATTAGGACGGAGATGAAGTCGCTGGCCGTAAAGGGATACAGGGTATGGAATTGTTCAATAACCCCAAAGAGGATACCTTGAGGTCCCTGTGAGCGTGGTCATCAATCGTCTGTGACGTTAGGGGTTCAAGATCATTGATACCTCTTCTTTGCCAGTCCGAGGGGATATGTCCGGTTTTCGATGAGTAGGTGCACCAAGGCCTCGCTTTTACCTGATCGACCAGACCTGAGAGGACTTGTGACAAAGGCACGAGGTTGAGAGGATTGTAAAGTATTAACTTCTTTTGCATGGAAGTCTTAAGGAGATGAGTCTGATTCCATCCCACACCCAAGTGGCGTATAGATTCATTGACATAGCGGTTACGTTCGAAGTTGGGCCTGGGTGACTAGGTGCTGGTGTGACTGCCTCACATGCAAGGCGCGTAAAATAGCTGGTTGTAAAATGCGCCTTATGGTGCTTTGTTGGCTGCAGCATGACAGGTCATATCATAGGTACGTGATCCCTTTTTCAAAGCGTGGTGGTTTCTTGAAATTATGAAATATAACATGTTAGTCGTGCCAAATTCCTCTAATGCAACGCAATGATGACACAACCCTGGTTTCGTGCCCCCCGAGTAACATTCTGCGCCTCTAGTGTATACATGTAGGCCGTCAGGGGTTGACAATGTTGCAACGCAAGCTGATATAATCGCCCGGCCCACGCTACACCAGAGCAGCTAACCACGGCCTGACATAATCTCATGGGAACCTCTATACGTTACATAGGATGATAGGTTTCTTGCAGCGTAAAAGGTAGCCAGCCGCTCTTACCTAGGCAGTACCGGTAGGAGGGCACATTATGTACCACTAGTCCCCTATCGTGTACGTGATATATTTGGAGGCTCTTCCTATTGGTTCAATATGGATCCCGTGAAGCCAGCCAATCAGCATAAGTGCATTATGCATGTGGCTGTGCCAATTCCCATTGCGGTGGGACGCAAGGCCCACGCAAGGGGACGCAAGCCATCGACTATCGGCCCGTTGGCCCATTCAGCACGGTCGCAGTGACTGGCAGACTGGCATGGGGGATCCCCATTTCCCCATTTGCCAGGGCCCAGGGGAGATTTGCAACCAACAAGTTGGAGATCATTGTTCATCACAAAAGGGGGAGCTTTCGCCGCCGCCGTCGTCGCTGCCGTCGGTTCGTCCATCTGGTGAGTGTGTGGGCGATTGCATCGCGATACCTTCTATTACCAGTGTTGCATTGTCATTGTTCTTGACAATCCAACCAACTTCAATCGACTCACTCACTGCTGAATCCTCGCTTTCACCCCGCCTTCAATGTTTCTCATCGTGCAGCTGTGAGACGAGGGAACAATTGCAGATCAGCCGGCTCCGACAACAGAGGTAACTACAACAGAAGGTCTTCCAGGCTTAAAGGATCAGGGCCCTTTGATTTTCTCGACCTTCTTCTTTTCTGCTTTTGCTCGCCCGCTTTACACGACGCGCTGCAGGCCGCTGCAAGTTTCCAGCAAACGTCAGCTTCCGTGGCTGCAGGATATTCTACCTGAGTAAGGTACCGTGGCAAGCTGCAGGTGACGAGTTGACAGCTGTGGCCTGGAATTTGGGGAGTCTCGCGAGTGCGTGTGAGAGGTTCGGGATTTAGCAGTTTTGGGATAAAGGGAGTTCGGGGGGTCGTCGCTTTCGTAACATTTCGATATCGGGGACGGAGCCAAGCCCCTGCGCCCCTAGGTAAGGCTAGGACATAAGCCTACGCCTACGCCTACGACAACGACTACGCCCACACGTATCGACGGATGACTCGCATTCAAACCACTCCCGACACCTAATTATCACCAATGTCAACCTCCAAGCTGCCGTTGAACGGCACCAATGGCTCCCAGCGCAGTAACAGGAACATGGCTGTGAGCGGTAACGGCAACGGCAACACTACCCACGAGAGCAATAGCAGCAGCGATGGCGACAGCATCCACGATGGGAGGTCGTCGGGCGAGGCCGCCAGGAGGAAGAAGCTGTTACGCAAGAACTCGAGTCCCATGATGCCCGCCTTCATGGTCTCTGCGCCAGGCAAGGTCATTGTCTTTGGCGAGCATGCTGTAGTTCACGGCAAGGTACGTAGTCAATGATGACGATGCGGCGCGACAACGGCGGCTGCTCGATCGCAAACGTCGCACTGCCGGTCTCTATTCCTCCATGCGCAAGCCCGGCTGACCATGCGTGCTACCTGTCTAGTCTGCCATCGCGGCCTCCATCTCGCTCCGCTCTTATCTCCACGTCACGACGCTCTCCAAATCGCGACGCACCATCTGCCTTCGCTTCCCCGACGTCGACCTCGTACACAAGTGGAACATCGACGACCTCCCCTGGAGCGTATTCTCGCACCCGTCCAAAAAGAAGTACTACTATGACCTGGTGACGAGGATCGACCCTGAGCTTATGGATTCCTTACAACCGCATCTCGAGGACATATCACCACACAAGCCCACCGAGGTGCGCAAGATACATCAGAACTCCGCCAAGTCCTTCCTGTACCTGTTCCTATCCCTTGGGTCGCAGAAGTTCCCGGGCTGCATATATACGCTGCGCTCGACGATCCCAATAGGCGCTGGTTTGGGAAGCAGCGCATCAATCGCTGTCTGCTTGGCCGCCTCCCTCCTTTTACAGATTCGCACCCTTTCCGGACCACACCCCGACCAACCGTCGGAAGAGGCGCGGTTACAGGTCGAGAGAATCAACCGGTGGGCATTTGTAGGAGAGATGTGCATACACGGCAACCCGTCAGGCTTGGACAACACGGTTTCGACACAGGGCAAGGCTGTAGTCTACCAGCGGACCGATTACGACAAGCCCCCGACTGTGACTCCGCTGTGGAACTTCCCCGAACTGCCACTGCTGCTGGTAGATACCCGACAACCGAAGTCGACGGCCGTCGAGGTTGCCAAGGTTGCGAAGCTGAGGGACACACATCCGAAGCTGGTGGGTAGCATTCTGGACGCCATAGACAAGGTAACAAGGACGGCCGAGAGTCTGATCGACGAAGAGGACTTCGACAGCGAGGAGCAAGAGAGCCTGCGACGTGCGGGTGAGCTGATGTCCATCAACCATGGACTTCTCGTCTCTCTCGGCGTATCACATCCCCGCCTCGAGCGGATACGGGAACTGGTAGACTACCAGGGCATGGGGTGGACGAAGCTGACGGGCGCGGGGGGCGGAGGCTGCTCGATAACGCTAATGAAGCCGGATGTGCCGGGGGCGGAGTGGAAGAAGCTGGCGGGCAAGCTCGAGTCCGAGGGCTACCAGCAGTTCAAGACGACGCTCGGCGGCGACGGCGTCGGCGTGCTCTGGCCGGCCGTCCTCAAGAACGGCCTGGACGAGGACGAGGACGGCGGCATGGAGATCGACCTCGAGAAGTTCCTCAATGCGCCCGGGACGGACGGCGTGGAGAAGCTCGTTGGCGTCCACGGCGGCACCGGCGAGAGAGAGGGGTGGAAGTTCTGGAGGGTCGAGAGCTGATGACTGTGGGAGCGGAAATGCACACCCGAACCGACATACACACAGACGCATTCGCCGTGTGGCGGTATTTATAATGGAGCTGCTACACAACAGCGTGCCGTCGATGCTGTGTCATCAACGAGACCTTACTACTACAACGTGCCAAGCCGTCCTGTCTGCGCTGTCTCAGTTGTGTAGGGGTGTAACTACATGATAGGTCGACGAGCAAGAGAGTTGGCACAATCATTGTTATATTTAGTATAGCCATTATTAATCATTACGACCTTATCAAGTAAAACTAGGTATGTATAATCTAGATGAAGCAAGAAGACCTCAGATCCCTCTATAAATTTATGCTTGACCCTATGCCAATGGTTACCTATACCACTGCGTATTGCTATGTCCGTGTACATGTGCAGTCAATCGTTCGCCACCACTTCTTCCGTGCTCTGGAAGGGCACAAAATCAAGAAGAAAGGAAAATAAAGAGGAACATTACAATTGAACAGCAAGCAGGAGAGCTCAGGGTGCTGGAACGGACGGGCTTGTTCACCTGCTCCATACCATAGTCACCATGAAGATCGTACTGAGGGACTAGAAACCAATAGGCAGCCAAGAGTATGCAATGGAGCGTTGTGGACCATGTTGCTGTTGCATCGCGTTGACTACAACTGCCTACCTAGGTACCTAGGCAGCCACCTACCCCCTACTTTAAGGTAACACATGGCTTCCTTTCTACTACGATTGTATGCTAACCAATTCCATGATGGTGTAGCCTATCAACTGAGGGCTGATTCGTCTATCACGTATCAGAAAGTACCAACCACAGTTACAAGGTGCTGAGAATATTCAGATGGAGCAAACTGCAGGCTCCCGTTTGAAGCCGAAGTGTGTCCAATGAAGGGTCTCTTTGCGGTTGTTTGTCCCGAGACAGACCTTCCCTGTAGAAAGCTGAACGACTCTGCCCCTCGAGACTGTAACCTCACGCTGTCGATTAAGAGCTGAACCATTGTAGCTCACCGTCACCGGCAGGGTAAAGGACCCTATCGAATCCGTAGTATGGCTCCCACACAAGTTACCGAGGACTACTACACCATCCTCCAAGTGGCCAAGACTCGCGCAGCTCAAGCATCCCGACAAGGACAAGGGCAACCCAAACGCGACGGCCCAGTTCCAACTGGTAAACTTGGTCCTCTCCATGTGATGCTAGTTACCAACTAATGGTTTCGAAGCTCCAGGCCGCATACTCGATGCTGCATGATCCAGTGAAAAGGCGCGAGTACGATAGCCAGCGCGCCTTGGTGCCGAACAAGAATGGGTCGCCAGCGAACACGGCGCCCTCAAGTGCCGACTCTGGCCCCGACACTCGACAGCAAGAGGAAGCCCAGGCAGCAAGGACCGCCGAAAGGGACGCAATGCTGGAGGTGTTACGCAAGAAGCAAACGACGCAAGATTCCCCAGTATTCGAGGCGAGACGACAATCACGCAGGATGCAGGCGGAAATGAAGGATTTGCGGGAGAAACTCAGCAAGGAGAAACTCAGCAAGGAGAACCGGGAGGAAGAAGCGCATAATAGCTGGTCGAGGTACCTCTCCTCCCTGGTGCTGCGAAACCAGGAATCCGAGGAAGCAAAACTGGCGAGGAGACGGGGCCAGCTCGACCTCGCTGCAGCTATACGCATCAGGGACAGGGGCTTGGAGCAGCAGAAAAGAAGCCTCTGCGACCTCGTGGCAAACCTGGAAACCACGCAAGCAGAGATCGCCAGGATCACTCGCGAGACGGACCAGGAGAAGGCAGACGCAGAGGCGGAGAAGCGCAGGCGCGAGGAGAGAGCGGCGCAAAGGGCGTGGGCGGAGACCTTGGCAGCCATGCATCGCAAGCAGGCGGAAGAAGCGCAGCGTCGACAAGAGCAGGAACGCAGAGCGCGGGAAGAGAGCGCCAGGCGCGCCAGGGAGCAGGCGGAGAGGGAGCGCAAGGCCGCGGAGGAGAGGAGTCGACGCATGAGGCACGAGACACCCTTCCACGATATCACCGGCGGACTCTACACACGGGTACCCTACGCGATCTATGAGCCGCCACCTGGGAGAGGCACACCTCCGCCGGTGTGTGCGCATCGTGGCTGGTGGGGAAAGATTTCGGGTAGTCATCTTTGCTCGCGGTACTCCACGTACACGAGGCTGTTCGCTTTCAAGTGTCCAGGATGCCAAAAGGTGGCCTGCGCAACCTGCAGGCGCGTCCTGCGCGGAGAGCGTGCTCGACCTGACCGGTCTGCCAACCAGTCCCATAGTACCGGCTACTTCGAAGACTATCATTAATTAAGTAGGCACATAAGCAAGCAGAAGCGTTTGGAGGCCTCCTGATTAACTTCCCTTGTGAAACATTGAACCCAAGCAAGTCGAATCCTTCACCTGAGGGCTCCATCGTGGTGGCTTGCCGGTTAGGCTGATGATACTTTGCTCTGCGTCTTGTGCTGTAATACAATGGTACGTCAAGGTGGGTAACGGGCCCCCTAGCTTTCAAGGAGCTGCTGGATAACATTCTCCTGAACGTGAGTTACTTCGACCCGAAGCTTGAGGATCTGAGACCCGTCAAGCCCTAACCGGCCCCTTCCAGCGACGATCTAATAAGTAGGTTGGTAAGTCGGCTCGATGAGATCGAAGCCAGGATAGACGGTCCAGGGGAAGACACGATGCCACCGATGCTCGGGTCACTGCCATAGGGAACGACACGACGCACTTGATGCCAGGCTCGGTGCTCCAGGAGGAACAGACAGGGCTGCCAGTCGACACCGCGCTGGCCAATCTTCAGCAGCAAGTCGATATTCAGCAACAGCTGGAGGTCACATTGCTTTCTTCTTGAAGGTACAATCCAATATCAACGCAAACTACCGTAAGAAACAACAGCAACAGACTTCACCCTCGGAAATCCAGAAAGCCGTCCAGACGCATCAGCCCTAACCCGCTCCATCCACTCTCCTACATCCTTCAAGAAAGCCTCAACAGCCGCGCGATCCGACATGTCGAACGGCTCCTCATCATGCGCGATCTGCGTCAGCTGCGCGCCGGCCATGAGCATCGTCATCGCATAGTCCTGATCGTCCACCACCGCCGGCCTGACAACACGCCTTAACCCGCCCAGCCAGGATATCCAGCGGCAACCGGGGCTCCGCACAGGCCGGGCGCGCGAGCGCAACCGCGTCGACCGTGTCCAGCGCGCCCACCATGGCCGCGACGGAGCGCAGACCCCCAGTGACCACGCTGCGCGTCTTCCGCAGCCGCGGCGCGATGCCCGCCGCGAACTCGAGGAAGAAGGCCTCGCGGACGCGCGTGGTGTCCCTGCGGTGGTGCCACGCGGGGTCTTCATAAGTGCCGCCGGTCAGCTCGACGAGGTCGACGCCCTGCTGCTCGAGCATGTGGGCCAGCTGCGCCGCCTCGTCCGTGGTCATGCCGCGGTCCTGGAATTCGACGCTGTTGAGCTTGACGGCGACGACGAAGGCGGGCGAGGAGCGCGCGGCGCAAACGCCGTCGATGACCTCGTACAGGAAGCGCGCGCGGTTCGCAGGCGAGCCGCCGTAGAGGTCGGTGCGCCTGTTGGTCGACGCTGAGAGGAACTGGGCGAGCAAATGGCCGTGGGCGGCGTTGATCTGCTCCGCAAGGGTGCGTCAGTGGATGAGGGCGGAAGCATCATTTGTGACCAAGTGCTGATGGCTGAAGCTGACATTGAAAAGAATTACGCAGGTAATTCGAAGACTGACCTCGATGCCATCGAAGCCTGCGCGCTCAAGATACACAGCGCTGTGGACAAACGCCGCCTGCAATTCCCGGATCTCCTGCTCCGAGGCTGCGTGCGGCTTGTTGTACTTCACCTCCCCGACGCTCTTCACGAGCTGGATGTCAGAGGCGGATACGGGGTCGGCCTGCAGTTCAGGCACCGCGAGGCGTCCTGGATGAAGGACTTGGGCGATTACCAAGGACCCTCCGGCCTTGGCTTCGGTTGCGAGCTTCGCAAAGGTGTCGAATCTTGGGCCTTCGAAAGGCGCACCGGGGGTTATGATGGTATTGCCCGCGGCCTCGAGGTGCTCTGGATGGATCAGTACATCGCCTGTCAGGATGATACCCCATCCCGCGGCGCCATAGTGCCGGTAGAGGTTAATCAGCTCCTTGGTGGGAGTACCGCGCTTCGAGGGCTCGTCCGGAGACCAGCTGCTCATGTGTTCTGATGTTGATGCCTTGATCAGACGGTTCTTGGCTGTGCGGCCAGAGAAAGCGAGATGGAGAGGCTCGCCCAGGGGCGCTGGGTCTACTTCTCCTTTTGCGGGATATCGGTTCGGCATCTCGATCGTGGCGTTGGTGAGATGAAAAGGCAGAAAGCAGGGTTTGAATATGTGCCCAGAGATTGCTACTGTGAGTTCCAGGGAGAAGTCCTTTACACAGAATGCGAACAATCATGGTATTTATGGTGAAGGCGTCGTGCAAATACCGGTCCAGCCGAGGTGTATTTGGGCCGTCAGGCCACAGAACCACCCGCCAGTCATAGTATTGCGAAGCCAGAAACCTCCCGTTACCTGTAGACACATCACGACAAGCAGTATGCTGACGACCCGCGCGGTGCTGATTCCTTCCCCCCCTTGTTCGCTCACGGGTCGATGCTTTCGAGGCTGCCGGGTTGTTTGAAGAAAGCATGGGACGCGAATCACCATTCCAAGCCATTCCCTGCTCCAGAAGACGGTGAAGTGTTGGGTATCTTCCACGATGGTATACGAGCCACCCGGTATGCCACAGCTAAGCGACCAGCCCCTTTCGAAGTAAACCACCCGGCTTCCCGGACGTCAAGTGGGACCGCTCGGGTGGTTTCAGTTTGGCATGTCATGCTATCCGCATGGTTCCCCGTATCATATCCTTACTGGCTTCGATTTGGTACACCGACTTCCCAGATATGCAGCGATTCTGTGTCAGGACACTGATGAGGTACTGGGAGTAAGCTCGTCATGACGTGCAGTGAGTCCCAATTTGTCAGCTCACCCACCGACGATCTATCAAACGTCCTTCATCACAAACCTTGCCCATTTCCAAGGACTCGGGTCACACCATTGTCCAGACCGGGATAAGTTACCATACCAATGGACCAGATGACAGATTCACCCGCAACGTCTCGCGGGTACATGTCGTCAAATGAGCCCAGAAGGGCAGTCACCTATCGAGCATCCTGTGACGCATGTCAGGACGGCAAGGTCAAGTGCAGCCAGGGTAAACCGACATGCAGAAGATGCGCCAAGAAGGGCGTCCGTTGCGTCTACAGCCCATGGAGGCGTATTGGCAGGCCCAGGAAAGCACAACTGGCGTCGAGGGAGTCAACACGCCATGATGAGGAGCAGCCGGAGTCTTGCATAGCAGGACTGACGCCTTGCGGCAGTCTCGCAGAAGGCCAACATGAGATTGTTGCCGACGCGCTGTCAGGTCTCAGTCAAAGCCATGCTGCGGCCAACTCTACAGCTGCACTACAGAATGAGCCGGATAGCTCCAGCTCTGGAAGAACAGGCACTGATCTGGGTAGTGTTGCTACCCAGACGCCCGGCGCGTTGTCGTCCATTCATGTATTACCAGGCGCCAATGGGGGATACCCACACCCTGCGGCGATTCCATGGAACGGGGGACAAGAGAACGACCCGGGATGGGATGACATTGCAAGGAATATGCACCCCCACGAGACAGGCCCGAGAATAACACCAGAGGCGTTTGCAAGTGGCCCGACTGAGCCAATTACACCCGACGCCGGGCCGGACTGCTGCGTCGCCATCCTGACCCGGACCGCGAAGCTGGAACAGGCATTGGCCGTAGAATCATCTGCGCCGCCGATTCACTTCATCCTCGAGGCCGAGCGCGACACCCGCGCCCTCAAGAACAGCCTCTTTTCCTGCCGGGGCCATGTCCGCCGTGGGCTAGCCAACGACAATAACAACGCCGACGACGCCCAAAACTGTCTCTCGTCAAGCCGCCCCGTTCTGCATTACCTGTCTCTACTCATAGACCGGATCGTTGGCCTGCTCGAGGCGTCCTTCCGCCTCGCAGCCGACGCGGGAACGGCCATGCAGGACGCCTCCTGGTCCGGCAGCGAGATCCCCCCCCACGTCGGCGAGGCGTCTCGATCGCTGCTTCCGTGGCCTGTTGGAGGGGCCATGCGTGTTCCCCCTGCCGGCCGGGAACCTGGAGCTGCGCTTGGGGGGTTACGTAGTGGATAACCCGGTCAAGGGACGGGCATTGAGGCGGATGTTGCAGTTGCGGACGCGGAAGTTGCTGGTTATGTTAGGGGACGTGGAAGACGCGTTGCAGGGAGGCCGGGGCACAGAACGTGCGGGTGGCACGTTGGACTGGGGTTGTAGTGGGGCGTTGATAGACACGGCTACAATGCCTTTGGTCCGGGACTTAATTCGGCGCGTGGGAGCGTTGCGAGGGGCGATGTCATTGGTAGAATGAGGGTTTTAAAAAGTGCATGGCATCGGAAGACACCAGAAGACCATGTGTTCGTCCTCGCAATTGAAACTTCGCTGCAGGGTGACGCTCGTCGACGTAGCCGTGTGGTTGCCACCGCATTCCATCATACATGTGGCCTGTCTCGGACTCCTCGGCTTGACGATACGTGTGTCAATCCACGAACAAAGGGCTATCTACCAGCTCGAGGACGTGCCGATGCCGTGGGTTTTGCCCAGCAAGCAGAACAACCTGGAAATAAGCTCCTTCATCCCACGGCCTTGCAGCGGTGACTCAAACTCGGGTAAGGCATGCTGGTCAAGCAGTCGGGTCTCCTCTTCGATGTCCTGTAAGACGGCACCTAAGCGGATGACTGAGTAACGTAGGGCTTCCTGGTATACGATAGCAACCTCTTCCTCGTCGTCAATCTCCAGCTCGCATGTGAAGGCCGGGGCAACGTTGGGCTTTAGAGAGCCCATGTTCTCCACCGACCTCACTCTAGGCACGGGAAGGGATCCAAGCCTCGACGCCTGCGGTGCTGGAGGTCGAGCCGTCCCCAGCAGTTCCTCTACCGCCGTCTCGTAGAGCTTCAGAACGCGACCAGTGGCATCAGCCACCAGGCTGAAAACCACCGGGACCAAGTGAGCATCCGAGTTGGCACAGCCGTTGAGGTGCTCCCAGTGCTGCACCAAGTTGCGGCCAATGGTGAGGCTGTCACTCAGAGACATGTTGTTCTCTGCCCCTGTTTGCGTTGATGGGGACGATAGGAGATAGGGTGGTTGAGACTGGCTCACAACTCTCATGGTCGCGGCGAAACAGTCGCAGGACGGGTCTGGAGGTGCTGTCATCTTGTCCTTCGATACTCAAGACTCGACTCGTGAACATTGAGTTGGCTGGAACGTTTTTCGTGATCGAAGACAAATCACCATTTGAGCATGGCCCGGCAGCCCGGGTCCTTCGTCCAGGGTTGGCTGAATGAGCGTCGGGCCCTTTTGTTGAGTCGGGTCCTTTCCGAGCTTCCCTGCAAGTTCGAGATACTGTGAGCCACGCCAAGAGGTCCTCTAGTTACAGCAGAAGCGGGTGCGCCATCGTGCAAGCCTCGGGGACGACAATGTCTCCAGTGGTGTTTTTTGAGTCTGCTCTGTGATATGTTCTCGACGAAGGAAGGGTGATGAGACGTTGACACTCAGTTCATGAGCCCACCTCTGCTGACTCCATACCTTGGGTTCTGTCTGGCAATGGACCTCGCGAAAAGTCGTCCTGTAAGCATAAGTATCTTGGCCATAAAGGGATAAAGGCCATGGTGGTTCCCGCTCGTTTGTGGATGAATAAGGTAGTGACTGACGATGGGGTGGATGTGGTGATGACGGGGGCGGCATCGAGGAATGCTGCAGTTTTATGCAGGGTCTCACCCAAAGTTCAAACCCCACCATCCCCTCCTCCACCACTGACCACTGCACCTTCCTCGACATCTGCAAAAGTACCTCCAGCTTACAAAGGCGTCACCGAGGCCACCGCAGCTGCCTGTACGTAAGTCCCTTTGCCCGCCCAGCTCCAAGTCCGAAACACCTTCGTCTTGCAGCTAAATTACATCCATTTTCGAGCCCCTCCCTCGCGAAGCAGTAACAACGACACCCACGAGATACCACTACAACAACTTCAACGATCCAAACCGACCGCGTATCCGACCTGGGAACCCTCTCGACTATCGAGGTTATATCTTTTAAGCCTACCTGCAGCAGGTGCCCGGCGCCCTCGAGAAGCTCGCCATTGACCCAAGGCGACACAGCACGCGCTACAGCACCAGGCAAGCGACGCGAACGCGCCATCGCTCCACGACTTTGGCGGCTACACCCAGAAGAACACGCCATCTTACCCTGACAGTAAGGAGAAGACAGCAGCGAAGAGAAGGGCCCGGCAGATCTGTCGGTTTGAAGCGATTGCCCTCATACGAACAGCAAGTGCGCGCCGAGAGGCGAGACGAAGTCCGGACAACGGGGAATAATTAGAATTGGAGGGCAAACATAAGACCCGAGAGGGATCGACCAAGGAATATGGCGACGCTGCTGCACGAGTCAAACACGTACTCGGCCAACCCGCAGTGGGATGATGTCACGCCTATTCCACAGGTCGAGCCTGAGGGCGCGCTGGCCGCCATCGCGTATCCAGAAGATTACGCCGAGGGTTCGTTCACCCTCGTACTGCTGGCAGACTTGAACGTCCATCCGGTCTCAGCCGTGGAGGAGGAGGTCGTTGCATGTACGCACAGACGCTGACCCTGGAACTATAGCAATGTCCTATCTGCGCGCCGTCATGGCCGCGAAAGAGCTATCGAGGCGCTGTCTCGGACTGACAGAGCACATCATATCAATGAACCCGGCACACTACACGGTGTGGCTGTACCGGTTCGAGAACGTCGAGGCGCTCGGCATCTTGATCCCAGACGAGCTGGCCTGGCTGAACGAGGTGTCGCTCATGCACCTGAAGAACTACCAGATCTGGCACCACCGGCAGCAGCTTATAGATCACTACTACCCAACCCTGATCGACAACGACGAGGGTAAAGAAGGGAACAAGGACACCCCATCGTCATCATCATCCCCCACGAGGCAGCAATACCCCAACGAAAAGGTCGCCGCACTCGCCGCCTCGGAGCGCGCCTTCCTCACGCAGATGCTCGAGCAGGACACCAAGAACTACCACGTGTGGAGCTACCGGCAGTACCTGGTGCGCAAGCTGGGCGCGTTCGGCGACCCGGCGGAGCTGCGCAGCATCGAGGCCCTCGTCGACGAGGACGTTCGCAACAACTCGGCCTGGTCGCACCGCTTCTTCCTCGCCTTCAGCGACCCGGTCCACACGACGCCCGGCTCGCACGCCACGGAGCACGACCCGGCGGTCCCGGCCGCCATCGTCGACCGCGAGGTTGCGTACGCCCAGGCCAAGATCGGCCTCGCGCCCCAGAACCAGAGCCCCTGGAACTACCTGCGCGGCGCGCTGGTGAAGGGCGGGCGCGCGCTGGGGAGCGTGCGGGCGTTTGCCGAGGGCTTTGTCGAGGGGCTGGGCGAGGGCGACGAGAAGGAGAGGGTGCGCAGCTCGCATGCGCTGGATCTGCTTGCCGTTATCTATAAAGAAGCTGGCGAGCGGGAGAGGGCCGACTTGTGTCTGCGGCGGCTGGGCGACAAGTGGGATCGCATACGCAAGGGGTACTGGGAGTACCGGCGTCGGCTGCTGGACTCCTAGTCCTTTATACCTCAGTTGGTTGGGGGTTTGAAACGTGTCATCTTGTTCATGTTGATTGGAACTCTCTAAGAGTCCTGGATGAGCCGTCGATCTTGGCGGCGGCTCCTAGATAAGCATTGGTCACATGAACCGGTGTCTAATAGATTTTGTGAAGCGTGCGTAGTATTCAAAGTCAGATATTCCAATAGGAATGGGGTTCTTGATGCGTGATTATTTCTCTTGTTTTCGTGCTTCCTATAGGGCAAGACGTCTAGAGCCCAGGGGCGCATTTCGTCCCGGACACCTGGACTCCGTTGATTCCCAGCTCGTGATATCTGTCCACCACGATCTCCGTCTAGATGACGAAATGTACTATCGCCTGTACGATCAAGGTAGCCTGACCTTCTGAGATCCGGTACCTATCGAAGACTCGCGTTGCTTTGCCGTGGAGTTTGTTTCCTGGACCCTAGCTCAATTACCGCAGCCGGCGTCTCCAACATGGCCTCAGGACCTAGGGCTGACACCTGCGAAGTCTTATCGGATAGGTTGGCTCTATCCGTCCCATTCTCTCCTATTGAATTTCACCCCTCGGCGCCCCTCAGCGGCAGGCATCCAAGTAGTACTAGCAGCAAGCAGCAGGCTCACGGTCTCACCATGTCCGGGGGTCTGTCTGGTCTGGTCCGGGGACAGGAATCTCGCACAGCCATCCGCGAATCAGATCGGAGGAAATCAAATCGAGCCGTTACCACAGAACTGAAATTCACAAGACGCGGAAGTTCTGACTAACGACGACCCAGCGCCGCAGACCCCTGGCGGCCTTGGGGCTCAGCGCCTCCCAGTGCGGCACCAGCACCCAGGACTCGTTGAAGGCCTTGTCCTCGGCGCCGTCCTCGCCGGGCCGGCCGTAGCGCACCGTGCCGCTGACCTGCAGCGCGAAGCTGACGCGGTCGCCGTCTTTGATGCTCTTCTGGACTTTGCTGCTGCTACCACTACTTCCGCCTGCACTCGCACCTCCACTTTCCCCCGCTGCTGTCCCAGAGGCGCCTGAGCTCCCGCCCAGCGACTCGGGACACCCGATGCAGAAGTTGGCGTTGACGGACTGCGCGTCGAAGCTGGCGATCTCGTAGGCGACGGGCCCGCCCTGCGTGTTGAGCAGGGCCTCATACTCCTGCGCGGCGCCGGGTCCATCCCCCAAATGCCGCCCGTTGATGCTGATGTCGGGCGTCACCGACGCCGCCGTCAGCAGCGGCGACGTGCTGGCGTAGTAGTTGGCGAGCCCGTGCCGCCGGTTGAGCGACTCGTAGTAGTGGTCTATGAAGTTTTGCGCGGCTGCATGTGTGGTGTTAGCTTGGACTGGTTGGCCTGCTTATTGGTAGGTTGGTATTGGGGATCGATAGGATGGGAAATAGGGGGGCGGTGATAGGGGGGAAGGGCGCAGGAGGGGATAGACCGACTGGGGACATGGGTAGAGAGAGGAGGGTGGTGAGTCAGCCTGGCATGGCTTGTGATTTAGGGTAGGTAATTTACTTACCCTCGCTCACGACTCTGGCCTGGGTCTCAGCGTTTGGTAATGGCAGGGCCATGGCGAGTGGTGAATGGTGGGCTTCGACTAATGCAAATTGGTGCGTGCTTCGAGCGGCGGCGGAGCAGCTAGAGACGCGAACAAGAGTTGTCGGAAGGAGTTGGTTCGGATCTGTGGTGACGATATGTCTCGGAAGTAGCGGTAGAGCTGGCTGCATGGTCAGCATCTGTTGTGGCTGTGTGTAATGATTTCAAGTCACCTACGCAGCTTCAAGGGTGGTGACTGATGTGGATTATTGGACTCATGAGCGACGATGAGGTCAGATGGACAAGCCAATCTTTTCAGCGTACCGGTATGTTGTGTCGCAGTCGCAGTCGCGGTCGCTCCGAGCTTGGGGCTACGCGTCTGATGCCAGGATAGCTGGGAGTGTGTTGAGGATGAGATAGATGGTGCTCTATTTTGCGAGGTGGAATGGAGTTCGTTAAGGGAGAGAAAAAGGCTGAGTGAGGTTTGTTGCCTCTACAGTTTGCGTCACTGTGTGGGACCACTCTGACGGGCTTAATGGAAGCCTGGAATGGAGAATGCACAGTGCGGATTACTCAGCGAAATTCAAAGGATGCCATTTGGATTCTTTCAGAGTGGATGGTGAAATGGTGACAACCCGGGACACGCACGACGTGACCGCGGCTTGGAAAGTGACGGTTGGTCTCGTCACCATTGAGCAGATGATGATGTGCGTATTGTGTTATTATATTCTACCTCCGTTGACAGCCCAGAAGATGGGACCCATGCCCAGGTCCAACAACAAATAAGGTACCATTGCAAGAGGTCGAGACAGCCAGCTAGGCACGTATTACGCGAATGGAAAGCGTGGAGTGCACCTCTGGCAAGGGTCCATGCATGCTACAGGCAGGCAGACAGGCAACAAAGGCAAGAAAAAAAAAGGTAAAGGTATCAAAAAGCTCACACTCAGGAGGGGTCGAACCGATAGGCTCCTGAGTGCTACGAAAACCATCTTTAAGACCTTCGAGGGTGCTAGTTTATCTGGCCCGTAGGGTGTAGATCGATGCGGAGCGCAATGGAGGTATAATCTGTTACCATTGCGCCATTACACCAGGTTGAGGATTTGGTGATTTGTTTGCATACTTATTATGCCTTGCGGGCCAGGTCAGCTACCAGTCAGTCGCCCGGCAACATGTAGGAGCACTCTTGTCTGTTGGATCTGTCTAATATAGGTATTACTAGAATTAACCTAGTACCAAGAACACCGTCTATAATCGCTTGCTGAACGATGAACCATACCGAATGTTTTTGCCATAACCTGCAGCTAGCCTGACACATCGCTCGCAGAAGGCGTCTGTCGTATGCCACACTGCTCGAGGGGCATCGCTATGAGATGCCGATGTTCAAGAGGCAAAAGCCCCTCGATCGCAAGCAGGATCGGCTGTACCCTGCCCTTGAGCCACCACTTATTCCTGAACCGATACATCAAGATGCACCAGAACCCCATCACGATCAACGCGGCGGGATGTTTCCGGCCAAGGTGCTCTTTGAAGATGTCGCCCAGAGTAGGGATCCACCTCCACGCCGCGCTCTTCAGCTGGACATCGTCTCTCGCGCGGTCGGACATTGTGAAGCTGTAGCGCAGCGTATCGATGACCCTGGAAAATTCGGGTCTGAGTTCCTCGCAGACAGGCAGCTTGTCTTTGAGAGACACCAACTCCAGACCGGTGGCGGAATCCTCTATGTCGTCCAAGTTCATCCTGGACATGTCGCCCAGAATGGCACGCATCGGAGACGCAAGAAGAGTGGTGCGGTTCTGTCTAGTGATCGCGCTGCAGCCGTCGATAAGCAGCAGCCACTTGGGCGGGCTCTGCGTCTCTTCGTCAGAGATCAGAGAGAGGGGATCCTTCGCATTCCCGATGCTGTACGGGATAATGAGGGCCGCGGTAGCGAAGAGGGCTTGACAATTCCCCGGGCCGCTGGTTGCAAGGGCCTCCCTGAGCAGCGGAAGCGCCTGAGCGTGATGCTCCGCCGAGATGCGGTCGAGCGTGTCGGTCTGCTGAGGCTGTGACAGCTTCAAGTGCATGGCGGACATGGCTAGGAGATGGTGAAGAAGATAGGGGTGCTGAGTGGCCAGCTCCGGCACCGTCTCACACCAGGCTGTTGCTGAAGCGGCATCATCACCATGCTCTACGCCAACGGACTTGATGAAATGGCGGAACAAGGCGAAATCGGTGAAGTCAAAAAAAGACGTGACCGGGCTACTGGGTGGAAATGCTATGGCTGTTGTAACGTTTGCTTGAGGATCCAGACTGCACGGGAGCCGCCTCTTGAAGCAGTATGAGCAAGGCTTCTTCTCATCGCACTTGATCAGACGCGTTCATGTTAGCTTTTGAGTCGGAGGCAGTGTGAAAGGGGTTCCCCGTTGAATAGGAGACTGACCTTGACTTTCTTGGACTTGCACTGTCTGCAACCTGTTATATGACGAAGTTAGCGACTGCCCAAGTTCGAAGCATATAAGTATCATCAATTGCCAACCTACCTCCCCGGGACTTGGTGTGTGCTCTTCGTGCTGTTGGCGGCATATTCATTTCAAATGAGGTTTTCACCATTGGTCTCTGACCAGGCGAACCACCTACATGAACGCGGTTGCCCTGCTTACATATGTACCAGATGATTTATACTGTCGGTAACTTACATAAGGTAAGCCTTGTCTGTCCAAGACATGTGCTCCTCGCTGCGCCTCATGGCATTGCGTCACAAGTGCCGGCGCATCTCACCTGCAGCTGGGAAGATAGGGAACAGGTCTCGAAGAATTCCAAATGGCGGAGGCGGCTATTGAAATAGCGGGCGGATGACTCATCGCATTCCAGGCACGCATGCTGCAACCCCTATTCGATTCGATGGATGAGGTCAGATGGTGAGAGGTGAACTTCAGGTGTCTTCCAATCCCGTGGCAGCCAAAATGTTTGTCGTTAAGTTATGCCGCAGGGAGGTGGGGCAGGCAGGGGGGCAGGTTGGCAGAGGGTGTGTCGGAAACCCGCCGATGTGGCTCACGTCGGGCGATACAACCCTCCTTTTTATCACGAGCCTTGATAAGCGAAAGTATTATACAGTCGAAAACTTCGACCCTCTTATATACTCTTAGCTATATCCGCGCCATCCTTATATTATTTTTTAAAAAATGCTCATTTAAGAGGAGAAGGAGAAAAGTAAGACTAAGATACTCTCGGCAAAGTGCAGTAGTATAGAGTTAAATCGATAGACGACTTATTTAGGCGGACTGTGTAGTAATGCTCTCCTAGACTATGTGGTTTCAAGACAACATTTACTCGAGAACCGCTGTTGCGTGTAGTACTAGTAGATCAAAAGTACTTCAACCTCTCATTACTCCACCCAGGCCTCAGGTAGTCTGTCTCTGCGCCTGCTAAACATGGATCTAGGCTACTCTCATACGCACTCAGCACGCTGACTCCGATAATCATGCTGGCACCTACTGCGTCCTGTGCCCATACGTTCAAGCCGATCGTGTTGTTGCCGTGGTAATTAAGGATGCCTGGAAATACTGGGAATTCGATCTGATGTCCGATGTACGGGACGAACTTGCCGAACTGGATGATGGAACCGTCAGCTTACTGTAGCATCAATGTCGGTGTTGCTTGAAGGAACATGTACTTACCATGTACCCGTTCACGTAAAGCTGAGCACGCAGCTTCGAGCCCTCAGGGGCGTTGAGCTCGAAAGCCATGCTCACATCTACGGCCTCGGGCAAATCAAGCGGCATGTTCGTGCGGTAGAACTTTGCTCCAGCCTCAGTGAGGCCTTGCTCTGGGCTTCCACTTGCCCATGCATTGTCATTGAAGCCTGGGAGATGCCAGCCGAGGCGCTCAGCATGCAGACCGCCTTCATTGTACGGACCACGAATAGGGTCGATGTTGGCTTCGCCGCCAGCTTTGCCTGCGACCTTCCAGGAGCTGAAAGTCATGTTGGCGCCGGACGGGGAGAGGAGTGTGGCGTTCAGGATGCCGCGAGGGTTGAGGACGCCGGTCGTTTCGTCGTGGCCCATGTGATCTTGGATAATGAAGAGCATGTTCTCACCCGCCTTGGTAGCATTGCCGAAGGAGAGAGTGGCGTTCGTCTCAGACAAGCTCGCGTTACCGAGTGTAGAGCCAAGGTATACACCATTCAGCCAAGCACTCCAGCCTGAGGAGGTTCCGCCAATGACATCGAGGAAGACACCCGTAGCATTACCGCTGAAGCGACCTCGCCAGAGTAAATTCTGAGCGTGGAAGCCGTACTCGTCACCGTACAACACTGGGAACGTCTGAGGCTGCCAGGGGTTAAGCGTCCTGTTCTTGTTCGCCAGGACCCAGCCTGGGCCGGAGTCGTTGTAATTTTGGAAACGCTCAGGAAGGCCATCGGCAACTTTCCAGTCGGAAAGACTTGGTACGAGAGCTTGGATGGACTGAATAGTAGTAGCATTCGAAGCAGAAAGTGAGCCGACAAGACTGCCGTATTTTGTAGGACGAACGGCAACGGGCTTGCCGTTGAACATGATCATATTGCTGCTGTTGACATTCCAGTTACGGTAATTCTCATGACCGACAGGAGCAAAGACCTCGATCTCACCAGTGTCGTTATAGTCACCTGTTAGGCAGATCATGCCATTGTCTACGCTTGCTGTTCGGACAAGATACGGCCCTCGGACCAGGAGGGTTTCATTGAGCGGTACGTGTGGGTCAGTGGATAGCGTAGGCTGCCAGAAAGTGTATGCTGTAGTGCGATCCATGATGACAGCCTTCACGCCGTTGTCGAACGTGAGGACGCTCATACCACGATTCTGCATGAAGCTGACGATCAGGCCTTCGCTGGCTGGGTGGAAGGCGACGTTCGCGCAACCGTCACAGCGGGTAATGGAGCCACGCTTCGCATCCTTGAGGTAGACTTCGCCGCTTTCGCCAGTGGGCACCCAGAAGACGATGATCGGCTTGCCGTTCTGGATAGAGACGGTCATAATTTCAGCGGTGGAGTACACGAGTGTCGCGTCCCCAGCCGCGAAGTCAGCAACCAGTATCTTCGCTTGGCGCCCATCCAAGACAATATCTGGTGCATACTGCGGAACCTCTAATTGACCCAGCGAGGTGGTCATATTGAGTTTGAACGTCAAGTACAAAGTCAGCGTCGTGTTGGTATGCTTCACCACATAGAAGTGACTGCCCGTATCGACGTTCCGCAGTGCTTGAGAAAAGACGTCGGGGTTGCCAGTGAAGTTTGTAGTGCCATTGCCAGCCTTTTCGACCATCGTGAGGTCCTTCGCTGCTCGCACGAAGTAGCTGAGGAGCTTGGTCTCGGAGTACTTGTTTGTCAGTAAGCGGCTTTCGGAGATTGGAGCGCTATAATCGTAACTGGTGCCCACGGTTGGCATAGGCAGCCCTCCCCAGCTGGTCCCTCCGAAGAGCATGTACAAGTTTTGTCCAGTGACCTTGTTCCCGATGTTGTTGCGGTAAAATACATTGACCCAGTCTGGGCCAGTCGTATTAATACAGCCACCCTGCGGTCCACCCCACGGATTGTAGCTGCCACCTTGGAACTCGGCCAAGATTGAGGGCTGCGTAGGCGCTGTCTGCTGGAAATTGGTGTAGTAGTCAAATACGGTGAAGTCAGGTGGGAAGCCGTTCGTGCTCGTGCATTCGTCAGTGTTGCAGCTCCAGCAACTTGGGTAATTGTCAAGGCCGTATATGTCCGTATCGCCGCCTACATGGTTGACATCGTAGTCAAGCGACCAGCTTTTGCTACCAAGGTTGGGGTTGTTCGCCAGTGTCGGAATGTTGACACCATTGCTTCTTGCTGCTGCCTCCAGGAGTTCCATGTATGCGATGGCCGTCTCGTTCGGTGTCCGGTCATCAACATCAGTCCATTGCTCGCCGTACTCGTTCTCAATCTGGTACAGTATGACGTTCCCACCGTTAGTCGCGGAATGCTCTGCAACCATAGTGGATAGAGAATTCCAGTATGGCGTCCACGCTTCTGTGTATCGAGTGTCATTGTTGCGAAGCGTACCGTAGTCTCCAGTCAGAAGCCAGCCCGGAAAGCCACCAGCCGTCGTTTCAGCATTGATGTACGGTCCAGATCTGACAAGCATGTAGAGCCCGAGCTCCTTGGCGATCTCGAAAATCTGCGTGAAGTCGTGTGCCCCAGTCTCAAAGTCCAGCTCGCCTGCTGCCGCGCTATGCCAGCCCCAGTGGGCGTAGATGGAGAAGGCGTTGAAGCCGGCTGAGGTCCAATCAGTACTATGTCACCATTAGAGCACTTACAAGAGGCCAATATACCAGCCTTGATCTTCTCCATGATGTCTCGCCATAGCTCAGGCACCGGTATCCGCCAGTAGTGAAACTCGCCACTCCAGAAGAAGAGCCTCTCTCCATTCACTATCAGCGAGTAGTGATCCCATTGCACAATGTCATTAAGCCCGTCGTCATGCAGTGGCCATTGTTGGGCTGCGGCGGCAAGCAGCTGCCCAGCGAGGAGGAGATGGTGGAAGAGCCTCATGGCAGCGAGACTTATCTTACTGATAACTGAAGATGAAGAGACTGCAGGAACACACTGTACCTACATAAGCTTCCCCAGCTTCTCCAGACCGCATGGCGCTCTACGTGCAATATATTAGCCGGCGGGGCCGTGGGCAGGGCCAGGCTGCCAGGGTTGCAGTCACGAGACGGGAAGACATACTGTCGGGTCGCAGTGGCGAGTAAGAATTTCTCCGGGCCAATATCGACGCTCTACGTACACATTACGCCGGATACTGTAGTCCGCTCATTGGGGCGCATCTGGAGCAAGCGGAGAGTGGGGAGAAGAAGTAGGGCCGGTTTCCGGACATACGACGGCGGAAGTCATGATCGAGAGGGGGAATATACTCAGGGATGGTCAAATTTCGCTCCGGGGTAGCTATAATGGCGATCCTTATCTCCGACCCATTTGCCGAGCATACAGTATGCTGAACGCATGGCTAATTTTAAGATTATCTCCGAAAAGTCTTGGCTACACCACCCCCGGGCGATATTCGATCGACAGCACGTCGCCGGCGACAGTAGCTGGCAGCAACATCAGCGTCGAGCTGCAAAGGGTACGTGAGCCCGACGGTGGAGAGGTGGTACATGTCGTACGAATTTCTGAAGATTAAAGTAAAGAGTATGACTACAACTGTGGCCCGCTTGATCCGCTGTTTACTACGCCCTATGGTCAATGAGGAGCCGTTGGAATTGGTCATAGTTTAGTCCCGCGTCTTCTTCCATTCGGTCCCGTGCAACTGTATTTGTGCGGGAGTCGGACCTTATGACAAGGCACCAGCTAATGAGTACTACATCAGGCACAGTACTTAAGTGTAGGTTAAGAGGTGCAAGCTGAGCATACCCCTCGGCCTTCTGCATCACTCACCCCTTGTCCCGACATCTCGCCCACCCGACTGAAGCCCACAAACTGTCAGCACAAGATGGGCTCATCATACGCACCAGAGCCCCAGAAGCTCTACATAGAAACACCATGCATACCGTCGGCACCCCTGTCGCGAGCCGCAGGATGGTCAGTATCCCTCGCCCACAGCATGGGAGCCCGAGACTGACACCACACGCCCGCCACGCAGCAACATATTCCTCAAGCTGGAGAACTTGCAGCCCTCGGGATCTTTCAAGTCGCGCGGCGTGGGCTCCATGATGCACCGGGCCCTCCTGGCCAAACCAGACGGCAGGGCGCACTTCTACTGTAGCTCGGGCGGCAACGCTGGGCTGGCCTGCGCGACGGCGGCCGCGACCCTGGCCCAGTCCTGCACCATAGTCGTGCCGACCCTCACAGCCGCCCACATGATCGCCAAGATGCGACTGCTGGGCGCCACCGTCGAACAGGTGGGTGAGAACTGGTCCTTCGCGGACAAGTATCTGCGGGAGGAACTCCTGGCACGTGATACCGAGCACGGGGTCTACGTGCCTCCTTTCGACCACCCCCACGTGTGGGAGGGCGCGTCAACGATCGTGGACGAGCTCGTGACGCAGACGCGGGGGCTGATGGCAGGGGGAGCTGCGAAGGTCGACGGCATCATTTGTAACTGCGGCGGCGGCGGGCTGCTAAACGGGATCATGGAGGGCGTCGGGAAGAACTTCCGGGGCTCCAAGCCGACAGTGCTCGCCGTCGAGACGGTCGGCGCGGACAGCCTGGACGCCAGCGTCAGGGCCGGCGAGCTCGTCACCCTGCCGGCCATCACGAGCATCGCCACCAGCCTGGGCGCGCCGCGCGTCTCGGCCAAGACGTTCGAGTGGACCCGGGAGAAGCACCTGCTCAACACCGTGGTGACCGACGCCGAGGCCGTGATGGGGTGCGTCAAGCTGGCCAATGACGCGCGCATGCTCGTCGAGGCTTCTTGCGGCGCCACCATCGCACCTGTCTACAACGGCGGTCTGAGAAAAGCGATGGGAGAGGGGTTAAGTGACGAGGAATGGAGCCGGAAGAATGTCGTCGCCATCGTGTGTGGCGGAACCGATGTCACGCTTCAGATATTGAGAGACTATCAGAAGAAGTTTGGTGTTGAGTGAGTGGATATAGGGGGGCGGACCCCCATGGCTTGTATCATGAGATGGAGCATCATATCTTCGAACACCCAATCATATTTAATATCGTAGGCTGTCTCGTTGGCCCCGTTTGAACTCCGCCATCCTCGAATTGTTTCAATTATGCTTACCCGAACTATGGGTGCACATATATCTCCTCAGTCTATTGCTTCGACTCAATCTCACGTCAATGGCCTTCGCCTGATTTTCCCGAGACAATACAAACCCAGCCAGCACCTATCGAACGCCTCCAAGCACACTGATGTTTTGGAATACAGCCTCCTATCATTCCCAATCCCTAGTTGCACCCGGGCAACGGTATATACCCCAACTGTGACTGCCGAACACATCAGCCTCCTGGACCACCATCACGCGCCACCACGGGAACAACACAGAAAATCTACCATGTAGCAGCATCACGACCACCAATGAGGATATTCTTCCTTTTATCGAGCACAGCTTCATCCGCATAACCAGCCCCTCGAGACGTCCCCAGCACATACCTGTAGGACACAGAGGTGGACGCACTCAAACGAGTGCCCGCAGGCGATAGCCTTCTCGCAGGCCCTGCTGGTTCAGCTTCCGCTGCTCGACGCCCACGGGCACGGCGGAGACGCCGATGGCCAGGGCGGCGGCAAAAGGCGCGATTGTGCGGAACTTTTTCCCATCGGGGTATGTGTGGAGAGAAGGAGGATAAGGTAGGCCTGTTGAGGTAGGTACTGTGTTGGCGGCGTGGACTAACCCTAACCCTAACCCTCGCCGGCATTTCTAATTCAGCTTGGAGCACGGAGATACTCTGTGATTCGACCTACCTAGGTACTCTAATGATTTTCTGAACCATGTCTGACTGACTGCAATCACATCACTGTAGAAGGTTTACTTCATCGGACATTTGAATTCTGATGAGTCAATTGACGCGTTGGGTTGTAAATTCGGTAAGAGCACTCTTGATGCACGTGACCGGGCCCGTCCTTATTGAATAATTCCATGCAAGACAGTGCCCCGAAAGTTTATGCCCACTATATTTCGCATACCTAAATCCAATACACCCAACTCGCTTATTCCTCCCTACCTTACCTTGCTTCCCGACTCCCACCCCCTTTCCACACCGAGTGACTCAGAATATTATCATTCTACCATCTCATCAGAGAAACGTGGTGAGACGAGAGCCAAGACCAAGCACTCAATCAAAAAAGGCATCATCAGTCCGGTCGCACATCCTTGCCTGCCCGCCAAAGGAGGCTCAACTCAAATTGAAGAAGCATCCGAAGCCCAAAGTAGAAAAGCAAATCAGCAGTAGCAAAAGCTCCTGCTGGGATCCCGAGTGCGCGAGGAGGGGAAATCAGAGTACAGAAAGAACGACAGACAGAAGCAGGGGAAACCATGCGCTCCAATCCCAACATCGTCGTCACGGGCACGCCCGGCGTCGGCAAGACGACGCACTGCGAGGCACTGGCCGAGCGCACGGGGCTGAGGCACGTGTCGGTCAACCAGGTCGTCAAGGATCGCGGCTGCCACGAGGAGTGGGACGAGGAGTACTTGAGCTGGATCGTGGATGAGGATAAGGTGAGTCTTTTTTCCTTTTTTTCTCCTTCGGAAGGGCTGTTTCTGGTGTGGTTCGGGAGGGAGAGGGGTCAGGACTAAGGACGGGCGAATTGGGAGGAATCGGGACGGGAGACGATGAGTTTGCGCATCAGGGACCATCCAGAAAGGTATCGCTGTGGGATCTGGCCTTACCTGGCTCTCCTTTCCGTACCTCGGTGCTAGGAACTACAAAAGAAGGACCTATCAGCAGAGACATCATTACGAGGTCACTATATTGTGAGGACTCGGCTGACATATGTCCCGTGCAACAGCTGCTCGACGCTCTAGAGGAGGAGGTCAAGGCTGGTGGTTGCATCATCGACTGGCACGCGTGCGACCTGTTCCCGGAGCGCTGGATCGACCTCGTGGTCGTACTGAGGGTGGACTCGAGCACGCTGTACGATCGGTTGTCTGCGAGGTAAGTGTGTCCTACAAGTACCAAACCTAGTCCCAAATCCAACGCCCTGTGCACTACTATCGCCGCATCTTGTTCCGCTTTCCTCCTCCGGATGCACGAAGAGGATGGCCAGGCCCGAAGAATCGAGTTTCCTCTCCATCCTGCATGGGATAGCACAAAAAGCGCTTTACTAACATCCAAACACAGAAAATACCCCGAGGCGAAGCTGCAGGAGAACCTCGACTCGGAGATCATGGAGGTGCTGCTGCAGGAGGCGCGCGAATCGTACGCTGAGGAGATCGTCGTTGAGCTGACCAGCAACACGACCGACGAGATGGAGAGCAACGTCGACCGCATCGAGGCGTGGGTCAAGCAGTGGAAGGAGAACACCCGTCCTGAGGGTGGCAAGGATGGCGATGGTAACGGTACTGGGGAGGCGTAGTGCTATGATTTGCGGTGCTTCTATCAATCTAAGCTGCGATAGGGGGCTAGAAAGCATGGAAAGGGATGGCGTAGCCCCTTTTTTGCATGAAGACTACGGCATCAGGCATGAGAAATGGAAACGCCGGATTGATACCCATAAGACTGAACCGTCCTTGAACGTGCATATGCCACTTTGACAATCACTGCCGGGCTGGAGTTTATCTGCCAACGTGGCTTGCTGCCCAGAGTCTGACTCCAGAATCAATCCATGGACCGATTGCCTGCACATTCGGGGTGTCTTCCCGGGTAGGCTGGCTCCCACTGGCCTGACAGCCTGGCACCTGGTAGTGGATCTCCACTGTAGTTCAGCGGCTTTCTATCGGGCGCCAAGAGAGACGGGACCCTCTCAAAATCCGACCTCGCACGACGACTGCAGATTCGCCGGATGTGTCACTGACTGCTCGCCGTTTGGATCATGAGAAACGCATCATAAGAACTCACTACCGTCACTTCGCAGTGTGGACACTCGAAGACCATAAAGAGCAAAGGCGTCGACAACCACCATCATCAGCCCACCGCCATCATTCCCTCCCTCTGTCATTCACACCCCCAAACGACCCTCAAAAACTATCACTCATCAACCACGACCAACAACAAAAGAGCAAGACAAGAACAGCAAAAACAAAACGAAATGGCAGCAGCCCGCCCCGTCCTCAACTTCATAACCGGCAACGCCAACAAGCTAGCCGAGGTCAAGGCCATCCTCGAGGTCGCCGGCATCACGGTGCAGAACCAGGCGCTGGACCTGCCCGAGATCCAGGGCACTTTGGAAGAAGTCACGCTGGAGAAGTGCCGCGTGGCCGCCGACCGCGTCGGCGGGCCCGTGCTCGTCGAGGACACCTGTCTTTGCTTCGATGCGCTGGCGGGGCTGCCGGGGCCTTATATGTGAGTTTTTCTTTTCTTGCTCTTGTCTTGTTCACTTCCGTGTTTGAGTCTGGATCGGGGTTTGATCTTGTGAGGGATGGGTTGGATAGGGGTCTGTGAGAAGAAGATGGATCCGATCGATGAGACGGGATGACAAGTCTTGAGACGGATCGGGAAAACAAAAAGACACGCAGCTCCAAGACATAAGCACAACTGACCACACGCGAAAACAGCAAGTGGTTCATGCAATCCATCGGCCACACGGGCCTCAACAACATGCTAGTCGCCTACGACGACAAGTCGGCCCAGGCCGTCGCCACCTTTGGCTTCTCGCAGGGGCCGGGCCACGAGCCGCTGCTGTTCCAGGGGCGGACGCACGTATGTCATCCATCCACGCTCCTTTCCCCTTTCTTTCTTCCCCTTTCATAGTCCCCCTTCCCTAGCCCAGTCTGTGTGTTCTCTCACTGTTGTTCAAGCTGCTTGTGAAAGGTTAGGTACGTAGAGAGCTCGTGGCTGATATAGATGTGTCGAACAGGGCAAGATAGTCCCAGCAAGGGGCCCGACGAATTTCGGTATGTCTGGTGTGCTCCTAGTCCACATGGTACTTAGTCCATGTCTATACAAAACGACAATTGGCACAACGTGTGGACTGTTCACGAGTCTCGTATGCAGACTGACTGATCATCCAGGCTGGGACCCCATCTTCGAGTACGAAGGCCAGACGTAAGTGACCCCCTTCCCAAATTCGAACCCCCTCACATACATTCCCCCCTTTAATCGTGTCCGACCCCTCGCCACCGCCAAAATGAGCTGACAAGAGCATGTGGCCGTAAAGATACGCCGAGATGGACAAGGTAGAGAAGAACAAGATCTCGCACCGCTTCAAGGCCCTCGAGAAGCTACGGGCCTGGATCGAGGGCGGAGGCATGAAGGCATGATGACTCAAGCACGAGAAGAGCATGGCAAATACACCGAGCACACAAAGAATACCTTAGAGTAGTGTGAATGCATACGCTTTTCTCGTAGTGGCGGGTATATCAACCGAACCAGCCCCCTTGCATCATACATAGGCACATACAATGAAGAAGCAACGCCCATCATGCGGCGAAAATGCAGTCAAGATCCCGTAAACCATCGCGATGCCGTCAATGAGCCATGGCCAGTGACAGATGTGCCGAAACAACACAGCCTTGTGCGATCGCCTCCAGAGTCAGGAGAGCTACCTTAGCCAGCCCTCCGACGAGTAGCCCCCGCCCGTCCCTGTATCTCCCAGAACGCCTGTATGCAGACACAATCAATGCTCGCCGTGCGAAGAGTCCCATTCAGTCTCTGACAGGAGACTACCTGCGTCATGGCAACTCTACCGGCTTCAATCTAGACACGGGTCAAATTAGCAAACACCAACACCAACAGCAGCAGCCACCACAGCCGCCCTAAGTAGAAACATACACACCTAAGAACCTCAAACTCGTTATACTTCTTCAAGTACTTGTTGCCCCGCCGGTACAGCTTCAGCGCCGTGTCCGGACTGCGGTGCTGGAACCGGCGTCCGACGTAGCGCGTGATGCCCACGGGGTCGTGGAACATGGGGTCGAAGACCAGCAGCTCTATCGCGCCGCCGTGTCGCTTCTCGAGGCCGACAATGGTCAAGGAGTGGCCTACGTATCATCAGTAACTGCACGTCCGCTTCGGATAACAGGGGAGACCGCAAGAGATAGACGAGACAGGATGACTCGAGATATAAGTTTGCCCCACTCACCGCGATGCTGGAAGTAGATGGGCGGCAAAGACGTGCGGCGCACCTTGGCCTGCGGGTCGTAGCGGCGGGACTCGAAGTACCTCTCCACGGAAGCGAGGAGCTCGGCCTCCGCATCGGACGGCTTGTCGCACTTGAAGCCCTGAGCCTCGCATCTATGCAACAGAATCAGTGAGTGGTCTTTCCTTGTATGAGCTTCAGTCAGCCGGTAGACTTACGGTATCTGGAGGCTGAGGAACATAGCTTGCGCCTATGAAAGTAGTGTGAGTGATCATTTCTGCCACGTCGTCGTGATAATAGTGATATATAGCGAGACACTTACCTCGGGCGTCCCGATGTACTTGCGCGTGCCCTTCACCCCGCCTGTCTCGACTCTGCCCTGCGCGCATATGCCCATGTCCCACGCATTCTCGATGTAGTCCTGTATGCGGAATATGCTGGGTATCTTGCCGCGAAATACCTCGGCGCCAGGCGCACTAGCCCCGACGACATAGGATGAAAGCATCTGAATATTACGATAGCCGCAAAAGCCGCCTGAAATATGGTCAGTTATCGGCATCTCACGTCAGGGATCATCATCTCCGAAGCCATTATTACCCTCTCTACGCAGCTTTGAGATATGCTGCACGGTTGGATGGCAGAGGTATGCATACTGCGTCGTCGAGTTCTGCTCCAGGAGCTGCTCGAGAACCGATATGACACCTAGGAAAGGGTGAGCTGTCTAATGTGGCCGTTGTTGGACGAACCCCATCTGGTGGGTAGCACATACCCTCTGCGCTCACGTAACGACCTTTCCTGAGCATGGACACCAGCCAGTCGGGCATCTTATTCTCGTGAGCGTACTTGCCCAGCTCTGATTTCTAGGCCTTCTGTCAGCACATTTGCCAGGCCAGAAAGTGGCACCACATGATAATATGAATTGAAGGACTCAGGAGACTTACACCAAGTCTCTTCCGCGGCGGGGATTCCCCATCAGCCTCATACGCCCCATCCTTCCTCGTCCGCGCCGCCTTTCTCGAGCCGGGCATATGCAGTATCTGCTTCCAGCTCTCGATGCTCTTTGCTTGACTGGCACTGCCGTTACCGCCGTTTGCGCCGCTGCGTGGCTCGTCGTCCGCTCGCTCATAGCCGCTGCCCGCAGCCACATTCCCACTATTCACGTACGGCGAGCGATACCCATTAGACGCAGCCTCTGAGTCCCGCGCCGTGGCACCGCCGTGGCTATGGCGCTCTCGCCACGCTGACGTTGATGCGGCCTCTGGGTCCGGCTCCTCGGCGGCGTGGAACTCGATGTGTTCGTCGAGCTCGGCGAGCGTGATGATCTCCTCGCAGGCGTCGATGGGGCACACGGCGAACTGGCCCTCGCCCTCGCTGCTCATGTCCGGGTCGCCGCCATCGGCTAATATGGCGTCCGCCTCCTTGCCGGCGATTTTGCTGGGGGCCGGCGAGTTCTCGTCGCCGCCAGCGACGAAGGGGGAGTCGCCTTCTTCATGTTCCGTCTCCATGTGCTGCATCGAGGTGTGAGAAAGGGAAGTTGATTGCTTATTCAGATAGGTGGCGGAGGCAGATATAAGGGACATGGTGAGGCAGGCATGTGCGGAGCTCTTCCCTGCAGCCCGTGTAGATGGGTGGGTGTATATGGGCAGGCACGCAAAAAGGGGCGCAGAGGAGGCAGGCGCGACTTACAAGCAGAATGGCATACTCGTTCTCGGCTTGGTAACCGCAGAACGGGCAGGGCATAATACCGGTCATTGTGGCGGTGTTGCGGTATGCATCGGCTTATAGACTTTTCAGTCGATGGGTAACAAGTCCGAAAGTTCCGAAGGAGTGGGTGCCGTGCACGAAACGTGTTCTTGTACCCAGAAAAGTTATTGCAGGTACCCGACACGATCTGTCTTATATCACAGAAGGACTGCGGGGTGTAGACGGATGAGCATGAGCGTGAGCATGAGTGCGGTGACTGACAGGTAGGTGAGGCTGAAGCCTGACGGGAGTGTGTTGAGTGCTAGGCTGCTAGCCAGCCCAGAGCCGCCTGCCTGTGAGACGAAAGATTGCCCTAACCTTGGACGTGCAGGGATCTGATTATATGAGGGTACAATGCAGTGAGATAGACGACGGGTTAATTGAGTATAGGAAGAACTGCCGCCAGCAATGACAGAAGAAAGCGGTAAGAAGCAGCCTGATGGGGGCTATCTTAGTAAGTTCAGTAGTGTCGGTTCCGACTGCTCGTCATTCTGCTCAGTGCTGCTAAAAACATCCCTGGCAATTGGAAGACCCTGAAGGACCCTGAAGATCCCCGAGATGCGGTGGTAACGTGGTGACGAAACATTCCTGCGGTACTCCCGCCGGATGCGTCCCCTAGCTCCAAGTCTAATACTAAATAATAGGAATAGTTTATTGCATAATGCGTGACGGGATGAGAGAAGAAGCACTAAATAACTTCCCTCATAAATTCTGACTGAATATGTTTATTATTCTTGTTCATCGTTCGTTTGGAATTGAACCGAGGTTACAACAACCAGGATTCAGTACCACCCCGCCACGTTGCGTTATCGCCGGGTGTCAATCATTCATGGCCCCTGGTCATACATCTTCCTTCGTCTTCCTAGCATCAATCATTGGTCTGTCTATCCGCTAGCTGTCTTCGACATCGCACCCACACCGGTCCCGTGTCTTCCAGGATTTAGAGCAAGTCTGAACCATCTACAACGCCAGCACCTCATACCGCCATGTTCTTTATCTTCTCACCCGCCTGCGCGACAGCTTCGCCCGCAGCAGCCACCTTTGACTTCGCGCCCTTCTCCGCCGTGCCTGTGGCCTTGGCCTTGGCCTTCTCAGAGGTCGAGTCCTTCGGCAGCTCCTTGGTGAAAGGGATGAACTCAGGAGCGCCCGGCAGATATTTGCGCAATACTTCAGGTACTCGTAGGCCCTTGTTGCGAGAAGTCAATATAAGCACACTCGTTCGAGTCCAGGCATAAGAGACTTACATCTTCCGTCTGGTAGTTCTCAAGTACACAGCACAGCGCCCGTTCTGTCGCCGTCAAGGTCGAGTTGAGAGCGTGGACATACTTCTTCTTCACGTCCGTCTGTGTCTTGGTGCCGAATCTGATCTCCAGCGCCCGCGACTGGTAGTCTGTGCAGTTTGAGCAAGACACCTTTCGACGGGGATTAGCGGATGCCTCAAAAGTAGCCCAAGTGAGTCCCGCAACATACCAGCTCCTTGTACTCCCCTTGGTACGGGAACCATGCCTCCAGGTCATACTTCTTGGCCGCCGCGTTGTTCAGGGCACCCGAGACAATCGCTACTACTTGGTCTGGTCTGTGTCAGCCTCTTGCTCGAGCTCTCAAGCTTCCCCAGGGAACACGGCAGTTTTGTTTACGTACTGCGGTAAAGTCAGTCTTCAAGCCTATAGCTCCGGTATAAGAGGCATTCACGTACCATGGCAATCCAAGTGACTGATAGAAACCCTCGGAGTTGGCGAACATCTCGTCAAACATCTCCCACGACTTTGGCACAGTCAGCTAGGTGCCCTTCATGCGGCAAGGGACCGTGTCTAGTGCGATGAGGCCAGCGAAGCCTACCTTCTCAGGATCCGTGAGGACGAACTGTTCCACTTTCTCGAACTGATCACACATACTCGTTAGCAAGTGATGACATATGCACCGTCGTGCACCGTAGGTTTACCTGATGGACACGGAAGATACCCCAAGCATCACGACCGTGAGAGCCGGCCTCACGTCGGTAGCAGGTGCTGAATCCAGCATATTTGATGGGAAGCTCCTTGGCAATGATCCACTCATCGGCATGGAACGCCGAGATGGGTTGTTCTGAGGTGGCGATGAGGTACTTATCGTTCTGCGCACCGCCGTCGACCACCTTGTACAGCTCCTCGTCGAATCTAGAAAGTCGGGGGTTAGTCGTCAACACTTTCAAACAATTTTGGAGATCCTAGGCTCGATCTCGGGTGGTTCAGGGCCATAGTGAGATGGCCGTATGGATTCCCAACTGCGAGTGCATCCAGTGTGTGCGATCCAAAACAGTGAGCCAGGTTGAGTAGACGTACTGTTCCAGCTGGGCGGTCTTCCTATAACAACAGAATTAGCCAAGTCTCCACCCAAATCCCTCCACAAAGGGGGGCAAACGTACGCCATGTACTCCTTGAGCATGAACTGCGGCGTCTGCAGGGGCGTGAAGCCCTTCCCCATGAGGTACTCCAAGCCATAGTTGATGAGGGCCTGGTTGAGGAAGACACCCCACTGCTTGAGGAAGTAACCACGGTGTCCCACGATCTTGGATCCACGCTCGGGATCGTACCCGTCTATCCGCAGCAGCACCTCGTGGTGCGACAGCACGTTCTCCTTCTTCTCCACGACGACGCCCTCGGGCGCCCACGTGCGCAGCACCGCGTTGTTGTCCTCATTATCACTAATTGGCACCGAGTCGTGCACGATGTTGCCGATGGTCTTGACCTTGGCCTGCAGCGCGATGTCCTTCAGCGCCGCCGACTCGAGCAGCGCCTTCTTCTCCTTGTCGAAGTCGGCCTTCTGCTTCAGGAGGTCGTCGGCGTTCTCCTTGGCCTGCAAATCCACAAATTCGCCTAGTCAGTTCGTCTGATGTCGGTCTGATATGTGTTGCTGTTGTTGTTGTTGTTGTTGGGCTTCGTGGATAGGGGGGGGGAGGCAGGCCGGGCGTAGGTGTGACTCAGAAGAACAGGCGGTGTCTGGACTGACTGACCTTCTTCTTCGCGCCGATCTGCTTGTTCAGGTCGTTCATCTTGCTGTTGATCTGGGTCGCGGCATACTGGGCTATAGGGGTCGCAAAAACGGTCAGCCCACGTCCCTCATTTAAGTAAGGGGAACTGACTCTTCCGATGGTCCTCCCACATGGCGATGATCTCGTCGACCACGTCCGGGTTGGCATATCTGCGGCGCTGCGACTTCTTGATCTTCTCCGGGTTGCCGCCGCGGTCGGCGATGAAGTCGAGGACGTCGAGCATGCTCGCGAGTGCTGGGGGTATCGAACCACGAAGACTGAAAGAGTCGAAAGACGCAGATACTCGGGTACAAAGGTATGCTTCAAGTTGTTGATGTCTGTCTCAGCGTTGTAACTCGTAGTAGACAGACGGATGGACAAATTTTGGTGGGGTGATTGGGCGTGGCGGGGCAGGATATCGACCTCGCGGGGTGATTTCTCGTGTTACAGTACTGGCCTCTTCTTGCTGCCCTGTTACTGCTCATATATCCCGTCACTTACCCAGAGCAAATTGAGGAAGTCCAGCTTGGTTATTCTTAGCAATTAGACTTCAAACAACTGAAAGTTAAAGGATCTGGGTGACATTGAAAATTGAAAATTTACTGCAGTCAGAAGTCAGCTTTCTTGGGCGGTTGAGTCATTGGCCGGATCCCTCATCTTGACCTCGCTCCGTATCACCTCGTTCGGATATATCGACATATCGTCGTATAATCGCAAACATCGTCTTGTGTTCTACCATTGGCCCACAGCTTTCGAATCTTCAGCATGTCAATTGGTGTCATTGAGACTCGGAGCAAGTCCAGGATCTATCAAGCAGGATCCGATTAATCATTAACGCCCCTTGAGGTCTAAAGCCCGCCCTGTAGTATATACGCACACGCCAAGCCTCCTCTATCGGTGTTACACACACGACATTGTCCAAGTCAATACAGTCGCCAGATTGCCATCGCAAAAACCAACAATCCCCACAGTAGCTAGTACTCGTAGCTGCTTGAACGATCAATGTCAATGCTCGATCGACCACCAAGTGGTCCCGTCTTCCGTCCAGTCCAATGCCAGTGCCAATGCCGTATCCGTATGTATACCTGTACGTCCAGTGTAGGTGTTGTGTCCGTCTAACCAGCTCTTCTTCACATGACATCGCACTTGCCACCGGCCGGCGCCTCGTTCGGGTTCTGCGACTTCTCAATCTGTGCGATCAGGAGCTCGAACGCCTTGCCGACGTTCTCGTTGTAGCGCGCGCTCGCCTCGGTCCACCCGCAGTTGAACTTCTCCGACAGCTTGCGCCCGTCCTCCTGGCTGACCTGGCGCTGCTCGGGCCGCAGGTCGCTCTTGTTGCCCACAATGACGATGGGGACCCAGTCCGTGCCCTGTGAGAGAGTGGCGCACCGTCAGTACTCGGGTCTGGTCAAGTGACTGACTGACTGCCAGTATAGATACCAGTCAGTATAAGGGCAACGTACCAGGTGGTTCAAGATCTTTTCGCGAATCACCTGAACCATCTCGAAAGACGGCAGGGAGGAGACCGAGTACACCAGCATGTAACCGTGGATACCGATGAAATGCTTGGAGTTCAAGATACTGTATTCATCCTATACGCGCGCACCAAACAAGCAAGGTGTTAGAAAGGGCTCGCAACAATCTCGGGTCGTGGGATTTCGGGGTGTGCTCGTGGTCGTGGCGTACCTGGCCAGCAGTGTCGACGATCTCGGTCGCATAGTCCTGCCCCTTGAAGCGGATGACTTTACTGAAAGTGTTCTCTATCGTGGGGTAGTAGCTTTCGACGAAGTGGCCATCGACATATTGGACCGCCAGGGAGGATTTGCCTGTACGCGCAGAAGAGGTTCAAGTCAGTGCCGGGTCTCGCGTCTCGAGCCTGCATGCATGTGACAGCCCGCAAGGGTAAGGGGGGTGCGTACCAACAGATCGGCTGCCAACGATGGCGACTTTCCGCTGCTTGGATGGCGGCGGCATTTACAAGGTTTCCCGGCTTGCGATATGGGATAACTACAGTAGGCAACGTATAGGTAAGCAGGGTGCGCCGATATGGATGTAGGTTTGGCGCACTGGCGATAATGGAATGCTGCGAGTGGGAGTGAGGGTTTGATGCGAGCGGGCATTGGCGTGGGTGGCGCACCATCATGCCATACCTTCAGTCTGTCTGTCGCGTTGCTTGTGCACAGATTCGTGTGCTATGACGTGTCGATGTTACCCAAGATCGCAAGGTGTCGATACGTTTGTGACTCGGTGTACGAGCCAGGGCAATAGAAATCTCTATTATGCGACGAAAGAGAAGCTCGAAGCAGAAGAAGTTGTAGAGGTGAGGCGGGGCAGCGGTAAAGTGGGTGGGCGAGACGGCCTACACTACAGGGACTCAGCAGTGGTGAACCAAGCTTCAACTTTTGACACGTGCAACTGGCAGCACTGAGTTGCTCAGACAAAGTAAATCAAGCTTGGAAATAAACACTCCTGCTGATAACAAGGAGCATGGCAACCTGTAAATTGACACATGCAGGCAAGCAGGATAGGGGCACTCCATCCACTGGGCTGTTCATTGGGACAACCTTCATGTCATTCGTGCAGATGGGCACAGCACTGCGAGTTTGCGACTGGTCAAGAAACAGATAGCTCTTTGTCCCTACTACAACAGCACCGTCATTGTTAACACTTAGTCTATCTACTAAGCACTCAGTCTATTTGCGAACTGCTATGATCTTAACCCTAAACCGTCGTCTATCTCTGGGTATCATGTTATGCCAGCAGCCCTATGCTTGCTCTTTGGGTATTTGTGAAAAGGAAGCCTCCATTGGAGCCATGTTCGTGCAAACCATCGCAATGCAATATTGTCGTTCAACGCCCTCGAAGACGTGTGTCCAGTACCACACGGTGTTACAAAACTAATCCTGCTCATCCCCTCATGCCAAATCAATATCAGTATGTCCAACAATATTCAGCGTCACTGCAACAAGTTCTCGTGGGTGGGCCATGCGACGACCATCCACTCAATGCCCGGGTGTCGTGCTGGCCGGGATACTAATCGTATACCGCTTCATCTTCGAGCTGATGCACAAGAGATTGTAATTGCTCCGTGTAGCCACTGCTGGATCGAGAGCCTTCGTCATCCTCGTCCGCTGTGCTTTCCATTTTCTTGATAAACCCCGTGAACTCGCGTATCGAGTCGATCAAAGGCCCAATGCTCCTCGCAGAATGGCTGGACTTCAGCTTCTGTCGAACGGGCGCATGCAATGACAAATAGCCGAGAAGCACTGATAAGTAGCCAAAGGCGACATTGAGATGGCTCTTCTCCAACGAGTCCGCCTTGGTCGGGTTAGTCTCGCAATGGGGATAAAGGGTAAATGATATAACTCACTTCGTTGGTCTTCCGGTGGTTCTCTAGAAATATCTGGATAAACTCGTCGACGGTTTTCTGTCCATTATGCTGGGAATCGCTGATGACTTGCCGTACTAGGCTGCTGTGTTCCGCGAAGTTGATGAGAATACCGAGTCGCAAAACCAGACTATCGGTGATCCCATCTTTCCAGGCGTCCTGGGAGATTGATGTCAAGATCTGCGTAAAACTGTGGGATATTGACGCAGCCAAGGCGGGCAAGGCTCCCTTCGACGCGAAAATATCCGGAGCCTCTATATTGTTGTTGGTCATGTTGATGGCGAGCTTCAATACCGAGTTCTCGAGAGTCTTGTTGTCTTCTGCTGGGTGCCGGAAAGATGTCGTGAAAACGTCAGCTATGATTGGCAGGTAACACGTAGACCATTCGCTGCTTGCACGCTGCATCTCGCCGACGCTGACGGCATGGACATCAAGCACCGCCAAAGCCCCGCAGAGATTACTTGATTCGACTGCTGTAGGGTAGTTCCAATGGTCCGCGCTTTGACTGGCTTCTGATAGCACTTCAAACAGGCCTTCCGTGACACTCCTCGTGAAGACAGCAGGGTCCTGCCCGACGTTGGTATCCTGGGCGATGAGCAGCCGAAGACACTTTATAACAATGCTTCTTGGCGAAATATACTGAGGGGCAGCGCCGTCCCAGATTGGTAGATCACGTAACGAGTTGTGAATCGAGATGATCTGGGTTTGACTCCGTCTAGAAAGGTTGCTCTTGCGATCCTTGACTATCTTCTTGACATCCTCAGGAATGCCCAGGAGGCGGGCGAAGATGGGACCCGGATCCTCAAGCCGGACCAGTCGAGCCATATGTGCTGATGGCCACTTGGCGAGTATCGTGACGAGGATGGATAATATCAAGAACACCGCAATATTATCGAGCTCTGTGCCCACGTCTTTGAGCATCGTAGCTTCGACTCCATGATCGCGGCACTGTCGCATGAAGGTCTTGTCTCCTATCTTCTCTGCCACTTGCAGCAAAGCTGCTCGGCGAGATGACGAGGGCTTCGTACCTGGTGTCCCCAACTGCTCCTTCAGATCTTGCATGGCGTCTGCAACACGCGAATTGGCACCTGCCTGTCGCAATTCATGAATGTCCCGAAGTTTGGCATTTGGCGACCCATCGGTTGCGACATCAACGTCAAGGTCGAAAGACCCACTGGAAAGAGCAGACGTCTTCGGACCTCCAAGTTCCAGGCGTCTTCCCCTCAGAGGAACAGACGGCTCCTCGGGAAGGGCCAAAGCATCCATTAGGTTATCTTCATCCTCTAGGACCTTCCTTCCTTGCCCATAAGTGAACTTCAGGGAACTGCTAGATCGCGCGAATGTCCGAGTGACCGTGGCGTGTGCTGTTCTGCGCTTGCTTGTGGGTGTTGTTGGCAAGCCTTGCGAGTCCAGAATGGAGGCGTCACTAGTTTGGCTCGACGTTTGCTGACTGAAACCGGCCTGACTGCTGGGCACGTTGTCAACGAGGTCATCTGAATCGTCCGGGATCTGTTCCACAAGGGCGTCAATAAGTCGTTTTCTCGGCTTCTTTGGGAGACTGGTGGCTGGCGCCCGGGTTTGAGCGACTGGCGGCTTGTTTTCGATTCGTGCGGCGGAAGGCACGTTCGACTGCTTGCTTTTCTGCGTCAAATTTCGAGCGAGGTGTAAAGGGATGTCCTGTTGCAGTACGCTGACTGGTTTCGGTGTATTCGCAGAGGAAGGTTTTTCAGCTGCCCTGGCTTTTGGCTTCGAAGCTTTGGGCGGCGTCGGTGTGAGCGGCGGACTTGACAATCTGGGACCAACAAGGTCGACCTCCATGGGCTCGGTAGATCTCGGTGCGATGGGCATGCGTGCATTCGTGGTCGTCATGGAGGCACGCGCATTGTTGGACGCAGCCGTACGGGATCGCCGTGGCTTTGGTGCGGACGGAGAGCTGTCTCCAGACCCGAGTGTTTCCTGGGTGTGCCCCTTCGACGTGTAGACTTGCGATAGCTTTCGTTTGCGTTCCGAACTCTGGATATTGTAAGGAGAGGAAGTGTTTGTTCTGGTGGCATTGGCTCCATCCAAGCTCTTGTATCGACGCGGTGGTGAATCGTCACGAGGCGATGCCGCAAGCGTAGGCTGTTGACGCGTCGCTGTGGTCTGAGAGGCCGTAATAGGGTCCTCATCGGACATGGATTCCGACGCGGTGACGGGTGTGAAGGCCGTTTTCGGTTGCCGCTTCCTTGCGCCCTTGCCATACGTGGTCAGTCTCCTCTTGGGCAAACCGCCCAGGTCAGGCTTGCCTGCCATTGCGACTCTGCTGACAAGACCAGGTCGCAAGAAATCAACGATTGAAGGCCACGCGAGGTTGTATCAAAGGGCTTTCATGTCGGCAGGAATGTTGGATCGGTAGAGGCGCAATGGTCTGAGGTTGAGATTGAGATTGAGATTGAGAAAAGTAGGTAGGTATCGAATGGACAAAGAACGCGATTGTCGCAGGCTAGATGGAGAAGGTAAGACGTGAGGTGAGTCGCGGCACAACGGAGGGGGCACGTTGCTAAGCAGGAAGCAGAGACCCGGAGACGAGGATCAACTCCTTGGACTGGTTGTTTTTTCGATTGGTGGCTAAGGCATATAGACAGGTAGGTTATCATCGGGCTACTCCTGCTGTGGATGAATAGTAAGGAATTGGCAGTTGCTGCAGGCCAGCTGGGAATAGATTCAATAAGGTATTCCGTTTGTTGTTCTTGTCGTTTTCAGGCACGGGTTGCTTCCGGGTGTGGCTGATGGACTGGCCCAACGGTGAACTGGGGCGCCTCCTCGATGTGAAAGCCTCAAAGGAGATCGCAGAAACCTGAGCCTGCAAGTTTTTAGGTTACGTACCTGCTTTTACCCACTATACTGTGGCTTATGGATCGTCTATGTGGCTGGTGCCATTTGGATTTTTGTAAGAAGTTACACCACTAACATTATCTGTCAGACTAGGATCGCGATAACAGTGCATGACAGGGATATCCTCCACCCAGCCGAAACTGAAAGGGCGGGGTTAACCTTCAATGGTGCTCCGACAGGCAGATCGGATATCTTCAATATCGTACAATCCGAGCCTACCCCATTATCCAACATTGGCAATCTGGAACCTGCTCGCTCGTCTTTCCAAAGCTGGCCTCTGGACATCAGATCTATTCTCCAGCTTGCCGGTTGTGAATAGCCTCGATTGCCTCTTGCTGTTCTCATAAGTCGTGCCTTCGGTACATCAAACAGGCCTTCTTTACATCGTTGCTGAATCTGTCTAACTCGTTGGCTACACTCTCCAGCAAGCAGACATCATCACGGCCGCCTCCGCATCACTACCCTCTCTACTCCTCAGTAGTACAGTGAGTTATTCTGCCCTGGTAGGAGGATAGTTCGTGTAAGTTGGACAATCCAAGAACGTTAAAAGCTGCTGATCCTAGTCTCCTCAATAGTGTCTCGGCCCCTCAGCTTGCCTACCTGGCCAGTCACCCTACCTGACTATATACAATGGCTACGGCAACCGAAAAGCGTCCCGAGCCTGGTCCTACACAATGTGTAGGGCCCGACTACCGCTCGGAAAGCCAAAAACCAATTGCCACCGTCTCGACCGCCGTGAAGTTCGAGAATGTTGTCACTTTGCCTCAGACACCACAGCTCATAGCTCTGCTCACGTGCGTAGTTTCCTTCTTGGGGTTCTGTACTCTCAGAGCTATAACCAGCTTGTGTGACTGTCAAGTTACGAATCTTCCATGAAAGCACGCTGGGCCTTGATCTATTTGCAGTCTTACTCACCATCTGTTACATAGGATGATCCGCGACAAGAACACGGAACGCGCTGACTTCATCTTCTACTCGAACCGAATCATTCGTCTGCTTGTGGAGGAGGGACTCAACCACCTCCCGGTCATGGAGCACACCGTGACCACGCCCGTTGGTCGCACATATGCCGGCCTCATGTTTCAGGGCAAAATTTGCGGCGTATCCATCATGCGAGCTGGCGAGGCCATGGAGCAGGGTCTTCGAGACTGCTGTCGATCGGTGAGGATCGGCAAGATATTGATCCAGCGAGACGAGGAGACCTCGAAGCCCAAGCTTTTCTACGACAAGCTGCCTGAAGACATCGCGGAAAGATGGGTGCTCCTACTCGATCCAATGTTTGCGACAGGTTAGTCGCCCACGCTCCCCTACGACCACGCGTCTAGAACTAATACGGCAACCTCTAGGTGGCTCCGCTATCATGGCCGTGGATGTCCTCAAGTCTCGCGGTGTTCCCGAGGAGCGGATTCTGTTCCTTAATCTGATCGCCAGCCCCGAAGGCATCAAGAACTTTGCGATCAAGTTCCATAAAGTTCGCGTCGTCACAGCCTTCGTTGACCAGGTAAGAGCTTTCTAGCAAACCCTTTTTGACAACTGTGCTGATGAATATGGTGTAGGGCCTCGATGAGAAGAAGTGAGTTTGTCGATGATGCATTGTGTGACCTGTTACTGACCATCTTAGCTACATCATTCCTGGGCTGGGTGACTTTGGAGATAGATTCTACACCATGTAGAGGGTTAGTAGACGAGTGAGACCTCCCATGCCCTCGTAACTTTATCGACGTCTGGTGAAACGAGCTTTGAGTGGAGCATGTGAATGGTGAGGGCTTTTCGTCATGGAAATCTGGTCCTAAATTGTATCGCCTCAGCGTGCAATGTTGGTCATTACTCGAGCCGGAGGTCATCGAGGCATCCATTTATAATAAGCACAAAGACACAACAAGAGAAAAAGAAGTGTTTCATCGCGTGAAGGGGTATCGGGATTATTACAAAGTATAAAAGAGTCGACTGTATTGAGCGTGTCGACTAGAGCCGAGCAGACGATCATCTGCCCATCGAGAATCTTGGATCATAATCCCTCGATCAATACTCCTCGTCATCATCCACGATCCCATCTCCCTCGTATCTACGGTCGTCCTCGTCATCAGCATCACGGTTCGCGACAGGTCGTCTCGCGCCAGCGCGGTGGCCGGAAGCCGAATCGCCCTTTCCAGCTGCTCTGGCAGCCATATCGTCCTTCGCGACCGCATCTGCAAGCATGTTAGTGACACTACCCTGCTGCGTGGTATACTACTTGTATCTTCAGACATACCAGCTGCATCGACCCATTCACTATAGACGTCGATTGGCGCTGAGAGGTCTGGGCGATCATCAGTAACCATAAAACCAACAAGCCACTGTGCTGTATTCTTGACTACTGACAGTTGATACCGCACTGGTATGACTGCCCGCACACCGTGCACTTCAGATCACCAACTCCAGCTTTCTTATCCATCTTGACAGTGACCGCTTTCTCGTGGTTGCAGAACAGGCAGGTGAAATGGGTGGCCAGGGGCTCGTTCTGTCATGCGCGCGTAAGCGATTCAATGTTGCCGGCTCGTCAAAGGGATTGGGGTTCGTTGGTTCGTACCCTCTTGGGGCCCTGAGGCTTGCGTGTACTCTTCTTGCGTTTTCCCTGGCACGGTATTAGCTTGCGACAAGTGGCAGCACCTTCGCAGCGGGATAGTAACCATTGTGAATGTGTAGAGGAGGCTCTACGTGCGACGCGCGTGGTGTTTGTCAGATAGGATTGTGCAGTTGTGTGAAGCGCAACGGTCGGCGCAAAACCTAAGGCTGAACAAGGGAGATCGTTGCTGTTGGTGTTTTGCGTTAGGAATGACGTACCGGTAGAAGCTCGGACGGGCGCTGGGAAATTCCTGGGACACTCGCAAAGCTATAAATTCCGCTAACATAGTAACATCCCTCTTCAACATACTGATTTCTCAAAAGCAACCGACCAGCGGTTTTGTAAAGTACAAACAGCTCTTTTCTCCTTTACAAAAGCAGTCATTCCGATGTCTCTTTCGCAAGTCGCAACTGCATCAAGCCACAGGTGATGACTACGCCACATCACTCGGACTTGATAAGACGATAAGCGTATCGGTTGATCTGGACACCAAGTGGAGAGTGAGGGGGAGCTGGAGGGGTACTGGGTGTGGTCCTCGTACAACGATAGATCGTATATCTGCATTCAATAGAGACAACGGCTTGGAACAGGTGTGCTTCAATACACACATCCCTTTCGACTGTTTCCATATCGACAGTTACCCATTCCCGGCCCCTCTGCCGCCTTACCCTGTCTCAAGGGGCTATCATCACCTTAGACAACTGTGCCTCCGTGGCAATCTTGAAACGTTTCGGGCGGCCATCGTATTCACAGCAATCAACATACCTCTTAGAACCGCGGAGTCCCCCGTGATAATCAGCGTCCACAGGAACGGGTGCTACCAGGCCTTGAGGCGGCTTATGCCTCTATCCCGTTGGTATTACGGGCGTGATGGTTCAGGTGTGATGCAGGTACAGACCTGGTTGGACACGGATTCATGTACACCATGGCAAACTATCGAGGATGTACATACATGTAGGTATCGTCAATGCTGAGCTGTTCCAGGCTAGCTGCTGTCTGCTGAACCAAGCCCAAGCCCAAGCCCAAGCCCAGGGAGGGTTTGTTGACGTTGAATCGGGCACATTGCCGATGTTGCGGGTCCACGCGGACTTCACTAATACAAGCCACCGACCGTTCGCCCAACCTTCCGACATCTATCACCTACCTATCTATCTGTCTACATGTCCGCCTTTCTGCATTGAGTTCATTAGTTATTGAATTAGATTCTGCTATCTAACGACTGTGGGAACTACAAGACTCACCTTGATAAGCTATCCATTCCGTATCCCATCCTAAGTCAACAATCATCTACATTGTAGTGTACAACATACTCTCAGACTTCTTCCGTTTACACCGCTATCCATCCATCAGTCAGAGTTGATCATGGCGAGCCCGGCTTCAGGTACAGAAAATGGGGCAGGCATGGCAGATGTCCTGCAAGCTTTGAAGACCATCCAGGAGAACCAGGACAAGCTGGCTCGTGAGGTCGAGTCTGTTTCTCAGCGACTCGATGTGGTTGCGCCGCTGGCAACACCAAGCATCGAACTTCCAGGTGGAAAGGTCTCGTCTCAGATTGCCGGTATTCTTGCTTCACCATCAACTTCCACTCCAGCTCCGGAACCAGAGACTCCCGGTGGAACGACGACTGTAGCCGGTCATGCACAGAAATCAGGCTTCACCTCCCGGATTATTCTTACGTGAGTTCGCCATTCTACGAGACTGAGGTGTGTTGGGCGATTGTTGACGCGGCCCAAGGACGTATCCGAAGCAAATAGGCATCAACCCATTTCCTATGAACTGGGGCGCTCCAGCCTCTGAGAGAGGTCCAGTCGTGGTGTCCAGATCTTCGTCCACGCTTCGCAGACGCAATGGTAAGTATAGATGACCCCCCCCCCCCGTAGGCAATCACTACTGATACCCCCTGTGCTGCAGCTATCGGCGGTAAGTCATGCTATGACAACTGGCGGTGAAGGCAACTGACAGGACTCACATTTCCAGCACACGGTGGCTCATACTCCATCTACTTCGCGCTCGCGCTTGCAAGCAAACAGCTGAATGTTGACCACAAGTAAGGTTTTACATGAGACACTCCATCAAAGAACCGATATCTGACAAAACCTTGCTGTCAAGGCCTGATTTTACCAATACAGAACCAGCTGCCAATATCGGCCCCTTTCCCCAATGGAGCGACCCGAAGAAAATCGTGGCCATGGACCCTTGGGGCCACTTGGCACCATGGCTCTTTGCTGAGACGATCAAGAACGAGGACGGTGAGTGGAGAGGTCAGGTTGACATGCAATACCTTCGGCATTGCTGACCGCAACTTGTATACAGTCGACATTCGACCCACAATCGCCATCACCAAGGCTCATATGAAGGTGAGTGGCTCGTTTTGTATGGTCTGGACTTCGAGTGTGTACTAACCTGAGTCAGTTGCCTGAACTTGAGGAAAGCGTCCGAGCCGGCAGATTGTGAGTCGTGTCACGATACTTCTCCCATACACAAGCTGACTTTGCCTTAGGATCCCTGACGGCAAAGTCTGTCTGAACGCAGAAGGAGAACTTGCTGTGACGAAGTTCGCCGTCGAGCCGGTATGCAAATGAAGACGACCATTGCCGGGATCAGAGGATGCTGACTTGCCCAGGTATGGTATCTCCCTGGAGTAGCGGAGAGATTCGGAATAGGTACGTGAGCCCCCATCATGTCGTAATGTATCTTGGGGCTTTATCTGACATTTTTCTAGACGAGGGCGTCTTACGTCGCTCGCTGTTCGAGCACACCGGTGGCAGTTATCCAGAGGTCTATAATTCGTCACCCTTCAGATTGCCACGTATCTAATACCTGCAAAGCTTATCACTCGTGGTGATATCAAGGTGTTCCTGCCTCCCATTGGTATGTACGCCCGTCAACGGAGCAAACGAGACGAATGGCGTGGTAGCTGATGATCGCTAGGTGGCTTGACTGTCTACTGCTTCGGAGACCCGGCGAAGATGGCCGACGAAAAATCAAGGCTCGCCCTGCGGGTTCACGATGAGGTGAGTCTCTCTTTTTCATTCGGCAGGAGATGGCTGACTTGGCATGTAGTGTAACGGCAGTGACGTATTCGGCTCAGATATCTGCACCTGCAGGCCCTATCTCATCTTCGGTATCGAAGAGGCTGTCAAAGAAGCACAGAAGGGCGGCAGTGGCGTCGTAATCTACTTCAGAAAGGAAGGTCGAGCTCTAGGTGAAGTGACCAAGGTAAGTCGTCCTCCAATTCGTCTCCTGGCACGCAGTCGTACTGACACATCATCACAGTACCGTAAGTAATATCCAGTTGACTCCAGTCTCGTCAGACGGAAGACCTAACCGGTTTTCTCCGCAGTCGTCTACAATGCGCGGAAACGTGGAGAGGACCGCGCCTCGGACTACTTCAAGAGGACCGAGAATATTGCTGGAGTCAAAGATATGCGCTTCCAGGCCCTTATGCCTGATATTCTCCACTGGCTCGGCATCAAGAAGATCGACAGGATGCTGAGCATGAGCAAGTGAGTATTAGCAGTAGTACATCAGATACCCACCGTCTTGCCGTCACTAACAAGTCACAAGCATGAAACACGATGCTATCGTAGGCCAAGGGTATGAGGTTAACCTTTCTGCATGTCGCCACAGGCTAGCTGACTATTTACAGTATCCCCATCCACGAGCGAGTGGAACTCCCTGAGGAATGGATCCCAGAGGATTCGCGCGTAGAAATAGACGCCAAGATCACCGCTGGTACGCTGCATCTATCTCCCCGGCCGTGTAGATAAAGGAGGATGGATGGATGGATGGATGGCTGACATTCGGCAGGATACTTCACCACCGGGCACAGGATGACTGAGGATGAACTGAAAGCCGTTCAGGGCCGCATGTGGGAAGAGTGAGTAACCTACCCTATCCCACCAAAGACGCAAAAAGATTACGGGCTCATATTGATAACCATGACAGCGTCGATCACTGAGTACCAATGGGAAGTGGTCTGCCACCGACCGATGTAGGAGTTTGGATTGAAACTTGCACTTACGTACTACAGGACTAGATAACTTGATCTGATCTTCATCGATAATCTCCTCATCCGATGTGTTCAACGCGCGCAGGACTGCTGCTCTAAGCGCGCCTCGTGCCGTGGTCTTGTGATGTCGTGTGACTATTGCACTTTGCCGTAACATCTCACGACATAGGCTGTGGCGATGGCCCCGATTACAGAATGTCCAGGCGGTTGACCGGTCGCTGAAACCACTGGTGATGTAGCACGTAGCTTTACCGGAATGCTCACGATGGCGGAATCTGCATTCTGGATCGCCAATTGAGTGTCCCTTCATACCAGCCTTAGTAGGCAGTCGACGCAATTGGGCGCGTGGCATTGGCCGCGGAGGGAGACGTCTGAGAATGGCAGGACCGGTAGACAAACGTAGCATGCACCGGATAGACAGGCGGATTGTCGCGGCATACGCTCTGACGTTGTCGCGCTTCTCTACTGAATTGCTGACTGAGAGTCGCCCCCGTCTGGTCACATCCAGCGGTACTGAGGGGAGTTTGGAGGGGAATCTATGGATAACAACATGCAAACATGCAATGGCAGAGAGGGCAGAATCGACATTGGGCGTTGGAAGATGTGTGCAAGGGTGGGTTACAGGTCGTGGTCTGATGGCAGGACGTCCGGGCCGCCGTGACTGGCTCGCAAGCGGTGTCTTCCACGTTCCCACCACACCTGACGAACCTGACGAGAAACCCACCACGACCTGCATCCCTACTCCCACTCGCCCACTTCCCACGTCCTCCTGGCCGTTTGGCTGGCTGACAAGTGCGTGCACCACGGCCCAACACCACTCCTGCAGGACGGGGCAAAGCGGCGACGCCCAAAGGGCAGCACGGAGACCACACAGAAGAGGCCAACACATAATACAGCGAACAAGCGACCCCATCCATCCGGCCTGACATGTGGCACCCAACGTCCGGGACTCCGGGGATGGTCGTTCCACCGCAGCCAGGTAATAATAGCGCAGTTTCTAGCGCCTGTCTCTCGTTCACTGCCGTTTGGCACCTTGCAGTGCCTGTAGTTGATATTCCCTCCGGTGCCTGGTCTCAGGACGAAGAAACGGCTCTCTATCTTCTGCGCAGCCTGCTTTTTGTCTTCATCCGAGATCGATACCCCCCAGCTTGCAAGCTGGTAAGACAGCTGCTGTGGCAAACACAAGCAACAGCAACGACAAGAGCAACACCGTTCTCCATCAAGACAATTCTACTACAGATCCAGACACTGGGATGGCTACAGCTACACTCTCGCTGGACACGCGCCACGTACCACGCAGAGAGTCCTCCCCCAGACCGCGGAACAACGACAGACGTCGGCCCCGTCTGCTCAGAGCCTGCGCAACGGAGCCGTCCATCACAACGTCCAATGCAGGCAAGGGCGTGCTGAGTTTGGCGAGCCCGTACACGACACATCGGGCGTCAGACCTGCTGAGCCGGGTCGCCGTCTCCAACGCCTCCTCATCGCCGTCCTCAACTCGAAGTTCGGTCCTGGACTCGGGCGAGAAACGCGAATACCGCATGTCGGAGGCGTCGCAGAATCCACGTGCGTACCACTCGGTCGAGGACGACTGTGCCTCACACCTTGCTGACCTCGCGAGCAGATTCGGCTTGCTACTTCAGCTTTCCCAGTTTCGACACCTGGGAGGAAGAGCTGCAAGAAGAGGAGAAGATGGAGAGGAGCACCTAGGCCCATTGGGAGTACCATGATGTTGGCTAGGGGCAACAGGAGATTCGGGACACACCAAAGGCGATTGAGAGCGTGATGCACCACGACGGCATCAATCTTTTATCATCGTCGACGAATGATAATACGACGATGACACGAAGCATTCCATTAGCAACAACAGAGCATGATGATGACACATCAACAGGAGTTTGGGCGGTTACCAGGTTGCCCAAGGGCACCTGCAGTTCTTTCCCGGAGTAAATGCCCTACGGGGTAGGCGTTCAGGGACCGGGCGGCGGTTTGGTTTGACTGACTGCGAGCAAGCGAGCGAGCAGACACACATAGGCACAGTCACAGATAGACACCCCGACTCTAGGCCGTGGATATAATTAAGAAAGAGACTCGCAACAATACCATATTGCTAAATCAACGAACGACCCTGATCTGCTCTGGTTCCGCGTGAACGCGTCCTCATGATGGCGGCGGCACTAGCTCACTGCCTCACCACCCGAAGAAGAGAACATGAAGGTGCTGCTGTCGGTACGGGCGCTTGATCGAGCAGCTTTGTAAAGATCTTCGCGGCAAGGCTTGCGTTGGTATGAGATTCGAGTGTGATAATGCGTGTATGCGAAGGTTGAACGCAGTCCATGAAAGTTGAGACAATCCCAGCCGAAAAGAGTCAGTCAGCTGGGCACGGGCTGTGAAGCTTCAAGTCCAGCCTGGCCCGTCGATCCCGTCCAGGCCGTCTGTGTGGCTGTGGCTGATGCGCTGGCGGGTCGGGAAAACAATAACCGGTCCGCCACAATCGCTAACAGGCCCCAGCGAATTTCGCCCACAACTGGGGCATTGAGAAAATATTCTAGGCGCACTAGAATTTGTCCTGCACGATCCATCCAACATCAACCGCAACCCGCCAAACGACAACCCTTTCTTTACGCATCTTCAATATCGTCCTGACTTGCGAGCTACTCTGAATACCTCGCAAACATGGCGGTAGGAAAGTGAGTAGACCGAAATGCACCTCGAGCACCCCGACACCCCCTCCCGCCAGTGGTGTCTGGCACCGGGCGCACCTACGACGCGCGCAGCACCCCGCCGCCATTACAGGAACATCGCGGCTAATGAACCGTTCTTAACAGGAACAAGAGACTGTCAAAGGGCAAGAAGGGTCTCAAGAAGAAGACCCAGGATCCCTTCGCCCGCAAGGACTGGTACTCGATCAAGGTACGCCCCCACCAATCGAGCGCTGGATTCGATATCCTGCTAGAGGATTCGACACTGACCGCGATCTTAACTTAGGCCCCTTCTCCCTTCAACATCCGAGAGTACGAACGATCCCACCTTGATGCGCTTCGATTCAATGTCTGACAATGGAATGCAGTGTCGGAAAGACCCTGGTGAACCGAACCACCGGTTTGAAGAACGCAAACGATGCTTTGAAGGGTCGGATCGTCGAGGTTTCGCTGGCCGATCTGCAGAAGGATGAGGACCACGCTTTCCGCAAGGTCAAGCTAAGAGTGGACGAGGTCCAGGGCAAGAACTGCCTGACCAACTTCCACGGACTGGACTTCACCTCAGACAAGCTGCGATCCCTGGTACGCAAGTGGCAGTCCCTGATCGAGGCCAACGTCACCGTCAAGACCACCGACGATTACCTGCTCCGCCTCTTCGCCATCGCCTTCACCAAGCGCCGGCCCAATCAGGTCAAGAAGACCACCTACGCCGCCTCCTCCCAGATTCGCGCCATCCGCAAGAAGATGGTCGAGATTATCCAGCGCGAGGCCGCTGGCAGCACCCTGCAACAGCTGACCTCAAAGCTGATCCCCGAGGTCATTGGCCGTGAGATCGAGAAGTCGACCCAGGGCATCTACCCTCTCCAGAACGTGCGTCACGATTACTTCATTGCTACGATTTTCTTGCTGGTGATGAACTGTATACTGACTCGTCTCTCCTTTGTAGGTCCACATCCGCAAGGTCAAGCTCCTGAAGGCACCCAAGTTCGATCTCGGTGCCCTGATGACCCTACACGGCGAGTCTACGACGAACGAGGAGGGTCAGAAGGTTGAGCGGGAGTTCAAGGAGCGGGTCCTTGAGGAGGTCTAATTGTGACGAAACTCTGGTCATGGAACGGCGTGGGTTTTTCTGCAATGGCATTAGGTCTCACTTCGATTCCATTCGGTGTGGCAAGGAAGCCACGGATACAGCTATCTCAGAAAAAATAAATGAGAACTCTAGCTGACAAGGCTTTTGGTATTGTCCGACATGGTGATCATGCTTTTGTCCCGAAGACTTCGATCTGCTCTCGAGTGAGGCTTCTTTGTCGTACCTGGATATCGCGGTTGACTTCCAAAGTTGGACAGGCATCATTGTCTGCAAGGTTCCCTTTATAGCGAAATCCTTTTGCTACGAACAGGGCCGCTCGATACGTGAATCAGTTAATCAACCACGGTCTGATCTCGTTTCGAGCATCGCGGACTTTGAGTAAAGACGGGTCCGTCGGATTCTGCATTGGTACGTCACCGGTCATTGATCTACACGGCCGGACGGGCGCACATGAGAGAGGTCACATGCAGGCATGCTTCAAAATGGTCGACTCTAAATGGATCAAAGTCATACATACCTTGTGTATTGCAATATTCTGAAATGAAACCTGAATCACCATCTGCTGTGACCTGTATTTCGTGACAGATGCAGCGCAATCCACTTGTAGCGTTGAGCCGCTAGGGATTGGCTGTGAGATTCATCAGAGTTTGGGCCAAGTCCTGGTGTTTTCCCAGGCCTCCAGCAGCACACCCCTCCAACAGACACCACCACTTACAGGCTACCCAACCTCTGGAAGACACCCGGTGACCCGTGCCTACCGAATAAACCGCCACCCAAACGGCTGCGCGCATGACCAAGAACCCAGGCGGGAACAACAAACTATCGCTCTTGTTCTTGAGTGAAACAGCATATCAGAAGTAGCTTTAAACCTAATCTTACCTGTCTGTCTACCTACTTCACCTCACCTGCGCTTCTTTTCTACTGGACTTTCTGGAAAGCCTTTCTTTGGCCTTTGACAGTTGCCCGGGCTCGGGTTGTTTTGAGGACCGCCAGGACATCACAGAGATAAGACGTTGGGGAGATATATACCGCCCGCCACCGCCACCGCCGCCATGGCTTCCGAGGACTCGTTACCCGTTCTCAAGGTCCTGATTATCGGCCCCTCTGGCGCCGGCAAGTCTGCTTGTAAGTCGAGCGAGATGATGTGTGCCTCCAGCTGCAACTACATTATGGATATCATGACTGACATATCGTGTTGCGTGCTATTTAGTGCTTCTAAGATGTAAGAGACGAACTGCGTGATCCCGGAGACCAGCCTCGCGGCTTTTGTGTTCTCGTATTGACAACGCCGTCTTGTAGATTGCGATGATCAGTTTGACCCCGAGTCGTCGACGGCGACGATCGGTATCGATTTCAAGGTGCGTCCCGCCTCCCCGCCAGCGGCTGCGTGTGATTCAAGGTTACATGACTATCACGGGCTATGCCGTTCATTGGGACCAAATCCTAACACGTCTGTAGATGAAGAAACTAGCCGTCAGAGGAAAGGCGTTCCGGCTCAACATATTCGACACTGTAAGCCCCCCCTTCTTCTCACTCGCCTCTTCTCACTCGCCTCTTCTCACTCGCCATCATCACAAGACCATGGATCTGATCTAAGTCACACGCTCGCGCTCCAGGCTGGCCAGGAGAGATTTCGGACTCTGTCCACCAGTTACTACCGCGGCGCACAAGGCGTGATCGTGGTCTACGACATCTCGAACCGGAAGAGCTTCCTGGGCATGGAGAAGTGGATCGAGGAGGCGAGGTCGAACGCGTCCCCCGATGCCGTGCTGTACCTGGTATGTCATGCCAACCCCCTACCATCCTCATTCTCATCTTCATCCTACATCGCCGTCTCCCTCATTCTAACTACTATCGCGAGCTTCAAGGTGGGAAGCAAACTGGACAAAGTGGCGGCTGGTGGCCGCGCCGTGTCCGTCGAGGAGGGCAGGGCGTTTGCAGAGTCGCAAGGAGCCGGGTTCTGCGAGATCAGCTCTAAGACACGGGAGAACATCAAGCGGCCCTTCGTCGAGGTCGTCGACCAGATCGTCCAGCGACCGCAACTTCTATCGGCAGCTACGCCAGCCTCCAACAGCACGGCTCTGAACTTGGGTAGTATCGGGTCGGGCTACGCTTCAGCTTGCCCTTGTTGATGTGCTATTATATGCTGCTGCCTTGACCAAGCTTGACCGCTTATACCTCCGTTAACCCCCTACCCACTCTAGTCTATATGATGTGTCTTTGAGCAAGCAACCAACCAGGTCCAGGAACGCCGAGTCTCTTCTATGTGGGCTCTCTCTCTATGTACATAGCCGTTCTCTAGATGAAATGATATCCTCCTATGCAATTCATACACACACGCACAGACAAATCCATGATGCCGCGAACAACGTTGAATGTCTTTACTCTTTCGGCGTAAGGAACTCGATCACAGCTACGCATTCATCATCATCATCATCAGTCTTACACTTCCACCCCCAAGCCAAACAAAATAAAGGGGGGCGGGGGTCTGGATAGTCCAAGGGTAGGAATAAATCATACCTCTCAAGAATTCCTCGGGCTTCTCCGAGATGAGCCAGTGGCCGGCGTCAATATCAACCAGCTGGAAGCGCGGGAAGAAGCGGCCGATGAGCGGGACGGCCTCGTCGGCCACGTAGCGGCTGCGCGTGCCGCGCACGAACAGCGCCGGCTTCTCGAAGCGTGTCTGTTCCGGGTTCTTGAACGGGAAGTCGCCCATGTAGTCGAGCGACCGGGCCAGCACGTCCAGCGGGATGCGGAACTTCTGCGTCGTCTGTCCGTCTGCGCTCGCGACGCGGTGGAGGTTGCCCAGGATGAACTGCCGGATCGGGAGCTCCTGGTGTGGTGGGCGTTAGCTACCTGTCGGACACCATCATCCCCGACTGTGTAAGGTAGTTGCTTGGTTGTTTCCCCTGAGCCCGTCTCTCTGTCTGGAAAATATCGGCGGCTTGTGGTTTTTCAGGATTGGCAAAGGGCTGGGTGAAAGTTTGCGCACCTTCTCGTACTCCTGCAGTATCTTGTCGGCCTCGGCCTGTCGCGTCACGCCGGCCTCCTCGATGCGCTTCATGCCGCGGACGTACTTGGCGAAGTCGGTGCTGAGCGTGGCGTCGACGGGCGCGTTGTCGACGGAGACGAGGTCGCTGATCAGGTTTGGCTCGCTGAGGCCCAGCGTCATGGCCGTCTTGGCTCCCCTAGTTGCGGTGACTTCGTGTAAGCAGCAGTCCGGTGTCTTCCTTCAGTTCTCCCCCGTTTCTGTATTTTCGCTTGGGTTGCGTTCGAAGGGGCTGGGCTTCGAGTAGGTGCCGCGTCGGACGGGAGGCAATGAAGGAGGCGCAAACTCACATCGAGTGGCCGATCAGCGTCGGCTGCTTCAGCCCGTGCTCGCTGATGAAGGCTGCTACGTCTTCGGCCATGGCCGTGTAGTCGTGTCGCGGCGCGTGCGGGGACTCGCCGTGGTTGCGCAGGTCCTAGTTGGCGAAGAAGGGCTTGTCAGAATAAGTCGTCTTACTACTGCTCTCTCAGAACAGCACAGCAAGGCTCAGCTTACAACGGCGTAGACATGTCTCTTCAGATCGCGCGCCAGGACTCTTCAAAGACCCAGTCAGCGAAACGGCCAAGCAGCCTCTTATCGGCATTACAACCTCGCCGCCGTAGACTTCGGCGGACGGACAGACGGCTGGTTGGCCTGGGCGCAAACAGCAGCCATCACTCACTTGCTCACGCTCCGGTTGTTCTTCTTGGACCCGAACAGCCCGTGCATGAATATGATGGGCGCATCCTGTCTGTGACGGTCGGATTTCGGGGGTTCGTGGTGGTCGAAGACGAGGGGGACTCGGGAGCTCGAGGAGGAGTATGGGCGCGATAGCGTTCGTAGGGGCGCGCCGAGCGTCGTGCGCGCGCAGAGTATGCGCCGGGGTAGTACCATGCTTTGGTCCTTGCCAATCCGGTGCGTAGGGCTGATCACTTGATAGAGTAAGTGCGACTGGAGCAGAAAGCAAAATATGAATGCGAGAGCAAGCTTGGGGGCGCTCTGTCTGCTTGAAGCTATCTCGGCCAACTTTTTGTTTGGCTTCGGAAATTTTGGGATTCCCACTTCGATATCGGAGGTTACGTCGGCCGGTGGCTCTTGCCGGCCAGCTGCCGGCACGCCCCGGCCGCATATCCACCCTCGCCCGCCGCCTTCGAATACTTACAGTCTACAGTCCTTCCTGGGTGGTTGATATCAATACATCTTCAACGCCCTGGAAATCTTACGACCGAACGAGGGCACGTTCGCCGACGACATCTCAGCAGTAGGCATGCACCGGCTCGACATCAGTAGCCGTGTAAGTTGACGTGTTCTGAAGTGGATGCCCGGATCTTCCTGTTCTCCTGGACCAGCCACACCCGCAAAACCCAGGCACACATGATCGCGAGGAGCGCGAAGCCTGCAGAGGCGCCAAGGCCATTTCCATAGCGCGGCTCGTCGTAGTCGGGCCAGAGGTACGCGCCGTAGATATAGCCCATCTGGCCACCCACTTTGGTCATTCCGAGAACCACCTGTCCAAATCGCATATCAGTATCCGGCTGACAAGTGTCGTGAGGATGGCGTTGGATTCAATTCAGCTTACAGCTTTCTTTTCCGTGGTCTGGCTCAAGGTCGAGGAGGTCCAGCAGAAAATAACAGAGTTTACCGAGTAGGCTCCCCCAGGGAAGATGAAGCAGGCGATGTAGCGGGCCGCGGTGCTCATCGTGCTGGCAGCTAGGACGAACCCGACAATCGCCACTGTCAGCCCAACAGTGACGTGCCAGGTAACCAGGTTCGCTCATGGAGTCGGCCGGAGCTCCATCCGCAGAGTATGCCGGCTGCGCCTGCGAATATGAAAGGAAGGCCGGTCATCCCGAGGGTAATCGTGGTGCTGAAGCCAAGTGATTTCACGACACTGTCCACAACGCGGTTAGCGCTAGGCCCGACAATCTTCAAAGAATGAAATCTTTCGGAGTTCTCATTGCTCAAGGGAGAGACTTTGGCGGGAATGAGGACTCGACAACATCATAGGGTCCAGAGTTGTTGCCCATGAGGTCTATACTTCAGAACCGTTATCGTGGAAATCATCGTGGAATGGGGCTAACGGACGCGCACGTAGGGAAGAACAAGTTGAAACTGCAAGCGCTCATGTATAAGTTGTGCATCAAGCAAAACAGCCAAGTCTGTTTGTCCTTGCAAGCCTGCTTGAGGCCTTCCTAGGAGCTGGCCTTGTCAAGGGCATCACCAATCTCGTCTCTTTCCATGCGGGCTATCGCTAACCGCGCTCCTCGCCTTTCAACCATCAGGTCGTCTCGGGCGTACTTGGCAAAAGCCAGAAGCCGACAAGGGCTACCAGAGCTGTGATGGCCTATCGCCGTGGCTAAATCGCATGGCATACCACAATGAGATCCTCTTGACTAGCCGAAGGCCTGACTCCAACGTCCTTGAAAGTCACAAACCCTTTGACAGTGACTATGAATGGGAGACAAAGCGTGTAGCAGTGGCTTTAAAGGTGCTTGTTCAGCAACTGGCATGGCTTTCCTGCACAATGCAACTGTTACGGAACAGATCCCTTGTGTCGTGTTGTGCGCAATCCATGAGCACTCTATATAAGTACAGGAGGTACCAAGCACTATCACGGTGTCTGATCCCACTTGCACTCAACCAAGCATTCAGTCTACCATTGACCACAACCGCATACACGCAGAAACCCACACACTTCACACATCAACAGATCCAGCCATGGCATCATCAACGAACGGTAAGTCGTATCTGACCGAGGTCACCAACAAGACTCTTTGACCAGATCATCGAGAACCTCGAAGAACCGGAGGACCGATTCAATCTGGTCTGCACCTGTGAAGGCCTCTTCAAGAAAAGTGTCATTCAAGACGCCCACTTGAAGCTCCGTAAGGCTCTTGTGGCAGCAGAGGAGGCCGATATCGACAAGCGCGAATACCATGATTCGATCTTGTTGTGGGTGGTCAGGAACCATAAAGATGTGAGGATCCTTCGCCGTATGGTGAGGGTCTACCTTGAAGAATGCCCAGGCCTGATTCTCGGCAATGGCGCTGGCGGACGAGCCGAACGACAGTTTAATACTCTTCTCTATGCCACTATTGACGACCACAACTTCGAAGCGGTGAAAACCCTGTGGTCCATGGGCTTGCCGTGGAACATCCAAAACGCCTGTTTTCAGAACGAGTTGAGCTTCGCGATCAGGGTCGGGGCCGGGGAGATTGGCATATGGCTTATTGACAACGGATACCCTGTGACAAACTTACACCTAGATTATGCTCGTGGGTGGCTAAAGAGTACCGCCCCATTGAGACTGGCAATTGAGGACAAGCTGGCAAGCCAGGCCAATGACACCACCGGTTAGTACCATAGAGTAGCGTAGCTTGCCGACTGACAAAATACCACAGCTGAGAAGGTGCTGAGAATCTCTTCAATACTCATGGTGGCAATTGAATGTCCAACGACGTCGTGAAAATATATTTGAAGAAGATCTCAAGTTGGGTATGTACAATCAAGGCACCCATTGCTGTAGCTAACCAGAATATGCCCTCCACGCCAAACCCAGGCCTAAAAGTGTCCGTAACTCCTATCCCTTTTGCAGTCGGCTTCGCATGCGCGAAACTCCTATCGTCCACCAGTTCCCGGCCCATAGTTATTCACTGGATTCGGTCGAAAAGCACGTTCTCCCTAGCCACCACGGTAACCTGGCTATACACGAACTTACCCCCCTCGACTCTGCTAAAGTAACCGGATTCGCGTAAGAAACCGAAAGACTTAACGACAGCATCCAACGTATCGTCGTCTTTATTCTTAAAATCTACCAGAAATATATACCTTAGTCTAGCTTTACTTTAAACACAGCCCCGTCATTGTAATCATTAATCCACCTCAAGGGTTCGAAATAATGTTTACCTAAAATCCGACTGACCGTAAGTTTATCATGTCTACTAAACACGTCCTCGTCGAAGAAAGTAAACATCTATGTCGATACCAATCTCGTGTAATCATTGTAGTTGTAATGGTGACGGACTATGAGTTATCATTCTAGCAATCACACTAAAGAGAGGTCAATCATTCAGAACCCAAAGAGGTTCTAGGTAATAGAACCAGCACCCAAAAGAGGGCGGACGATGCGGCGATGCCTTTCCCTCCACCAACCACCCTCTTTCCTACTCCCCCTCCTGCTCGCTTCGGACATGTCGGTAGATGCGTGCGTCCAGATTCAACAATACCAACCAGGCTCGAGCCGGTATAGAAGAAATGACGCATTGCGGGATGTTCCTATCGGGGCTCCCACTTTGTTATCGCGGGCAAGGTGGAGTATAGTCACTATATACCCTAGCCCAACGGGCACCCGGCCCCCTGGCGGACAAGCTCCATCCCCTGTCGTCTAGACCCCTTGGTTGCTGCCATCTCTCATGTACCTGCCTGGACAGACTAGCGTTTTCCCAGTCTCTTGGAACTGGAAAGCTTATCTACTTCTTCTTACAAATTGTGTTTTCACATCTGATCGGTTGGTCATGTCGGCAGGCTTGACCGATAGTTGATCAACGTGCATCCGAGTCCTGGACTTATCTATGCGGCCGGTACTAGGGCCCTTGCCTAGTCCCGGCCCCACGACTTTTAGGACCGAGCCGCAAGTGCTTACGCTATACGGCGACGTTGTCGCCAACTCTTGCTTCTTACCCAAGTCCCCAGCCCGATTCGAGAGAGTTTTCGTCCTGGCTCGATATCTATTGGACTTCAACTTTGAGAGGCTTTGCCTTATTGCCATTGTGAGGACGCTCAGAGTATGGGACCTTGAGTTTTCGAATCTTGGTTCCTGCTCGGGAGACTGAGCGGGGTATGAATTCTCTACCAGAGGGGACTACTGTATCGACGGCGTCTGGACCAACCCATGCGGACCCGATACACCGATACACGGCTATCCTCTTGCTACGAAGTCTTTTCCGGAATCAGTTGTGAACCCCGGTCATAAGTATGCCGTTGGTCGCATGGGTGCCGCCCCCGAGCATACGCCATGGAGATAGCCACTATCTATGGGCATCAGAACCCGCTGAGATACCATGAGAAACAGGGCCGATCGATATCTCGAGCATGAGTAGTGTCTCCCGAGAAGGACCAGGTCAAAGTCGTGCGAGCCTCGTCAGTATGCTCAAAGACATAAAGCGAACCACCCCTTGGCGACTGACTCTGGACGTTCTGCATTCCCCTCAGAACGTACCCCGGGACTTCATACCTTCTTCGTGACTTCCCTTGTCGCAGAAGCTTGCCAACATGAGGATATCGACCTTGCCGAGTCCGGGTGCGGCGTCGTCGGCGCTGCTAGGCCTACTGGCTTCGGCCGAGCTGATCTATGCTCTACCCCAGCCCAAGGTCCCGGCCCGGATGCAGTGGGCGCATAACCGCGGGAAGAAAATTGCAAGGAACGCTCTGAGACAGTCCCTCGAGGGGCGGTCTTATAGCAATGTGAGCGTGGCTTGCAGCACTTCACAGGCAGCTTCCATTACCGCCCCGAGCGATAATGTCTGGGCCGGCCTGACTGACATTGAGGCTGTCTCGGTCGTCTCGTGGCTGTTTGGACAATCAAGTCTGAATCTGACGGCGACTGAGAACGCTACTGAGTGGGATAACACAATGCAAGTACACCAACCTAAAGTCACCACTCCCCTAGCCAGATGGATTGCTAACATATCACTGCAGCTTGTTGGTTGAACTGCAGATTCCCAACAAGACAGATGTCGTGGCACACATCGATGGGGGAGGCCCGTCCCCTACACGATATGCTCACGTCGTGCTTGACCATCGCTCAACCGAGGAACCTTACTATCAAGATCTGTTGGTCGGGCCTCTGCCCCTGAACGATGCTACTGCCGGCTACCAACCTCTCGAGTATCCGTACACCCGAAAGACTGCGGGTAAGGTACGCAATCTTGATGCCGATGCCGACACTCTGAGCACGGAATGGCTGTACAAGGTTGGTGCCTCAGTTGCCGATATTACCTTGGATCTTTGGAATGGTACCGGAATGGGCCTTGACAATGATACACTGGACATCTGGGGTATAGATCCCCTGTGGCAAGACGATGGCCGCATCATTCGCTGGGATATGTTTTGGCAGCTCCCCTCAAACTTCTTCGACGCCGAGACCTTGATGCCGCTTGGTCTTTACTTCAAGAGTGACGTGACAGGCCGCGATCCCAGCCAGTGGAAGCTTGAGGGGTGGCTGTACGACAATGTCTTCTACGAGACTACTGAAGCATTCCGAACTGCCTACTGGAGCGGCGCTGTGCCCAAGCTGGCAGCGAATACCGAGGGGTCCTGGACTGAGACAGACCCCCAGGACGCGAACATGCCTTACGACTCCAACTACCCTCCCAAGACTATCGCCCCCTCTGGATCCCGGTTCGGCGTCGACTACGAGCGCAAGTATGTCGAGTGGATGGAATTCAGCTTCTACATCGGCTTCTCTCGCGATGTAGGAGTGACACTCTACGATATCAAGTACCAGGGCCAGCGGATCCTGTATGAGCTGGGTCTTCAGGAGGCCCTGGCGCACTACGCTGGTGGCGACCCGGTTCAGTCAGGAACATCGTACCTGGACACGTTTTACGGTTTTGGTCCGTACGCTTTCGAGTTGATTCCTGGCTACGACTGCCCTGAATATGCTACATACTTCAACTCGACTTTCTATGTCGACGAGACCACGCACACCCATCTGAACAGTATATGTCTATTCGAGTTCAGCGCCGACTATCCTATTCAGCGCCACAGCACCAGTGATTATGTCTCGGGTACCAAGAACACGTTCTTCAGTGTTCGCTCGGTCTCGACTGTTGGGAATTACGACTACATGTTCACATACAGCTTCTACTTAGACGGTTCAATCACCGCCGAAGTCAGAGCTTCGGGCTACATCCAGTCCGCCTACTACACCACCGGCTCCGACTTCGGCTTCAAGATCCAGGAGGCCTTGAGCGGTTCGATGCACGACCATGTGCTCAACTTTAAGGCCGATTTCGACATCCTGGGCACAGCAAACTCGATCCAGCGGGTGAAGAACGTGCCTGTGAGTCGGGTCTTCCCCTGGTCCAACGGCAAGGCCAGAAACACCATGCAACTGGAGCGCAGCTTCGTCGCGAGCGAGGATGAGAGCCGCTTCAACTGGGCGCCCAACATAGCCGAGCAGGTCCTCGTGGTCAACAAGGACGAGACCAACAAATGGGGCGAGTACCGCGCCTACCGCGTGCTGCCCATGTCGGGCGCTATGCACCTGACGGTCAAGAACTCCAGCAACCTCGTCAACGCGGCGCACTGGGCCGAATACGACATCCAGGTGACGCGGCAGCACGACCACGAGCCCCGCGCGGCGCACTCATACAACTCGCAGGACGTCCACGACCCGCCCATCAACTTCGACACCTTTTTCGACGGCGAGAGCCTCAACCAGGAGGACCTGGTGATGTGGCTCAACCTTGGCATGCACCACGTGCCGCACACGGGCGATCTGCCGAACACTGTCTTCACGACGGCGCACGCAGGGGTCCAATTCATGCCTTCCAACTACTTCGACATCGACCAGAGCCGCCGCACGGTCAACGCCGTGCGCATCAACTACGCCGACGGGGCGGCCACGGCGGTCGATACGTTTGGCCAGAAGGACGCCACGTGCGCGGTCGACTTCACGCCCGTCGAGTACGACCTCTGGGGCTACAAGGGCGATGTTGTCGTGCGGAAGTTCCCGTATGATCCCAATAACCCTTACTACGAGACGGATTCTATTGTTTAGCAGGTCAGGCAAGGTAGTACCTAGTTAGCTATAAGCTAGAATGGCAAAGTTGTTACTTCCATCCCTGTATCTCTGCCTACGTCCAAACCTACGGCCAGCGCTTATACGCTTTCAATGAGTAAAGTGCTTCTACTCACGTCCTATACCCAAGTATATGACTGCAGGAACAAGAGATTGAGCATGGGAAAACACCCAGTACTCGTCCGGTAGGTACTCCTATGGTCTAAGTAGAAACACAAGTGTAGTAGAAAGTACCGCGGGTCTTGAAGACCCCAATCCGCCTAGACAGGCAAGAAGAGTAGTACCTTAGCCTTTGCGCCAACGTAACATGCAGACAACAATCGACGGAAGTCTCGACACGCCATGTCCGTCGACATCTGGCAGCGAAGTTTCGAGACAAAGAATCGGAGAATTCGCCAACCGCGAGGCCGAGTGTATGGATGCGTTGTTGCCGGTAGCATTGATGGATACTACCGAGCGATATGCCACTCGTCAAGCCTGGTTCTGGTTCTGGCAATCGTGCTTGACTTCAAGGAGGCTCCCACACACTTCCTTGAATCTGAGGCGATCTAGCTCTTTGTTTCTTTCTTCCTGTTCGACAGGATTCCCAGACGTGGCTTCGTCGCCTGGCGCCCCGTTTTTGGGCAGGCAGCATTGGAGCTGTCGTGTTGGGAGGGAAGTCAGGGGCTGTCTTTGTGTTCAGTCACCGATGGGCTTTTTTCTTTCTGGGAAGAGCGGCCGGGTCCTCGTTGGGGTGTCAATTGTGGCTCAGCTGGCACTCAGCTGCCAAGATTATGGGTTACATGGCTGAATTTCGAATGAGTGCTAACTTGGAAGCCTCCACTCACTCCCAACATCATCATCATCCATCATCACGATCCATGGATGGGTGTTGGGAGTGAAGATAGATCCGTCGCTGGAAGTGAATAATCACAATGACCGATCAGAAGTGATGAGATGGTGTTGAAACCTCCCCGAGGAGTCATCTCAGCGTATTCCGGGCCCCGATCTTCTCACAATCGCCACAGGTGGTGCCCTGTTCAACCACTTGGTATTGGCGACGCCGAGATCAGGTTCGTAACCTCAGCAGGCGAAAGAGCTACTCAGGTGCTCACGGAAGTGCTGAATAGTTGATTGATTGTTGTGCTGTCGGTTCACCATGGGCTCCAATCTACACAGTCATTGGCATCGACATGAGCGGCTGCCCGGCTGATGATGAGCGTTCGCCCGCGAGACCGGCATGTAGTGAGGCGGCGGTGAGCTCAGTTCGGACCGCGCAATTCCCAGCCCTTGTACCCTGGCAGTCTTGGCCACTCGCGTATCGGAACGACAAGTCAACAGAGGCCAGTCAGAAGTTGCAGAACAGCTTGATCGCCTGTTCCGCCCCCATAAGCGCGCGGGTGCGAACAGTCCAGGGGCATGAACAGGGGATGATGCCCACATGCGCGCGTGGCGCGTCGCTGGACAGGCCGAGCGACCGACTGTGTTACCTCATGTACTATTCTCTCTGTGCCAACAACCGTCAGCATTTGCCCTTTAGGCATACGATCTATCGTTAGTTCCATCAGTTGTCATGCGGGACCCCCGAGTCTGCAGATGCTGCGACGGCACGCTGCAGTAGTGCTTATCTCTCGGTTCGGGAGATGCTACCATGGCTTCCAGCCGGCCATCTGCCGGTCAGGACTCAGCCTCTGGATCCGCTATGCATGCTTTTCCTATAACATGAGCCGACAGTACGAAGCCTCGAGCTTCGCAATCTGCCGGTTCTCGACTGTGGTACATGTGCTACCCTCCGTCTGTTGTTACCAAATATCTTAGAATGCCTCCAAAGGCCGGCGAATACTGCCTCGATGAGTTTCATAACAGTTCGAATACCAGCTTGACGACGTCAACCGCCCTGCTGAAGAGCTCACAGCCTCGAGACGACATAGGTATGATCCTCGATTGGTGCTCCAGCTACATGAATACCTGTCTGATGCAACGATATCTAGTTACCCATCATGGCTGGAAACCATGGACGATGAGAGCACCGGGCCTCATCTCCATGATAGCTGTTACGCTCTTGATAGCAGCTGCAATCGAAGTGCTGGCCCAGAAAGCTACCAAGGGAGGAGGCCTATCGCTTTCGGAATCCCTTGACGACATACCATCCGACCCCCCGAACCGGCACACCCCCACTACCGGCACAGCCAAACCCCGCCACCACCACCAAAAGACCCCCCTACTCACTTACACGCATTTGAGGCTGTATAGGGTCAAAAAAATCAGCAAAATTATCATTCTGTGGTGTTTTGGCTGCTCGATCGACGTATCTAGCCGGCGCCCGGATTGACCGCCCGGATCTAGTCATCTGGGCTTCTGCAACAGGGGCTTCTACAGCCTCCTCAGCGTCCGCAAGCTCCTCGTCCTCTTCACCCTCGTCTTCAACAACCTCCGACTCTGAAGAAAAAAAAGAAGACTCTACAGCAACCGGAACTAACAGATCACCACCCTGGGCTAGTATTTCTACCATTATCATGAACTTTTTGTTTGGATTTGGTATCTTTTTTCTCTTCTTGGGCCGTAACCGCTCCAGTTCAGCCTCCAGGGCCCTGAACTTCTGGTCTTTTATGGCCAGCTCCGTCTCCTGGTTCTCAAAGGCATGGGAGATCTTCCGGAACTTCAGCCGAGTGGCTGGGGAACGATTCCTCCCGAAATCCCGGATTTGCCGGCTCGTGGTAGGGGTCTGTTGGTCCTCCAGCTCCGAGTCTTCCTGTTCTTCCGGCTTGGGGGTCTTCCGCTTGTCTTCTTAGATTTCTGGATGGTCTAGACATTTTTTGCGGCTAATTGGGTAGCATCCTGTCACTCAGAAGCCCGAGCGGATATTTTTTGGCGTAAATGCCATGTCCCTTGCCTTGCTATAACAGCGGATAAAGTTGATCTTGTCAACAGGGGAAGAATCAGTCAGAGAATTTACCTGGGTGAGGAATCTCTGGTAGTAGGACTTAAGGGCGTTATAAGGGCCGTTATCCAGTGGTTGCATTCCGTGGCTGGTGTGTGCTGGGAAAAAGCACAGCAAGATGTTAACAAAATAACACCACATCATAAATTCGTCCTTTTCTATAGTCAGTTGCTGTTTAAATCAGAATAAATCAAACAACCAGTAAACAAATAAATAAAAACTGGTGTACGTACGGAGGTATGGCTACCATGGCCATCTAGGATCAAAAGGACTGGTTCCCACTGCTCCTGGCCACGAATTTCATCCACTTGTGGTATGAAAACGTGCTCAAGCCACTGGCAGGCGATATCGTTACTGGTCCAGCCATTTTCCGACGTTATATAGTACCAGTTGGCTATCTTCTGGAATTCCTCGAGGAACCACTGCACTTGGAGATCTTTTCCCTTGAAAATCAAGCCTGGTTTGAGTACTCTACCGGTAGCTGAAATGGTCTCGATGAAAGATGTCCACGAGCGGCCCTGGGGGCTCTTTAGGAAAGCTTTCCTCGTCTCAGAACTTCCCAGAACTAGGGAATCAATGCCTATAAGGGTAGTTAATTGACTGTGAGGGTAAGGGGCTCGAAAGAGTTACCAAAACCCGACATGATGCCGCCCTTATCGATATTGTACGTATTTTCTGGCTTCACCCAGCCATAGTCCTCCAAGATGTTAAAGAACCAGTTCACAGACTTAGGGGTAAACCCCTTAAACCGAGCAGATTCCATTCGCTTGCCGATTTTAGTCTGAATGGTAGGGTTGTGTCGTTTAAAGCTGTCCATATAGTGGTTCCCAAGTGGTGCGAAATCCCCCTTTCTTTTTAGGAGGTTACCACAATTTCCCTGACGGCTTGAGTGAGAGGGGGCAAGCCCCAAAGTCTCCTGGCGCAATATCCAGGCTGCTACCTTGCTTTCTTGCTCGGGAGAAATTCTCTGCTCGGTGGTGTGAGCTTCTGTTTTAGTCCCTCTCCCCCTTATGCGTGCTGACAGCGTGCTGGCCGGGACGCCGTAGTTTTGGCTGGATTTTCTCACGGACATGCCATTATCTGTGACGTCTAGGTAGGCATCCACCACATCATCCTCTGTATATGTGGGCGGAGGCATCGTGGCTGGCTTCAGGATGCTGTGGTGCATGAGGGACAGGGGCTCACAGAGAGAATTCTACAGCAAATTTGCATTTAAGGGCGGGGCACGGAGGCTGCTAAATGCCGATGCCGATGGCCAGCAATTAAATGATCTACATTAAGCTAAACACCAAGAAAAGGGCTATCTAACTATCTAAAGAACGTTTAGATACCCTCAAAAGGGGCTGTAATCCGTGTAAGTGAGTAAGGGGACTTTTAGTGGTGGTTGTGGGGTTTGGCTGTGCCGGTCGGGGGGGTGTGCCGGTTCGGGGGGTCGGATGGTACCTCAAACATCCGTCCTTGCCCATACCTACCTCCCAACGATCGTCGCTGTGTCGTATAGCCTGAGCTGGGCATGGGTTGACCTCGATGTGAAGAGGATCCAGCCGTGGTTGGAGTTATCCAAAGGTCATGGTTCCAGTGCTCGAGATTCCCTTTTGCTTGACTATCCGTTCGAGTTCCTGGCATTCGTACCTTTCAAGGCGGCTCGGCGAGGGTATGTTACCCCTAAACCTTGGAGGTACTCTGACTTACTCGCCATAGTCACTGGCCTGTGTTTTACGTGGGATACATAATCATGGTTGTTTTCTGGGCAATCACGCCTCTACAGAGTTCCATAATGGGCACTGGCGCTACGACAATAACGAGGTCAATGTCTATATCCGCTCCAGATCAACTAGTACCCATCCAAGACCAAGCCTCCCTACTGGACGTTGGTGTTCTCAACGACGCCTTCGCAACGACGTGGCTGGGACAACCGTATCCCCGTTCGATGACCAAGGACTTCGCGCTTCTTCCGTTCCGGACCGACGAGCAACCAACACTTGCCACTGACGCCAACCTGACGAGCTGGACCTGGTAGATGAGCACCAAGCTAGAATGCTGGCCAGCTGTTATGCGAAATTCCACAGTGGATGATGTGTTCGACAATGGCCGAGGCTGTCAGGTCGCGATCGGCTACTTCGGCAGTGCTCCGATAACTTTAGATTTTGACTATAGCTATGCAATGCTCTACGTTGGGTATAATGACAGCGCATACCTGGATTATTCCCTCGGGGGACCTTCTTGCGACAAGAATTCGAGCCACCAGTTCTTGGCCATCTCTGCAATGCGCAAAAGGTCACCAGGCCATGAAGCCCAGGTCATGAACACCACGGCGCAGTTCTGCGAAGCTGCTTATTTCAAGCGCAACGTCACGGTTACCCTATCAGCCAGTCTAGCACCGGACGTACTATCTATTGTGGCCTACGGCGATAAATTGCCACTACTAGACACAGAATTCAACAGATCCGCGTTCGAGTACCTTCTTGGAGTCGGTCATCCACCTACTACTGAAAGAAAGGACTATCCGCGCGATGTGACACTGGAGCAGTACGGACAACTCGTGGACACCGGGATTGAATGGCCACTCACCAATATGGTAGGATTTGCTGTTGGCTTGGGGAATCATTCGGCCGGCGATCTACACGACCCGGCTCGGCTGGGTTGCGGCGTATTCTGCAGCCCACAAGATGGTGTTTTCAATGGCTGTGAACAGACTGTTGGGCGGCGAAGTTACGGATGACCCACAGGCAGGCGTACTCAAGTATACGGTTTTTGGTATACTCGTGAGTAGGCCAATCGCTGCCGTGGTGGAGGCCTTACTTCTGTTGGTTGCCATACTCACGGGCTGCACACTCTACCACTGCACTAAGGGTGTGAGCCTTCTAACTTGGGATCCTTCCAGCATAGCGAGGACTTTGGCTATGTTTCGGTGTAGCCATACCGTCGTGCGCGACATTCTGGTTGCAGACTACTTGGACGACTCGACATTGAGGACGTCAATGGGAGAACGATTGTATGCCTTGCGAGGAGAGGGTGGACATGTAGGATCTCCTCTATGTCTGCATCAGATAACGAGCAAGAACTCTGGTGCCCATGGACCAGACCATATTGCGAAGCCCGGCCAGAACCACGCGCCTCTTCGCCCTGGTGCGTTAAAAACAGCATCTGGACTAGGTTTTGCAGCAACGATGCTGGCGGGGACTATCACGTTGATATACCTCAAGCTAAAGGAATCGTCACTGAATGGTATGGACCTGACACCCCTAGCCAACCTGAATCAATTCTAATGCTGCTGCTATGCAGGACTACCCCGACCGTCGGACAGCTTCGAGGTGTTGCAATTACTCGAGAACTATATTCCAACCATCTTTGCGACGTTACTCGAGCCTTTCTGGGTTTTGCTCAATCGAATTTTCTGCTTGATTCAACCCTTCTACGTGTTACGAACTGGCCAAAGTCCGCCGAATCGGTCCGTCTCGACCAAGTACAACTCTATACCTCCCCGACTCGCGGTTTGGCGGGCTGCAAGGGCCCGCCATTTTTTCTCATGCTGATATGCATCGCAGCCTTGCTTGCGAACGTCTTGGCCGTTGGTGTCAGCGGCATATTTAGCGACATTCCCCTGCGCGTTTCATATCAAGTCTCGATGAGACCAACCAGCGAGGGGATACCAAGTCGGGGCGACATAATCACCGTTCCAACCGCCGCCAGGGACCATTTTCAGGTCGCTTTGGCAAATATATCATCAGGGAACCGCCTAACACCTTGGACTGATGCAGCATACTACTATCTCCCCTTCAGCACGCCTGACAATTGGTCCTCTGTTGATGGTGAATACTATACTCTAGAGACTGGGGGCGTGGGCGTTGACCTTGAATGCTCAAGTCTGCCATCCAACGCCCCCTCAGGAGCAGCTTCCGTACAATACTCCGTTCTAGGGTCTACAGAAAGTCTCAAAATCTCAGAGTCACTACGGGCATCAAACGGATCCATCGTCGACTGTTACAACGGCCCAGCGAGCATTGGGAACATAAGCAACGTCGTGGATGCACCGATGGCTCGGGAGTTCCTCAATGCCTATGGCGACAACTCCACACGAGGCGCATGCTCGACCGTTCGATTCATTGCTGGCTGGGCGCGCCTAAACCAGCCAAATGGCAGTAATGAAGAACAGACACTACAATCGATCTTCATCGAATGCCGCCCGAAACTACAAACAGGTCAATTCAACGTCACCGTGGACTCTGATGGTTATGTCATGCAAACCCAATACCTGGGTAGGCGTGAGCAGACATCCGACTCCTTCAGTCTGGAGCAAACGGACCACATGCTCTATGAGATCAACTCGCTGTTCATCTCGCAACAGGCGACGTGGCCGCCTTGGCACAGCGAAGTCGTGACGGGCGACTGGCTCAATTAATTGATTACGTTTCTCATGGGGAACCGATCCATCGTCGACCCAAGCCAGGAACTACCCGATGTTACTCAAGTGATGCCGTTGGTAGAGGATGTCTACCGGCGCACCTCTGCCGCCATGCTTGGAATGAACCCTACCTTCTTCAAATAAGCCAACAACAGCAATTTCTCCAATGGCACCGCTACGCGAAGCGAGACGCGCATCTTCATGTCCAACGCAGCCACCTTCCTAAGCATCGCCATTCTAGGGTGCTATCTTCTCATCGCGCTGGCAGTCTATACACGTGGACGTAATATTCCGCTGCCGAGGATGCCGTCTTCGGTCGGGTCTCTGTTGGCATACACGGCCGGCAGTAGAGCCTACGGAGACTTCTCGACTTATGCGGGGGGCAGGCAAGATGATCTCGCTTCGTCGGGGTATACCTATACTTTTGGCAGCTACATCGGCAAGGATGGGCGTCCGCATATCGGCATTGAGCGAGATCCGTTCGTCGAGAAGCTTGACAGCGGCCGTTTTAGGAGCTGGGGGGCGCGTCGGAGGAAGCGTGGGGGGTTCGAACAGATTGGGGACGGGACGTGGATCTGAGCTGACGATTCTGCGTATGTTGGTCAGCAAACAGGGCAGGTTGTGCAGGTCAAGCCTCTCGATTTCGGCGCCTGCCTGCAGTTATGTCAATAGAGGGGCCAACTGAGCTGCAGTCCTCGAGCGGTGAGTGGACTCATTTGCAGAGTGGGTGTAGAATAAGCACACATCGACGTCGAGAAGAAACGCGGACGTCGAGTGTCGATGCTGCAAGATGGTGTGCCTGGGCTGGAAAAGGGGCATGTGTATTCATCTGGTGCGGTATATAGGATAGCTAAAGGTATTGCATAGGGGACGATGTGAGCATCGTTGGCCATAGAGAATGTGTCTGCAAATCAGGTCCCTCCAAAATCACTGCCATGGTGTTGGTTTGGCCTCAGTGATTGCTGCCTCTGTGCACATATGCAGGTGCGGTGGTTTAGGGGGCGTGGTACATACAGCTGGGTCTGGTATTGTTTGGCCAATCAGAAATTTGATCAGCCATGTCCCTGGACTTTTGGGCCAATCAAAAAAAAGCACAATCGAGTGCATGGGTGTTGGGCCAATCAAGGGGAGGATCAGGAGAGGTACGTACTCGGGCGTGGGTGGTGGTTGAATTTGGATGCGGCTCTGCTCCCCAGTACAACACCCTCCAGTGCCCAGCAACCAGTCGGGTCTCTTCCTGTGCACCCCAGGTTCCCGATTTGCCCTAGTGGTACCCTGGCTGATTGTGCACCAGGGTGACCAGGCCCTTTTTCCTACTTAAGGGACTCCTACCTTGCCCAGACTCCTCCCATCTTCCTTCTTCCACACATCACACATCAAGAACAATCATCTCGAGGCCAGCACCATCTGCCTCCTGCTACCACTCGCACACTTGCACATCACCTTCATTCATCATGGCCTCTGTCTACCAACCATCAATCTGTTCATCATGATCACCTTCCACCATCGCCACTGGGGTCCTCACTGGTCACCATCTTCAGCAATCATCATGCATGACCACCACTTCCCATGATCATCATCACCACCAGCTGGGTCCCGGCCAACAGCCATTCCAACCACCACTCATCTGCATTGATCATCTCTACCACGATTTGATTCACTGCGGTACAAGAAGGTCGAACAACATTGCTCCTCGAGCATCCACAGGTAAGTCCCTTCCTCCGCTCCCCAGCAACACATCCACCCACTGTCCATCCACCCACGAACCAACCTGACACTTTTTCCCTTCAAGGACAAGAGACGCGTCACGAAACACCTGCGCGCCTTGCAATCCACACAAGAACAGACCAAAGAAAACACAACACCCAATGCTTCGCATTGCAACACCAGGTAAGCACACCCATCACCCTTCACTCCTCCCATCCACTTCAGAGCTGCTGACACTTATGACCACAACAGCCCCGGCTGAAGGCCTCGAGCCACGATTCACATCAGCTACTCCCTCACTACCAGTAAGTCCACACCACCCATCCTCCCCCCATGGGCTTCTGACAGTCGTCGCCCGCCAGCCTTCCCTTCATACACGTATCCCACTCCCTCCCGTTTCACCTGTCAATACAAGACGGGCATCACTCCCACGGCATCTTCCTCATCCTTCCCGCATCGCGGTACGACTCGGGACCTCTGGTCGGAAGAACCTTGGCAAGCTGCGCGAGTACACCAGCGTCTTTTGACTGCACAATGGCTCTGCTCCGCAGCGACTTCAATCCAATGCTACTGAGTCGAGCGTACTTCGGTGCAGCACATCGCATAGCAAGGTTTGATTTAATGCCTCGGAGAACTTCTTGGGGGGACCGTGGACTGGAAACGATACAACGCGGGTTGGGGCTGCTCGTTTGCTGTGGGCTGTGGTGCCTGTTGCGTGGCGACAGGTTGAACTCGGAGGCGTGGGTGCGCGACTTTGATCGGAATCACCGAGTTCAGCTGTTCAGCGATGCCCATCGCATCTGCCAGGTTTGTCTCTCCCCTGCTCTGACTTTTCTGTCTCCATTGCTGACCTTTCCCATCCTGCCTGCCTGCGCGCCCGCCCTCCAGCAATCAACCAGTCAAGATCAGCCTCTTCTACAAGCAAGGTACGTACCCGCACTCATCCCATTTGATATCTGGCTGATCACTGACTTCATGGCTCCAGAATCAACCACATACAAGAACTCGACTCCTCTGGCCCAAGACTGGGACTTCTCAAGGGCTACCGAGCAGCGGCAAGGCACAAGGCACAAAGGAAGGATTTGGAGGAGTTGGAGAATATTGGGAGTACTGGATTCGTACACTGGTGAGATGGAAAGATGGGATCATCTTGGATATGATTAGGGATTGGATTACTGGATGAGAGAGAGCGTTGGAGCGGACTCTTGGGTGGAGGATTACCATGCTGATGCAGCAATAACCAAAGCACACACACTATCAATGCAGCTGCATATATCAGTCTCTCAAAATGTTCGTATTGAACAGGAGCACCTCTCTAGAAGGTAGTGAATGTATTTACAGTGAAGAATGGAAGGAAAAAGCGCCCAGCCGTTTTAAGGCATATAGAGGCCGCCGTGTACCTAACGCCAGTCCATGCATGATGAGTTTCCCCCATGTCTAGAGATGTGCTCCCAGTCCCCGTGTTCTAAGTCGTAATATCCGTATTCAAATAGTCGCATCGATGTCCGTCGCGCTGTTTGCAAGCTTATGCCTGGAAGGCACGGACCTTCTTGGCGGCGGCAATAGCCATGTTGGCGGACTGGCCTTCGGTGCACTTGGTTCCGGGTGCCATGGCGATGACTGCGGACCATGTTCCGCTCGCGCACTGCTGGAAGCTGCTGCCGCCGATGCAGTTGAACATGCCTTCGGAGGTGCAGGCGCCGGAGAGAGCGCCCGACGTGGATCCTGAGCTGGAACCGGAACCGCTGGCGGGCGAGGCGACGGCGGCGGCCGAAGTCGTCGTCGCAAGGGTGGTGGCGGGCACTTGAGCAGTGGAAGGAGTGGTAGCGGTAGCGGTCGCAGCAGGAGCGGCACTGGTGTCGCCGCCGACGGGAACGGTAATGAAGACACCGCCGGCGCCGCCAGCGTCAGCCGTTGAGCTTGGTGCGGCCGGCGCAGCGCTGGCGCCGCCACTGCCACCCGTGGTGTAGCTTCCAAAGCCGCCGATGGCGAGGTTGTTCTCGACGGAGTCACCGGGATCAGCGAAGACCATGTTGTTGTCCTCTGTGGTCTCTGGGAGAATCGGGTAGGGGGCGATGTTGAAGATGACCATGTCGGGGAGCTTGTCAAAGTTGGCCTCGTCGCCGCCAGTTCCAGTAAGCTCCAGAGCTCCGCAGTTCATGTACATTTCGCGGTTACCGACGCGGTTGAACCACGTGAAGGCAATGGTTCCTTTTCCCGCAGGGATGTCTGTCGGGATGGTGTAAGGGTACGTGTAAGGGTCCGCGGCAGCGGCACTGTCACCCGGTAGGTTACCGATTTGATTCTTGGCAGGGCAGCCTCCCTCGATAGAGTGGATAACTTTCCACTTGCTGTCCTTGGTCGGAGGGTTATCGTAGGTCAACACCACTTGGCAACTGCCTCCACCATGAACCGCAGTCCCAACGAAAGACAGAGTCTGCGAAGACCCAAGCTCGTAGTTATTCGTGGTTCCTCCAGTGAGAGTGTAACCTTTATGGCCGATTTTGCAGGGGAAGTCGATTCCTTTTGGGTCGAGTGGAAAATTGTCGAGGGCGGCAGGGTCGAAGGGGGATGGGGACGACATCATCATGTGGGCATTGACGGCCGCGATGAGAGCGGCCAAAACGGTAGTCTTAGTGAAGAGCATTTTGGTTATCGAGAAATTGAGTGCTGAATGATTCGTTCCGGACGAGTTTCTCAAAAGTGATAAGAAGTGAAGAAGATGGATTGCTTGGGTTGACTGTTGAGCCTGAAATTGCTTATTTCACTTGTATGGTCTGAGGAGTGAGGATACCAGTTAGCATTGTGTTGAGAGACAGTCCTATATACTCGAAGTGTTGCCCCCTTATATCTCTTTGCCCGAGTCAAACAAAGGTATGACTCGGGCAAAGAGATCCAGGCGAGCAGATGAGTCTCGAAGGCGGGACTTGTTGTCCTCGCTCAGATCCTTCTGGCGAAAGCCAGTCGTGACCTCAAACAAGCCCATTGTGAAGGCAGGGGACAAAGCTTCGAGACAAAAACACGGGCCAACTGACCTGTCTGCGGCTTTGTTCGGTCGGAGGAAAGGAGCGAAGTTGAGAAGCGACAATGACGTCGAGAGAGCGAGATCGATCTAAGGGATTTGCTTGAGTTTGGACTCAAAGGAAAGTGGTGCTCCAGGCAGGTGGGATGAAAGAGACGAAGATGAAGACAGGGCCTAGCCTGTGAAGGAGTGAAGAAAGGACTGTTGTGCAAAGAATGTCAAAAGACTACTGGTGATGAGAGGGAAGTAAAACAATGGACTGAAGGGACGAGGTCAGCGTCTTATATCGCTGGAGGATGACAAAGAAAGGGTTGGTTGGCCTCCAGCAAGCCAAGGACTAGTCATGTACCATGAGGTCCGTGACAGCAGAGGGGTCACGACTAAGTCGACTCAACTGCTGCAGGAACATCAGTCATTCTCGCAGTGATTGGATATTGGGACTGAACATGGTGCCCTTCCCTGGACCCTGGCTGCCCGGTGCAGGGCAGATCGCACACCCCACAGTCGAGTCGGACGGAACGCGACCAGTACTGTAGAAGGATAGCCGCATACAGGCTGCAGGGGCAGCCGTTGGAGAGACAGGGGACCGAACGGGTAGAGGGCATTCGGAGGCAGCGATAGGCTGAGCTGCATCGGCGTGGCTTGTTTCGTGCGGGTGCGAGGTGGGACTAGACACGGCGCTGAGTGGACAGGTAGGACAGGCAGATAGGGACGAATAGTAAAAGACAGAAGACCTGATTCGATGGCTGTCAGCTTGTGTTGTTCCCAACTTCCCCCAGTCCCCCTGACTAGTCTTGTCTGAGCAGGTGGACGGACAGGACAGGTGGAGTGGTCGCCCTCGAACGACTCAGATCCAGCAGACAAAGGACTGCCAGGACTGCCAGGACCCCGCAGGCGGTCAGCTGCGAGCCTGCGAGCAACACCAGCGCGTCCTCTGACATGCCCAACACCACTGTTACAACAGGATTGGGATGATTGGCCAGAGGGAGCCAACTTAACCTGCCGAGTTGCTGCCTTTGTGTTGAGTATCTAGGTATCGTATAAGTCAACTACCTAGGTAGGCTACCTTTGGTACTGTGAGAACTTACTAGTAGTAACCTGGAAGCGTAACAGTTCGGTAACAGTCCGGTAACAGTCGCCCCAATTGGGACAAAAGGCGGCCTCCAATCAGGACGCCAAGAACCCGGGAACCTCAGGCCTGGGCTGCCTGGGTCCCGAGCTGGAGCTGGCGGGGATCCTTGCGATGCATGTTCGGCTGGAGAGACGGCGGCCACTGGGCGCAGTACAGTAACCCCTCCTGTTACTGTCGCATTGTCACCCAAGTAGATCGCGAAGACCCTATTGCCTGCCGAGCTGAAGATCGTCCAGGTGGTCGGTCGTTCGCCTCTTTGGCATGGTGTACGTCAGACAACAAGGGCTGGCTGTCGTAATACTTTCCATCCTGGTGCAGAGAGGAAGAAGGCGTGCCCTGCCAGCCACTCACGGCAGTGGGACAGGGATGCTGCTGATCTCTCTCGAATTCCTGTGCGTAAGATCGAGTGGCCCCTGAAGCGATTTGCTGCCTCTCTTGTCATGACTCCTCACTCCCTGGTCTGCTTGACAGGGGCTTGACAGGGGCCGAGTCTTGATATCAGGGGCAAGCCCTTTTACTGGCCCAATGCGGCAATATCTGGCCGGAGATAAACGTGGTTTGCAGGGCTCGTGCGGCTTGCGGCTGGCAGCCGGGGGTCCCCTATAGGCTATAGCTGTCTATAGTATAGCGTGTGGTCCACCCTAGCCACTGGTGAAACGGTCCTGGTTTCGTCAGGGTCAAGTCGGGACGACGAGGAAGGCTCTTTCGACTACAGCCATTTTTCATCACGGCATGACCTGCCCACCGCACAAGAGCACAAGGCCCAGATGCTTGACTCTGCCCGTATGTGCGCCCCAGCTTTCAGAGTTTGGCAGCTCTGGCTGGTGACCTCACACGACCATAATGTGGTTGGGTGGACTGAATCACGACGGCCCGTTGCGAATCGACTGGTGCTGTTGCCGCATCCACGAGACCAATCATGAGTCACCGCCCAGTGGCAACGAACGCATGAGTAGCACAAATGGGTAGCATAATAGTGTTCTGTTCGCAGACTGAGTGACTGATCGACCACTCGGCTGGACTTGACCGCTGTTGCACAAGTAGGTTCCAGTTGGCGGCTGCCAGACGGGCGGGTATCACGGGAACTGACAGACGCCAAATACACCGCCTCTCCGTCTACTAGCGAACGGCCAGAGGCGTCTAATCCTTCATGCGCTCCCCCTTTTTGATCCAGGCTGGAATGGCTAGGTAGCAAGCAGCCTCCCTGCGACCATCCTGCGATCTCCAGAGTGCCTACATGCATTCTGCCTTCCTTGCTACCGCATCTGGTCGAATTACATCACAGGGTCGTCTGCCAACCGGAGTTATCCGGGGTTTTATGACAGCAGTCCACACAACTAGCGAAATCTCGACATGTGAATACCACTCCCTACTCCATTGAATGATAGACATTGAAGGGGCTGGTGGCACGTGCAATAGGCTGGTGGACGGAAAGGATGCGCTGGGCGATCTACATCCATGGCCACAGTGGATACGACACCGAGCAAACCTCTGAGGACCCCTGGTTGCATAATGTATGCTTTTGAGTGCGAGGTGAACTGCCACGATTTGTGGGGACTTCCAGGCAAGAATTGTACCCGTGTATGTACTGCACCGTGTCTGTCAAGAAGTATTGATGATAGGTACCGCATTTTCCGTGCAAGCTCTCTAGGTCGGTCACGGTCTACTATGCATTATTTGATCGCTAAGCCAGATAATTTACACCTAAATCCTTATCGTGTCGACGATAGATCTGCGTGATCGCAGGTTCCCTTGTATCTTTTAGCTAATAAAAGCAGGTATGACGATTAGATAATACATGGTAGACCGTCACCGACTTAAAGAGCTTGCACGGAAAATGCGGTAGTTAAATATTATTTTGCTAGAAGGGGTTGGGCTTTTACCTACCGAGAGGGGCCTCTCTATTAATCACCGTCATCGTGGTGACCGATCGCCGTGTAGTGGGCCAGGGTCACGGGTGTGATGCCCCTTTTCTCCGAGCTGGGGAGGCCACTGGCAGGGTAATAAAATACGATACTTAATATCGTATTTAAGTTATACGATACGATACGAACCTATACTATTATATACGATTCGTATACGATAGTATAAAACGGGGGTGTAAAAATGGGGACTTTTAATATAACTTATACATTTTTTAATAGAAAAAAAGATACTTAAAGATAAATCTAAGCGTTTTCCATATTATTTTTCTTTTAATAATTATTAAAACTTAAAAATCGTGATATTTATATAAAATATATTAAAAGTTTACGCATAATATCTATGCACTGTGTATAAATATAACATTATATATAATATTTATAAAGCGTAAATATAAAGTTAAAACTAATAATAACATTATATTTAATTTTTGAAAGATTTCATTAATTAATTATAACTATTTAAAACTAGCTTTATATCTCATTCAAAGTGAAATTAATAATATATATAAATCTTTATAATATTATATAGTATACTATATAGTATTGAGATCCCATACGATACGATACGATACGATACTAAGTATAAATACAAATCGTATTTGTCACTACCCTGGCCACCGGGACACCAAGGATTCAAGCGCAGCTAGTCAGCTGATCGGATACCCCCAGCGTCGGAAACACGAACAGTTACCAGTTGCCTCGTATGCACTGGGTAGTGTCACGGGGCAGATACAAGCACAGGACGAAGATGCCCATCAATCACTCGTATTGTACAAAAAAAATACTTCCATCCCTGTTGATCGGGTGCTTCTTGCATGACCTCATATGCTGCTGATAGTATCATCGACATGCAACGGACTGCCTCGTTTTTGACAAGAACATGAGCCTACCTCATCAAGCAAGCACATTTTCCTGCGGCCAATACGGCGAATCCTCTCCTCAGATAAAAGGCCACACCCAACCCATCCGCGCCACCCTTCCTACAGGACAATCGATCTCAAACCCCCATAATTGTAAGTAACACGAGCAATTGGCGAGGCGGATTACGGTACTCTAGGAGCCACCGGTTCGTGGTTTTGCCACAATACGTAGGATCTCGCCTCTTCGGTGGCGGAGTCGTCGAGACCTCGGCATTATACGAAGTCGTCCGAAGTTTTGCATTGAATGCAATGTTAATCTACTCACCACCGGCTAATACATCCCCGAGGGGCCGGTCCAGCCTTAATGCGCCGAGGGCATCCTGGTGAAGAACAAATCGGCAAAAACAGCATCCTGCAAATATGCACTAGACCTATGTCTCCTGTGTGTCTATCCGGTCTAATCTAGCTTCTCTAGAAGACACGCGATGCTTTGGTAACCTACCACCTTTAGCATGCTGTTGGTTTGAACCTTCAAGAGGCCTCATTACATGCCCCTATTTCTCTGAAATGGGATCCCATGCAGCCGAGAGGTTGAAGTCCATCTTCTCAACGTGGTAATCCAGCCCGCAACAAAGTGACAGGACGATGTGTCGCTATACTAATGTTGCACGTCGTATATGATGGTGGCGGCGTTCGGACGGAATCGAGGACGCCTTCCCTCGACAGTGACGTCCTTCATCATCCTGCTTCATATTAGATCGAGTGCCGATAAGGTTGGTCCTTCGACGCTTGAATTTTATTCACTTACAGACATCAGCTTCTTTCTCGTCGGCGTCAACCCGCTGGGGAGAGAAGTGATCGCTATCCTCAAAACCGTAGTCTTCTCGGGTCCACCGCTTCATCTTCTCCGTCCGGAACTCCTCGAAATCCCACTCGCGATCCTCCAGTTTTTCCGGCTGATTGAAGACATAGACCTCGCATTCGACCTCTTTGCCCTCGATGTTGCCTTGTCCCTTGCTGTCACCAACCTCAGACAGTAGGCGTATCTTGACCTTCTCGCGATCGTACTCCATTCCCTCGAATTGATCGAGGTGGTACATGTTTGCATCGGTCAGTCCCGTCACGTACACGCCTCTAATCTCGTGCTCTGGGTCGGGTGTGATGCCGGGGTATTCTGCGTGCTTGATTCGTCTGTACGGCTTCAAGGTCAGTAGCTATCCGAGGGTGATGATACCTTGGGCCGCCAAGCTGCTCCGACAGCAACCGCCAAAGAGAATTATACATGCTGCCCACAAGAAGCTGTTGGTAGACTAACCGACGACAATATCCATGGAGAATCGCTGGTTGAAAGTTATGGAGGCTTTTCAGAAACGGCACGCTCTCGGTAGAAGCTCGGTAGCACACGGTGAAGAACACCTCTGCAGCCATCTAGCAACTTGTAAGTAAGGTGGTGATGGTGCGTGCTGCGTCGAGGAGTGCCTTACCAACGTGCCTGGAAACAATCAGCAATATGCCAGGAGTGAATAAATGTGATCAATGAGGTAGGCAATCTGACCGTAGAAGAAGGCCGCATGCGTGCGATCTGGAGCACCAGCTTGTGAATCAGACATCCTGACCGAAAGACTTTGTTGTCAGGTTCATATGCCCTATCTCAGGTCAGCGGTGGCGCTATGGTTGCCAGCGATTGTCGTTGCTTAGGTACTCAAGCTGGACCGTGCCAGGTTCTCCTCAAATCAGGGTTGTGGAGGTGCTGATAGAGTTCGACGGACTGAGTATCGACCGTGAGGTATAGACTGGGAGAGGGAACAAAGGTAGTGCGAATCCGCGAAAGAGTGTGCTGATAGTTGCTCTCTTTCCTACAACACGAGAAACCTGATGTATGAGTATTCCCCTGCGCCTGGAAAGGACATTCGCCAGTGCCTGATACCTTATTACCTGGTAGGTGCCGGCGTTGAGGCATCGACTGATCCTTATCAGGGTCCTCCGATCCCGGCACGCAACTGACAAAATAAATGAGACGACCGTAAATTCCCACCAAAACTCGCTTACTCATTTGTACAACCAGCAAGCGATGAAAATATTTAAAAATAAGCGGGAAGTGACTAGAAATAGAGAATTAATCCACGAACATGCCTATTAGCTTGTAAAAAATGTACAAGTATTTTATCGCTAAGTTATGTCCTGTCGAAGTCAGGTAGTAGAAATCGCACCTATTCAAGGTGCTGTGGATTATTGTGGCTGTCTCATTTGTTATGTCCGGGTCCTGCCGACGATCACAGGCGGGAGCGTCAGTGTGCAAGTGGGTACTCGAGGTCTAATAAGGTCCACTCCATACCACCGGGTGGGGAGCTCCGAGCTAGGTATCCAGTGCCGCGGGTATGGCCATATAAGACCAGACCAGACCGTACGTCGGCTACTAGGTATCCAATCAAATCGCAGGCTGCTGCTCAGGGACATTCCCCTCACCAATCACAAGCCGAGTTTGCACGGAAAAACTATTCAGCCTAGCCTTGTGCATGTACGAGTTGGCAACTGAGGCGCCCGCCGCCTCCAACTCAATCACTTTCCAGGTTGCGTCGCGCATCGACTTTTCGCCCGGTCCCCCAATCGCCATATGCGTGGAGGAGCTGCAGCAGCCTCGTTTCTACCACTGACACCAATTCACCTGCAGAACCTGGGGCAGCCCTCGTTCGTTCGCAGCCTTCTACTACTTATTAATTCGTGATACCCCTCAATTCTCTTCCCCGCTGCTGCTGCTGTTGTCATCTGCAGTGTAGGCTGCCGTCCTTTCTCTACGAGCCCGTCCCAGTATCCGTCGCATCGCCTCTTTGGGGTATCCCAAGACGCCCTCCTCCTCTCTCCTACTTCGATGGCCGCCACATCGAGTCGGACCTTCCAATTTATACAACAGTGCGGCTGGATGTCGTTCTTCAGCTGCGCATGATCATTTACTTGCCAGTTACTGCGCACATGCGGGGGCCGCGGTCATGGCAGCACAGCTTGAGGATATGCTCAAGAGATTGAGTACTCCGGAAACTGGTAAGTTCCCCAGCAAGTTCCATACCGATGGGCTTCCATATTCCATCTACCAATCACTGTCTACAAGCTTGGTTGCATTAGTCCGTATTTATACTGACTCTTTTCTGTGCAGATTCCAAGTCCAAGCTAGATGCTGCTACCACGCTGCGTGATGGCCTCGACCATTACACCAATGGACCCAACTATACCATATTCCTCCAGCGAGTGATGCCGGTGTTCCTGACCATACTTCGAGGACCATGTCTGTTCCAAAGTACATCGCCGGAGCAGGTAGGAAGGCCCTTTGCTTAGTTCGGGGAATATCTAGTGACTTATGGCTTAGAAACTCCGAAACTGCATCCTCGAGATCCTCCACCGTCTACCAACAAACCAGACACCGCCCGAACCTTTCGAGCCCTTTGCGGTGGAGGTAGTTGACCTCCTGATGAGCCTGGTGCTTACTGATAACGAAGACAATGCCACACTTTGTGTCAAAATTATATCCGACATCATGCGACACCAGCCGAAAACCCTACACGACAAGGTCCAGTCATTCTTGAATCTTATCCAGGAGCTCTTCGAACAGATGGAGAAGGTTGTATGGGAACAATTGGACAGTACGGCTATACCGTCCAATGCGTCAGGGCCACCATCCACGCCGGGTAGCACGCAGACCAACTTCCAGTCCCCTCGACCGGGATCCCCAGTTGCCTCAGTCACAGATCTTGGTCAAGATCTACAGCAGCAGAGTCGGCCATTGTTGAAGGGAATGCAATCGTTCAAGGTCTTGTCAGAATGCCCGATCATTGTCGTTTCAGTATTCCAGACATACCGAAGCATCATTCAGCAGAACGTCAAGGCATTCGTGCCCCTGATCAAGGCTGTGCTTTGCCTTCAAGCGAAGGCCCAGAAGCAAGCCCATGCGGAGGCCAAGGCGAGAGGCACGGTCTTCTCTGGCGTGAGCCCCAGCATCAAAAATCGTGCCGCGTTTGGCGAGTTCATCACGGCCCAGGTCAAGACGATGAGTTTCTTGGCGTACCTGCTCCGCCAATACTCCAGTCAGCTTGCCGACTTTTTACCTACGCTGCCGGAGATTGTCGTTCGTCTCCTGAAGGACTGCCCGAGGGAGAAGTCTGCCGCACGCAAGGAGTTGTTAGTAGCAATCCGCCATATCATTAACTTCAATTTCCGCAAGATCTTTCTGCCCAAGATCGACGAGCTCCTAGAGGAGAAGACTCTGATTGGCGATGGACTGACCGTCTATGATACCATGAGACCATTGGCGTATAGTATGCTGGCCGATCTCATTCATCATGTCCGTGATTCGCTTCAACCCGAACAGATCCGGAAGACGGTTGAGGTCTACACCAAGAATCTGCAGGACAACTTTCCAGGCACTAGCTTTCAAACCATGAGTGCCAAGCTGTTGTTGAACATGGCAGAATGCATCGCCAAAATGCCGAACAAAGTCGATGCCCGACATCATCTGCTGATGATTCTTAATGCCATTGGCGACAAATTCGCCGCAATGAATCGACAGTATCCCAACGCTGTCAAACTCTCCAAGCTTTACGCCCAGCAAGCTGCGGATCACACCCGCGACACGTACTTGGCGGACAAAGAGCACCGTCCTGAGTGGGACGAGACCGATATCTTCATGGCAACGCCAATCAAGACCTCCAATCCTCGCGACCGCGGTGCTGATCCTGTGGCCGACAACAAGTTCTTGTTCAAAAACCTCATGAATGGTCTCAAGAACACATTTTATCAGCTGAAAGCTTGCAATGCGCCTTTGCAGGTAGACCCAGTCAATGCGCCCACACACTGGCAAGATGTTTCTTACGGCTTCACGGCCGAGGAAGTTAAAGTCGTCGTCAAGTTGCTCCGGGAAGGCGCATACGTTTTCCGCTACTACGAGATTGAGAAGCCGGCAGCAGAGTCACAATATGCATCGCCGGTAGAGTACATGGCGAACTTCTACATGGTGTCGAGCAGCAAAGAGGAGAAGGAACTCTTGGAGACATTTGCCACAGTCTTCCACTGCATTGATCCGGCCACGTTCCATGAGGTCTTCCAACAAGAAATCCCACGTCTTTATGAGATGATCTTCGAGCACACAGCACTCTTACATATCCCCCAATTCTTTCTGGCGAGTGAAGCAACATCGCCGAGCTTCTGTGGAATGCTCCTCAAATTCCTCATGGAGCGGATTGACGATGTCGGGTCTGCGGATGTCAAGAAATCCTCGATCCTGCTCCGCCTGTTCAAGCTCGCCTTCATGGCAGTCACCCTCTTCGCGCAACAGAACGAGCAGGTCTTGCTTCCTCACGTCGTAGACATTGTCACCAAGTCTATCGACCTATCGACCAAGGCGGAAGAGCCAATGAACTACTTTCTTTTGCTCCGGTCCTTATTCAGAAGCATTGGGGGTGGAAAGTTCGAGCATCTCTACAAGCAAATCCTCCCCCTGCTTGAGATGCTGCTCGACGTTCTCAATAACCTCCTCATGGCTGCGAGGAAACCGGCAGAGCGGGACCTGTACGTTGAGCTATGTCTCACGGTCCCGGCTCGCCTCAGCAACCTCCTACCGCACCTGAGCTTCTTAATGAGACCCTTGGTCGTGGCTCTTCGTGCTGGAACGGATCTTGTAGGCCAGGGGTTACGCACTCTTGAGCTCTGTGTCGATAACCTTACGGCGGATTACCTGGATCCTATTATGGCACCGGTCATCGAGGAGCTCATGAACGCCCTGTTTGAGCACCTGAAGCCACACCCATATAGCCATTTCCATGCCCACACTACGATGCGCATTCTTGGTAAGCTAGGTGGCCGGAACCGCAAGTTCATGACCGAGACACTCCCGGTGAATTACCAGAAGTATGCCGATGACCCATCGAGCTTCGACGTGCGACTCATTGGTTCGAAGAGAGACCGGGCGTTCCCAGCCGACCTCGGTATTGATTTCGCGATCCGGAAACTGATGGAGGTGCCCAAGCCGTCAAAGGTCACTTCGACGAAGCAATTGGATGGCTACTACAAGAAACAGGCTTTGCAGTTCATCAAGGCTCAACTGAAGCTACGTATCGGTCTCGATCATCTGCCCGAAGACCTTCCGCGGCTTGTCCGGCTACAGGCGCAAGATCTCCTCGCCCGGAAACCAGCGGCAGACTTCTCTGCATTCGATACTTCCGACCGGGAGCGATCCGTCGTGAAGAAAGACGAGCAGGATGAGGTTATGAAGCGTCTGATCAAGGCCGTCATGTTTGCTGAATCTTTGCCTGAGTTCCGGGAGGAAGCAGACGTGTTCCTGATGAACATATGCAGGCACTTCACGATCGTCGAAGTTGGCCGCGGACTGGTGGACACCAAGAAGGAAATGAGTCCCTTCGATCCAAAAGCTGGCGAAGGCCCGCTCTTCATTGACACACGCATTCTAGCAGATGCCATTGTTGAGTCCCTCGCGTCTGACCTACCAGATGTTCGCGATGCAGCAGTGCGGGCTGTACGAGCTGTCTATGACTCGACCGTGACTATCTTTGGATCTGAGAGGCAAGTCGGTCGGCTAGGATTCTTCAACCACCTCAGCAAGACATTCTGCCACGCCTGTTACGAGGAAGAATGGTACACAAAGGCCGGCGGTAGTCTCGGTATCAGGTACCTCTTGGTCGATGTGGACCTTGGAGATGCTTGGGTCCTCAACAAGCAGTTGGACTTCATCAAGGCATTGATGTATGTCATCAAGGACATGCCACAAGACTTGCCCGAAAAGACCCGGAGTTCTGCCCAGATCACACTGGAAGCTCTCTTGGCAAGAGTGACGAAAGACGTGAACAAGGAAGATGCACTGCCCACAGCTACGCAATCTGGCCAGTCGCAACGCCGGCCTGCCGGCCTCCCTCAGATTTGTACCCTGTTCAATGATGAGCTCTCCCACATGAACAAGCATGTCCGAGGAACAGCAAAGCGGTCGCTTGAGCTCATTGCTGCTGCGACAAAGACTGAGATCTGGGAACTCGTCGAGCCATGCAAGGAACGCCTATTGCAGCCAATTTTCGCGAAACCACTGCGAGCCTTGCCTTTTTCTACGCAGATTGGGTATATTGACGCTATTGCGTACTATATGAGCCTGCGGAATGACCTAATCTCTTTCGACGATAACCTGAATCGGCTACTAATGGAATCGCTAGCTTTAGCTGATGCGACAGACGAGTCATTGGCCGGCAAGCCCCAGGAGTTTCGAACTCACGAATCCATTGTTAATCTCAGGGTGGCCTGTATCAAGATTCTCAACAGGGCTATGGCATTCGACGACTTCCAAAAGGGTCAGAACAATCCAACTCGAATCAAAATTGTGTCAGTCTTCTTCAAGTGCCTGTACTCGGAGTCTAAGCCTACGATCGAGGCTGCCAATGAATCCCTGAAAGCTGTACTCTCCCAGACGAACAAATTGCCCAAAGATCTATTGCAACAAGGTCTTCGTCCTGTACTAGCTAACCTCCAGGATCCCAAACGGCTAAGCACTCATGGATTAGACAATCTTGCGCGACTTCTCCGTCTGCTCACGACATACTTCAAGGTAGAAATCGGATCGCGACTTCTGGACCACATCAAGGTCCTCGCAGAACCGAATCTACTGCAGCAAATTTCATTCACGTTTTTCGAACAGAATAACCAGATGAAGGTCATTTCCGCCGTGTTCAACATCTTCCATCTCCTCCCGCCTGCGGCAGAGCAGTTCAAAGAGCGGCTGATCGACACTTGCCTAGAACTCGAGGAGAAACTGCGGCGAACCCACCACAGCCCTTTCCGACCCCCTCTGTATAAATATCTCAACCGGTACCCCAGTGAGATCTGGACATTCCTGCTCACCAGACTAGAGGACCTTAGATATGGCCGGTTCCTATCTCAAGTTCTGCTGCATCCAGATAGCAAGCCACTCCGGGACTATGCGACTGCCAACGTGGAAGGGTTGATTTCCTCATGCAGCCAGATCATCAATGCTGCTAAGGAGACTCGGTTCGTGGCTGCCATCAACACCATCAATGTCCTCAACTCTCTCAGCCAGCACACCGGGAACCAGAGTTGGGTGGAGAAGAAGGAGACAATAACCTGGCTGAAACAAATTGGCAAGGACTTGGAACGCCACCTTCGAATCAACGGCCTCCCTCCCAGCTTGCGACTCCCCGCTGACCAAGCAGCTGATCAACTAATGGGCATACTCACGAAATCGTTGACACTGAATCCTGGAGACTTGGATTCGCTTTTCGCTCTGATAGAACCCCTCACTTCCGAGGAACTTCGGGTCACGCCATCCGTTTTGTCGTATCTCTACAAGCACGTCATCTGTTGCCACTCCGTCGATTTCTGGAAATCCGTCGTACTCCGGTGTCTCGACATCTACGCAGGGAAGAATGTCAGCCAGAGAACCAAGTGCTTTGTACTTCGCAACATCGTCAATCCAATTGTGGCGATGGACGTGATGCGGCATTGGAACGTACCAAACCAGCCAAGGGCGACGGGACTAATGGACAAGTCCATCATTGAATCGATCAACGTCAAGGTTTGGAAGGTCAACCTTGGCGACCCTCAGGAAGACCTCGCGCAGCCGGGCATCGATCATACGCGCATGGAAGTATTGCAGCTTTCTGCAATGTTGGTCAAATATCACTACGCCATACTCCAGGATCTCAGGAAAGATATCATTAAGTTTGGTTGGACCTACATCCGGTTGGATGACGTGATCAACAAGCATGCCGCTTACGTCGTCATTGGTTATTTCATTGCGCACTACGAGACCCCTCCCAAGATCGTGACCCAGGTCTATTACTCGCTTCTTCGGACGAATCAGAACGAAGGGCGCGCGCTTGTCACGCAAGCTCTCGAGTTGATGGCCCCGGTCCTGCCCAAACGATGTAATGCATCGCCTGGCGACCGCAATGCTGTATGGGCTATGGCGCCGCGACGCATCTTGGCTGAGGAGGGTCAGAATGCTCAGCAGATGACCAGTATATTCCACTTTCTCGTCAGACATCCCGATCTCTTCTACGAATCAAGGGACAAGTTCGCTCTATTGATCATCACGTCGCTCCGAAAGGTATCCTCTCCGCAGACCTCTTCAAACGAGAGTAAGAAGCTTGCCTTGAATATGATGTGGTTGATATGGCAATGGGAGCAGAGACGTATCGAAGGCAAGCTCAGCGCTACCCCAAGATCTCTGTCCGAATCACCCAACTCGAGGAAGCGCAAGCTTGGAAGTGACCAACTCACCTCTTCGCCCCCTTCAGCTCGACAAACCGCCCAACTCGAGAGGAATGAGTTCCAGATCCCTCAAGGCTTCCGGCTCAAGATGATCAAGTATCTCATCGAGTTCATCGCACAGTTGAGCGAGAGGTACAAGCTACCTTCGGCTAAGCCAAGAGATGCAGCAGCAAACCCCGGAAATACGTTGCCACCTCAATCCACGGAGTTGTGCATGAAGGCGATGGCACTGCTTCACAACCTCCTACAACCTCAGTACTGGGGTGATCTCGATGTGGACTTGTTTCCCAACGTCACTGATGTGGTTTTGGCTAGCGATAAGACCGCCAAGATCCTCAACGCGGACCCCGCTGATAAAGACAACTACGATGAGAAGTTCATCACCAACATCATCAACACCCTCCAAGTGGTGCGCATCATTCTCAGCTTCAAGTCGGACGAATGGATCCTGAAGAACATGCCGTCGGTTCAGAAGGTGCTCGAGAAGAGCTTGAAGTCGGAGAACCCAGAGGTGCAAGATTGTCTGCATTTTGCGGACAAGGCCTACGATGACAATCGCGAGATCAAGGCCACGGTCCAGCGGGTGCTCGATGCAGTGCCAGAAGACGTGCCAATGGAGGATGCCGATGCGGAGGGCGAATCAGAAGCCCCTACGTCGGAAATCGTTACCTTCCTGTCTACCATCGCAACCGAGACACTGGCAGTGGCCAACTACGTTTCTGGGGTCAACATCCTGTGGTCTTTGGGCCAGAGCAAGCCTTCGATCATCGATCAGCACATCATCGCTCTTATGAAGGCGTTGCAGATGAAACTTGCACGAGAACATGTGCAGCACTACACCAGCGTGGCCGCACATCAGATGACTACCAACGCATTGCGGCCGCCTGATCCCAGTGCACAGACTGGAGAATTATCACCCTATGATCTCAACATTCAGACCGATCTGATGATCAAGGCTATTCAAGTGACTGCAATGCGCATGGAGACCCTCGCCGACAACCGACGGCCCTTTTTGAGCGTGTTGGCTACCCTCGTGGAGAAGTCGCAGCACATTCCACTCAACGAGAAGATCCTCGAAATGGTCGAAGGCTGGGTCTTCCGATCGGAAGGGACCTGGCCGACACTCAAGGAGAAAACAGCGGTACTGCACAAAATGCTTTGCTTTGAGCATCGCAGTGATCCGACGTTGTTGACCAAGTTTCTCGAATTGGTTATTCGCATTTATGAGGATCCCAAGGTCACGCGAACCGAGCTGACTGTGCGTATGGAGCATGCCTTCTTGATTGGTACCCGAGCACAGGACGTCGAGATGCGCAACCGGTTCCTGGCAATCTTCGACAAGAGTCTGTCCAAGACGGCTACTGCTCGCCTTTCATATGTCATCACAGCTCAGCACTGGGATACACTCGCCGATTCCTTTTGGCTTGCTCAAGCCACCCAACTTCTCTTCGGCGCTGTGGAGATGAATGCAAACATACAGATGCACCATGCAGATTTCCGTACCCTTCCCGCCTCCCTGGTGTTTGGGGCTTACTCTAAGGATTCCCGAGAGCCGACTTTGATGACTGACGACAAGTACGACACGTTCATGGCTAACCACCGACGATTCGTTATCGAGGTTGGCGATGTCAAAGTCCGAGATGTCATCGAGCCAATCGCCCAACTTCAGCACACGGACAGTAACCTCTCTCATGAGCTCTGGGTTGCCCTGTTCCCCATGTTCTGGTCTGCCACCGCCAAAGAAGAGAAGACCGATCTTCAGAAGGGCATGGTTGTGCTCCTCTCCAAGGACTACCATTCCCGCCAAATGGACAAGCGACCCAACGTTGTGCAGACCTTGTTGACAGGCGCTGCCAAGGCATGGCCAGAGTGCAAGATTCCACCGCACATTCTCAAGTTTGGTGCAAAGACATACGATGCCTGGTATACTGCCATGGTCCAGCTCGAAAACGCGGCCATCAAGCCGGAACTCGACTCTACTAACGTGAGGGAGAGTAATCTCGATGCGCTGGTTGAGCTGTACTCTAGCCTCAAGGAAGATGACCTGTTCTACGGTACCTGGCGTCGGCGATGCCTGTACGTAGAGACCAACGCAGCCTTATCGTACGAGCAGACCGGCATGTGGGACAAGGCCCAGAAGCTGTACGAAGCCGCCCAGATCAAGGCTCGCACCGGAGCCATACCCTTTACGCAGGGAGAGTACATGCTCTGGGAGGATCATTGGATTCTTTGTGCTGAGAAGCTGCAGCAGTGGGAGATTTTGCAGGACTTTGCCAAGCATGAAAACCTGCAAGATCTTTTGCTAGAATGCGCCTGGAGAAATATAGAGATGTGGCAGACCCAGGAGCATCGTGAAGGCTTGGACATGCTCATCAAGGGCGTCATGGATGCGCCAACCTCTCGGAGGTCGTTTTTCCAGGGTTTCATGTCGCTTCTCAAGTTCCACAACAAGCAGGAGACTGGACAGGACTTCTCCAGGGTCTGTGATGAGGCAATCCAGTTATCCATTCGGAAGTGGCATCAGCTGCCGAAGCGCTTGACCGCTGCGCATATACCTATGCTGCACAACTTCCAGCAACTCGTTGAACTTCACGACGCTAGTGTCATCTGCCAGAGCCTGGCTAACACAAACCAGGCGAATTTGGACGTCAAGTCTGGAGAGTTGAAGCTTCTGCTTGGGGCTTGGCGAGATCGTCTGCCCAACATCTGGGATGACATCACCGACTGGCAGGATCTGGTTACTTGGCGTCAGCATATCTTTGGCCTAATCAACAGCACCTACCTCCAGCTCTTGCCTCAACAGGGTCAGAACGCGAATGGTGCCTCGTTTGCATACCGTGGATATCACGAGACGGCGTGGATAATCAACAGATTTGCCCACGTTGCACGCAAGCACAGCCTCCCAGACGTCTGTATCAACCAACTCAGTCGAATCTACACTCTGCCCAATATAGAGATCCAGGAAGCCTTTCTGAAGCTGAGAGAGCAGGCGAGATGTCACTACGAGAATCCCGAGGAGCTGAACAGCGGGTTGGATGTTATCAACAATACCAACCTCAACTACTTCAACAACCAACAGAAGGCGGAGTTCTACACGCTGAAGGGAATGTTTTTGGAAAAGCTCAACCAGAAAGAGGATGCTGATGGAGCCTACGGCACAGCCCTGTATTACGACATTGGTAAGGCCAAAGCATGGGCCGAATGGGGCTACTTCAATGACCGGAAGTTCAAGAGCGATCCTACAGACGTTAACTCCGCTCGGCAAGCCGTCACTTCGTATTTGCAGGCCATTGGCAGCTACAAGAGTGGGAAGGCAAGAAAGCTCATAGCACGCATCCTGTGGCTCCTGAGCTTGGATGACGCGAATGGAACGATAGCTTCAGGCTTTGATGATTACAAGGGGGAGACGCCTGTGTGGTATTGGATCACCTTCATCCCTCAACTCTTGACTGGCCTTGGTCACAAAGAAGCACCCAAGGTCCACGCGATTCTGCTCAAGATTGCGAAGGCATACCCCCAGTCTCTGTACTTCCAATTGAGGACAAATCGAGAGGATATGCTGGCCATCAAGAAGAACCAAGAGGCCAAAGAGAAGGCACGTCAGCGTGCCCAATCGGCAGCATCCAATGGAAAGCCCAGCAGCTCTCCCTCTCAGACCAAGCAGGAGAACCCTCAGACCAAATCAGAAGCATCGTCCAGGCCCCAAACCTCGAATGGCGAGACCAGTGCCCAACCCAAGACAGAGCCGAACGACGCGAGCGGGAATCCCAGTGCACCACATGCGGCTGGCGCCACCCCTGCTCCGAACGGCGAGCAGCAGACCGGAAAAGATGGCGCACCATCGACGGCCGGACATAAGAAACCGCCGTGGGAGCTCACCGAGGAGATAATGTCTGTTCTGAAGACTGCCTTCCCTCTGCTTGCTCTGTCCATGGAAACCATGGTGGACCAGATCCAGAAATTCTTCAAGTGCCCACCTGACGAGGATGCGTACCGACTCATCGTTGCACTTCTCAACGACGGGCTAGCATACGTCAGTCGAATGCCAGCTTCGTACGCTAGGGATGTCAAACTACCATCGGCCACTGAGACCAACATTACACGCTTCGCAGAGACAATTCTCCCAGCTCACATCAAGAAATCGTTCGAGGCCGATTTCGTGGCTGTGAAACCCACTATGTACGAGTACATTCACAAGCTACGGAAATGGCGTGACAAGTTTGAGGAAAAGCTTGACCGCAGGAATCCCCGGGGCTATCTGGAAGTATATTCGCGGCATCTTAGTGAGTTCCGCTATATGAAGTTCGACGACGTTGAAGTCCCGGGCCAGTACTTGCAGCACAAGGACAAGAATCAGGATTTCATCCGCATCGATCGGTTCTTACCCAACGTGGACCTGATCAGGGGGATTGGGGTGTCACACCGGCGCCTCAAGATCCGCGGTCACGACGGCAGTGTCCACGCGTTTGCAGTCCAGCATCCCGCTGCCCGTCACTGTCGTAGGGAAGAGAGGATCCTGCAGCTATTCCGGCACTTGAACCAGACACTCGCAAAGAAGAAGGAGAGTCGGCGCCGCGACCTGCAGTTTACTGTGCCTCTGATGGTTCCTCTTGCGCCGCATATAAGAATCGTGCAAGAAGATACCTCTTCTATCACGTTGCAGGGCATTTATGAGGATCACTGCCGGCGCAATGAAATGCAAAAGGACGAGCCAGTCATGTTTACTATGGATAAATTGCGCGGGTTAATCGAGCCTAAAGGCACTGTAAGTCATCCTACTCAGTGCGTGTACATCAGGAAAGCAGCTAACCCGTATATTCAGAAGCAGCCCGAAAACTCGGCCATGGCCCGTCTCGAGGTGTTTACGGCAATTCAGGAGAAATGGGTACCACACACTATCGCCCTCGAGTACTTCCAGAGCATCTTCCCCGAGTTCTCCGACTTCTGGCTGTTCCGTCGCAGGCTCTCATACCAGCTTTCTGCGCTGACCTTCATGACGTATGTGCTATACATGACCGGGCGCTACCCACACAAGATCAACATCGCGCGCGGCTCGGGCAAGATCTGGGGCTCTGAGCTTATGTCGTTCATGCCACCCGGCAAGCCCTTCTTCCACAACCCAGAACCGGTTCCATTCCGCCTCACGCCCAACCTGCAGACTCTCATGGGCCCTTTGGCCACCGAAGGCATCTTCAGCTGCTCCATAATGGCCATCTCGCGTTGCCTCACCGAACCCGAGTTTGAGCTTGAGCATGCGCTGACCCTCTTCGTTCGAGACGAGGTTATATTCTGGTTTACCAGTAGCCACCGGACCACTCACCTCAACGAGAACCAATTGCGTGATACGGTGACGACCAATTGCGATTCAATCGTGAAGCGCGCCGTCACGATTGCCAAGAGCCCTGTAGGCAATCTTCCGGCGAACCAGACGGTTATCGACCTCATCGCCAGGGCTGTCAACCCCATGAACCTCGCACAGTGCGATTCCCTTTGGATGCCATACCTTTAATGGCCTCATTAGCTACTGTGGTCTTGAAACCACGATTCATTTTTACGTGCGGTACACTGAGATTAGACATGGGAGTACAGCGTGTATTCCCAGCAGCAAGGCGTTCTCGAACGGAAACATCAAATTGATGACGGTTATGAGGCGGGGTGGAGGTTAGGAGTTTAAGGTGGAAAATCTGCTTCAGGCATGAGGGCCCCTGTATCGAAGATTGTTGTATTAATTTGAGAGCTTACTCAATTGAGACTATGTATTTGCTGACTCTACTCTGTGGTCCCGTGCTTGTCTGAATGTCTAACCCGGTGCCTTGATAGTCTAATGTGATTGCCCTTATCCCCTACACTCGTTGACTACGCCCGTGTCTATCCACCGTGTTTGCGTGGCCAGACGGTTTGAACCTTTGAATGTTGTATATTACGTTGGGGCCTTGAGCATCAGCCGCGTAGCTACCCGCGAGCCTTGTGGGAGTTAGTCATGTCAGGTATCGTGAGCCCCCTTTTCAGTCCTCTCTTATCTTCCAGCATCCAGCCTGCCGTCATAGGCTTCTTGCAGACCCTCTCTCAGACCTCGCAGCGGACCAGAAGGCAAGGCACAGGGACTTGGCCCCCAACCCGCAGCCGGGCCTGGTCGATGTGACCGTGGACCGAAGTTGGTGTTCAGCCAGAGGATGGCGAATAGCCCCCAACACGTCCGTATCGGGATACTTGCCGATTGTTGCAGCCAGTCACACTGCATCTAGAGGTTCTGTGTTACCGTCTTTGCAGTTCTCGAAGTGCCAATCTGCAAGCCATGAATCCTACGGGACACAGCGCTTGATGCTGTGTAGCATTGGGTTCTCACTTTGGCAGTTTGGCTGGGTGTTGCAATGCAACCCCCCTGAGCTTCAAGGTTGCCTTGGACTGCCTCTGCATATTTAATTTGGTTGCCTCGCTGGCGGCTGCGGCTCTGCAGGTGTTCCCGCACATTTATTCTAATAGTCGTGCCTTCGCCCGCCACACATCCCTCTTGTGCTTGTATTGCAGCGCTGCAACCATGCCTCGATACTCGTATCAGTCCTGCCCCCTGGACGATCCAACGAATGATCTCAGAGTCTTGGAGATCCTCAACAATGATCGGGACACAGTTGAGTGCAGACTGGTGAAGAACCCCAAGGACGAGCCATACGATACGCTTTCGTGGTGTTGGGGTGGAGCGAAGGAGGATGACGAAATTCGAATCATACAGGGAGACGAGGTCTACGATTTTCCCTTGCCGTCAAATCTAGTAAATGCCCTGCGAGAGCTCCGTCGCTTTGGGGTGTACAGGATCTGGATCGACTTCATCTGCATAGATCAAGTAAACCGCGACGAAAAGAATAAACAAGTGCCGATGATGTCGGTCACCTACGGGAACTCTAGATGTGTATATGCCTGGCTTGGCGCAGAGGACGAAATCAGCACGCTTGCGATGGATTTCATCGAGGATCGTGTGCTCAACCTCAGAGATTTCGATCGTCTGGTTCAAGACGAGCGCTGTCAACGAATGGGAAGCGCTATCGAAGCTGATCAAGCGTCCGTGATTTTCTCGCCGGTGGATTGTGCAGGAGATCGCCCTTGCCAAGGAGGCGGTACTTGTCTGCAGCAACAAATGCATCGGTTGGAAGGATTTCGCCGACGCCATCTCGCTGTTCAACGAAGTCGAGACTGGCACGAGAAGCCTGTCAAATGTGATGAAAAGCGACGAGGGTCTCAAACATATGCCCGACTTCTTTGGCCACGTCCCGGCCTTTAGTGCGACGAAGCTGGTCGAGGTGACCAACAATCTCTTCCGGCGAGTCTCCAAGGGCGAACGAGAAGCGAAGTTCAACCTCGAATATCTCATTTCCACGTTCACGGCGCTTGACGCGACAGAACCACGCGACACCATTTATGCCTTGCTTGCGATCGCAAGAGACACGATACCCAGGGTGAAGCTTGACACGTTCGTGATAAACACCTGGTCGGATTGGGTGAAGAGAAAATTTATCGATCAGATGTCGCAAAGGGCAACCTCGAAGCCGTACCATGTTGACTATGGGCTTCCATTGTCGGACGTTTACGTGCAGTTTGTCAAGTGGGTTGTTTCCTAGTCGGAGAAATCCCGAGCCCTCGATATGATCGTCAGGCCTTGGGCACCCACGCCTCCGGGGTCAGAGGAGCCAGATGATGACGCAAGAAGACATTGGCGCGCTGTCTTTAATGAGGCCGAGTCTAAACGGGTGGAGGGAGAGGGTTCATATACCTTGCCCGCCTGGATACCCACTGTGGCCAAAGCAGCCTTTGGGTTGGACGGTTGGGGAAAGATGAGCCGCAAGAATGCCGACACATTCATTGGGCTCTCTCCAGACCGCAACTATAGTGCAGCTGGGATAAGAACGGTGACAAGCTCTCTTCGGTTCGAGCAAGGAGTGACCAAGTACAGTGATCAGGAGGAGCTAAATGGGCTTCATTACATCAGCTTATTCGTGGAGTGTTTCGTTCACGACCGAGCTACTCAGTCAAAGCACCCGTCTCAGCAAGGCAAAAAGGTCCCTGACAAATGGGCGAAGATGGGTCGAAACCCACAACCAGAAGACATGGTCTCAGACGAGTTGATAAGCACACTCGTCGCAGGCCGCGGAACGTCTGACAGCAACGCACCGAGATACTATGCGCGCCTCATCAGACACGCATTCAAACAAGGAGTGAAGGGTGTTTCTCTCAACACATCGTCCATCGTATATTGGGGAAACTGCAAGGTTGTGGGCGAGGTCCTGCGGAGAGTCCAGTCGGTGATTTGGAACCGAAGGTTGATGCGGACGCAGAACGAGAAGAGGCTCGGGCTCGTGCCAGAGAACACGCAAGACGGAGACTTGATATGCATCCTCTACAGGTGCAGTGCGCCAGTGGTGCTACGTCCCTTTAAGAAGTCAGCCAGAGAAGTCGAGGACGAGGATCAGACCAGAAAGGAGAGACAAAGGGCCAAAGACGAAGAGAGGCAGAGGCAAGCCGTCATGACCATCATTCGAGTATGGAGGAGTCGCCGGCTTGCCAGGCAAACCAAATCTTCGATGTCAACAACCAGTCCAAAACGCAAGCGTAAGCGAGTCGCGACGGAACCGGTGGCACCACAGAAGAGGCCGTCGAAAGCCAGTACTTTCTCGTTGAGTGCGACGTCCACCATGCAGGTTCACGATAAGCCAGCCCTCGAGCAGGTTGTAGAGGACGTAAGCCAGCTACCAGAGAGTAGCACGAGAGTGGCGAAGGAGCCGCTGAAGAGCGATCCGGGCACCTTCTACCAGCTGATTGGCGAGTGTTATGTTGACGGAGTGATGAACGGAGAGGCAATTGCAACAGGGACGAAGTCGATGCTCTTCGAGATCAGGTAATCTCGGGTGGGGAGAGACCAGTTCGTGCGAAGGAAACAGACGTGGACTGGAATGCGTCACTTATTAATATGTACTAGATAATACAGCGTGGGGAGGAAGGGGCTGGCCGTGTCGAAAGCTTGCAGTTGTATCTACGTTAGGGAAGGAACACTGGGCTTTAATCAACGCGCCTGCCCGCCAACCCAGTCGAGATCAACACAGTATCGAAGAACCCCCAGGAAAGACGAGCCATCACGTGGCTCGAAGACGACGAAGACGACTGTCCTACATGCATGTGTAACATCGGCACTCGATGAATGTCACTACACCTGGAGTTGCTGTCTGGCCCTGAAAGGCTCTTGCCACGATATGATACTTCAATTGTCCTCCTGTGAATGGGAACCCGGCACGTTCACCCAGTCACCTCCTTGGTCACTTGCAATGCGTGATCACTGATAGCAATGCGTGATAAGGACGGTTTTCACGATGCTTGGCGGGGGCTCATGTCGACAGGGGTTGGTTTGGTGGTGACGACGAGACTTTCCACAGGAGCAGGACCCACATCTTGGAAGCTGGGGGTCGTTCAGGATATCAACATTGTGAAACCCCAGCATCCCACAGTTTCAGGTCCACCGTGGCTAGTTTGTGAAGGTGAAGGTACTATCACTTGATAGTGAAAAGATGCAAGAAAGTCAGTCAGAAATGCTGATGAGAAAAATAGCTGTGGTTGGGGCTCTGGTGCGCTGTACTTCGCCGAGGTGCTGCCCAAGGCGAAGATCACCGCCTTCTCAAACTCAAGGACGCAGAAAGAATTCATCGACTCCAAGGCCAAGGAGAAGGGGCTGACCAACTTGAAAGTCATCACGGGCGATGTCGTGGACTATGAATTTGAGAAGGAGAGCTTTGACCGTGTGGTCTCCATAGAGGTTAGGGTTCCTCACGTGCAGGCCTGCCTGTGTGATTGGGATTTGTTGCTGACCAGATTCGAAGCTGTTCGAACACATGAAGAACTACGAGCAGCTCATGGCAAAGGTGGCACGAGCTCTGAAGCCTGGTGGCAAGCTCTTCGTGCACATCTTCGCGCATAAGACGATACCTTATGACTTTGAGGAGGGATGGATGACTACCCACCCACTTCTTTACCGGTGGGACGATGCCTTCGGCGGATTTGTTACTCTACTTCCAGAGCGATCTCAAGGTTGAGAAACAGTGGTGGGTCAATGGGGTCCATTACTCGAAAACGTGCGAGGTGAGTTCACATCCCAGTCCTGTCCGAAATCCCTCTCCTAATGTTGACTTGGGTCGTTTGGCATTTGGCGTCCACATGCTGACCTGCCTAGCATTGGCTTTCCAATACAATCGCAAACAAGAAACAGATATGGCCGCACTTGGTGGAGACATATGGCGAGGAGAATGCCAACACGTGGTACAACATATGGCAGATATTCTACATGGCGTGCTCGGCATTGTTCGCGTACGAGGCTGGGGACACCTGGGGCGTGTGCCACTATCTCTTCGAGAAGCCGAAACCCTAGCAGTATTGGAACGCCGTAGAATGTGAGACGATGTATAGACTTCTGAAGCAATTGTTGTCCCCTATTTACCCTGACTGTCCGAACGCGGGCATCCTGCATATGCTGTTCGTCGTGCTTGCCCCCAAGCCATGGATTCTTCCACCCACTGCATGCCTCGTCGTATCATGACATCGACTACTCCGAGATCGCGGGTCTAGTGGTCCCATGGGTGCTTCCAGCCCATCAGAGCCGGTCCTATTGATTGAGTAAGTATGCATCGCTTGGGAGTGCCGGGAAATCGAGGTTAGGTACCGTCCTTCTTCGCTCTGTACATCAACTATCAGGCCAATTAGTGTCTCGAGCTTTCGACCAACGTAGAAAGAGCCGGGCACTTACGAAGAACCACATGCTTGCGCCGAGAGCAGTGGCGGTAAATCTGTAGATGCGAGGAACATGGGGCTGGATCCCGGGGCCAGCCATGGTGTCTGAGTCTGCGACGTGTGTCAGTCCAGGATTCGATCGCCGTTGGAACAAGATTATGGTGAGCGTACGCGGGTGGCCGGGAGAGAGGAGTTGTTGTGTTGTCGTGGAATTGGACTCGCCGAAAATGGGCTGAAGGGAGGTCGTCGGGTCTGAAGTTCAATTGACGATGTCGTGACACGCTTTAGTTGGAACCTCTGGAGCTCGGAGCACAGGTCCCAATCGGCCGAGGTTTTACCGTAGTGGGTCTATTCTGAGCTGGGCGGTCGGGACCAAGTGCCGCTTGTGGCTTGCACCAAAGCAGCACTGGCCCACGGGCGGTCTTTTAGCGGCCTTGCAGTACGTCGGGTACCTAAGGTATCTAAGGTTCACAAGGCACTTCTCAACCTCCAATTGTCTTTGACGACTGGACTTTGCATTGTTCTCGTCCTGCTTGCCTGCTTGTTCTTCTTCGCGGAAGGCAATCTTTGCGAGTTCGGCCACCATGCTCTCATCTTTTCCTCAGGCATAATTTCTTCTGGCGCAAGTTGGCAATTGATTTGATCGAGATGCAAAGCTTCCTTGCGCATTCCCTCGTCACATCCGGCAATCTCGCCAGAGACCACCACTTCCAACAACCACCGTTGGAATCGCGCATCCGTCATTCCTGGCACACGACTGCGACGATACACAAGACTACGACGACACCTCGAGCACCGTTGAACCATGGCTACCATGGCCGCCGCATATGGCACTGAGGCTCTATCGCCTCGAGCCTTTGCCGTACAGCACCACCGACCCAAAGACAGCTTCACGGGATGCTCGCGCATCAGCGACTACGAACTCATGGGCAAGTTGGGTGAAGGCACTTTTGGGTGAGTTCCCCCGAACGGCCTCTACGCGATCAATCATACTGAGACTCCCGCCAGCGAGGTTCACAAGGCGAGGACGCGACAGACGGGAACCATGGTCGCACTGAAGAAGATTATCATGCACAACGAGAAAGATGGGGTTCGTGGTAGCCTCCAAGTCCGTAATTGCCGTCGCTAACCGACTCGTCAGTTTCCCATCACCGCGCTCCGAGAGATCAAGCTCTTGAAGCTGCTGTCGCACAAGAATGTACTCCGCCTGGAAGACATGGCCGTCGAGCACCACTCCAAGATCAGTGAGTCGCGCTCTCATCGACAGGGCGCATATTCAGCTGACACCTCCAAGCCGACAAGAGAAAGCGACCCATCATGTACATGGTGACGCCCTACATGGACCACGACTTGTCCGGTCTTCTCGATAACCCCTCCGTTCACTTCACCGTACCGCAAACCAAGTGCTACCTATTCCAGCTTCTCCAAGGCCTCCGCTACCTCCACGACAACCGGATTCTGCATCGAGACATGAAGGCAGCCAACCTTCTTATCAGCAATAAAGGCATACTTCAGATCGCTGATTTCGGTCTCGCGCGACATTACGATGGCCCCGTCCCGAAACCCGGCGCAGGCGGCGGTGACGGAAAGAGAGAATACACAAGCCTCGTGGTCACGCGATGGTATCGGCCCCCGGAGTTATTGATGTTTCTCAAGAAATACACCACTGCTATTGACATGTGGGGTGTTGGGTGAGAGCGACCCTTTGGACCCTCTGGGTCGGTGCAATTGCGCTAACATTGATCAAAGTTGCGTCTTTGGCGAGATGTTGGTTGGCAAACCAATCCTAGCCGGCGAGAGCGACGTTCATCAACTCGAGATAATCTTTGATCTCGTTGGATCACCTACCGATCAGACAATGCCGGGATGGAAGCAATTGCCCGGCGGCGAGAAACTTACCCCAAGGTCAAGACCCGGATCACTGTCACAACGGTTCCGCGAGCATGGTGCGGATGCCGTCTCCCTGCTCAAGCAGCTTCTACAGCTTGACTGGCGCAATCGAATCAACGCGATTGACGCGCTCGAACACCCGTACTTCAAGACCACCCCTTATCCGGCCAGGCCTGAAGACATTCCTCACTTCGAAGACAGCCACGAACTGGATCGTAGAAAGTTCCATGATCGAAAGGCAGCTCTTCCCCCGGCACCCCAAGGCGGCACTGTCGGCGTCGGCGCCTTTGAAGGTCCCAATGCAGGATTCGGCAGCGGTAACGGTAACGGTTATGGCAACAGGATGAATGGCAGGTACCCAAATCACCAAGGAGGTGGACACCGCAATGGCGAGGACGGTGGCCGACGGCCAGCCTGGGCTAGAGAACAGCCACGTCACGAGCACCGACTACCGCCGCGACCCCCTCTGCCCGAACTTCCCATAAATACTCGCGATGGCGCCATGGATCATCCCGATCCATACCGAGAACGGGACCGCGCACCTCGAAATGCTCGTGGTGCCGGGGGAGGAAATCGACCAGATGTCGATACATATATTCCAAGCTACCGTGGAGGACGAGATGAGAGGCCACCGCGGGAGGATCGTCCACCGCGAGAGGATCGTCCACCGAGAGAAGACCGTCCGCCGCGGGACGATCGAAGATGGGACGATCGAGATGACAGACGGCATGGATGGGATCGCCGGGAAAGAGACTACGACGACCGCAATCGAGTCAGCAAGACGCGAAGCCGTAGCCGTTCGCCCATGAGAGCTCGCAGATAGAGTCGCCCGAACACTCAGAAAGGGGCACAAAAGAACGGAACGCCCAATGCTCCACCCCCACCACCGCCGCCTCCTCCTCCCCAATTCTTCGGCCAGATGCCGGCATCCTGGAATATGGCAGGGGTACCTCCGCCTCCCCCTTATCTCCCGCATCTCGCATACTCCCAATATCCGCCGCCTCCGCCACCTCTGTCGGCCCAACCTCCTCCTCCTCCCCCTCCCCCTACTTTAGGCAAGGTACAGAACGCACAGGCGCCTTAACTTCGATTTGCACTTCTTCTAGGGTCTGATTCGAGGGGTAACGGTAATCACGACGCCGGGCCTGGCATGGCAGCAGTGATTTAGGTTCGGGCAGGCGTTCCGAGATGGTATCTGGCTTCGGCGATCTAGGTATTTAGATCATGTAGTTCACTAGCGCAAAGGGGGTGTGTACCACACCCAAAATATCAAGCATGATAATATTGATAAGACTGGTCTGGCTATGTACAACCTGTGATTCGTGTGACCTTCGTGCTTCGCAGACCAATACCAACGTTAATCCTTCCAATTCTAGGGTCATGAGAAATCACTCTCGCTGCTCTCCTCGTGGATGGTCTGCGATAGCAGGCCCCGTCGCCGCCTCCTAGGCTTCTCCGAGGACCGCAGCATCTTCCACTGGTTCTCGAACAGGTCGCCATTGTTCGCGTCCGCCGGCTTCTTCCTGGCGTTGGCATGGTAGTCCACATCCCTCCGCGTCTGCTTGAAGCGGCGCAGGTTCGCGCTCGTCAGCGTCAGCGAGGGCCGGCCCGAGCTGCTGCCGTCGGAGTAGGTGGTGGTCTTGAATGAGTCTTCGCCTTCGCCTTCTTCTTCTCCTTCGTAATCTTCCTCTAGGTACAGGTCTTCCTCATCTGCATAGTCGTAGTCGTTTGTTGAGGAAGGGAGGAGCCTTTGACTGCCTTGGGGAGATAAGGTGTCTTGTTGCAGTTGTCTTCGTTTCTGTTTCTTCTGCGAGGTGGTGGTATCGATGCCGAGAAGCACGTAGATGAAGCTCGAGGTCCGGTGTAGGGCGCAGCCGGCGCAGATGCCTATCATTGCTGCGAAGGCGAGCTATTGGGTGGGTGTGGGGTGTTAGTGGTGGTGTGTAGGTAGGTTGTGGTGAGAGGGGGTTCAGTCATGGGGGTTGGATGGTGTGAGTTGGATACGAGAGCGGGTATGAGAGCACTCCAAGAGCATGAGAAAAGGGGCTTACGTAGATGCAGAGGTACTATACACACACAAGATGTCAGTCGACATTTCAAACTCACAAGCACGTCCCGCACCTCTCACTCTCTCATCCAACAATAACATTACAATTGCTCTTCATGGCACGTGCGAGTAGGCGGGCAAACAAACAGGCAGACGGGTAGAACATACCTTAAGCCTAGCAACCATATTCACAGCAAACGCCAACGAGCCTAAGACGGCATTGAAGAGGGCCCGGACCGGCGACAGCAGGAACGAGACCAGCGCCCAGATGTAGTAGACGGGGTAGTGCAGCGGGATGGTCAGAAGGTAGACTAGGCGGACCAGGAATTTGAAGGTGGAGGCCAGAACCGCGGCGGCGGAGTGTAGGGCTGGGAGGTAGTCCATGGTTTATGAGGTTTCCTTTCGGACGTCCCCCTTTCGACTCGGCTCGATTCAGCTTGCTCAGCTCAGCTTAACACTCAGCTCGAGCCGAGACTCGGCAGCCGTGAGCTGGGTCGGTCGGAGGCGCGTTTGCTTGCAAGTTGGCGCTCATCGGCTGCTGCTTTGACTGTCGCTCGACGCAGACGGAGGTGGACGGTGGACGTCAGAATGTGATATGGCAGTACCTTAGGTATGGTTAGGTACGGATAGCTATGGCGGAGGCTGTGGCTTGGCACTGGGCTGAGTGACCTCAGACTGTCAGAACCCCAAAATGCAAATGCAAGGGGGCCCCGGAGTGAGGTGGGGGCCAGGAAGGAACGAGCCGAGAGGATGGTTGACCGTTGATTGATTCAATTGAAACAACCCGCGGGGTATAGCTCGAGCCTCGAGGTCCTCAAGCTCCATCACAATGGATGCTCTGTCAACGGCGAAGGAGCTCCCACCGGATTGGCAATACGATACGATATGTTTACAACGTAATTAGATGGAAAGATCGGGGTTGAGGTAAGGTAGGTATCTCATTGGCCTGGGTGTACCCGCGCTGTCGGTAGAGATATCATGAAGAATGACGACAAGGGCTTTTTGATCCTTCTAACGTTACCGCCGGACAAGACCTGTCTCACTGAAGACCACGGCGACAAACCTAACTAGGTAGTTAGGTGATTAAGCATAAATTAGCCACGCCACTTGATGAGATGTGCTGTATGAACAATGAGGTAGAATAGAGACATAGTATTATGTACCTTGGGAACCTTTATCGAAACAGATTTCGAGGTTATCAGGTATATAGGTACGTACCTATCTGACATGCAGCCCGCGCGCGTGGACATGGTACAAGGGTCGGCGGCCGGCGTTGTCCTTCCCCGGTCGAGCGTCTTCGCAGCCGCCCAATCACAGCTCCAATGTTGGCCTGCCCTGCTGCTAGCCGGTCCCATGACCAGATGTTCTGTGATGATCCCACGTCCCGGGTCGCACCTGACTTCCAAGGTCCTCATCCATCGTACGAATCCCATCGTTCCTGAAGCCCGAACTCACTTTCTCCTATTCGGGACTGCCGTCGACGCTCACCGCCCCTTCCTCTACCCTGCTAAGTGCTTGCCAGTGCCACCTGCCTGCTGCCCGCCCACACGTCCACCGTCCACCGTCCACGTGCGCCGCACCCCGACCGGTCCTGCCCTGCCCTGCCCTGACCGATCTTCCCCTCCCCCACGTCGCCCACGTCGCCCACGTCGCCCACGTCGCCCACCATGGGGAACGCCCCGTCCTCGAAGCCGGCTACCCCTACCCCCACGCCTCCAGCTCCCTCCAGCTCGAACCACGACTCCCCGCGAGCTTCCAAGAAGGAGCACAAGCACCTGGTCTCGCTGCACCACCAGCAGCACATCCGATCGCCAGCTGAGCCCGAGGCCTCGGTCGTCCAGGCCCAGGGTTCCACCATTTCCAACAGAAACTCCCAGTCACGGCCCCTGTCCATCCTCAACTCCTCGTCACCTTCCGCGAGCTCCAGCCACTCCGTCGCACCTCGTAAGCCGTCCGATCAGCCAAAGCCGCAGCGACATGCCGCCGACCTCGACAATGAGCCCTCCAAGCCCGTAGCCGTGCCCGTGACCCATCCCGAAACCGATAGCTTCGCGCACGACTTTCACTACGAAGAGGGTCTCACGTCCGGTACCACTTCCAGCAGCATACAGGATATGTCATACCACCCCATGTCGCGCCCTCCGCGCCTGCCACTCCCCATCGAGGAGGAGATCCATACTCCTGGCTCGCCCATCTTCGCTCCACAGGACATCGACGAGGACAGGATCGAATATGTAGCTCCTCTGGACGAGCAGAATGACCTACCGCGCCGTGCGTCGGGACTGAGCAATGCGACAGACGAGGAGGATACTGAGGAGCTGCGCGTGGACAAGACGAGGCCAACAATTCCGACACACATCGAGTGGTTGCGCGGTGGTGAGAAGGTCTATGTCACGGGGACACCTTTTCAATGGAGCAGGAAACAGCGTTTACTCCCAGCGTGAGTAGCACACACACCTGTCACCGTTGCCGGTGCTGGTCTCGGAAGTCCGGACGACCACACCTATTGTGTCCAATATCAGAAAAGTCCCCGCTGTTGTCCGAGGTGGGTTACTTGATCAGTTCATGACCTGCTAACAATTGTCTTCCTTTACAGTCCAGGACGCGAAGGTGTTCTCGAGACGGTCATTCCAGTCTTTCCAGGTACACACCACATCAAGTTCCTGGTTGATGGTAGCATGCAAACGTCGCAAGACCTGCCCACTACCGTCGATTTTGGCAACAACTTGGTGAATTACATTGAAGTGAGCGGTGAAGGTGCGCGGAACTTGAACCTGGACTCCCGTGTTCCTAAGTCGAGCAAGGATGCCCTTCAACTTCCGTCCAGGCCACCCTCGCCGAGTGATGTTCCCCAGAAGAGAGTTATAGTCCCGGTGGAGACGTTCTCTGAAAAGGTCCCCCGCTATCTGGACGACTTCGACCAGCCCGAAGACTCGACAGTGTATAGGATCTCAGCTGTGGCGCTCGAGAAGCTCCCTCCGCCGCCCAGCTTGCCCGGGTTCCTGAGTAAGCCGATTATGAACAACACGACGCTGATCAAGGACGACAACAGCGTCCTGAACATGCCCAATCATACTGTTCTCAACCACTTGGCCACTTGCAGTATCAAGAATAACGTGCTTGCTGTATCAGCAACCACCAGGTTTCAGCACAAGGTGAGCTTGACCTCGATCCGGAGACGCAAAACGTTTCATGCTAATGGGAAATAGTACGTGACAACCGTCATTTACAAGGCCACAAAGCACGACTAAGCACAGTCTATCGTTTGACTGTTCTGCGCCTTGATGTTTGAACTGCCGAGGCAACCGGAATCATTCAGCTGCTGTTGATGGTAACAACAATACCATCGACTTCTTCTCACGCCCTTCGGGGAATTGCCTCCTGGCGCCTGTCACCAAGACGCCAGTCATCTGCGTGATACTCTTGGCTCAGTGCTTGGCATCTTTCACGTTGACTGCTTAGAGAGAGAGACTTGGTTTTCTTCCATGATGGGAAGTCGATACCGGCGTATATACGGTGGAATCAGACCCAGTCTCTTTTACGGCGCACCATTGATGGAAGAGCATAGGTGTGGTATGTAGCAGTAGGACTGGGATATATCCATTGGCACAGCAGGGCTGTGGGATACTGTGCTATCATTGGATGGGAAAATCTCCACTCAACGAAGTGTTCGACGAAATTTTGACTGGAGACGATGTCCTGGTCGACCACGCATGGGAACGAATGAAATGTGAAACTACGAGGATATGATGTGGCTGGGGTAGTATACCTGGCCTTGAATGGTTGTGTTCAGCATTCTGGGGAACTGGGCTGGGGACATCAACGCGCGCACCAACGACAAGGAGACGGCCCTACATATGGCGGCCGGTAGCAACAATGTCGAAGTCGTGCGGCTGCTGCTGGAGAAGGGCATCATCAGTAGACCAGAGAATACCGGATATAGTGTCCTCGTCCGGACCAGTCTAGTAATTCAGAAGAAACCACCACGAATCCATTTCTCATGTAAAAGTGGTGCCTAGTTTCATACCACACTGGAATGAAACCATCCCCTCAAGAAATAGGAAGAACAGAGATATTTTCCAGCAAGGTAAGCTAAGGTCCTTGGTATGGTCAGAGAGCCATGTATTACCATTCCACAGCCTGCTCGGCGAGCCGGTGGAAAGAGGACATTTGGTCTGTGATTCATGCACGCACGGAAAGACGAAAATATCAGTGGTGCGTACTTAAGGAATCAGGCGGTGTGCGTGTCTGCCTACCGCCTGGGTATTTACGGGTAGTTTTTGATCCTTATCGTCACCCCTGCCTATTCGTCTCCTTGGCCTTGCTTCGCCTGTCGTGTCATATGCATAGGTACTTTACTTGGGAAATAGAGAGGCAGTACTTGCAGGACCGGGGAGACGGGCCTGGTTCACGGTCGGCGGCCAGCAGCTGGGTGGCTGAGGAGCATTTTCTTCATTGGACAGGTTTGTTTGGGTGTTCGAATGTCTGCAGACTATGGGGCATTGTGTATTGATTATGTTGAAGGCTTGTTTGCGTGTCTAGTCAGATTTGAGAGAATCGGTCTCAGGGGTCGGGATGCTCTTCGGGTCGGTATATAGGACTGATGTAATCAGTTAGGTGCCGGCCGGGGCTTGACGATGGTTCGGGGGTTTATGCCGGGATATTATTTGGCCACGTGCTTGTTGACAGAGACGAAGAGTGAATATGCCAGTTTCGGTCTTGCGTAGGAAAGTCCCTCGGTGATATTTTACTCTCTTGTCATTATTCATGTTACTTCGTGTTCTTAAGTATTTTATTCTATAAGCCTCTCCCAGGCCCTCCTCAATCATCCCTCCACTTGATCAGCATCTCGTCGGTCCGGAAGCGCTGCGTGCACGTGCTCTCGGCCAGCGGGGTGACGAAGCCGGTCTCGTAGGCCAGCAGGCCGGCGTGCGCGATCATGATGCCGTTGTCGATGCAGAAGCGCTCGTCGGTGGCGTAGACGCTGCCGCCGCGCTCGGCGGCCATGGACCCCATCATGGCCTGCAGGCGCTCGTTGCACCCCACGCCGCCCACGATCAGCACCTGCGCGCTGCCCACGTGCGCCATGGCGCGCTCCGTGATCTCGACCAGCATCGCGTAGACGGTCTCCTGCAGGCTGAAGCAGAGGTCCTCGGGCGTGATGCGCGTCTCGCCCTCCTTGAGGGCGCCCGGGCCTTCCGTCTCTAGGATCTTGTCCTGCGCGCGCATCTGCGCCGCCAGGATGTCCGCCGCCCCGAGGATCCCGCTGAAGCTGCAGTCCATGCCCTTGACGGCGTACGGCAGGTCGAGCAGCACGGCGCCGCCCTTCCGGGCCAACAGCTCGATGTTGTACCCCGGGGCCGGGTCGTTGCTGATGGCCAGGGTGCGCGCGAAGCGGTCCAGGCAGTTGCCGACGGCGATGTCGAGCGTCTCGCCGAAGATGCGGTAGCGCTGTTCGGCGTAGGCGATGACCTGCGTGTTGCCGCCGCTGACGTACAGCACGACGGGGTTCGTGGCGCCCGTGATCTCGCGCCCCATCTCGATGTGGCCCACGCAGTGGTTGACGCCGACGAGCGGCCGGTCCCAGAGCAGCGAGAGCGTGCGCGCGGCCACCGCGACGGACTGCAGCGGCGCGCCCATCCCCGGGCCCTTGGTGTAGCAGATGCAGGCGAGCTGCGAGGGGGTCACCTTGGCGGCGCGCAGGGCGGCGAGCGCGATCCGCGCGAAGAAGGTCCGGTGGTGCTTTGCTGTGTCCTTGGGCAGAAACCCGGTCCCTGGGGGTGATACGAAGGTGTGCCGGATGTTGGCTAGGACGGCGGTCTTGCCTGTCGTTGGGTCGTGGGATATTATGCCGATGCCGAGCTTGTTGGCGCTGCCTTCGCAACCGAGGGCTATGAGGGGGCCTCCGCCCGTGTTGGTTGGCTTCGTCATCTTTGTTTCATCCAAGGAGACTGTGTTTGTTGTTGTTGAGTTTTGATGTATGAGATGTTGGGTTGAATGCTGAGTCCTCAGATGACGGAAGTGGGGTGAGATAGCAGGCTTGTGGTAGTCGCAAGTTAAGATCTAACTGCCGCTTCAGATGGAGCATCGCGCAATCCTCGAGAGATGGTTACTACCTTAGGTACGTGATGAAGCTCAGCTTCACGCCCATGCCCGTCTGAGACATGAATATGTGCATGACTATCTCTTGGATGCTGCAGGTCGTCAACAGTGAACACGCCCAAGCTCAAAATGAAGTCAAATATCGCGGCGCGGGGTCGTCAAGGCGGACTGTGGTCAGCCGTGCAGAAGTAGACGCAATGTACCGCTTTACAGCGAGACCCTGCGTTTTGAACGTTGTTGTGCGGCATTGGACCAATGAGCTCTTTTCAGCTCCTCCATATTGACTTGGGTGTGACCTTGGTGTGAAAAATCTTATCGATACGCGCAGACTGGACGTGATTAAAGATGCCAAGGCGCGTACGGCAAAGTCGATGGCCGTTCCCAGTCCGGTGCCTTGCGTTCCCACATGTACCCGCCGCCCGCCGCCCGCCTCTTCTGCGCTGGTGCTGGGGCCCACAACCTTAACAGCTATCATACCAAACTCGCTGTCTTCACTCCTCCACTGCTTCTGTTGTTGTGGTTTTTCTTTCTTCCTTGCCGGTGATACTCTCCCCTTTTCTGTTGGTAGCTATTCTCTGCCTTGCCACTTGTTTCATTCTTCCAGCCAGGTTCCCTGTTCTTGCACGCGGGAAGTTCTTGAGTCTGCCCGCCTTCACTCGGTCTACCCGCTCTACCCCCTCTGCCAGTGACCACCCGCTGACACACCTTTGTTCCTGCAGATACCCTTCGCCAGCTGGCCCTCACGCCAGGGGAAAGCTCTGTCACACTCTATTCTCCGATCGTGTTCCCATGACGTCTGGCGCATCCTTGTGTGCCGCAAGGATCTATGGACCCTATTCCTGCGACAGAGCCAACAACCACGTCACCCGGTCGAGTCGAGGGAAAGCTATAAGCAGTATACTGGCCACATCGAACGCCAACCATCTCGTTGTCCATTGCGGACCCTGTTGGCCTTTGTCAGATACTTGAGAACTGCTGAAGTGCAAGATTCACCTCTGCTCGACTCCCTCTTTGGCTGCTGCTGGACGAGCATTACTCGCAAGACCTGGTCAAGCTTTTTGACTGCCACTACTTTCTTTCAGTGGCATGAGGGTTCCCTCATATACCACGGTCCTCTACTGTGGTACTTCAACATCGATACCAACCGCAGGCTACATCGCGATTACCCTACATTCGCAAAATTGCCTCCGGGCAAAGCAGTCCAAATGCGCTTTTTCAAGACCGAGTATCTGATCTGATTAGCAGAACTTATAACGCCTAGGACCCCCCGTCTCCTTCCATCAACGTAATGGACAAGACTCGGACTTGTGGGATGTTTCCATCGCGCCTGACAATCTCGGACTTTCGCCACGAACGAATCACACACGCAGTGTCGCAAGAGCAAGAACATAAAGGGGAACTGGAAAAATAAGCTGATGCTTAGAATTCTATTCATTATCTCGGCGCCAGTGTGCGCGTCCGCGCTGCCGCTTCTTCGTTCCCAAACCATCCATCAACTCCGCCGGCTATGCATGTGGCTGTCCGAGAAATACATGTACAGCGCAACGACCTCGACTCCAACGCTATAGCGAATCTACCGGTCTCGCTAACCCGTTTGTTTGACAAAAAATGTACAAGTGTTGGGGGCGCACCCAACAACACTGACTCAACATCCCTCTTCGGCTGACTGGACTGGGTATCACAACTACTTATCTCTTCCACGGAATCCCGCTAGGTTGAGAGAGATCCAGACCTTCAATCTTGGTTGAAAATTGACGGTCTGAACCAGATCCCCAAAAGGTCATCCGCTAAGATGATGATGCCTGCACCGGCTGAGCCTGAGGCGGGACCGACGGCGCCGACGGTGCGGCAGATGATACAGATGGTATTTGGACCTGAGGCAAAGCCGGTCGGTTGGGATACCCCTGCAATTGCGCCGGATCCGTTCCCTGTCGTCGATTCTGCAAAGCAGGAGGGGGTGGGATGGTCGATCGGAACTTCATCTGCAGGAGACTGTTCGTATCGATCTTATACGTGGACGGTCCACCATCATCATCATCATCTTGGTCGTATTTCCACCGATCACTCTGCAACGAGCTTAATTCATGGGGAAGGATACTCGATTCGGTCTTGGTGCGAGTTGTACGACGATCAATCCAGAGCCGGCCCGACCGACCTACGCGACGACGGTACGAAGGCACTTCTTCCTGGTCCGAGTCCTCCGGAGTGGCGCCCTTGAAGACGAATGGCGCAAGCGACTTCTCCGGTGCCGACGGTGTCGACGGTGCTATATCGTCAATCTCCATGGAATCTGAAGCGGACGAAGCAGGCGGCGTCATCAAGAATGTTGTCTTGGCCGGCCTGAAGCTCAACTCCTTCTCTTGTTGAACGGGAGGCAGAGGGTCAGCCGTTAGGTCGACAAAGTTCTGATTCCATCTGCGATGGTTCTGCACTTTGACCTCAACATCATGACGCAACTCGTTCTCCTTCTCGGCCAGTTTGTGGGATAACTCGGGGAGGTCCACTTGCTCCATTGATCGATCGGGACGAGCCCCTTGACGAACTTGACCGTGAGGTGTAGCACGTGGCGGCTGTTGAGCCTCAGTTCTCGGGCGTTTCTGCGGCTTGGTATTGACCAAATCATCGTCGTCGGTCTTAATGTTGAGGCGAATCTTGATCTCCTTGAGCTTGGCTCGCTGCTCGAAGACAAGCCTGTCGGCCTTCAACAACTCTCTCTTCAGGAACTCGCGCTGGCGCGAGAAGACAACAAGCTGACGTCCATCTTCTAGTTCTCTACGCAACTTCTTCAGCTTGTCCGCTACCTGGACGTCGCGCGCTCGAGTCTTGCGGGTCTGACGAACTTCGCGCCGTCGGAAACAAACATAGGGGTCCATATCGTCATGCTCCTGGTGTGTCTCGAACTTGACAGCAGGGTTGAGAGACATGTTTGCATTGTCTTGGCGCCGGCTCTTCCAGTACTCATAGACGGGCTTGGCATGAGTCTCGGCGAGCTTGACGGAGCCTATCCGCCGCACCATAGAGTGATACATGACGTCGTAAGAGACGACAGTGTTGTCGACAGCGGCGTAGGGGGCCTGCTCGGAAGCGGTGTCCTCGAGGACCTCCATGAAGTGTTCGAATTCATCTTCGGACAGCTTCTCTTTGGCTGATCTTTTAGTGTTGTAAGTCTTGAGAAAATCTTCATCCTCTGCTGTCATATCATAGAGGCTACCCCTGATGGTCTCCTCGACCGTGTCGGAGAATTTGATATAGTTGCGAGGCTCTATGTAAGGGGTTGGATATAACTCGTCATAGTTGGCCTCGACGCTATTCTGCGGCGGCGGCACGGGAATCTCATTATCTGCACTGGCTCCAACACTCTTGAGAGCGGCTTGCAGATGGTATTCCTATTGTTGGGCAGGTTAGCAAGCTGTAGGTGTTTGATATCAAATGCATGCAGCGATGCACATGTGGGGTCACGTGTGGGATCACGTGATTGAGCAGATTAGGTGGTAAGGTTTAATTGACTCACATTTTCCTCGGCTTGCTCGACGCCAGTAGCAATTTGGGACTCGGTAGTGAGAGACTCATATTCGGTCGGGTCGATCTGGTCTTCTCGGAGGACGGGGAGGGGTGTTTTGGTATTCAGCTTCTTGTACCGCACCTTCCTGGTTGTCATGGTGGGCAGCGGTGAGGGTGGGTGGAGGCGGGGAAAAGCGGCAAATGGATGGGAAAAAATGGGAAAAATCCCGAAAAAACTCGGGGACGGGTTGTTCAGGACATGCGACAATGAAAAACGCGGTTTCTGGAAGCAGAAACGCCCGTCTTGGTGGTTGTTCTGATGGGCAAAGTGTCGTCGGCTGATGGGGTGACGTTGGAATTGATTTGGGGCGCAAAATTTTCGCTCGGGTTTGCGTTCGCAGTACCTTGTTGGTGGTGGTCAGAGCGCCAAAGCCAAAAGGGTGGGCAGAGAAAGGGCGGCGGGAACTGGGGGGTTGTGTCAGTTGCGTGTGCACCAAAATGACTAAGCAGAGCGCGCAAGCCACAACAATGCAAAGCAAGCAGTGCAGCAGCAACAGGCGCAGCAAGCCCAGTGTGGTGAATGTGGGCTGGGTTGGGCTGGACCTCCGACCGGCAACACGAGCCAGAAGGTACGTACCTCGGTGGCGGCGCTCTTCTTGGTGGGGTCAAGTCGCCATATTCGTTCTCTTATTGGTCGATACGGTCCAGCAGCACATGCAACTGGTGGAGCGACGGTGCGCCGCTTCAGGAATGGTCAGGCGGTTCAGGGAGAAGATGAGGGGCAGATTGGGGGAAGGGAAGCGATTGAAATTAGGCCTGGTCGCGCGCAACCTCCTTTCCCATTCATTCACCCATTCTATCAGATGCATCACTTCCAATCAATCATCCATCCATCACTCATCATCATTCCCATTCTTCAACCTGGCGCTGAAATGCACCTCCACCTGACCAACAGTGAAACAATGGTAATAGGGGGAGGCAATACTGTTTTCTCCCTTGATTGCATTTACTCTTCGAATCGCACTCACCCGGTCAGTCACTCGTGCCTTATCTATTGAGTAGATATTTGAGATGCACTGCTGAATGTGATGATGACTTCTGGTATCTGATAATTGCTTCATAAGTTATTAGACTTTACCGGTATCATTGATGGCCATGCTCTCGACTCGTGCAGTGGATACTGAGCACATTGATCAACGTTGAACCCTCCCTCTGGACGAGTCAATCATCAAGATCAAATCTGGGGAATTTCGCCGGTAATCGGCTCTAGGTAATCAGCCTCAGCTTATCAGCTACGGAGCTTCAATGCGGTTGATTGATCTGTGACTGGAAGACACAAGTTACAGTCATTGGTCTGGGATCACTTGAGTATTCTGCAAATATCATTATTGGGACTTTGACCTACTCATCACACAGGTATCTACATGAAGCTCCAACATTAATCAGTATCACTTGCTGATTCATGTTGCAGCCACTCCACCCGTGATATCAATGTGTGGCTGATACCAGACGTGGCGGTGCACCTGAATCATTAATTGAAGCCCGAGGCAATTGCACTTCAGAGGCCGCATTGCCGTTGCTGACCCCACCATCCCACCATCAAGCCCAACTCTATCCATCAGCCTCATTTCCAAGACGGCGATCCATCTGCTACGACCCGGGACGACGAACAGCCTTACCGGCGATACATACTTCGACTTCAGTGTCGCTTTCTCTGTGGTCTTCTTGCCTTGACCAATTCAGGCGCTGAGGTTCTGCCATCGAACGAGCTGCCAGCCTTGTCCCTCAATTCACCTCCTTTTGAGGAGCCTCGACCAAGATGGGGAACACTAGCAGTACAGTCCTGGACAACATTGTCGAAGGGTCAAACTGTATGGACCATATCAGCGCCCTGGAATGGTGAGGTTACTTGCTGACCGCGCCGTACAGTCGACCGGGATGAGGTGGACAGATTGAGAAAGAGGTTCATGAAGTTGGACAAGGTATGGACTGTGCCTCGGCATTCTGATATTTTGCGCCGTCGCTACCCTCTCTCTTTTGAACTCAGTGCTAATTGCTCGTCGCCTTCCAGGACAACTCCGGCACCATCGAACGCGACGAGTTCCTGAGCCTACCGCAGATATCGTCAAACCCGCTCGCCACAAGGTACAGCCTTCCCGACTACATCATTTGCCTATCAGGGGCGCAATCAGTCTCCCAACACATGCATAGACCGACCATGCGCAAGAACACCCCAGCTGACCAGGACCTTTCGTGTGAAACAGGATGATAGCAATCTTCGACGAGGACGGCGGTGGCGACGTGGACTTCCAGGAGTTCGTGTCGGGGCTGAGCGCCTTCAGCAGCAAGGGCAACAAGGAGCAGAAGCTGCAGTTCGCCTTCAAGGTCTACGACATCGACCGCGACGGCTACATTAGCAACGGCGAGCTGTTCATCGTGCTCAAGATGATGGTCGGCAGTAATCTTAAGGACCAGCAGCTGCAGCAAATCGTCGACAAGACCATCATGGAGGCCGACCTCGACAAGGACGGCAAAATCAGCTTTGAGGAGTTCACCAAGATGGTGGAGACTACTGACGTTAGCATGAGCATGACTTTAGGTGAGTTGCTCACTTCCTTGCTTGTCTATCCACTTCCTTTGAACATCTGGCCGGGGTATCTATAATGTCTTGCCATTCCCGTGAGGCGACAGTTGAAGAAGGGAGGTGTTACTCGGTTCATATGCTGACGGCTACAAATAGATCAATTCTAGATACCAGGATGCACAACGAGGCACTGTAGTAATGAATTCACGAGACTTGGGTTTTGGGACAACCTCTTTTGTTTTGCTGGAGCAACATGTGAATTATGGCATTTGGCTTCGTTGTCTGGTAATCTTGATATGGTCACTACTAGCGGTCCTGTGCGGTATTTGGCATGTCATTTGGCCGCTTGCCACCCATCACATACATTGCCACTGCCACTGCCCTGACCTTCCTTTCGAACACTCCAGATATTCGGGCTAAAAGACCGACTCGCTAGCAGCACCATTCGTCTCTCTCCACGCTACTGCTCCTCCATGCGTATACCTGCCCAAATGCTGCTCCCACCAAATGACATGCCAACTTTATCGGTCCTGAAGTGGGCGGGAAATTACAGGCATTGGAGCGCCGGCCAGCACAACTATACCGATTTTCATTTCAGCTCCGTTGGCCGAGGTACACCAGAATCCTTGCACCGACAGTGCGATTCTCAAACCATGGAGAAGCTGGTTGATGTCCGAGTTGATGCGATCAAGCGCCTCAATCCGAATCAAAATGCCAGGTGAGCTTTGGCCTGATGCTTCGCCTCAAAACGCCAAAGACCAGTATGATAGCCTAGCATCCAGTGCATTGAGCCTATCATCGTGCCCAGCGAAACAACTCGAGCATTGTCAGGCTGACAGTATTAATTCAGCGTGAGCGTCAGCATGAGATTCGTTTCTAGAGAGCACGGAGAAGTCGTTTGGTGGGAGTAATCCTTCGGCAAAACTCCTTGCAGTGGTGATCTGAAGACAAGGCTTCTAATCTGGTATGGAGGAGTCTTGATATTATGTCACGGCGAGCGTACTGAGGAGCTGGGACATGGCTGGCAGCAAGCAGCTATTACTCTATTGACGAGAATATCAAGAATAGAGAGGAAAGGAAGAGAGAGAGAGAGATAGGTACAGTGGGAGGTTGCCCCTTTAAGGGGATCCTCTGGTCAGATCCTTCCCCTATTGGGAAGTATCCGCTTGTCATGTGGGAAGGTCTGTGCAGGCCGTCACAAGGAGGGGAATATCTACTGTGAGGTGGATGAGGGTTTTTAATTTGTGTGTAAAAGATGGGATGGGAAGATTGGGTGGGAAGGAAGACATGTGTCCCATAGCTGGTCATGCTGGTCGGAGAGTGCTAACTGGCGGATGGGATGAAATAGGGGTAAGGGGTAAGAGGGGGGGAAACGTACGTTGCAGCTGAGGAGGGTATTGGTGGAAGAGAGGTCCTGGCAGGACCAAAAAATATCAGAGAATGCTCCGGGGAAAAATCCAATCAAGGACTGGCATGTCGCGGGCGTGTTCATGTCCACTTTGTGGGAGTTAACAAAGGGGTGAACACCCGTCATGTGTTGATATAAGGTGTTCTCATCAAAGCCCTCCAACTAAATGTCAATAGGAATGGTAGCTTGAAATTATATGCCAAAACCCCGAGACCGACCTGGATCGTGTATCCGATGCATCGATCAGTTAGTAGCGCAGACACAGCACCGTCGTATGCTGCCTATCCTATGTATGCAGCCATACAAAAGATCTTACGCCGAAGCGTACGAGTCACTATCGCATCAATTCACAACTTGAAGAACCACGAGTTACATGCACTTAGAAGGCTAGTAGTCGGTATCTTGAGTTAAAGTCCATCTGTGCGCAATGCCTGAATCATATATGTATGTGTCTCGACATGGTATCCGGGAAGGTATCTGGGAAGCCACCAGCGAAGATGTGCATCCCGACAACCTTGCGCTCTCCCGTCTAGCCGGGTGTCGTTGGGATACAGTACGCAATGTCTCAGTTGAGTATCTCACAACTGAACCGGGGATATCCACGACAGAGATGACGTTCCACCAGTGCACATCAGTCTAGGGCATATACTCTGTTCATACTGAGCGCTATCGCCACCCAGAGTCGTTGATGACCTCCCCGGTCCCGAGCACGATACCACACTTAGAGAGTGTGCAAACACAACGCAGATAGGGAGCAACGACGAAGCTCAATGAATCATCACGGAGACAGCTTTCCAGCCACCAGTAGTGTTCCGTTCCACAATGCCATCTAGCCGGCGCGAGGTGACACCAACTAATCAGTAGCCGTAGGCCAATCTATAAGCTACCCGAGTACTCGGGTAGGACGCCGTGCACCTGCATCTGCGTGCAGGCTGCTGCGAGATCCGGCACACCTAACGCGGTGGCCCGTCCCGCGAGGACGAGCCAGTGACAAATGAGAGACAAACGAGAGCGAGGTGCTACTGCATGACGTGAAGCGAGGCGACTTGGGCGATCCGCACCGGGTCTGGTCTGTCTCAATCGGGCGTCGGACGGTCGGAGTTACCAACAATGAGACTGATAACGGGATGTAGTATGAGGGCTGCGTTAGTATAGGCAGCCAGGGCAGCCCTGGCGAAAAGAAGCAAGTACAATCCGGCCAGTGAAACAAAAGCCCAGACATGTGCCTGCGAATTATCCACTGCGTATACCACGACGCGTTTTCTGGCCTCAAGTAGCAGACATGCACGCCTCGGGCGTGACCGCAGCACTGTAGGGTAGTCGAGTCAGTTCCCGGCCGCGACCCAGCTGTAGAAGCGGCTGATGCAAGATCAGGTAGTTAGCCAGCCAGCCAGCCAGCCAGCCAAGGATCCAAGGACACGGGGAAGATGCGGCGCATCCCAGTAGCCGCGGAGAGCAGTAAGCAATAGGTACTGAGCAGTACCTGATCGAGAAACTGACTCGTCAGACGCGCCCTACATGCGTGCCAAGGTGGATGCGAATAGCCCGCCCGTGGCGCTGGCGGTAGCCCGGGATGGCCGGCGCGGGTAGGTGCATTGGTCAGGGTATGTAGAATACCAGACACCTGCAGCCAGGATGTGTACGGGGAAATAGTCATCGGTTTGTTTGGTAGGCTGGAAGGCCGGGCGGGAGTGGGACGCCGGTATGAAATAAATGAAAGGGCTTCAAGAAATCGGGAGGCCTATCGCTAGATGCCAAACGCTTGCCTCGATGAGAGATTGCTGAATCGGCAGTCTCCCATGCGAGTCACCTCTTGAACCATTGATGAGCTCGTCCCATTAGCCAATGTTGTCCTGTTACTGAGTCTGCTTTCTGACAGGTCATGGAATGGGAGCCGGCGCGCCGTGTTGTGCGGCCCGACGACGGCATGCAGATCCGCCGAATCTCTCATCTCGCCAGAGACTTCCAGGTCGTTTGCAGCCCAATCCATCTTATGAGGCAAGGAGGGTCGTAGGGGATGTGGCAGCATGGGGGTCGTGTCGTGAGTACGCGCATGACGACTCAGGCGAGGATTCAGCCTCCATTACCAATAGTCTGGGTCCTGGTAACGCTAGACTTGCAGGAGGCGCAGCCTTATTGGCATCTCGTGGCTGCCGGGCGATGATAGGACGATGATGCTAACATCTGCAGCCTCGTATCGCATCCGTGTGCCTGGTGGTCGGTCGACTAGGCACGTTTGTCGACAGTCGAACAAGATGCATCTGAGACAATCCAGGGTTCCCGTTTGATCTTGTACCACAATGGTATCTGATAAATTCGTAATGACGAACTGCAGTGCTGAGGTAGCTGCATGTTTCACGCGCAGCCCCGTTATTGAAACTTATTTCCAACGTTACATGGCCGAAACAATCACGGAACGAAAGGGAATTAATTGAACCCACCTTCGTCACCTTGAGATCACCATCACCCATGTCGACAGCCGTTCGCTTAACGGCCTTGGAGGATCGGGGCCCCTGTCAAGAATTCCCCGTCGCCGTCTGCGGACGCAGAGAAGGGGAGAGGGCGGAAATAATAGGTCACACAATGCCAAGGAGATCATCCAGCTCTGTGGCAACGTCGCAGTGACACCATGTCGCAATCCCCTGAGAATGACATGCCCTGTTTCTCCCCTGGTCGGGCTGCTCCCTGGCGCGCGTCAGCCCTTCTCAGCCCGTGGACGCTTGACCCAGGTCGGAAGTATGGGGTAGCACCCAGATGGACTGGACCAGGTTTTCCGTGACAGCGGAGCCACCGGGCTGCCCACCCAAAGCGTCGGGTTCGATCATCCTGTAGGCGCGCCACTCAGCGCTCACTCTCTTGATACGCGCCCGTCTCATGCACTTTGCACTGTTCACCAGTCATCCGCAGCCTCGGGGCCCCAGGTCCTCAGGCGGGCGCATCTGCGGCCCATCCCCAGGAAGCGATCTTGTCAGACAGCGATTTGTGGGTGCCACGCCTCTCTGCGAGATACACGGCAGCACCCAAATCGGTAAACCTCCGAGATCGACAGCGTACGAGGCGAACCAGCCAATCAATACCAGCTTCCGGCCGCAAATGGTAATTTCTCAGCGTTGCTCTCCAGTGACGACTTTATTGAGGCCTCTCGCGAATCGTCCTGCCAAGACCGATACAGTACTGACACGATCAAGAATGAGAGTCGCACAGAGGCGTCGTGGCCACAGGCAGGTAGGTATTTTTGGCAGACTATGCACGGTTACTTTTGCAATCTGAAGGGATCCGAAAGGTGCGCATGGTATCGGGGAACCGGGGCAGGTGCGCCCTGTCCTGTCAGCTTGGTTCCAGCCACGAGCTTGTTATTGCTATGTGTGCCTGGAGTAGCATCGTGGCGGTAGGATGAGGACAGTACTTTTATCCACCAAGCCACTTCGACTGCTGCCGACAGCGGGAAGTGCCGGACCGGTCGAAGCTGTCGCAGGGTACAGTTGCTGTCAGGACCAATGCATGCATTGGAGCTGTGATAAAGCTGTGAAGCTGCGTTGTGTGTGTGGGGTGCATAGTCATGAAATCCATCAGCAGGAACGGAGAAACAGAGATCAATATGCCAGATCTATTATGGGGCATCCGTGTTCCCAGAGCCTTGGTTCGCACAAGAATACGTGCAGTAGTTCGCCTCGATCCCAGGAACCTCGTCAATATTGTGGAGGCCGGCAAACGTACACCTTTGTGCTTCTGTCGGCCCTTTGGGTAGTTGGGCATCAAGGTGATTGGCGTAGGTCGCATCGTGAGTCCTAGACGCGTCAGTACGTACCTCGCATCAGGGATGTGAACTCGCAGCATCTTGCGTGGCTTCTGGAAGCTGAGCCGGTACCGCCCTCCCCGGACTCCCGGTTGCATGATCCATGATCCCCCTAGGTATCAATGTGTTTAGAACGTGAGGGTCGCCGTTGATGCCCAACAATGGCGGTGGCAGAGGGTGAGACTTCGTGGAGAGAGATAGATGATGGATCAGCCTTTGGGGAGAATTGGAGAATTGGAGAATTGTAATTGTAAGTGCGATGCCCAATTGGAAGGAACCTCCTGAGTCCTGCCAGCCCTGCCTGCCCCCTTTCGCAAATGCCGGTGCCGATCTGACGGCGGATCGCCCATTCGCCAATTGGGCAGTAACAGACGCGCCCAATCAACGCCACGCCCAACGCCTGGTTCCAACTATTCCAAGTACGGTATCCCATAGTATCAACATCAAGTGATTCTGCCTCGTATCGTCTTTGTATACACAAGTCAATTCAGGTTGACTGATGTACTAAAGGTGGTACAATGCCCCTGTCACGCAGCCGCCAGGGCTGGTGCCTCCAATATGTATCTATGTACATGGCCGATCCTCTTGACAGCAGAGGACCGGCACGGCAAGAAAACAAGCTCGTGAGAGCATAGCTGCCTTTCTTGCCCTCTATGTTCCGTTTGGTCCTTTCCCGTCGGGTTCCAGGGTATCCTCAAAACCATTCGTACAGCCGTACGCCTCCACTCTATAGTACCAGCATCCCTGCCTTTCCCCCTGTGCCATGTCGTGTCTTGCCTCGTGTACCATTCGTCAGTAGATCCACCCCAGGAATGGCTCAGTACCGATTGCAGCCGCAGGCTGCGTCGACCGGTCAGAGACTCAGATGCAATGACAGTGACATACTGCCACACAGACGAATGGTAGGATTCCTGCCTCGCGCGGCCAAGCCAAGCTGCAATGCGGTGCCACCACTTCATGCTCCCTTTTCTGCATTCCCTGATCCCCGCGAATGCCTTCCAGTTTAGGAGTGACAGAATGCGGAGGAAGAACTCGCGTGGAAAGAAGATGGGAATCGTAGCCTGGTAACACACAGAACCATCATGCCCTAATGAAACGCCCTGCCATGTGTATAATTACAATCCATTGATGCCTACCGTCAGGCATTCCGTGATCCGCCCAGTGAGAGGCTACGGACAATATCCTCTAGCGGGACATGTGATGAAGGGGTCGCTGGCTGGATCCCGCCGCACTCGCAAGAGAGGATCCTCTAGCACTGGCTCCGTCGCCATTCTCGTAGAGATCGATGCATTGTCCAATGACTAAAAAGAACGGTTAGCGAGGTCCGCAAGCGAGAACACCATAGGAAATCGCCTAGTGCGATGAAGACCTACTGTCAATGATCTGCTCTTCCCATACACCGTACTCGTAGTCGACAAGACCATGTCGCTCAATACCGTCACATAGACGTATGATCTCTTTGCCCATCTTCTTGAGGATATCTTCACTGATTAAGGTTTGACCCCGTTGCGGTGGCTGGCCTGATTCCATGATGTCCTTTTGTCTCTGGAACAGGGCAAGCCATGCGTGGTTGAAGTCGTGCCATAGCTTGATGCGATCGGGATGCAGAGCTGGGTTGTCTCCAGCAAGGCCTATAATGCTTTATTAGTCACAAACGACGCCGATGCTTCTGAGTAGTAGATACTGACCAAGTTCCACAACCTTCGAGAGAAGCCACTCGGACACGTTCAGCAGTGATTCGCTTGCCGACTGCAGCACGCCGCTCCGGATGTTGGTAAAGATCTCCTTGAGCGCTGACTGGTACTGCTCGTAAGCCTCGCCCATCTCTGCCGATGCTGAATAGTCCTGCTCCTCCACGACCTGCTCGGGCGCGCTTGCCTGTGTCTGTGCCATGCCGCTCATTGATGTCATTCCACCGGGGTAGTTCTGGAGCATCGCGCGCTGCTGGTCCGCCGGGCTCTGTTGATATACCTGCGTCGAGCTCGAGGATCCCGCCTGGGGCTGCAGACCACTCGCCGCGGCTGCGTTGGTTGGCTCGGTCGGGAAATAAGGCGCGGCTACATCCGTTGGCATCATCGGCAGCGCTGCAGGCTGCCGCGACGGGAACTGTTGACTCGTATCGTAAACGGCGTTTTGTGCGCCCGTTGTGTACATCATCGACGGGTTGTACCCGCCGAAGCTCTGCGGCTGTCTGCTGTCCTGCCCATAATCGGGCTGCTGGTATGCCATTGTACTCTGCGACATGGCAGTGGAAAAGGCCGCCGCCGGCTCCTGGTAATAGCCACTGTACGCAGCCGTCCCGCCCAAGCCTCTAGCTGCCGTGGGAGATGTGTTGATTGGCGCAGGTCGGTACCTGTCAGGCGCACTCGCGCCATACGACCTCCTCTGCGCATTGGGATCGTTGACTGCGTATCTAGGGTTGGATGTAGCACCGATGGGCGCTTCATGCTGCCTCCGCCGCGCGTTGTCGTCCATGCCCCGAGAAAGCGCGTCGCCAGATGCCTGAAACGGCGAGCCCAGCCGATGCGACCCCGGCAACGGAGCTGGATTGGAGTAGAGGATGGCCACTTTGCTTCGAGTCGGCCGTGTTGCAGCCGGCCTGCTAAAGTCACCTGAAGAACAAACGACGTACAGGCGGCGGCAGGACGAAATATGGCGATGTAGTTACCCAAGTTGAAGTTGGGTGGCAGGTTACGCGAGGCCGGGTAGATGGTTGCTTGGGATTCCCGGACACAGGGAAGACCGTCGGCCGATATAAAGTAAGAAAGGGTTTGCTTGTTTACGAAGCCGTCCCAGGCGATGATCGGACGAAGATCCCAGCGAGTAGATCCTGAAGATGACGCAACGCAGGATATCCGCAAGCGGCTCAGGTTGTGTACGAGTCCAGTTTGTCGGGGGTGGTGTGTTTGCGTGCTTGTTTGTGTGTAGGGAAGACGGCAGGACGAACATCAGAGCTTGTCAGGGAAGGGTCGACTATGTAAAGTAGATGTCCAAAGTGTGAATGCCGAAGGGGCCTCGATGTCGATACCAGGCAGCTATATGTAAGGTGCACGCTACCATATGTTAGCTATATGGAGAGGTAGGGATGACGATGCCCCCGAGGTTTTCAACTTTTTGGCTTCGCCTTTAGATCTGCCCACAAAAACCCTGGGTGGGTAGGCTGGCACGCTGGTGCACCGCGTAGCTGACTTGTCAACGGTTGTCACTCTTTGTACTGGGAGAATCCCGGTGCCGCTGTGGTGGGCTTCGAGCGCAACAAGCAGTGACCCTGTCGACCTCTGAGGAAAGCAAGCCACACTAGAGCGCGGTCGAAGTGGGAGCTCCTCACTGGGCTTCGTACCGAATCACCGATCCGTATAGACTCTTGCTGGAGTGGCGTTCCTTTCCCGAAGAATGCGATTTGGAGAGACAGCTAGATGACTCCGGGCAGAGCGAGTGGGACTTGGGTTCGGACTGAATCTAGTTCTACAACGAGAGACAGGGTAATAACAAGGACTGTGATGGGTCGACGACGGCTAGGTGAACTACGTCGCGGAGCTACGCCAGGAACAGGTGCACAGTAATGGTGATGGTGATGGTAGTGGTTGCAGATATCGGAGGATTTTAGGTCGTCGGGGAATTTTCTACGTAGCTGAGTGGACCGGAGTCGACGAGGTACTTTGGGCCATGATATATTATTATTAGGTGAAGGGGCCAGGTCGAAGAGGACTTGCCACTTGGTGGGTGTGGAGACGCAGCTAGATTCCAAGGTGAGATAGATGGAGGTTTCGACGTCTCTCGCACGCGCCGCTTTGCTTTTACTAATTAGAGCTGTGGGTAGCACACGAGCAAAGGACGACGGGGACGACGGGGACGACGGGGACGACGGTCATCGAGGGTCACGAGGGAGACGAGCCCAATACAGCATACATCATACTGCGCAGGTACCCAAACATAGGCTCGTAATATCAGCAACGCCGAGCGGACGGAAAGTAGATGGAGCTAGATGGAGCCCAGCTGGGGCTGGGTAGACCAGCATGACAAGCTGGTTGCGACAGGGTGGCCGAGATCTGCGCACAGGTAACGGGGAGCGGGTCCACGTCTCCCATATCCCACGCCTTGGGCGTGCTTGTAGAAGACGCCGCAGATCAGGCAGTATGTGTCGACCTCAGGTTGGGTGATGATGGATCATGGTGTATCGCGCTGCAGTGCCGAGGAGGCTTGACTTGCGCTGTAGGGCGGAAGAACCTATTGGGGTGTGTGCGGGACCCAGGGTCTGGAGAGTCGCATGGGTGAACAAGGGAACATCCAGAATGTATGCGAATTGGGGCTGTGGCTGTGAGAATACGACGAAGAGAACATGGAAGGCACGCAGACGACAAGGTACGGGATGCACCGTCACGCAGCTGAGGCCCTGGCGAGGACAGGCACGCCGCACGACCCCCGGTGCAGATCGGCTCATTGCGGAATGCTGTACCGGAGTAGAACAAAAGTCGCGAACGATGAAGCTCTAACCCCTGTTGTGCGAGAGATCTCCTGTGAGATCAATTCGCAGGGTGGCAGCCGGGTGCAGCAGGGTGGCAGACGTCAAATGGGGATGATGAAACCTGCGTCCAGGTACCAATCGATATGTGCTGAGTGACACCAGGGCTGAGTAGATTGCTTCTTGCTTCTTGCTTGCGCAGGGTCGTGTCTCGTGGTTGGGCAATATTCGCGTGGTTGGCTGTGCTTGCTTGGCTGGTTTGCAAAGCCGGACCCCGTCGAAACATTGGAAATATGTGAGAATCTGGTTTTTCGGTTTCTCCAGATGGATCAATTGGTTGGTGTTTCTTTCTGGATGGCTGTTTGAAGATCAGGAGGTGGGGGTGCAGATGGAACCTTGTGAAGATGGTCAGGCTGTCGGGATGTCAGGATGGTGTCGGCGAAGCTAATAAAAGGCACCAGGGTTCACCACCCTGGCAGCTGGACAGGCAGGGAGTTAAATCTTCAATTGGGAACCCGACGACAACTCGAGGTGGTCACTGGTAGGGCAAGTGGCAAACAGCCAGTTGATTGGCAGCTGCCTTCGAAATACCATGATGTGCAGGTGCAGGTGGTTCCTCCCATCCATGGATGTGAAGCCGTGCCTTCCGTACGTAGGCCTATCCGTACGTAAGCTACCTGTAGCTACATGCTAGCTAGGTAGGTATGATGCATACAGGTCCCGTTATAATGTTGACGACCCAGCTCCAAGGTTCTCTTGCCTCTGTAAGTATCATATGTGCTTACATCAGCCCGGTGTTGAAGACTGACGGGCAACCTTCAGCATCAGCTTCCTGTCCGTGGTTCCCCGTTCCGCTCACTGCCCATCTAGCAACCTTCCTACTAGTATTGTGACATCCCGGTTGCCTCCAATTGCCAAGTGGTGCTGTCAATTCATGTCAGAGAAGAACGCAAAAACGACTCAACTCGAAAGTAGGTTCTCAATTGGAAACATGGTCGAGAGCTCAACCCGGAAGAGGAAAGGCTCAGGTTCTGGCACCGAAAGCTTCAACTTCTGCGAGCCCCGCCGTCGGTCTCTCACTCTCGCATGGCATGGCGCAACTCAATTGTCGTCAAAGACGAACAACGAATGCTGATTCGATCTGGGGAGAATCCAACTGCCTGCTAGCCTGAGCTAGTCGGCGCATCGAAACAGACTAGGAAGCCGACGAAGTTTTTTTCCCAGCGGCTTCGCAACGGTCATTGGTGGGTGGAGGATGCCACTACACGACATCTTTTTTTAATTTTTCTTTAGAACGCTCCTTGCAGCTTCGCCCTAGAAGCCGAGACCATTCTTGGGGTCAGCTGAGCAGAGCCGTACTCTCCTCGCCCCCTCGAAACTGATGGTGCCCAACGCGACGAGCCCATTGCCCTCTGCGGCCTTGTTTGCGATCACTGATCAGCACCGCGCGATCTGAGCGTGCGGGAGATTTGCGCGCAACGGCCGGGGGAGCCCAAAACAGACCCCAAATGACCAAATGACGGGGGAGTACCTCGGAAGTACCTGATCCATCGGCCGCCGCAATCGCCGAAGCAGGTACTGGGGCAGTCATGGAGCCAGGAACAGGCTTTGAGTGAGGCAGAACTTTGCTAGCAGTGATCAAAAGGATCCTTGAACCATGTCGTTGGGGATGAAAAATGCTGCCAGGGGCAAACTCGGATTGAGATGTCGTCAAATACCGACCAGGGGCATGTCTGACCTTGTCCCGGATTGGACGGGGGTTTTGCAGCAATCGACGTCCACTCATCTCTCAGATCTGTCCTCCCCGCGGCCCAGCGGCCAGGTACAGAATACAAACAGGGTACCTGCAGTCTGCAGACTGCATCCCGCTGCTGCTGTCACGACGCCGGACGGGATATCTGTGCGAGCATCGACACTTGGATCTCGAGCATCTACATCCACGCGACTCGGCGAACCCATACAGCATACTCTCTCATGCGCTTGAGGCCTACTGGTACTTATTCAGCACACATGTGTGGTCAAACCCAGCTGCAAATCGTACTGCAGGAGAGCTGCATCTCCCAGTCGTTCTTCCGGTCGGTCGACTTGAAGTCGAAACAAGTAAATGGTACCTACTTCTCCAGAAGTGAGTCCCCCGCCCTCCGGCATTGCATGTGGTCACAACCAATGGTTCTTTGCCCCGATAATGCAGAGAATGCAGGTTGCAGATTGCAGATTGATGTCTTGCTGCAATCACACCATGTATTGAGAGAGGTACGTTTCACCTGTGAAGGGTCCACACCGAACAGTGAAGCTTCAGGGACCACCAAATGGACACAACGTCAGCTCTAGTAAACCGAGGACAAATAGCCGCTCTGAGCGCGCAGTTCGCGATTGCAACAACACCTACAAAGTCCTTCATGAGACATCAGCGCCAAGCCCAGGAGGGACATCTGGTATAAGAGATTCCAAGAACCATGAGGCCTGAGGTTGTTGACCGTCACGTAATGGGCCAATGGCGGCTAGAATCACACGGTCGAGTATCGAGTATTTGTGCTATATCCCACAAACTTGTTGTCTGTGGCGGGCAAACTGCGGCTCAATCGCGCACAAGAAAGCGGCTTCGGATTGTCCCACATGCTGGAGTACTACATATGCGTATGCGTATGTACATGTAGTTATGGCCCGGTCTGCTGCGAGGCTACACACGCTCGGTAGTAACCCGACCTTCGCTCCCGGTTTGCCCTTTTCTCTCCTTGTCTGACGGTCTGAGTTGAGGAAAAGTTGACAAATATTGATTGACTGCTGTGTGTCCGCCGATCTCAGCCTCGTCAGGGGTGGTGAACGTTGATCAACTGAGTGAGGCTGCCTGGTAACCTGGTTTCCCCACAGATGATGATGTGCTGCCGTCCAGCCGTCTCGCAGCTTGAGTCTTCGGGCTTCACCGATTCCTTGTTCCTGTGCGCGACAGAGTGTCAGTGATCCACTTCAAATCCGCGTACACCCCCCTAGAATATTGAGCTGGCACGCGGCGACGACAAAAGTACGTTTTTTAAAGTTGTCATTACCGTTATAACGTCGCATATATCCATGGAGGTATGTACTAATAGCCCTAAGCTATAGCTATTAGCACATGTTTGGATTGATGTTTGCGACGTTGATTTGGGAACGTAATGATTGCAAACCGTACTTTTGTCGTTGCGGTCGTTATGTTCTACGTGAGGGGTAATAATATGATATATTTAAATATAATATATTATAACGTAGCGAATATAAGTCGTAGTTTTAAAATAAACCATACTTTAAAAGCTAATTTCCAACCCGTATCTTCTAAGAAATAGCATAAAAGGTAATTAAACTACCCTAACTCTATTCCAAACTATCTACTAGTATACTATTAGGTTTTATATTTAAAATTTATGTAAAAAAACTTATTATCTTCTTTACTTAAATCTATATATTTTATACATATAAAACTTTTTTATATCTTTCAAGCTGGTTGTATTATGGCTTGTTTTCTTAAAAAACGACTTTAAAAAGATTTGGGGGTATACGGCGATTTGAAGTGGATCCGCGCTAGTGTGACACTCTGCTTGCAAACGACAGTAGACCAGCAGTACTCTGTTAGTATAAACCAAATTCTGCACCATGACCGTGTTGTGTCTTCACAATAATCAATCTGTCGGGAATGGCGGATCGCAGCTGTTGCCAACATTGGAAGGGTCGATATCAGCAGGCAGGCATACTCTGTTTCGGCTCGGACTGTCCCGAAACCACCTGCGCAGAACAGTTTCATGCAAGCTGCGCGCTCGCGACAAGGTCTCTTTACAGTATTCAAATCGCCCCCATCAAGTCATCAGCCTACGCTATTAGTTATCACCTCCTTGCGTTGGATATCTGCCGCGTTGTTTTATATTCTCTCACGGGTCCGGTTCGTCTGTCGCAACTCCAACGGGCGCATTTCGTCATTCCGAATCGACCCAAAAATAAGAAGACTTTGGCGCCGATTAGCTTCCTTCCCATCAAGAACCCTATGACTACCTATGCTACCCTGCCCAAGGCCCCAAGGTCTCCCATGCTTCCTGAGACGTCACACGGCATTTGGCTACTGGCGCGCCATCGCTTTTCACATTCCGCCCTGAAACGGCTAATAGGCCTTCTAGAAGGCTTCTTGAACGGCTGCCGCATGAGTTGAGCGAAGCTAGCAGGCATGTGGCGGTTTTTCTTTTTGTTTCTAAAAGAGGACGTTTCAAACGCGAATCCCCTTGCAGAGCGAGCCTTTCCCTTCGCAGCAAATTGCGGAATGAAACGGCTGAGCAAGCCACCTGGACGTCCTGAACAGGAACAACAGCAAGGGTCATTGTCTTTCAGATCCCTTCATCTTTCTACCGCCATGGCCTCGGAAGCTTCAAGCTACTGCGTGTTCTATACCTAAAATAACCCACGGTATTGCAGCCTGCAGGAACAAGATCCAAATTGCGCCGCTACGCGTACCCGATGAGCGCTTCGCTGCCTGACAATCTCCCTGCTCCCTTGACGAGCAAGCAAGTCACCCTCACGTGAGTCGTACAGTCTTATTTGTTCAATTCTCATAACCTATGATGTGCTCGTAAGTCGTGACCCTACAATATATGAGATCGACCATCCATGTTCAAGATCGCAAGGTCGAGGGTCCGATACTCTTCCCCCTTCTCACCCTCGCTGCCACGTTGTCACCCGTCGGTTCCGGAATGTGGGCTGGTAAGGGATGAGGAATCATACTAGACTACCTACTACGTGATCAACACACGACATCTCGCAACAGCGGTGCACCCAACACCGCGACTTGGGGATCGCAGGATGGGCTATCACTTCTCAAGTTCTCAGCCACGTTCTGTGGGGACTGGGATACTGCCTACACCACACAAAGTGGCCCCGAGAATCCACCCAATTTATCCAACTCCTCGGTAACCAGTGGAGTGACAGGACATTAGTTACACGATTGCCTCAGGACTGTTACGTTTACTATAGAAAAGAAAGCTCGAGGTAATGCATCACTAGACAATGCCGTATACTGTTATTAGGTTCATGCCCGCCAGTCTACATCCACGCCCCTTGCTGGTCATTGCTCTGTCTGTCTGTAGAGGACAGATTGCGATGGACTCGGGGCTAGTCTTCCCTAACAAGATTACACCAACGTCAGCTGGCACACTTTCGACGGGCCTGCCGGCGAAGATCAGGCCACGCGCCGCTCCTAGCTCCTGACTTTCGAGCGCATCTGCCAATTCTGGAGACAGGTTATCTTGATGCCCCACGGTACCAAGTCACCGCTGCCAGCTTTCACGTTGTAGTCGAATCTTGGGATACGAAGTAGGTACATGTTGATACATTGACTTTGTACAGTAACAGTATAGATGTTTCGCCACGGGGTCGCCAAGATGGACCCCCAGACTATATCGATCCGGCACTCTTGCCGAAAACGCTGACGGATGGCCGCATTCTAGAAGCCTGCGTAGAACACTTGGGACCGTCTCGTCTGTTTCATCAGAGACATGGTCATATTCCATCAGAGTTCTTCTATCTCTTGACCCATGCGGGCATCTTTCTCGCCTTGACATGACCAGGCTTCTTCCTCTCCACCGTCCTCGGGTCTCGGGTGATGCAACCGGCTAGGTGGACAAATTAGACACATTTCCATAGCAAGCTTCATCAGTGGGCAACTCTAGCTTACCTTTCCGGAGCGGCGTCTTCAATGCTGGCTCGTGAACCACCAGGGCTTTGGCGATGGCCATGGCGAGAGCCTCGGCCTGGCCGGTGGTGCCGCCTCCCTCCACCAGGGCCCATACGTTGTACTTGTCTATTCTATCCATGGACTTGAGGCCCCAGAGCGCACTCTCGCGGTCGTGAACCCGGCCGAACGCGTCGTTCAGGGTCTTCCCGTTGATGAGGACCTCGCCCATGCCCTCGACGAGCCAGGCCCGGGCGATCGACGACTTCCGCTTGCCCACGCCGTGCGAGCGGCCGAACCGGTCGACGGGCATGAGCTTGGGCGTGTTGAGGTAGATGTTGATGTCGCGCTTGAACGGCCGGATGCCCTGCTTGACCTCCTCGGGCATCAAGTCTGGGTGGATCTGGTGCAGCCGCTTGACCAGCCCGATGCAGGCCGCGTAGTCCCTCGCCTTGACCGCCTCGCCAATGGCCAGTCGGTATTGCTCCTTCGTCTTCCACGCGACTCGCTCCGCCTGTCCCGGGGGCAGCGTCGGCAGCCGTCCGAACCGCCGCGCGAGGTCCTGCACCAGCACGAAGCTGTCGTTGAATTCGGGTTGCCGCGAGAAGTAGGAGGGCGAAACGGGCATGGGACGTGCGAATGTCACTTGCACGCCTTCAGTTCCGCCGCCGGGCGCGCCTGAGAGGGCCTCGAGGAGCGCCATGTCTCCGCCTGCTTGTCGGGGCGCTGTCGTTGTGAAGGTTCGTCTGGTGGTCGTGTGAGTGGTGCTAGTTGCTTTCGATGCAGTCGAGACTGCTGGGGCTCGCCATTGCCTCGTCGCAGAGGCCCCGAGGTTTCTCAGACAACGGGACCCGTACCGGAGAGATGACATTGTATCTATCGTGTCTTCGTCATGACCTTGTGTGGTGTCTCGTTTCGACGTGCTGGGGTGCTGGAGGCCGGGGCTCGTGATGGCTTATTGAAGTTTTCAGTGTTCACGCAACACGGACCTAGCCCCCTAGCTCAACCCGGTGGAAGCTCCAGCTGCAGCCCGCCTGGGCCCTCGCGCTGCACTGCAGACGCACCTGCGGGCAATTGTGGCCGCAAGTAAGATCTTCCGTCAGCCGGCATGAACCCGTGCCACATGCAGGTACCTGTGTACCCGACCTTACCCTCGGGCACCACCTGCCCGCGCCAGCTGGAGCCCGACGTTGCCCCGCCTCCTCGCTTTCGAGAAAAAAAATTGCGTGAGTCAAGTTGGCCTTCGTGAAACGTTTCCGCTCCCAACCTTCCCATCTTTCACTCATCCAACACCAGATTCTGCAGCAATCATGGCGTCTTTCGGAAAGATCTTCACCAAGGAGGTCAGTGAACCCAACTCTACTCAACTTGACATGCTCGCATTGCCTTCTTCCTTTCTCCGACGCTGACGAGAATGCATCGCATAGCTCAACCCCCGCACCACCGCCATCCTCGCGGTTGCGAAGGCCAATGGCATCAACCTCGATGTCGAAGAGGTCGACACCACCAAGCCCACCAAAGACTTCCTGAAGTACAACAAGCTTGCCAAGGTCCCTACCTTTGTCGGCAATGATGGCTACGTCCTGACCGAGTGCATGGCCATCGCCATCTACAGTACGTGTTCTACGTGGCTTCAAGCCTTGCTTGTCGCCCAACACCATCCTACCAACGCCATCGGCGTTACAATGATGACCAAGACATTTTCTATACAGTTATCCCTATCTGAAACCCACTGTTGATCATGGTTCTACTTTCTGAGCTATCTACCCCTCCCACATGAGCAGATCTATCAGCGTCGATTGTTTCAGGCCGCTAACGATTTGTCCTAGTCACCTCCCAGAACGAGAAGACCACTCTGCTCGGCAAGACCAAGCAGGAGTAAGTTGACCACCTCTACTGTCAAGCGCAAAAACATGTCTGACTTGTGATAGCTACGCTTCTATCCTGAAGTGGATGTCCTTCTTCAACACCGAGGTTCTCCCCAAGCTTGGTGCCTGGTACCGCCCTCTCCTTGGCTGGGACTCCTACAACAAGAAGGGAGTCGAGGATGCTCAGAAGGGCGCCGAGAAGGCTATCTCCATCGTTGAGGAGCACCTTCTCCACAACACCTACCTCGTTGGCGAGCGTGTCACCCTTGCCGATCTGTTCGCTGCCAGCATCATCTCCCGCGGCTTCCAGTTCTTCTTCGACAAGGCGTGGCGATCCAAGAACCCCAACGTCTCTCGATGGTACGAGACCGTCTACAACCAGCCCATCTACATCAACGTGGCCAAGTCGTTCGAGCTCCTCGACACCCCTAAATTGACCAACACCCCTCCCAAGAAGGATGAGAAGCCCAAGGCTGCTAAGGCCCCCAAGGCCGAGAAGGCCGAGCCTAAGCCTGCTCCCGCCGCGGAGGAGGAGGCCCCCAAGCCCCCGAAGCACCCCTTGGCTTCTCTGCCGCCCTCAGAGTTCGCTCTTGACGAGTGGAAACGATACTACTCGAACCACGACGAGGCCGAGTCCATGAAGTACTTCTGGGAGAACGTTCCCTTCAAGGACTACTCCCTCTGGAGATGCAAGTACAGGTACAACGACGAGTTGACCTTGACCTTCATGTCCAACAACCTTATCGGCGGCTTCAACACCCGTCTTGAGGGTTCTCGCAAGTACCTCTTCGGATGTGCCTCCGTCTACGGCGAGAACAACGACTCCGTAATTGAGGGTGCTTTCGTTATCCGAGGTGACAAGTACGAGCCCGTCTTCGACGTTGCTCCTGACTATGAGAGCTACGAGTTCACCAAGCTCGACCCCACCAACGAGGAGGACAAGGCTTTCGTCGAGTCCATGTGGAAGTGGGACAAGCCCATCACTCACGAGGGCAAGGAGTACAAGCACGCTGATGGCAAGGTCTTCAAGTAGGCTAAGGCAGCTTATATGTGTAATGTGCTGGGATGTTTACGTGTCATGAGGATATGCAATGCTAATGGGAGAGGACTTCCTGAGACATGGGCTCGCCTGGCTAGGTGCCATGTAACTGTCAGATAGATACAGCTCTGACATTGACCTGTGCTATGTTGCCACAACCAATGCTCGGCGTCATGCTTTAATCTGTGATTTCATCGAGTTCGTGATCTCATGGATGTGGCATATATTTCATCTGAGCACTGTACTCATGGTAGAATAGCCAATGCTGGTGGCCGAGTCAGTTCATAGTATCCCGTTTGGAAGAAGCAAGAGCAATGTCGCCACGATCAAAGGCAATGGATGCCGTAGTACATTAAACCCCATATCTTTGGATATTTGTCGTCGCTCTAAGAAGCCAGTCTTTCGGCGGTAATGTCTGCCTCCTCACCAACATCACCATCTCTAACCACCAACACGCCATTGAACCCACGAACGTAATCCTCATTAAGAGCCAGACACTCGTTACGAACAAGCACTCTTTCATTCTACAGTAAGCGGATACCTCGCAAATCAGTACGAAGGCGACCCCGGTGTCCTCATCACCGCAATACCCAGTGGCTGGAGCAATGGTCCGCGCGAAGTCAACTGCTCAGCCATGTATGGGGGGGGGGGCTGGTCATAGGCTATCACTGCCGCCTCTCTCCTTTGCAGTGATAGAGCGGACAGGGAGGGGAGGAGCATGGAAGGGAAGGGGAGGGGAGGGGAGGGAAAGGGGACCAGGGAGGCGATGCATTCTACCTTGGTCCCGGTTATATATGTGCAGGATACGTGCAGGATACGTGCATCTGCGTAAACGGGCTCGTCTCTTAAAGCCCGTCGCGGGTTTACAAGCTGCGGGTGGCACTGTCAATAGATTTAATGACCCGACCCTGTTATGGAGTCTGTTGTTATATCGGTGATCTGAACTGTATCTTGAGAGTCGTGTTGGCTGTAGAGTCACTCGTCCGTCAGCGCTGCTGAAGTGGTATCAAGAGCATTGGTTGCTGCGTTGGGTTGCTGCGGCGGGATCTCTGGCAGGCGCTGCTGAAGCGTTTTTTTAGAGCATTGCAATCGATATTGCGAATGACTGGCGGCTAGAACATGATCGACCTTGGTGTGCCCTTGTCCCGGCTGTGACTGACCTCTAGCTGGTAGGTGTCCTGCTTTTCAAACAGCCTCTATGCCCGAGCCCAAGCGCAACCCTGTTCTATTCCTCTTCCCATGGCCAAGGGACCGATCCTCCTCCCAGAACCTCGTGTGAATCATAAGCTATCCGCTGGGTGGTAGCGCTTCCATTTGCTGGCCTCCTTTTTGGTCTTTTCTTCACTCCTCCAGTCCTCATACTGCAGCCCGTAGGTCTCGTTGACAATCCGTACGTAGTCAGATTTAAGTATCTCCGGACCAAACGACATGGCAGGTAAAATTTGCCCCTCGCCCGGAGAATCTTAGATCTAGACAATGAACCTCTGCAGGGACTTATGCTTTAACGTTACCATGAGCTCCCTACCAATGTCTTCGGCAGCTTGTCCCACACCTCCTTTCTTGAGTCTGCTAATGGTCATCATCACCATCTGCTTCCCCTGCATCTAGAGGGGATCGAATGTAAATTGCGGGCGCAGGAAACCCGCGACAGGCGTTCCAGTTCTCTGGATGGATCTCGTGTGCACAGAGAAGTCGGGGCTCGCGATGGCCTAGGTCTTACCGTCTGTAGTATATAGGGAGGATGGGTCTTTGTGAGTATTGTATCTCCACCTACTCGAGTCGACAACGTCTCGCATGATATCTCGTACGGTTATGCCGGTCTGGTCCCTGGTTCTGTAATTGCTAATGGCTGGAATTCCTGTGATCTTGTCCAAGGCGTGCGACTCACTTGGCTCCTCACGCGCATGTTGACGGGTCATCAAGTTCAAACCCTTTCGCAAGTGTCCTTGTGCTGGATGCCGAACTTCGCCCCTTTCTGACTCCTCCCGGGTTACATGGGCAGCGTATCATAGAATCATCTGGACCAGGTCTCTGATATTGTTCAGATCTTACCCCGAGGCTTGAGCTTTCAGTTGAGCTCTGCATTCGCTGTGTCATCGCTCAATATGCCTCTTCAGGTCCGTGAGCTCACTTGTACCATTCGCGCTGCTCACTGTCTATAATTTGGCATGAAAAGCTCTGGCGGTGATGGCCGCGCGCTCACTATATCAAGCATGCGTCCAGTACGGCATGACAATTGGCGATGAACGTTTGATCCTGGCACAGCTGTCGTCCCTCCACCGAGTCACCTACCGTTCAATTACTGGAATTGCATCTTTGAGTCTTGAAGACCTGGAAGATGACCATAGCTATATTCACAATCAGGTTCATTTGCTGCTCAAAGTATTGAAAAGGCACTCTCGTGAATCGTAGCAGCGTTGCAGCAACTGCCGTTGTACACCTTACAATACTGCATCGCCATGGCATAAACCGATACATTCGCAGTGAGTCTTGAGCAAAGTCTCGTGTGCCACGTTTAGGTCTCCTGGAATATCTATAAATACTTCGAACGCGGCCCCCATAACCTCCTGCCCAGACACATCCATAAACACCAATCTATAGAAGCCACCACCAGTTCACAGACAAGCACGAGACAAATCCTTCGACACCGACTTCACATCAAGACACACCCACATCAACACAAATCTACAGAAGCCGACAGCGACATCTACAAGATACACATCAAGATACGCACCATCGACCAACATGTGCCGAGCCGACCGCACCCGATTCTATTGCACAGTCTGCAACTACGAACCGAGACACTTTTTTGAGGAACATTATCGCGGATTTGACCCTTGCTCTCTGCCAGAGGCGTGCACCCGGTATTGTCTCCCAGACTGTCGTACAAAACGGACCATGAGACACCTAGTCTATGTAAGAAACACGGTGGATTGAAATGATTCGCGGCGTTTTATAATGCACATGCATAGGCGAAGGAGGCGATTGGGAAATCCCTTGGGACTTGTAGCGTTATTTAGCTTGGCACATATAGGGGTGCCTTGATAGTAAACATCTTGCTACACAGTTCTGAGCTGATCCACTTCGCATGTCCTTGTGAACGCTGCAATACATAGTGGTCTTTCTGCATTTCTCCAGGTAATGGTCATTTGATAATATCGTGAGCTAACAACACTGGAGTTTCTCAGGGGTTCGCATGGCACATGTGTACAAAATAATACGGCCGGGAAAACCTCATATAAGAACCCTAATCATCTACGCGCTGATCCCACTACTATCTGGCTACTGTGGGAACCTCGAAGGCGTATACATCGCCCAAACCAGCGAAGGCGGCGATGTCCCCGCACCGCATATCATCTGGCCATACGTGCCCACGCGACCCCCCTTTGCGTGTTTCCAGCTCGAAGTCACCGTCTCGTAGATATCCTGCGACGCAATGTCTATCGCCGTCCAAGTAGACTTCACGATCGACACGCCCCACGCACAGTCCCCCGAGATCGACAATGTGTGGAAGTACTCGCCGCTGTACCGGCTCCAGTCCCCAAATTCCCACATTCCCGGCTTCGCCCCCAGCCCGTCGATGATTGCCTGGCAGTCAGGGACCGCGGCGTTGAGCTCGCAGCCGGCATCTTTGCGGAGTTATATGTTAGTGGATGATTACTCCTCGGCACTGTGTCGCGGGAGCAAGAGCACATGGTATCCCGTTCGTGAAATGAAATACTCAAGAAAAGACATACCCATGATAGTGCTGTCGCCACATATACTGCCCGAAGTTTTCCGCGGTACGTAGCTAGCCCAGAAGAACTTATCGCCTCCGTCGGTGGAAGCACTGGCAGGAGGGGCGTCGCTGTGTGTGGTGTTGCGGATGAAGACGGAGACGGTGCTGCCGTTCTGCGCCGTCACCAGGGTCTCGAAGAAGCCGGGCATCGCTGCCGCGCCACGGATCGTGGCGACTCCGGAGAGGAGGGCCATAGTCAGGGTAGTGAAATGCATGGCGTGCGTATCTGGGTTTCTTTGCGTGGTAGAACGTAATGTTGGTTGCTCAGGGGTATGTGTATGTCTGTGTAGTGATGTAAAGCAAAAGTAAGGTGGTGGAGGGAGCTTGTGAGGCGACAGTTTTATAGACTTTTTTGGCGCCACTGACAATGGAATGTGCATTTGGATGTGTATATGCGTATACAATACGGATCAACCACTACTCCATGTATCTACGCAGGCCAAAGCCTGCAGCGGTCATAAGTTCTGCTCGTGACACTTCAGCCATATGTCATATGAGTCTGAGTTCACCATTGTGCCTGGATGGAGCCCCAAGATGCAAGGCAATGGGAGTCGTGTAACGGTAACACGTATGACAAGCGGGGTGCATGAAAGATAGAAGCGTCTTTATGGAAGTCGTCGAGTCTTGGTGCCGGAAGTTTGGTCATACGCACCTTCGGCTTCCGCCGAGCTTCCAAGTGTCAAAAGGATGACATCCAAGGCGGCCCTTTGGGTCGAACAGCACAAGAGATGACACAATTACCCAGTCGAAAAATCCTTTCAACCGCCCTTTGTCTTTGTACGTGTATGAAAGAACAGGCGTAACAGCAAGGCTGGGTGAAATAATGCACCAGAGAACAAACCCCTTTGTCCTCTAGCTCGTATCTTCATGACTCGTATCTTCATGAATCGCCTATAAGTCTCGCGGAGCCACGTGCGCATCGGGCGGGAGTACATTAGCAGTCCAAATCAACAAAATTTCCACAGAGAAACAATAACAATGCCCCGGATTCACGCCATCCACGAAATGTCTAATAACTCAGCTCCGGAAGATACGATCTTCCTCGAGGGAACCTTCCTCATATTCGGCTGCGGGCACTCCTACGTCCAAGACACGAAGACCATTCCCATACTCGACGCAGAACTGCATAAGCGCCTGCAATGCCCACTCTGCAATGCCCACTCTGCTTCCCCGGAAAATGTCTAGCATGCGGTGGATATTTCAGCGGCTGGCTGCCAACCTGCCCTCTCTGCGAGCAATTTGGACTATGTGAGGGCTGGGCCGACGACGCTGTCGAGCAGGGCTATATCAAGCTGCATTTTAACTAGGGCATGCTGATGGTCCCGTATGTTGGCCAGGAGCCCACGCGGGTCGTGGACTGGACCGAGTGTCTTACGTTGGGGTTAGGTGAGGTTGAGCTCCATGCGGGTGAGAGCTTGTATGGCAGGCCTGTCGCAAGTTCGGATTTACAATTGCACTTAACAGAGATTCGGGAGCTCGAGAGCGGAGGTGAGGTCAGTACTTTTTGCCCGGAAGAGCCGCTCACCATTGATGTTCATATCGAAGAGTCTGGAGTCATATCGAAGAGTTTGGAGTGGTACCTCGCAGCGAAAAGGAGTGTCACTTTACTCTACTGGTATAATTATAGCGCTACATCATCGCTCTATCTCCCCCAAAGGGGTTGGGGGCTTGTATTTTGATCCAAAATGCAAAATGTTGACCAATTTTCTTCCTCCTACATTCAGTTATACGTGAACCGGAAGTGAAAGTGAGAATCCAATGCCCGCTTACTAAAGAGCCTTGACTTTGGCGTCAGGACATACTTCGCTCGAGCAAGGTCGGCTTCATCCATGTTCCTGATGAACATGCTATACCACTGCACACCGCTGATATGAGCCAGCACGCTGACCTTCTCGTCGACCGTGTGTATACCCCCAAGTCCTTCATCCTCAGGATCCCACCCAGGGTCGTACCTGAAGATGTGCTTCGTCAGGTCCCAGTAGTACCTCGTATCTGTATTTCCCGTGGACATGCCGGGCGCGATCAGCAGCTTCTCACCGTAGATGGCGCGTGAAGTTCCGGAGAGCACGGCGTAGGGAGTGACTCCATCCACCGATGTCGGCGTGACGGGTGCGGACTCGAGAACGTCCCGCTCGACGTTGAGCTTGATCGAGCGTGGCGTTTCTGGTTCGTCGTTGAAAGCCTGCACCGTGAGGTTGTACTTCTCGGCAACCACCTCCGCCAGACTCTTCAGCTTCGCCTCGACACCTGACGGGCGATCGCCGACGTTGACTCTGTGGTTGACTAGGACCCTGACGCGTTCCGGCAAAGCATTGCTCTTGACGCCGCCACTGATCACATCAGGGGCCACCGATGTCGTGAACAGGTATTTGATATCGTCCCCGGCCTTCGCAGCTTCTTGTGCAAGTTTATCCTTCGTCGTGGACCCTTCTTCCTTCCAGGAGGGCAATAGTTTCTTCAGGCTAGAAGGGAAATCAGGGCTGTGTTCGGCTCCGCATTGAAGCTGACTCAGGTAAGGGTTCTCGGGATGGAAATGCGGCTCGTAGGGATTTGCCTCGATCATTGTAATGAGTTCAGACATGACTCCAATAGCGTTATGCGCGGGAGGGATTGATGAGTGTCCACCCGGCATGCGAATGATGATTTCAGCATCGATGTACCCCTTTTCAGCGACGCCAGGGAGGGCGAAGTGAGACCCCCATACACTAGAAGTCCCCATCCCCTCGTCCACCAGTATAGCCGCACCATCTTTGCCGTAGCGATCGACCAAGACAGGGGCGAGGTGTCCAGCGCCTTCGAGCCCTTTGGATTCTTCGTCGAACCCAAATGACAGAATGAGCGTTCTCTTCGGTTCAAACCCTGCACCAATCAGTAGCTCTACAGCTTCCATGATACCGATGAGGATGTTCTTGCAGTCGGATGCGCCTCGGCCCCATACGTACTGGCCATCGTAGAAGCCACTGAAAGGCGGGTGCGTCCACTGTCCGATGGTGGCTTCAGCGACAGGCACGACATCCTGGTGGGCCATCAAGACCGTAGGGCTCAAGCTCTCATCTGAACCCTGCCATGTGTACAAAAGGCCATGTGTGTTCACCTTTTCGAGCTCCAGGGTGTCGTGAAGGAGCGGAAACGTCGTCTCGAGGTACGCGGCGAGATCGTACATGACATCCCAGCGCTTGTCCTCTCCGACCGGGCCCAAGTCATCAAAAGATGGCGATGGCACCTGAACGGCACCAGCGAGGCGTGCGACTGCTATGTCGCGAAACCTGATTGATGTGATGTATGTATCCATTTCCGACAGGGCAGGACTCGTCAGGCTGGGGAAGAGTGGCTCGACTTGAGGGCATTGACCTGAGACAGTCATCGTCTCATGCTCTTCGGCGAGCATGCTGATGCCATCACACGAGAGCTTGATGGCGATAATGAGCGCGGCAGCCCGTGCGAAGAACGCCCAGGAAGGCTTCCATCGTGGCCGCGGCGCAACTGTGCGAGGGGCAGGTAGAAGCGACCCTTTCTCTGATATCCCCATTGTGAGCTTTGGCGGGGACCCGAAGGTTGGTGAGATGATGAGAGATGGGTGAGATGATGAAGTCTTGTTTGGGTGTCTCGGTGGAAGCGGAGAAAGTTGAGTGAGTCTGACGGTGATGCAATGCGGCCGACGCCGGGTGTGGGGGGCCCCCATGCGATGAGACCATTTAGGCAACTGATTGTCAGCCGGGCCTACATACTGTAGCTGCTATACGCCCACAGCCATGGGTATAGGTAGGCATATCTACCAATGCTTGTCACATTTACCGACTATGTGGTTCCAAAGCGTGTTGATCTTGGGCCAACATGCTACTGCTAGTTTCTGGCCACAATTTATCAGTCAGCAGCGACGGTTACCAGAAGAGCATTTCACCCCAGAGCTGTGCTCGGCAGAGCTTGGACAGACAGCTGTCGGGTACTGCTTCAGTAGGGCACCGATGCTGGTACGTTCGACAAACCAAGAACCAGCATCGCGTAACTCCCCTGATCTCCATCATATGACAATGACCATCGACGGCTCAAAGTCGTGTTTACCCCTCTTCTTCCTCCTGTCGCTCTCAGCTTCGTACGCGGCGCTCCCAGGAAGGACATAGCCACGCTGATTCGCAACCACCCGGATCCCGTCCCGTACAAGATCTGTCGAGTAATGCATATGACCAAAAACCCATGTATTGATTCCCCTCCATTCCTCGTGGCCGACAAGATCAGTCGCGAACGCGGGCGTCCATGGATTGGCAGAATCCGCTGGCCGCGAAGTACCTTGCATACACGGCGCATGATGTGTGACGACGATGAGCTTTCTCCCCGAGTCTCCCTCTTGCGATGTTACTTCTGAGACCTGCTTACGAAGCCATTCGGCCTCCTCCGCGTGAGTATGGTCATGCTTCTCGACGGTCCATCCGTCTATCTTTTTGAAGTCGCTGACCTTGGACTTGACGATGTCGCGGATGTCCAGAGGGATAGCGGACCACAGTGTGCACCCGAGGATTGTCAATCTGGAGGCTGGGTCATCCCAGCGGGTCTTGTTCAGGAGAATGAGCCGGCCTACCAGAGAAGGCTCTTCGGATAACTCCTGCGCCCTTCAAGACCCGACTCGTAGTCCAGACCGTAGAACTCGTGATTGCCCAGTACTAGAAATACTTTCTCGTACCGAGCTACTTGGGCTTCGAGGAACACCAGGTATCCTGCATAGTCGATGAGTCTCCCTATGTCGCCTGCGAGAAGGAGAAACGGCGCCACCGCGGGAAATGTGAATGTGGAATATTGTTGCGCAACCTCGAGATGTAGATCTGAAAGGAGTTGAAGGTGTAGGCCGGAGGGCCGGTTTAGTCGCCCGGTGATTGACTGAAGAAAGCCCTTCATTGAGATGTTTCGTGAGGAGATGGTTCGTGAGGTGAGAAAACGATGAACGACTGAATCCAATTCCTTCGTAGCAAAGTTAAGACGTGCGCCCCGGACAAAGGAAGATGGTCCATGGTTTCACTGCATTGGCATAACATTTGAGTGAGCCCGGGCGTATTGGCTCTACGAAAATGAGGACACCCTCCCCCTGTGGCTGATATGGCTGGGTTGGGTGGTAGTGGACCGACCCACTTAGCGCCGTGCCCCCGAATCCCCTAAGCGCCCATGTAACCGACCACGCCGACCACGCATCCCACGGCCCCCTTAGCCTATACCCGTGCCCCGCACCACTTTCCACCTCGCTAGGGCTCACCACATAAAGTGGTGCTCACCACAGTAGCACACCAACCACAATAACACACCAGTCTTCCAAAATAACCACCCTCCAGCCAAAACCACACCAAAGTCATTGCCTCTTTGGACAGACGACTTTTTCGCGATGAAATCCCCTATTCACAAAGCTGTAGAATATGCCGACGAGCATCCGGATGCCTCTAAACGTGGTATCTGTCGCCAATTCGGGGTTCTAAGGGAGCACTTCCGCAACCGCCTGCAGGGCATCCCTTCCAAAAAAGGACTACGAGAAGCACCCACCAAGCTGAATATGATACAAGAAAAGGCTGTCTGTGCTTATATTGACCACCTAGATGCCATTAATCTCTCCGTGAGGCCAGAATTCATCACAGAGGCTGCCAACTTGCTGCTCAAGGAGTCGGCGAGTGCTGCGGTCACAGAACTACCTATAGTTGGCAAGAATTGGGCCTCCCGCTTTATCAAGCGCCACAGATACTTCAAGCAGCCTCAGAAGGTCCTTTCACAAGATCAGTAAGCTGTTAAAGACTTGAAACGCACTGAAGAGGGTCATTAGAGAGGAGGGTATCCTCCCTAATGACCTGTGGAACATGGACGAGACTAGCTTTTGATTAGGGGTTAGAAAGGACCAGATAGTTATCACTAAGCAAAAAAGAACCTATTATTTCAGAATACTAGAGAATAGGAAGTCTGCTACTGGCATAGAAGTTATCTCTGCCGCTGGCGAGGTTGTCCCAGGCTTCCTTATTCTCTCTGGCACCCTCCATATGTCTCCATGGTACAAGGTACACAAATTAGACCCCAGGATAGCGATTACAACCGCAGAGAGTGGTTATTCGAACGATGAGATCAGCCTAGAGTGGATTAAGTACTTCAATAAGCACTTTAAGACCTCTCAAATTGGTATAAAGAGGCTCCTAATTATCGACGGTCACGGTAGCCACCACAAGACACAGTTCATTAGATATTGTGACGACAACGGCATTATTCCTTTTGGTCTCTGTCCGAATATGACGCATTTACTACAGCCGCTCGATGTGGTGGTTTTCCAGCCCTTGAAGCACTACTATGTTAAAGCCCTGGCTATTATGGTGCGTGATGGTCTCACGCATATTGGGAAGATTGAGTTCCTGTCGTGTATCAAAGGGGTTCGCCAGCAAGCTTTTAAGAAGACCACTATCCTCTCTGCCTTCAAGAAAACGGGCATCTATCCCTTCAAACCGTCAGTTGTGATTAACCAGTTGAAGGAGCGCAAAGCTCGCGCGAGGACCCCCGTCACCCCCCCTAACCAGCCTGGTTTCTCTCCAGTTGCCACCCCAGCTACAATGCGGCAAATTCATAAGGTCGCTTATCAAGTAGACAAGGCCTTGAATAACCTGGACAATGGCGGAGATCTTACTCCTGAAGATATTAAGAGGATCAGGCTCCTATCCAAGGGGGCGCGCTTCTACGCCTCCCAGCTAGTCCAGACTAAAAGAGACCTTAGATAGACCAAATTAACTTCTTGAGTTAATAAACAGCACAAGTCTGCAAAGAACACTCCTCTCTAATCAAGAGGAATACTCACAGTTAAAATCGGGCATCAAATAGCAAGGAAAAAGGAGCAGGAGACCGCGACAGGCCTCCAAAAGAAGGCAGATGTCCTGGCAAAGAAGGAACTCTAATCACAAAAAAATCTCGATAAAGAGGCAACAAAGTTGGCCAGGCATTAGAGGACTACTAAGGGACTGCCTGCTGTTGATATCTACGAATCTGGCAAGAAGATGCGATCGCTACGTAAATTTTAATGCTGAATAACCTCATATTGGTGTGTTATTGTGGTTGGTGTGCTACTGTGGTGAGCACCACTTTATATGGTGAGCCCTAGCGAGGTGGAAAGTGGTGCGGGGCACGGGTAAGTAGACCTTCCCCTCGTGATCCTGGCGCGTATGCAGCCGTGTGAGGTACACATGCCACCAACATCATTCCACGATTCATATCACGATCAGCAGGATGTCCCAGTGACGGCAGACAGGCCACAATGAACTCAGCGCCGACCCTCGCCGCTGTCGCCATACCAAACACCATGGTATTCCAGCTTGTATTGTTGGCGAAGTGGCCTTGAATTATTACAATGTCCCTCGTGTCCGCCATGTAAGTGCTGAAAGGACTCTCGCCGCCTTCGTACCACTGCGACTGACCTGCAAAGGACCTCGAGCTATGCGTGCCCAAGTCAAGCTCATTGGTGGCAGCCGGACTTCTCTGCTCTACCGGGCTTTTTGAGCCGTTCGAAGCAGATGATGATTTCAACAACTATACCGAGTACAAGCGTGGTTTTCCGCTCGTTCGGACCACTTCCTGGACTCATCCGCCACAGACCATCGTAATCTTCCCTGCCGCCCTGTTCGGCCTGGACCCGATTGAGGATATCCTCATTGAGCAACCCTCTGATCAAAAGATACATATCAGTAAAGAACTCTCTGACATGGACTCCCGGGATGTTGCCCACTTGCCGCTACCACGTTTGGCGTCGTTGATCATAGGACTGGCCAGGAGATTTTTGGACACGGGGGATGACATAGCCATGATTGCGGTTGAGCAATTAGTGGACGGCATGAATCTCGACGAGGAGTGGTCAAGAAAGCACCTTGGGGGCGTAGCCAATGCCGTTCGATTATTGGTTGACTCTCAGATCGGCGGCAAGGCTTCACGGATTGACTACTTCTCAGATAACAAGATCACTTGCTTCATCAGCGATCAGGAGGAGGCGCAGAGTGTGCGACTAATCACGGGTATCGACTGAGTGTAACGGTGGTTCTCGGAGAGGATGAGGGGTCATCGGGAATACAATATGTGCGTACAATGCTGCTCACATATTCACTGGTGTCACTACGTGACTCCCCCTCGCGGAGCCTGGTCGTTCTCCTCCTATTCCGCGGAAGCACCCGTGGAGTACCCGACCACAGGACGTCCTGCTAGAAGTGGATTCACGAGCTGTTAGCCTAGGGGTTACCTTGCGCCAACAAGATCTTCAGCCAACACGACATTCGACACGGTGTACCATGGATGCGGGGGAAATGGACTTTCCCTGAAACATTGTGTTGGTTCTCAAAGGCAACCAGCTTCAATTGGGGGCGACTTGAGTTGGGCGCGGGCCATATTACCCAGCCCGGCCAAATCCGTATCCTAGTCTAAGCGCCGGCCAGACTGCGCCGCCCTCATTGCATCTCGGCCTCCAAAGAGTCTCTGATGATGCCAGAAAGTAGACTTCCTGAAGTTTATGAACAGGCTCGCCGTTGATCGAACTACTTTCCCCCCTGTGCTTTCATCACCTCATTCGAGCAATTGCCTTTATGATTACTTTTCACCTTCTATTCCATCCATCACACACACGATGATCCAAGGACGCTTGAATGATGCGGCCATTGCCCTCCACAGAGTCCTGAGCCAACGGTGTGTCAACTTCGGCATCTTCGGTGGCTACGCTATCGGCGCCGTCGGGGGCGTTCGTGAAAGCAAGGACATCGACTGCTTGGCCTATGTGTCGAAGGAACAAGTGGTCGAACTTCTGAACGGCAAGCACGGCTTCCAAGTCATTCCGCAGACCCGTCAGGACTATGTCGCCTTCCTATGGTCTGACAAGAGCGATCGAAAGAACGCAGTTCTGGTTGTGAGATATTCTGCGAGAAGTTTCCAGGTATGCATCTATTCGACGCGGACGAGTATATCCAAAGCTGATCATATGACTGGTTTTCAGGGGCCCAATACTCCATGGGAAATATTCCTTGCAAGCTTGTCGAGATCAACGGACAATCTCAGGGTCCAGGAACCTCCGCCTTCCTGGACCCCTTCTACCTATTCAAGGGCAAGCTACGTGCAGCTGCCACCAGAGCCAAGTTCCACGACTCAGCAGATCTGAGGATGCTGGCAGGAAAGTTCGAGTCGCTCATCCAGCCGCGAGCCCATGAACTCGATCTTGAATATGTCTGCCTGGCCATCAAGCGATATGTTGAGCTGGAGAGGCTGTTCGAGAAGATTGGGATTGACGTGAAGAAGGCAAAGGTTGCAGTGAGTAACCTAGACCCGCACAAGCTTCCCCCTCCAGCAGCAGTGGATGTGCAGAGAGGGCTTCTCGGGTAGTAAGGAATGCTCTTGGGAATGTATAATCCATGCTCGATAGCGAGCTTACCTGTATCCCAGCTGTGTTAGAAGGGTTCGACTTCGAGTCCACCATGTATACTATGACTTAACGGTCTCATAATAACACTACATCATCTTAGCATGCCCCTGGATACAGGTGCATCTCTTTATCCCCAGTCGTCTGGAAGTTACATCACCTCGAAGCAATGTAATTGGATCCAATGGCGTCGAAGTTGAGCCCCCATCACATACGCATCTCTTGAGCGGGCCTCTACTACCGATCCACCGAGTCCATCTCGCCGATGGCCGTCCGCTTCTCAACGTTTAGTCATACATATAGAGTGATCGACCTTGCCTGTACGGCTGCAGCCAGGTGAGACCAGCTGCGAATGACTTCCAATCGAGCTCTGCCACTTGCAGCGGACTTGCTGATCCTAAGGCTTAAAACAGCTCGATATATGTTACCTGATCAACGCGAAAGAAAGGAAGGTTCCTGCGAGCCTTGAAATGCTGAGCTCAATTGCATCCGGTGTGGACATTACCATCAAGCGTCAGGGACGGTCGCAGCACTGTCAGATCCCGAGATCGGTTTCGTCACCGGTGCTAGTCACTCTGCATCGTCATAAACATTGGAACCCCACCTTCATCACATCCACCTATCTCGAGACGGGGGAAACACTGCAACCGTGAACCGATAAGCTCTTCGCAGGTCATCATGGACGAATACAAGACGTTCAACCTAGGCGACTTCGCCCTCAAGTCGGGGAAGACGATTCCGAATGCTTACATCTCCTACAAGACGTACGGCGATCCAACAAGCCTGGCTATCGTCTATCCGACCTGGCATAGCGGTCTTATACCTGCCAACGAGTGGCTGATAGGAGATGGGATGGCCCTAGACCCGAGGCGATACTTCATCATCATCCCCGCACTGTTCGGAAATGGTCAATCGAAGAGTCCGTCCAACAGTCCGGAGCTGAGACCGTTCCCGGAAGTCACCTTCTTCGACAACGTCACGGCGCAGTACAAGCTGGTCACTGAATGTCTTGGTGTCAAGCATTTGAAATGTGTCCTGGGTTGGAGCATGGGTAAGCCTGCGCTACATTGCGATCGAGACGGAATGGCACATACGCTTCGCAGCTGACTGTCAAGACAGGGGCTGGCCAGACCTATCAGTGGATCACTCAGTATCCCGACTTCATGGACTCGGCAGTACCATTCTGCGGCAGCGCTCGAACGAGCTTGCACAACCAGGTCTTCCTCGAGGGGGTGAAAAGCGCACTGCTAGCAGCGAAAGGTGCTGTCTCCGGCGGTATTTGCCGAGGTGAGGCAACACCCGAGTCGCAGTACAGAGGCTGGACAGCTGCTGAACGCGAAAGCGGGCTGAAAGCACTTGGGCGCGTCTACGCTGGCTGGGGTTTGAGTCAGGCATTCTACCGGGAGAAGTTGCATGAGAAATACCTTGGCTACAAGGACCTCGAGGACTTCATGATCGGTTTTTGGGAGGGCTGGGCAACCTCCAAAGGTATGTTCCCCGCCTGGTGATACCATGATACGATTGACTAACCACGGGTGCAGACCCGGAGAACATGTTGACGATGCTACATACATGGCAAGCTGCGGACTGCTCAGACCAGGAGCCGTATAAAAAGGGTCAGCTCAGCTCCCGGTTCCGTCTGTCAGAATGGCAAAGTTGACAAGACCAGACTTCGAGCTCGCGATGAAGAGCATCAAGGCTAGGACACTGGTCATCCCCTGCAAGACTGACCTGTACTTCCCGCCGGAAGACTCCGAGTACGAGGTCCAGAACATGTCTCCTGGGATCGGGAAGTGCATTGTCTTTCGATCCATCTGGGGTCACTGGTGAGACTTTCCCGGTGCTTCATCTCGTATTCCATTTCAAGCTGACGGTTTTAGGGCTGGTGGTCCTGGAGATAGCAAAGAGGACGTCAAGTGGCTCGATGAGAAGTTGAAAGCGTTCCTCGGGGATGGCCGTCTCGGAGATCGCAGGTTGTGAGCATGCCACGAACCGAGCGCAGTTGACTTTGGCTGAGGAGACTACTGTGGCATATGTTCGAAGGTGACGAGGCTTTTCAAGCAGTACGACCAGCAGCGGTACAATCAACTGTTTGTATTTTTCATTCGGCTTCTTTGACTTTCCACTATCGATGGCTATGCTCTAATGCGTCGCTTCTTCAATGCTAGTGAAGCGGGGGGGGGGGGGGGGACCCTCTCTGATGAGGTCGGCTGAGCATTACCATCTGTAGTCCGTCCGATAGGTATACCTCAACGGTATGGCCGAGGTACAGCTCTAGCAATTTCCCTTCCCTCGTCAAGCCTCGTTTCTGGTCTCATACTGCACTGTTCTACGTCTAATGCAGATCACCAAGAGTAGAACACCAAGCTTCAGCTCCATTATTGCGCGCAGAGAGGTCATGGTGTTTGTGCGTTTCCAATGATAACACTTTATGAGAGTGACATATATAGATTCCAACCCGCTTGTGCGCGTACGGATCAAGCATAATCACATTCCACCACCTTCGCTGCCTGACACACAACTGGTATTAGCGAGCCCGCTGATGACATATTGTGGAAAACCCCCGTCATCACTGGCATACCTATAGCAGTCAAGTACGGATCCCAATGGTTCTTCTCCTTCACGGTGCTTCAGATATGCTTTCTTGCGCAATGGCCGGACTTTCAGACTGTACACAGGTATCTAGCTCCTCTGCAGCAGCGTGACATGCCTTCACAAGGGGAGTCTAGACTCCGACTGTGTTTGATTCGGGAATAGATACACTGGGGACAATATGAGCTTGATGAAAGCTGTCAGGTAGAGTCATCTAGTGCATAGTGTCAAACCCCGACATTCCACAAACTCCCAGAAATGGAATAGAATCAGGCAAATCATACCTGTCTATATATTCTAATGATATGCCCCCGAAAGAAGTCATCCTGATAGCAGACCGCAGGAGATTGGGCATCAGTTGATGAAACTACTAGGTAGCTCCTCTGTATTTACGGCCTGACATGAATGGGCATGGAGATTGCTTCAGGTATGCTCACATAGGCTGCCATAGATAGCTGATGACCTGTCGATACTGACATAGTAGTGTTTAGTGTAATCTGGGGAAGTACGTGGTCATATGTCTGTTGTCCATGGTTACCGCTAAGTCTCATTGTTCCTCTGCAGGCCACGGCCAAGCAACAACGCATCGCCCATTGTTGCCCTGCTGGTTCATGTCCCAGCAACGTGAAACCCAGTAGACATAGTGGGGAACAACTGTTTTCCAGCCGCATCAGCCGCTGTGCGGTTTTCACCCACCAACGGCCGCTTTTCACCCCGGACATTTCTTGACCTTGTGGAGACACTTCCATCTTCCCAGAACCATCATTTTGTTGGTGAAGTGAAATCATCCGCCTTTCACTCTTGCATTACGCATCCTCCACGACCGTTCACACTTGTTGGTGGTGCACAAACGCTGCACACCATCTTGAGCCTTTTCCATTTGCAAGATTCATTCGGGTTTTTGCACCCTTTTGCGCGTGTTTCAATCGCTACCTCTACCACTACCGCTGCACCGCAAACGCCCTAATTGGTGAGAAGTTGAAGTTGCCGACCATGCGTTATCCTCCGCTGACTGTACAAAGCACCAAGAAGCCGATTGCAGCATGCAGCCCAACCATCATCCCCATCCCTCAACCTCCTCGTTGCAATCCTCGTCGCGATTGTACTTGCAACCATCCTCGACATCATCCACAACTCCGACCATTCCCAAACCGAAGAAAGCCTTGACCGCGGACTTTCAAGATGGACGAGAAAAAGCCGTCCCAGCTACGCGCGGAGGCCGAAGAATTCAAACACGAAGTCTCTCATCAGAACCTCCCTACCAGAAACAATCCCATCGGAAGCAACGGAACCACCTCGACGCCCATCCTGCGTGTCACTTCCACTGCCGGACCTCGTTTCTGGGAGAAGTTTGAAGGTCCTAGACTCATTGTTGACAAGGCCGAATTCGAGGCTGACATGAAGCGATATGACCTCAAGGGGCTCAGCGCCTCGCGCTGGGCGTAGAGCCAGGTAAGATGACTGCAGACAGCAGACTGCCCAAGGGCAACCGAAACTGACTTAAGCGTAGATGGTAATGAGGAGGATCATGCTGTCGATGACGACTTCGTCAAGGCCGGTGTAAGATATGTACTATACTCTTAGTAGTACCAGGCTGACAACCCATAATAGGATCATACGAAGGATAATCGGTTAGCTGGACCTGGTTCCCTTGACGGGACACCCGAATAGACTGAAGGCCGATCATGGCGTGTTCTGGTTGGTTCCATCTCGGCGATTCCTCGTTCGTGGCCTGGCCGTCACCGCAGGCGTCGGAATGATGTTCATCGTCAAGTATCTCATGGAGCGAGACTGGGCTGCTGTGTCGCGAACGATTCGAGGCATTGGCAATCAGGCTTTGGAGTTCACAACTTCATTCATGACTCACACATACAATGATGCAGTCAACCTTGTCGAAGGCAACATACAAAAAAACAACTATTTTTCTTGGCGCCCCGCTGTTAGGGCGCAACCTCTATATCTGCACTAAAACAGGCATTTATTTCAGTACCTGACTATCCTTGCCAAGGCGCAAATTTTTTTTTTTTTCTCACAAGCTGGATGGCACCCCTTCACGATAGGCCCCCAAATACGCCAGTGGCCGTCCCAAAGACGACTACTGGCGGCGTGCTCAAATCCCCGGTCCCTAGAAGAACATATGGCCCGGCAACCCCAAGCAAGCTCCGCCAGGCACTGCTCGACGACATCAACAGCAGCCCGTCACAGGTCTCTGAGGCTGACTTCACCATTGTTTCCCCTCTGAAAAGAAAATCCTGAAATATTAATACTAGCAGCATCATTGATATGGAAGTACCTCAATCAAACGGAATCTCTACAGACCAAGCCATTGGAGGCGATACAGGGAACAAGGTCTCTTCCTCAGAGTGCCAGGACCAAGTTGCCAAAATACTGGCTAAAGACAAGCATCTCTATGAAGCCAGGATGACAATGTTTCAGGAGTGTGCTGCAGCAGTCGATAAGACACTTGAGAAAGCTGGAACCGAACTATACTCTCATGCCAAGGAGTTCAGCACTTTCTTCTCCAAATGTCTGAATGAATGGCTGGAAACCCGAGATCTGACCACAAGAAAGGCCACTTCTGGGGGGATAGAAATAGGGAAGCCCACTATGACCTTTGCCCAAGCTGTCTCCTCTGGCCAACGACAGCATCCATGGATAGTCAACACTACCATAAAGAAAACACAGCCTAGTGCCCTTATCACTATCAACCAATTGAAGAGGAAGCAGGATGATCTCCGGGTCTTTGTCCGCATGGATAATAGCCACCTTGAGCCTTATGGAATCAAGTCTACACTAAACAGAAGACTTAAGCTCCACTCTCAGGAGCTTAGAGAAGTGACACGTTGTCCTTCTGGTTTTACCTTACACCCAAGGGACAAGCCAACTCAGGCTAAGCTTCTGGCTTCCCAAAAAGAAATTGCCGACATTCTCAAGGCACAAAAGATTGAGACCCACACAGTCTGGCATCATTACAAGGTCGATGGATGCCCAAGAAAGGTCATCAGTGCAGAAGGGTTCACAATCAATATTACCGACACTGCTGTTGTTGATGAAGTTGAAGCTCAAACAGGCAACAGACCTTTGAGGTGCATATTCTCAAAGAACACGATTAATTCTGATCCAGAAACCACGTGGATAATCTCTCTGCCCAGTGCAGTAAAGAAACCATTCACGCCTTTTGCCCACTCAATGACCTCAAGGCATATTCAATACACCCCCAAGGTTCATCAGTATGCAAGCTGCTTCAGATACCATGGTAGAAATTACCGATGCAAAAAGCGAGTATGTGCACACTGCGCCAACACAGTACACCAGGGAGAGTGCGAAAAACCAATCCCAAAGTGTGTCAACTGCAAAGGACCTCATGCTGCCAACTTCGACAAATGCCCTGCCCGCCCCAAGGTTGTGAAAGGTACCATCCATAAGCACACATGGGAGCAAATCCAGGAAATAAGGCTAGCCGGAGAAAGAGCCAGATCCAAGGCCTTTAACGAAGCAGGCAGAAACCAAGCTGGGTCAACACCTAGCAACAATAGCAAAGACACCACAATGCAAATCGACACAACAGATACAACTCATCCCAGAGATGCCGATACCATTGTTGTCAGTCAATGTTAGGTACATCAAACGAAACATATCGACACAGGCATCTAGTCATCCATTCTGTGAATACAGCAGGGGGACAAAAGAGTGCAGGCCCTACAGAGTTAGCCATCAACCTGGCTGACTATAAAGGAGAACAAGCAGACATCATTCTGATGCAAGAGCCCTGGGTTGGCATACCACCAGGCAGGAGAATGGGAGTAAAGACACACCCTAATTACGATATATTCTCCCCAGTGGATTCCTGGGACAGCGACAGTACACGGCCCAGATCTCTCATCTATGTGAGAAAATACCTTCAAGCGGATCAACTTCGGCCCTATGCTACACGAGACATCACCTGGGTCAAGGTACAAGACATTACATTTGCCAGTGTCTACCAGCCATGTGACAACCCACAGGAAGTGGATGACATTCTGGAAGTATGGACTCCACCTTTTGGCTGCGTTATAGCTGGAGATTTCAATGCTGGCGACACATCCTGGGACTCAAGCGATCCAGGATATCATGGTGGTGCTATACTTGCACAAACTATGGCAGACCACGGACTGGATCTGATTTCTGAACCAGATGTCCCGACACATGATGACAGAAATGTACTAGATCTGGTGTTCTCTGATGTCCCCATGGCTGAAGCCTCAGTCAATGATGCACTTCAGTGCACCTCAGATCATAAGACATTACGAATAGTCATTCCAATCCAGGGAGATCTGGACCGAGTACCCAAGGCCAATCATTAGATAGTACCGGACGATAAACTACAGGAGCTGGCAGATAATGTCCAA